AGATATACTATCTATAAAATACTATAATAGCTAAGTAAGAAGGATTATTAGTAGCTAGTAGTCTTCTTCTTATAAAAGATATAATCTATAGAGAAGAACTATAGTATCTATAACTAGAAACTCCTTATAATAATAGAATTCTTTAGGAAGTAGTATCACTATCTAGAGAATTTATAGAAAGTTATTAAAATTATTATTAATTATAATAATCTTTATTATTTTAGGACTATATCCTAACTATTATAAAGATAGATAAGATAGTTATAAATACTTATAATATTTAATTTTAAGATAATCTTCTATATAGGAAAGAAGAACCCTATAGATAGACCCTTATAATAAATTAATTATAAAAAAGAGGCTATAAAGATTAATACTTAGGGCTAAGAAGATAGAGACCTTAATATATTAAGATAGTAATTAATATTTTATAAAAGAAAATATACTAAGGTAAATACCCTAGAGGATATAAAATAGAAGATTTATATAGTATTAATCTAAGAGATAATAAACTTATAAAAAGAACTAACTTAGAGAGCTAATATTTATAAGAATATCTAGAGGCTAAATCCTTATATAAGAGATCTCTCTATAGAAATTTAGGCTTTACTACTAAGATTACTTATATAAGATAAACTTATAAAGAAGGTCTATATAGTATAAATAAAAGTTATAAAGAAATTATTATAATCTTATTATATAAAAAATAAATTATTATATTAAATAAGCTATAAAGGACTTCTCTATTATAAGAGCTTACTTATATCTTAGATTATTATAGCTTAAGATTAAGTATTCTTATAAAACTCTATAATAACCTCTTTATAGGCTACTTTATAGAATAAAGAATAAAAGAGTTAGTCTTAAGATACTTTTAGTAGCTAGAAGTAAAGAACTTTATCTATAAATACTATATAACTTATAGAGTATACTAAAGATTATAATAGACCTAAGATAAGTAGTAAGGCTTACTAAAGCCTATATTTATTTTTATAAGTATCTAAATCTAAATTACTATAAATCTAATTATAGATCTCTCTATAAGTACTTTTATAGTAAATTTATAAGAAGCTTTTAATAGTATCTTAATAATAGTAGACTAATTTAATAAGATAAGTTATTTTATACTTATTTAGATTATCCTTAGTAAGGAGAAGTTAGTAATAACTTTTATTTATAAAATCTTCTAATTTTATAGAACCCTAGAAAAGATTATTATAGGTTAGGGTTCTATCTTTATAAAAGATTTCTAAATAAATTTTATATTTTATCTCCTAATTTATAAGGGTCTTTCTATAGCCTACTATCTATAGATAAATAGCTAAATAAAATATTTAAATAGTGTGCTAGAATAATATATATAAGCTTATATTAATTTTAGTTAAAAAGATTAGATTAATTATCTTCTTATTATAGTATTTACCTATAATAATATATACTAAGTATCTATTAAGAATATATCTTTCTATATAGTTATAGGTATTAACCCTTATATAATAATATTAGATTTTATAAATTAATTAAAGAATAAGATTATAGAAGAGTTAGTTATAAAAAGACTAATTAAGCTAGAATATATTTATACATATATAAAGAAGGCTCTAGTAAAGGCCTAAGCCTACTAAAAGAAATATTATAATAAGAAATATATTATAAAGGTATTTTAAGTAGGAGACTAAGTCTAAATCTTTACTAAGAATATATTATAGATTAGACTAACTATAAAGTTAGATTAATTAAACACTAATCTAATATAAATTATAGAATATATAAATAATCTAGCCTACTATATAAACTTACTACTAGGCCTTAAGATATATAATATATTCTATATCTTTATACTCTATAAATATAAGGAGATAAAAGAAGTAAACTTATAGAAATACTTCTTTATTTATAAAGTTATAAAAGAAGATTATAAATACTACCTAGAGATAATCTTAGACTTATAAAGAGATAAATAATCTATAGAGTATTATATCTAGTAGAAGAGATATATTAAGAAAGATAATATTTAGGAATCTATAAAAGACTTATACTATTTATAGATTTATAAAGACTATATAAAGAATCCTATAAGAAGAGGAAACTTATCTTTATTAAAGAGAAGATAAAATAATAAATAAAATAAATATAAAAATCTCTAAGTCCTAAATCTACTATTATAAAGATATCTAATATTAAGTATAAGTATAATATAATTTATAGAACTAAAAAGATAACTACTAAATCTAAGGCTATTTAAAAAAGTAGCTCTTATAATTATAATAAAGATAGTTATTATATTTTTTAGCTAGTCTACTAGAAATATATACTATAAATACTAAGCTTATACTTAAATTATAATAGATATTATACTTCTAGCTAATAAAAGGTCTTATCCTAGCTCTAGTTATAAGAATAATCTTATAGAGTTAGATATAGACTTCTAGCTAACTAGATATACTAAAGCTATATTAGTTAATAAAGTAGAATAAGATTTTAGTAATCTATACTTACTCTTAGTTTAATAGAGATTATAATTCTATCTAAGATAAGAGCCTTATAACTACTACTAGATTCCCCTATAAGTAGAGAAGGAACTAGGTATCTAGAAATACCTTTATTATTAGATTAGAAGTCTAAATAGTAATACTACTAATAATAGATATAGAGATATCTTAATTAGCCCTAGGAGTATCTACTAAAGATAGTAGTAGCTTAAAGATAGAGGCTTCTCTTATAATAGGGGCTGGTCATACTCTAAGTAGATTAATAGAAAAAGGCCTATATATAATCTTATACAGGGGGAGGAAGGCCCCTATAGGAATAAGAGAGAGAGAGAGAGAAGGAACTATAGTAGTAGTAGTAGTAGTAGTAGTAGTAGTAGTAGTAGTAGTAGGCATAGGGGGGAGGGATATAGTAGATAGTAGTAATAGTATAAAGACTGCCTCCTCCTCTATTTATAAGAATTATTAGTAAGAATATTATAGACTTATAAGCTTTTACTTACCTCTAAGAGGTTAGAGAGGATAGGTAAGAATAAGAATATAAAAGAGAAGATATATAAGAATATTTTTCTATAAAATATCTTATAATATATTAATTATCTCTTATCTAAATATTATATATCATGGAAGGTCCCCTATTAAAACTTTTATAATAAAAATTGGAGAAAATATAAAAGAGAAAGAGAAAAAGAGATTATATACTCTATAAAAATTATTATTACTTTAAATCTTACTCTATAGAAATTTTATATAATAAGGCTATTAAGGGATTTTTAAGAGTATTATAAGAATAAGTATTATAAATTTAAAATATATTATAAGAAGATTTTAATAATAATAAAAATATTATAATTAAAGAGGTTTATCTATAACTAAGTCTTTATAAAAAAAAATAAATATAAGTTTATAAAAGAAGAGAGTAATAAATATTTTTTATTATTTATAATTTTTTTTTATATAAAAGGGTTTTTACTAAATAAAGATTTTTATTAATATATTTTATTATAAATAAGAAATCTTAGATAGATCTTAGGGGCTCTGGTCTTTTAAGAGGGAGGGTAGTTATAAGAATTATAAAGATTTATTATATATTATATTAAAGCTATCTTTATAGAGGAGCTTATTAATAAGAAAACTCTTTATAAGAGATTATATATATAATTATATAATATATAAAGATATAAACCCTGCCTATAACTACTAAACTCTAAAGTTTAATAATAATCTCTTTAAATAAGGATACCTACCTTTAAATCTATTTATGAACATTCTTCTTTCACACTAGTTTCCATTTCTTGCAGATCATAGATCCTTATAATAGACTAAGTAAATAAAACAACTACTTTATATAGTAAGATGATATAACTTTAATTAGAATACAAATATAAGTTTTTAATTATTAATCTAGTCCTAGGAGCCAGGACATACTACTAATTTATCAAACCTAATAATATAAGCTATGTGAAGATGTAGGAAGATAATTAATTATTCTTCTCTTCTTTAGCAAGGTGAAGGAGTATCTACTATCTACCTATCTTGCCTATCTTATTATAACATATAAGTGTTATACTAATCTAATTAATAGGAACTAGGGAAGGAGTAGATATAACATATCTCCTACTAACTAGGGATTTAGTGTATATAGTAGTAGCTAGCCCAGCTACCCTTAGGGACCTGCTGCCACTTAGCTGTTAGGCTGACAGATGCGTGAATGAATAATTAAATTAAATTAAATTGAATTAAGAGAGGGCACCCTTGCAAGAGGTCATGTGAGCAGTCACATGACACTTAAAGATTATAACTACTACCTGCAACCACTGAACTTAGGAGTTTAGTAACAAACTCTTTAAATAAGGACACTTACCTTATCTCTATTCATAAGCATTCTCCTTTCACACTAGTTTACCAACTCTTGTGGATCAAGGATCCTTATAGGAACACATAAATCTAAACTAAACTAGTGGTTACATTGTGGGATAGGGGCTAGGGAGATAGGCACCTAGGCAGTAGATAAATACTATGAGGATACTACGTGGGCGACGGCGCTGAGAGCTTAATGGCACTAAGGGGTTAATACTACTAATCTATAGTAGCAGCATGGGTAAGGAAGAGGGATGTACACTAGCCCAGGTGGCCTGTCTTCTTTCATATACATAACTGCAGTGGTATAGTCCAGGTAGGATGGCCACCTGCAGTGGGGGACTACTGCTCACTAGGAGCCTCCAGCATGGCCCAGCTCAGTGCTGAAATGGAGTAAGGAATCAACCAATCAATGAAGAGAACAATGGTGAACAACCAGAGATGGAAGTCAAATGTTGGCGATTGATGTGGAAGATATGTGGATAAGAATGAAAGAGAGGGAACTATCCAAGTGGATTGCCCATATTTCAAAAGTTTCCATCACTGCCTTTCTATTTGATAAGCTTTTTGCCAGGCAATACCTGGTGCAGGGAAAGCAAAAAGGACGTGCATGCAGAAGTATAGGAGCCTTATCAGTACAGGCAAGAGGACTCAATCTGTTTGAGTAAAAGTACCCTTCTCTGAATCATGCACTGCATGATCCTCAGCCCTTGCTGCACTGAACTCTGCACCGTCACTACTATCACCACCCTTCACATCATTGGCTGAACCAAAGCCATATTGGATAGCAACGCGCTCAACATCCTCATCAGAAAGAAAAGGTAACTCCTTAGCAGCACGAACATAGCTCATGTTCTCCAAGTAACCCTTCGCAAAGATAAGGTCAATCTCCTCCAGTGATCGCCCGGCGGTTTCAGGATAGAAGAAATAGATGACTGGCAGGAAGCAGGCATTAATGCAAGCAAAGAAGAGGTATGTCCCCCAGCTGATATTGGTGATCATGATGGGAGTTACCATGACAATAAGGAAATTAAACAACCAATTTGTGCAGGTTGAGATAGCGTTCGCCTTTGCTCGTGTCTTGATTGGCGAGATCTCTGCCGGGTAGAGCCAGGGCAAGGGCAGCCAAGTTGCACCGAACGAACTAATCCGTATCAGCATATCAGCACCATCTTCGGTTGGCGAAATTGGTCATGCAACCTTGCATGGGACCAGGACATGCAAACTTACGCAATATAAGTAAAAAGACCGACTGCAGCACCCTTTGCCGCCGAGGGAGTGCCTGGGATGAGACAGGCGAAAGTAAGAACCATCGAGAGACATTGGCCCACTGTTCCCCATAAAAAGAGTTTGCGTCTTCCAACACGCTCAATCAAGAACCAGGATAGAGTAGCAAAGATGGAGTAGACGACCATGTTCACTCCTCCAAGTATCATAGACATAAACTCAGTCTGATCAAGCGAGTTCTTGAACAGAACTGGCAGATAGTATATCACTGCATTACAACCGCCAATCTGCTGAAAAAACTGGGACGAAGAACCCAAAAGCATTCTTCGAAAATGTTGCGTCTTCCCGCCTGTGAAGACAGCAGACAAAGGAGTGTTCTTTCCTGCCTGTCCCGAACTGGCAAAAGAAGCGTCAGACTCGTAATCATAAGAGGAACGGATTCCACAAGAACCAAGGAAACTCACGCTCTGATGGAGTCAAGAATGATATTCTTCTGGAGCTGCACATCATGATGGGATATGTCTTTACCCATGAGCGCAGCAATCACCGTCTCACCCTCCTCATATCGCTCGCGCGTGAATAGCCACCGGGGGGACTCTGGTAAGACGGCCATTCCGACAATAATCAAAAGGCCAAAAAATATCTGGAATGCGATGGGGAAACGCCATGTAAGGTCAGGCGAGCCATAAGATGCACCGAAGTCAATCCAGTAGGCTATAAGTGTACCGAACGCGATAGTAGCGCCTTCGATGCAGATAAGCAATCCTCTGTTGGAGGTTCTCGAGCACTCCGCCTGGTAAGTGGGAATTGTAGATGTATTCATTCCATTCCCAACGCCAGTAATCACTCGACCGATGATAAACTGTGCAAGAGGGACATGGCCAGGGTACGAAGTTACCTGGATGATCACGCCGATGATCATCACTGTGGCACCCATCATGATCGACCTCCGCCGTCCTAGCCAGTCACCAGCAGCAAGGATGAACACAGCGCCAGCGAGGCATCCTGGAATGCTCATCAACATCTGCTTGGTATCTAGCAAGAGAATTCCTTCTCACCTATCTCGTAAATTGCAGTCACAGTACCCTGCATAGTTGAATTGTCTCGCGTCGCTGTGAATACATCGTTGAAAGGCTTAGCATCAATGATACCACTCATGACACCCTCTATTAGGACAGTTAGCTAAAGATCAAACATGATGTTTGATTTGACACCCTTTGTGACGTACGATCATAACCAAAAAGTAAGAAGCCCATGGTCGCAGCAGTTGTCACTGCCCGCATAAGTGAATTACCGGTCATCCCGGCGAACTTTGGAGCAGCACTCATTGTGATCTATTGAATGTGCCAAACAGATATATAGAATGATATCTTCGAGCAGAAACAACTGCCCAGGCCGACGCGGCTGCGAACCTCGATGAGGTAGGTATATGGAGACGCAAGGAGCAAGGAAATAGTTGCACAAGGTTCTGCTGTCTCGGAGCCTTCGCACCCAATATAAACGTCCGAAATTTGGTGACGGACCTTCTCTGGGAGTTAAACTCTGGAATGTTGACTGCCCTGGCCTGATTTAAACGATGAAGGTCCGGTAAAGAGGAGAGCCTGGGGAACTTGTTCAGCGGGGAAAAAGCCCACCTTTATAGATTTCCCCATGCATCTCCCCAGCACATGGGAGGCTCATGTGGAGTAAGCTCCGACTCATGGTAGACATGACTCCACAATAATCTCGCAAGGTATATGGGGTGGCAGTTGACTGATTGAATCAGCCATGGCTGCTGATCCCTGAAATCGGATGGCCGTCTTGTCTCCTCTCCGGACCGGGATCTTTTTTTCAACTCATCTTTCCGTTTTCTTTTCCTCCTTAGTGCTCAATTGTATTTAGAAGAGATTTCCCACTTTCCTTTATTACCAAAGTATTCTGTACGAAGCAAGTGATGGATGAGCACAGATCACAAGTGGTTTAGATGACACTGGACAAAATCACCTTAGGGTACCATAAGGTAGTATCAACTTAAGAAGAGTTGGGAGTTGGGATTACCACTTTACCAATAGATACACATTGGACCATGGCTGGGTCGGAGCGGAGATCGACTGAGGCTAGTATAAGCATTAACCTATGAAATCTAAGTTCTTGGCTCCCAAAAATCAAAAGGTCCGAACACTAATCCCGAAGCAGGGCGATTCTTCTCAGATCACAATACTAATGGTAAATAATAAAAATGCCTTGACTCGAAGACTACATACTCCGTACTGTATCATTGTATGTACGGAGCTGTCTACCACCTGGGTACTCCGCATATATTACCTACCTAGTAGCTATTATAGCTATAGATAATTCAGCAACACAGGGGTACCTGGAGTAAATACGGGATGTGTAATAACAGCCACTACTACTCTTTTCCTCTATTTAGGATGCGGTTCTTCTTGGTCATCACTGAAGCTCATAATACTTATCAGATGGTCTGCATTTATACGTAAGACAGACAGATATTTTATAAAAGAAATGGTCAGAGATATTATTTTTTTAAAAATTCTTTTTCTTTCTTTCTTTCTTTTTTGAGAAGATCAGCGGAGCTTCGATGGTCAGAAAGAAACTCGGTAGACACTTGCTTGCTTTAAGCCTGAGTTCAGAGTCAAGACTCAAGACAGACAGCAGCCCCCACCATTGTGTCGATGGCCTATGCAGACCGGACAAGATGCCGCGCGCTTTACAGGTACCACCTATTGGTTCTCTGTCTTTCGGACCATGAATCTTACCCCATTCAGATCCTCTCCACCCGTTTTGAACGAGTCCTTTGAGGCCTGGTTTTCTCCTTGTCCGTTATATTGATAGATCAGTCCATAATATGATCTCAAACCAGAAACCCATTTAAGCAGGTATCTCGATAAGGGAGATACTTCTCACGCTTTGTGTCCCTTTAGCTGTCCAATGTACGTAGTAAGTAGTACGAGGTTCAATATAAATATGACTGGTTAACTATGTTACACTGGTGTGGAGACACCCCCCTCCCCCCCCCCAAAAAAAAAGCCACAATCCATCTTGGCTGTCAACTGAGAACGGTTCGACCCGAGTCATCCAGTCCATCTCAGCCCCTTCCATTTCTACTACACAGTATGTCCACCAGCGTCAACCCGCTTGCCATTGGCTGAAACAAGGGTTGCGTAGTAATTGCTTGGCAACTATACCCCGTCAGCTTTTAGCTTCCAATGTTGTTTGGCGAGGCGGTTTCCTATTGGGTTTCATTTTCATTATCCTCATAGATAAAAGCAATGTGGCTTGGTCAGACAATCATGCTTAAGTGCTCTTTGGTCTCTGAACCGAGTTTTATGATTTTATTAGACTTCATGTGCTGATGGTCTCCCGCCGTGGGAAAGTAAGCCGACGTTTTGGAAGTATGCCAAGTCCGTGTTTCTTGACTCTCCCCTATAATCGCCGAATCCGGAATCCTCTCATTCAGCTACCTATCATGTCTGTGGGAGCTTGCTTCCTGGTAGCGGGAGTGTTCCTCTATGGCGTATGTGGCTCAATCGAAACATCGGTAGGACGTTGGGATATCTAGTGGGATTCTCGTTCAGTATCTACTAATAATTTCCCGTAGTTCTGCTTAGAGATAGGAGCGACTGCAGGTGTTTAGCCGCTGTCGTCAGTCGTCGGTCTTCCTACTCTTGTGGTGTAGTTTCTGGATAACGAGTTATATGTGCACCGAGTTCATTGTGGTTGTGCCAAGTAATTATGTATTACGTATCAGTAGTTCAGTACCTATATCTATCTACACAGTACTCATCTAGTTACTGACTGATCATTTTTCTCGGGGATAAGCGACGGGCTAATGATCTCCAGATTGTTCCCCCGCGTTACCCGAGCCAGCAGTGGATTCCAGGTTTCAGATCACAGCCGTGATCACGCCGACGACCGGAACGAACGACTATGTCCTTCTTTTTGACTCCCCGTCGGCCCGTCCATCTGAACGTATCTTTGAAACATTTACCTATAAGCTATCTATTCCTTGAACAAGGCAGAAGACTGTACTCCCTAGTGCTTCAGTTACAGACTAAAATGTGTGACTGTGAACGGACTACAAAGTCGACACAACCTGCACTAATTCACTAGTAAGGTACCTACGGAGTATGTTATCATACCCTGTTACCCCGTATCCTACCACCAGGGGACCATTCATTGGAGGGTTTCTCTGTTTCCATATGGCGGCCCCCATACCCCAAGCCCCACTCTGTCCCCCACCAGAGGTACTAGGTAGTAAGTACCTACGGAAACGGAGTAAGGTACCTACCTACAGAGTATGCAATAGACGGTACTACTACTCCATACGGAGTACGTACTACGTAGTAATAACTAAATAATGCTATCCCGTCGGAAGCCCTATCATCCCAATGATTCCATTGTCTATCTGGTGACCCATCCAGTCTATCATGGTGTAAATACTTCGTGGATATCAGAGACACTGGTCGATTGTTTATTTTCCGCTAAGCTACGTTCGCTGTCGGCGCTTTTTAATAAAAGTTGTAAACTTAGCCGAGTTACAGTGACCCAATTTTGCCTAGTACAGTATTTACCACTGATATATTCATGATAGCCACACACACGTATATACATATACATATAGCCTGTTATCAAGTTATGTAATAGTGTCGTTGCGTGGCGGAATGATGGTGGGATGTCCACATGGGAAACGTGCATTCCGTGCCGGCTACAAAGGCCGGCTGCTTGACTGAACAGGGGCCGACTCCGACGATTCAATCTGAGAAGCTATGTATGTCATTGTGCCAGAGGAATTTTGTATCGAATGATGTGATAACTATGCCTCTAACTGGGTTTGATTATATAGGAAACATCACAAGCCGTGGCACAGAACCACCGGTTGTATGGATATATCTAATAATCCCCCCCCCTTTCACTGTCATACAATCGGCGGTTTGGTCTACATCACCCGCTATACCACGTGCCTGTTCGAAACGAATCCACCGAGCTCGGCTCAATGATACGGCCATCAAGGAAGTCAATGCGTCTATGAAAGCAAAAATTCCATGTGTGTTTGATATTGACGCTCGATTATTGCACGATAGATGTTGAACTTGAATCCCACGAAGAGAACCCAAGCATTCATGTGCCATCTGGAGTTATGAAAAACAAAGAAGATCTGGAGTATAACAGGACATCCCCAGATATGCGGCCCTTCACATAGTTCAGATGTCCCTTTTGCTGGTGTAAATTAAAGTCTAGTCTGGCTGTGTGCCACCTAATAGTAAGAACCTATACTCCAAGAGTACCTGTGTCTAAAGCACCATGCGTCTCGGGTTGTGGTTAAACTCTCTTTCAGATATTATCCCCTACATGAGTCTAATAGGATGCCCCATCAATAAACATCAGGAAAACTCCGCCAGCGGCACATTAAGCACTTTTTTTAAGGCTACAATCGATGCCTTGTGATCGGCCTGGCCCTCGATATTACAGAAGATCGCTAACAGGACGCAAAGTCGTTTCAGAAGGGGGGATACGACCTCAAAATTCCCAGTGACGACAGCCGCATAGGACAAAGGAGATATGTTCACTACGTGGGAATAACTCGAACCATGACACTGAAATAGAAAATCATTTATACGAAGGAGCCCGTCCGTGAGTGGAAAAGGTATCGACAAGCGTTCTTTCAAATCTCGCTCAGCAATTCTAGACATTCCCTTAGATTAGACACCGATCATCATGCGGAAGTAAGCGAGGTGGAGGCATATTGAGAGCCCTTGTAAACCATAGAACATTAACAAGATCCTTGGTTGAGCATGGATTATGTCTGAGGCGTATTGCTTTCCCGACTCGAGGCTTCCTCTACATGAAAGCCGAAGACTAGGCGATATAGATCTTGCAACCATGGATGCCGGCCGCCTTGTACTGTGATATGTACCGCATTGGCTATATCCCCAGCACTCCGGTAAGGCTGAGCTCCGGCATTACGGAACGCTGGGTCAAGCGTCAATAGCCTCCTATAACTCTTGAGAAGAGACATTTGCCACGGCGCCGATCCGAATGCATCCGACGGAAGACTCTTAACAAAAGCGAGGAGACTGTGTGCCCCTCCAGGTTGAAAACCAGTATCTAATGCAGCCTTGACAACCAGAGCCTTGATACATTTCAGGGTCAGATCATTCGATGATGGAGATTTTATAGTGTATGTCGAAGATGTTTGTTCGGAAGACTGACTTTGGCCTGACAGAGTTGAGGAGTTCGAAGGCCATCTTTTGTGTACATTACGATCCACACTCTGCCCAAGAACGAAGATATTTTGGGGCGGGGCTTCTTCGGGCGATAATGTAGCAGTTTCGTCGAAAATGGTCGTCGGGGTTTCAGGATTGCCCTGATGACCTGTAACCTCATCTGCAGGACCTATTCCGGGTGGCTGAGCCTGGTGGATAACACGTGGAAAAGCCGCCTGACTGGGCCGTGGAGTTCCACGGTCAGAGCAACGCAAGCTCCTTTGTGTCCATCCCTCGCGAAAAAGATCACAAAGCTCCCAGCAAGCTTGAACTGCCGAGCTGAATATCTCCTCATCCATTCGCCTTCCCTCCTTCTTACTCTGGCGAATGGTGAAAAGCATCTCAGCCAGGGACCAGCATGCCTTCAGGAGAGAGTCAGTCTCCGACATGCGAGTCCTCTGTTTCATTAGACGATGACACAGGGTGATGTAAAAATCCAATGTCCTCTCTCGGAAGGCCTCAGGAAGGTTTCGATCATGTGTATTGAAAAGATGATTGTTTAATTCAAAGCTGACTCGGAGGACCGAATCTGCAAGCTCATTGTCACGCACACGGGCCTCAAATAGAGTCTGGCAGAAGTCACGGCAAAGATCCAACATTGGATTGACTTGCGAGGCATGTTCATCTTTTTGACTTTCATACAGTCCCTGACATAACCTCCAACAGGATGTCCAAGCATTTTCTTGTATGCAGGCGGAGTCACTTGTGTCAGCAAGACGACCGCGATGTATGTAGCTTAGCTTGGCCAATGTGTTACAGAGTGTCCAGCATTCGGCAAGTGCTGTTTTAAGAGCTTTCATCTCCGCCTCGCCATCAGAAAGATGGCGAGCTGCGAAGTCGAGTGTGTGAGAGGTGTCATTTAATGTTGGAGACAAAGCTTCATAATGTCCAGGCTCCAGGATAATTGAACTACCACCATTGACGGATTCCTGATAAGGCACGTCTTCAATCACACTCTGTCTTGAGCGGTGAAATTCCCCATTAACGTCATTGAAATGAGACTGCACGTCAATCCCTTCAAAATCCTGCCTCGTTTGGGCTCGAGGGGTAGCCCGTTCTGACCAGTCCTGTGCGGGCGCAATACTGGTCGTTAAAGGAGACGGCGATATTAAGCTGGTAGCGTGTTTCTATATTGCGGTCAGTTGCAGCCCACTCACGGATTCAAGAATACCAACGCACTTTTCGCGTTCTATCACCCTGGCCCTTGAGTGGGGTTTCTGGAGCGGCCCCAGAATTCACAAATTTTGTATCTCTCTCCATCGTGCTAGAGGTATCACCGTTGCCCATCTTAGAACGTGAGTTGTTAGCAGGATGTCGATCTGGTGAATAGCGTCAATCTCACAAATTGTGCAAAGCCTGGAGGAGCATGGATAACAGACTGCGGAGGCTCATCCTCATCCAGTTGTGCTCTCAGTCCATCGACATAGGATGGTGCCGTACGTATCTTAAGCGTGACGCAAGTCAACGGTGGCTATCATCACTCCCAGACCTGATTATACTCACCCTGAGTTCGGGATGGGTATTGCTTTGAGCTTGCGGCCCAGGCAACATGGTTGACGCAGATGGAGTCAACTCTATTTCGTCACAATTGTTCAAATTGTCATATTCGGTGATTTCAGCCGCATTGTATGGCAGAGCTCGGAGCGAAGTGTCCTTCATATCTGCCACCATGGAGTAGTGTCTCTATATGTCGCTTTGCCATCAGACATATCAGCATATACATTAGAGCATTATGTACACCGGAATCAGGTTCTTACTATCCCAAGAGACGAAGATAAATTAGCTGCTGTTGTTTTGAAGTTATGATGCTTCTGGTACCAGCCAAATATTGCAGCGGACTATTGAGAGGGTTGACTTCCGTTACCCCGTACCCTTTTCTGAAGCTCAAAGCACAAATCAAGGCGGGTGATATCTCATGAAGACAACATCAACAATGCCCGAACCAGTGTCTTTAAGCAAGAAGGGAGGGGGCAGCTGCATATAGACTGTTTATTCCCGCACAGGGAGGCTGTCAGACAGTCACCAGAGAAGGGCAGCTTGAAGAGCCCCCGCTCGATGTTCCGGGCGCCTATTCTTTGATTATAGTGAAAGCATGAAGTACCTAGCTCAGCCTACTATAGTTGCACCAAAAATGTTAGATAATTAACTGGGATAACCAATACCGGTTAGAACCAACACCTAGCAGTTTGATTTCAAGGCTGGCATTTTTCTAACAGAAGATGTGCTATTTTGTGTTGGTATAGTACAACAAAGCCATGACACAAATATTTGTGTCGTGGATGGAAAGTTGTCCCTCTTAAGGAGTATTTGCCTGCCATGAGCAAGGAATTATGCCAAACCCCAGTAAACCCAAAGGGCCTGACATTCACGCCAGAGACCATATATGTTTCAGTGAAGTATCTTATCCGGAGTATGACTTTTAGCATTCAATATCTATCTCCAGTCATTTGGCCTTTCTCCATCGATTCCCAGGTCGTCTCAACGGCCACGTTCGGCTTGGAGTAAGTAGTGAGGACTAATCCCGTCCTTATAGATGGACTACGAAATGGCCAAACCTCTCATCGTTCCGCTTGGTCCAAGCAAGCAATACTGGCCTGATTTTTGTCCTCAGGCCGGCGTTCGACACGACTCGCTGCTCACAGATACTTATTAAAATAGCTAGTAAGCACATTGGAAAGCAATGTGGGTCAAATTCCAAATTCTGGATACCTGAACAACTTCGACTGGGACGAAGAACATCACCAACAATCGTGTCTACGCTTCCACATCGAGATAATGTTCGAATTTGGATACGTTAAGCGACTTTCCTTCACATAGCTTCCGGAATAATTGATCAACACCAGATGGAATTTGTTCAGCGCTTCCTAGCTGGGAAAATTGCCTTTCGTCGATTGGTAGCATCGACGCCTGAAAATCTTTCGTCACACCACATGGATCTGCAACGATTGTATGTGTCCCTCAGAGTATATGGTATAGGACGTACCTAGATGACATTGATCTAGAGCGCTGAGACCTAGTTAATCAGTAAATACAGACCCAGGCGGCTAAAATACAGGAGAAAAAGAGATTAAAACAATGGAATCTATCGCAATAGATGTTCACTTCTTTCCCCTGTATCCTCCAGAAATCATGATGGTCGTCATATTGGAGAGCTTGACGGTCCTAAAATATCAATATCCATCGTAATTGAACAGACAATATCGTTTGACAGCGACCAAGTACGAATCAGTACCGGAATCTGTAGTTTGTGGAATGGACGTGAGCCAGAATTGCTCAGCGTGGGAATATTCTTTCTCATGCGACAAGCCCGCAAACCGGATCGTCCTGAATGAGTTGGATGCAAGGAAGAAGGCGCTTCGACATAAGATGTGGTTAAATGCGGCATGTCTCATATCTGTGACTTCGCCCGATCTCTTTCTGCTGGATTATAGCTATCAACTGAGCGTGAGCCAGGCTACACGTGTAACAGAATACCATCTGTGCACTTACCGAAGAAGCTTCTCAATTAAATCAACATGTGTCATGATCATTCTGCGGCAACAGTATCGCTTGCAACCCAGCTGATCCATAGCGTCACTTGGCAGTAGCCGTTAGTAAAGATATCCGAAGAACGAAGGCGAGAAAGTCTGAGCTTACCCATCCGGAATACCCTCGTCAAGTAGTTGTAGGTAGCGCTCCCAAAGATCTCCAACAACCTGAGTTACATCAGTAGAAGTTATAGCAAGCGACGAGGCGAGGCTCTGCGTACCTTTCCACATGAAAAGCAACGAACAGGAATAATCATTGTTGCGACTGTTTCTTGCGTGTGGGATATATCAAATCAATAGAATGAGACAAACACAGGAGTTAAGTTCCACAGTTGAACCTGCCGGGCGCAACCTAACGCGGCCGAGGATGAAAGGATGAATATCTTTTTTTGCTTGAATTCTGAATGTATATTGCTTGCTGGGTTGCTGAAAGATCACAAGAAGGATGATGATAAGAATAACTTTTTCGCTGCGGCCCCACTAATTTCCAATTTGAAATACTGACTAACTATCTACAAACTAGCCCCTGATACGGACTGTTATCAATGGCGGTGGAAGCTGACCAGTGAGAAAGAAGGGGAAAAAAAAAAAAGAGAAGTGAGAGAAAAAAGTTGATGCACTAGAAATCTTGCATAGATCATCCAGCTGTCGTTAATGTTATATTTTCTCGGACCCGCTTTACCATTTGGTTGCAGAATCTCAGCATAATCGTCGAGAGCAGATACTCAATTGGACTTTTGCTCGTGTCACATCCTTTGATCATGCCAGGGCCAGCCTCTTCCTCAGGGCATGCCAAAAGATCCAGGACTACTGATGCACCACGGACCGGCAAGGATGGAGTAAAGCGTCGTCGATTCTCTAGGTCTGAAGGCCAGGCTGCAAAGAGCACGACATCAGTTGCTTCGAAGATGCCAGATGCGAAAAATATAGTTCAAAAAATTATGTCAGTCAGAGAAGAGGCTTCGGCGCATGGCCACGATGAGCAGGGAAAGCCCCCGGTCAAGCAATGGGTCTTATCAAGCCCAGTAGCGGGGCAATATAGCAATATTGACCCGATTATGACCTCGAACGAAGAGTGAGTGTTACCAGGAAAGCCCAGACGGTTCTGATGTCGTACGAAGTTTTCTAACGATATAAAATAGGCATCTTCTTCTTGGGACAGAAACAGCAATTCACGTTTATTCGGTTGCAACTTCGCGGCGCATTCGTACATTACAAACGGATCCTGCTGGACGAATCGTCGGCTACAGGCTTTGTCCCGAGGACCCGCAACATCTCTACATTATCACTTCCACAGGCACCGTGAGCAAATGGGACTGGCTTTCAGGCGATCAAATTTTATCTCGGGATATGGCAGCTGAGACGCTCCATGCCGAATTATGCATTCATAAGTCGTCCACAAGCAAAAGTAGTATGCTATTTACCTCTCGAGAACGGAAGGTCGGCAAGAGAGAGATTGCTATCACACTCATATCCTGCGAGGATGCAAACGATACTATCATCCTTGAGACAGGCCACCGAATAGACAATTTCAAAGTATTCGGATCAGGCCAAGCAGTCATCGCATGGGCTGATCAGCACCTCCTGCTCGGGACCAGGACTTTAGAACCGTCAGATCCGTCATCTCTTCGGTATTCGTGGAGAGAAATGCTTCTCCCCGTTTATCCTACTTGTATCGACATTCAGGCAAGTGCGGCATATAATCGAGTCAGAGCAGATGATGCTCAGACTCAAACCCTGGAGAAGATGGATCTTGTTTTGGGTGGCTCGGATGGCTCCATCCTGGTTTATCATGATTTCCTCGCTTTTGTCCCCCAAGCCGCAAGTGACCAGGCTTACAGCAAGGCTCTAGCCCCCAGACGATTGCACTGGCATAGAGGACCCGTCAATGTCGTTCGCTGGTCCTCCGATGGTATGATATGACTCTAGCCCCCAAAATTCCAGCCAAACATGGTATATTAACAGATTCCAGGAAACTACATAATTTCAGGTGGTGACGAGTCCGTTATAGTGTTGTGGCAGTTGGATACGGGAAGAAAACAGTTTCTCCCTCATCTCTCTTCACCGATCTGCAACCTAGTCGTTTCCGCATCGGGTAAATCATATATTCTCAAGCTCGCTGACAACTGCGTCATGTTATTGTCTGCCACAGAGCTTCAACCGTATGCCACGATTACTGGACTGCAACTGTGTCCGAAGGTATCTAGCCCAACTGTCGCATCTTTGTCGCGATCATCTGTTTCCTTTGAGTCTCCTGCAGCTTTATTGCATCCACGGCAGCCAGATCGACTAGTGGCTGCTGTCCCAGCTTACCGCCAAGTCTCACGGGAGTCCCATTCTGTAGCTAACTCATGCGTGCTACAAACTTTTGATGTTCGCAACAGCAACCAGATTCACCGACAGGCTCTCGCGCGCACTAATGCCACGACGCTGAGAACCAGTCCGGAAGGTACAAAGATAACCCCCCCAGATGTGCGGCATCTAGATATTTGCCAAACTGGGGACTGGATGGCCACTGTTGATGACTGGATACCTCACCAGGAGGATGCTAAAGCGATTGGACATGGCATTGATCAGTCGAGTAGCCGTGCTGACCACCGAGAGACGTTTCTCAAATTTTGGAGGTGGGCGGAATCTTCCAGTACGTGGGAGCTGGTCACACGTATAGATGCCCCCCATTCAGTTAATGGCGGCTCTGTTCCCATTCTAGATCTCGTGTCACGACCATGCCATGACGAATTTGCAACACTGGGGGCCGATGCGGTACTCCGCCTCTGGTGCCCTATTCACAGACACCGCAGTGGAATTGAAACCAAGCATCCTGAGTTTCAAATCCAGGCATGGAAGTGCCGAGGCATGATCAATCTGAAGGGCGAAATCCCTGGCTTCGAGTTAGGGTCTGCAAATGCAGCCTGTATGGGGTTTTCTCAGGATGGGTCAGTACTTGCAATATGCTTACAGTCTGAATCTGGTCCGACTTCGGGTCTTGTTGCTTTGGTGGATGTGCAAAACTGCAGGCTCCACTTCAGCAGAGTTGGGGTGTACGCGGACCGTCCCCGTGCAGCTCGGTTCTTAGGTCGCTACCTGGTTATCCTTTCGAAGCAGTCGGTGTGCATCTGGGACACAGTTGGCGATGTGATCAGAGCAGTCAAGTTGTCCACGGCTCTCGACGAAATTTCTCTTCTTGCAGTGAGCCCAAAATCACAAAATTTTGCTGTGGTCGCCAAATATCCTGAACAACCGACTGGTGCTCAAAATTGCCCCAAATCTCAATTCACTATACGAATCTATGATATTCAGACTTTGGCGTTACTTTCAGAGCTGCCGTTAAACTACTCTCCGGTATCTTTGCTATCGGACCCGTTTTCCGACGACTACGTCGTTGTGGATGTTGCGGCCAATGTGCAACGAGCTTGTCGCCCAGAGAGATCCTCTCAGCTTGCCATCCAACCTGCCGATGTGATTTCAACAAGCCATGGGCTAGGAAATTTGTTTGACGCCCAGTTTCGCCACGCCAAACGCCATAGTCGCCCCGAAGCGTCGACAATTGCAGTGAATGATGACTCTTCATTTCAGCGATCAGACGGGCTGCCTGGGGTTTTCAACGATGTCCCTCCGTTTGTCCTGCCGCCAGCTAGCATTCTTTTCAAGAGTGTAGTGCAGGTCCTCGCAAGGAGCTGAAATCAAATAGGGTACTTTCTTATTCATGCCTTTGATTTCGACCACGGTGCGCACGATGCTCTGGGTATTAGTTGTTTTTGTGCATGTCTGATTTCCATGCATGCCGGCAGTCCATTGTAGTTTGCTAGTGATGACTAGCTCCTGCAGTCCTGGGTGCTCTGTCTTGGTGCTATTTGCGTGCTGTTTCCATGATCTCCACCGATGTCCGATATATTTAGGTCTTGATATCACAATTCAAGAGCAGCTCGTTATCAGCGCGCTTCGTCAGCTCCTGACCAGTTTCTATTGGCATTGTCATACTCCATCAACGTTGTATACAAAATCAAGGAAGGATAGAAGTTTCTTTCTTTAGTGCTAAGGTTCGAGCTTTAGGTTGTATTGTGTCCGATTTGAAGTATTAAGTACATTAAGGCGGATCATTTAATGACAGGTCTAAGCTAAACTGAAGATGAAGGATGCTCGTCGACCATGCACATGTGTCAAGTAAGCTTCAAGTTCATTGTCATCGGTGATAAGGAAAGCAAACTCATTTCCATCATCATCTTCATCGATGCCCACAATTTTCGTGACGACAAAATCAGGATACTTTGAAGCGAGTAGTTGGCGTAACTCAGCGACAGATCTTGTGGCGAGCTTCTCAACCCATGGTTTGAAATCCCCGTGCAGCTGGCTTTGGAGACTGATTTGAAAATACGCCGGGATAGCTAGCGCACTGGGTTCTATTATGGGGTTCACGTATTCATATGAGCTCCCAGTGTCATGATGAGCTGTCGAAGTAAAGGAGGTGTCGTTCGCCGCTTGTAAGAGTGAGGGGTCTATTTGCATGTCATTCAAATCACCCGAGGTCATGGGGGCGCTGGCGAGAGCCTGCGAAGCTAGGGTGCTAATTCCATTAGTAATGCTACTGTTGTATGCACCGCTGTCATGCGCACTCGCAGATCCCGATATAGAGCTTTCGGAGCGAAGGGCGGACTTCTTACGAGACGGGTCTCGTTTTGTTTGATCATCACGTAGTCGCTTCATAACATCACGGCACAAGACTTCCAGGGCTTTCAACTTCGTGCAATGCTCAGCATCTGCCGAACCGGGGGTGAGAATGTGCTGGAGCAACTCGGATTCTTGAATCCATCGCTCCTTGAGCTGTTTCCAATGTTCATCCCCAGCCTCCAGCTTGCTCGTGAAATGATCTGCTTTCAGTGTATTGTAAAAAGCGTTTCGTATCTGACGGCTCTCTTCTGGGTTGATCCCAAGAGCGTTCTTCGCTTCGGCAATGGTCATACGCCTCTCCAATGTCCTCATCCGTTTAGTGACATCCGTACACACAACGTCGAGAGCGAGGGCTTTAGCATCAAGTTGATGAGGGTCTTGCCAAAACACACGCCGAAGATGTTCCGACTCCTGAATTAATTTGTTTTTGGCTTCCTGCCATCTCTCTGGTCCAGCAACTGTCTTTTTGATGAAGCCTGCCTCCTCACAGATCCTTTGGAATTGGTCTCTTATTTGACGGTATATAGTATTGTCTAGATTCAGATATTTCTTACTCTCATCGATGGTGGTTTCAGAAGGGAACCGTGGGGGTCCAGGGGGGTCGGCAGGTAACCCAGCCCATCCCCGGGTACGCCGCCGTCGCTTCCTGGAAGCCCAGCGTTCAGCACTCTCTGCTTTCAGGCGCTCTAGCCGCTCTTTGCGCTTCGCCATTACTTCGAGTGAAAGACTGGGCGATGAGGGATGCGACGCTGCGGATTCGGGGCGAAGAGCCTGAGGATCGTAGAACGTTTCTGCGTTCTTGTATACTTCCTGCTGAAGTGCCAGAAGTCCTTCGTCTTCTGGAAGTTGCGTGGAGGGTCGAAAAACCGCTTGAGATTTCATTCCATTGGGCACACGGAGAAGCCATCGATTTTTGGCACGCACTCGCATCAGCTCCCTTTCTTTGATTTCGAAGCCCTCTTCGGTTAATATTCGGAGCATATCCCGCTGACTTGTATTGCACTCCCAGAGCTGTTTGACACGCGCAACAAGTTCTGTATTTTTGTGCGCCGGATTTTGTTTGGAAGGAAAGCCCCATCGTTTGAATTGGGTTTGAAATGCACGCTTACTGGAACAAAGATGAATTTTTAGCAGAGTGAATGATGAGATGTTACAAAAATTTTGCAGAAATGAAAAAGATCTAGGTTGGTCGGTTGAGCGCTTACCTAGGTGAAAACTGGTATACATCTCTCATATATTCCATGATTTCCTCGAGGGCCTTTTTATCCTCGATGTACATCTGATAGCATATTTCCCGTTTACCATCCCAGTCGTAAACCATGATGAACAGTTCAAGACGCACCTCACCCGAATGGAGGTGCGCCGTCAGATACGGACTTAGGTCCCAGTTATAGAGGAGATGGGAGGAAACGAATCGGACGATGTTGCCGTCCGGAGAGGAAAAAGGCACCTATTGTCGCTCTTGGACACCGTAGTCGAGGGCAACTGTCGTGGCAGTAATTCAATGGTGAGTTATCTGGAATACCGTAGAGTGGCTCCGACAGCTGGGCGTCACAGAAGCTGCAGTTGTAGGTCTGATAGTATTACTAAGCACATGCACCCATCCCCAGACGAAGTACCCTGTACCTTTCTTCGAAAAGCTCTTGCAAGACCTTCTTTTCTAAATCAAATGAAACAAGCATAATATTTCTGTATCAATTGCCCATAGGCTATCGTTAAGACAGACATTAGGGCCCCCAAAGGTAACTCAGATGTTGGTTAGATGGTGTCTTTATTCGTGGGAGCATACTAAATCTATCAGTGACCACACGATTTCTCGGATAAAGGTCTCAGCATGCCACTGGATACTAGGTTTCATATTGCAACTACTATTGATCAAAATAAACGTTAGGAGAAATCAGCCTAGACTCCGCATCCTTCGCCGCATCTTGAAAATTCTAGTTCGTAGCCATGTCAAGAATAGCATCCAGCTATTCCTAGATTGGGATTTCCAGGAGCCCGAATTCGATCTAGGCTGTGATATGGATGGGGAGTAATCGGGCTCTTCAACGGCACTCGGCTTTTCGGACAATACGTCGGTGGAGGTTCGCCCCTGGCTCTCTTCACCTTTCACTGGCGGGCGCGGATTTTGTCTCTCTTTGCGCTTCATTTGTCTCTCCTCTGCCCTCAATTGCTGCTCTTCAAACTTGCGTGTTTTGGCTGCTTCTTTCTCCTCAAATGCCTGACGTGCTGCTTGTATTGTAGCGGCACGAGAGATAGGATCCATGCTGGTCCGCGTCCTGGAACGAAAAACGAAATCCAAGGATGATCGCGAAACCGGAGAGGCTGCATCAATAGAACTGCCGTTTTCTCGTGCATAACCGAAGGATGACCGCCCAGTCAAGTTTGTTTGTGATATACCCGGTAATCTGGTGAATGAACTATCATGCATCTGCAGCGACAATCGCGGAGTCTGTGTTGAAGAGCTACGACCCCATGAATGAAAGGGATCACCTGTGGATCGAGTTGATGAAGCTGGATTGGTTGAGTCCTTTTCTTCAGAGCTATCGCTTTCGATGACGGACGCCTGGGAAGATTGACTCAATTGGTTTGTATAAACGCCTGGCGCCTGGCGCATTGATTGAGAGGAATGCAAGCCAGGTTTGTCTGTACTTGTGGTGCTCGCCATCGAAAAATACGAAGTCCCACTGATAGACCGGGATTTCATCCCGGAAACTGCTCCCCTAGCGGTAGACCTGGGGAAAATACCGCTTTGATAACCCTGCACGTCCGAATTCGTGAAGATATTCAATCCTTTCCCCTCAAATGATGATCGTGAGAGGTCAATTGACACCAATGCAGAATCATCGCGAGAGAACCGCCCAGGGGAAGGCATGATGTATGTACCGCTTTCTGGGACGATGATTTTCTTCGACTATGGGTGATATTCACTCGTCGATACGACTGACCCCGCCAAGAGAATAGAGTAGTTAAGTCAATCCTGGAACTGTTGAACGGTGATGGGTGGTGAGGGCCGGTGGGGGATAATACAATCGCTTATATGAACCGATGAGTGAACCAGCACTCCAGTATCATGGCGAGGCGATTCGACTCGGCGCCTTCAGAAGCTGTTATCATCAAGCATGCATGGTAAATAACGGCAGATAATAGATTATTAAACCCCAAATCACTGAATCTCACAATCTTTGGCGATGTTAGGTGTTGGAAGTTCCAGCGAAGTGACTTTCCTCCAGCCCATAGAATTGTGATGCTCAATGGAAACGGCTTTCTCCTTCCCTCTACCACGAGAATTCCCTAGGAATGCTTCGGCTTGTCGCACAGGAAAGGCTCGGTTCGTCACAAATAAGCTAGAAGCTCATAGTTTCGTTAGAGAGAGAGCAGGGTTAAGAATAGCCGTTGAAATTGAGAACAGTAATATTGAGAGCAGCGAGTCTGACCTTATGCCCAATGTTACCAGAAGTAATAAAGCAAGTAGTAGTGGGGGTAATATTATGCAAAGAAGTGGCGGGCCGAGACCATCAGAAGATACACCAGCATGAGACTTGGCAAGGGTGGTATGAGAGCAAGGGACAACCACGGACGCAAGTTCAAGCTCTCAGGGAGAAAGGGGGATGATTGAGATAGAAATCAAATCATCAGTAAAGTGCAGGAGTAAACAGACAATTAGATAGACAGAAAGACAGACAGAGAAAAAAAAATGAGAAAAGAAGAGACAAAGTGGAAAGTTGAGGGAAGTGCAAAATTGCGGAGTAACGGGACATACGGATATGGATTATGGACTTATGGACTCATGGAGTACTGTGTATTCCGTAGTAGTCTAGTAGTAGGTATCTAGTACTCTGTACTCCGTAGTAGATATTACCTACAAACTACGGAAGTACGGAGTAGTAACTAATTAAAATACCTACTAACCACTAACCAGTTACCGGCATCTATCTACTAGAATTTCGGAAAGACAGCGGTGAAGTATTTCAGACAGGGTACAATTTATTAACCAATCTTGGTATGCGTCTGTTTAATGGTGATATAATTTAGTCCATCTATGGAGTAGTTATCTGGATAGTCTATGTATCAAGTCCAGCCTGCCACCCATCTATATTCCTTTTGAGTTGTTCTGGTTATCTGGTGGCTGGGAATCGCTGGGAGGACACAATATTTTCCGAATGCGGACTCAATTTTCCATCTATCTATCTACAGAATCTACAGATAGTTGGAAAACGAACTCTTTTGGCTCTTTTCTTTTATCATCTACCAATACCCTAATACTCAACCACTGCACTCATTCTTATCTAGATACTTTCTCTCACTTTCTCTGTATCATGACAGTCAGCCTTCAGTGGTTGGCACTGCCAATTCGCCAAGATGTTAAGGGAGAACCTAACAGCCACCAACAACACACTAGGCTTTCTCCTTCTCGTCTATCATCGGGACGTATGGACAACTGTGAGGCCGATCCAGAAATGAACTAATCCACTATGCTTGCTTAGATGCTAATCGCTTCCATTTTCCGACTAGAGATGGGGACATGAAACTGATGGCGGGGTGCTCAAAGTCTCAATGATGTTTGTTTGGTTATGGTGTTGAGTGTCGACTGTTCACTGTTGCACTCTGAAGCCTGTCTAGAATGCAGACGACAATACCCCTCTTGGTTTCAGCTAGAGACCCCTCTTCTTCTTCTTCTTCTTCTTCTTCTTCCTCTTCTTCATCTGGTAGTATCGTTCCCGTGTCCCTGTTCAGTCTTGAGGCACTGGGTTTGTCCTAGAAGACACAAGAGCAAGAAAAGATTGAAAAAGAAAGCAGTCCCTGAACTGCTGCTTTGCACACTTTGTACACTTTGGACAATACCAATTTCACTGGGTGGCTCTCCGCTGTGACTTGCTCTGAACATGAGGGTCAGCTTTCAGAATTTTGGCATTTCCATCCTTCTTGTATTGTTGCTGTCGGGGAAAGTGCATGCCTTTGGTGCTGGTAATATCGCATCGATCTCTCGAGTGGAGGGTCAGAATTGGCGCCATGGCGACATTGAAGATACATTGTTGACTCTGTTCTTGGCCCGTGTCGCTGGAGGACGCAAATTCAGCAAGCTTGATGTCCAGCGTGTGTATTTTGGAAATTGGCTTCGAGACTACAGCCAGGCCGTCGATGTTGGCACTCTGAAATATGTCAGCACGGAAGCAATCCGGATCTTGATATGGGTATTAGGCTTCTTGAGTTTCGGGTAAGACGACAGCCTCACAGCCAGCGCTGATGTCACTCGCTAATGAAATAAAACCTCAGCTATGGAACCAAAGAATTCGAGGTGACCACAGAGCGTTTGGGATGTTACGAACCCACGGAGCATATTGATAACCCTCTCGGTTACGCTGATGGGGAGGATGCTCGACGCTATGATAGTCGATTGAGAGGTCCTATTGATGAGGAGCGAGAGCTATCGATCGATCCTAGCACCGGTGCGGAACTCTTAAATCTGAACTCATTATGCCATAGAGCTGACATATCCAATATTTCATAACCTACAGGCCTCAAGAACTACATAGCTAACGAAAATATTGGCATTGGTACGTCTGCAGGGTTGGTTCGCCGAGTTTTCAAACGCTCTATCGAATTAGGACGTCGCTATGCCAGGTCTCGGAACGATGAGGATCTCCATGAAGCCCTCCGTTTACTTGGTACAGGGCTGCATTGTTTGGAAGATTATGCGGCGCACTCAAATTACACCGAGTTGAGTCTAATCGAACTGGGGGAGTCGATAATCTTCCCCCATGTTGGGCGGAATACTAAGCTTGAAGTAAATAGCGTGCAGGATTATGTGTACCCCATCGTCACGGGCACTTTCGGCGGAGTCGATTTTTTTCACTCAGTGCTGGGCGAGCTGTCCGACAAAACAACTCAATCCGAGGTCCAGTGTTTGGAAGGAGTCATCAATGAATCTCAAAATGGAACCCCTTCGCAGAGTTTCATCCAGGACCTACTGAGCAAGATCCCCGAAGGCTTGATCGGTGACCGTGATAATCAAGCCGGCAAGATGGATGAGTTCAAAACGAAGGCCGAAGATGCCAAGGCACACAATCAAGAAATCAGTCCCCGAGAGCCAGAGGAGTGGACGCGGTACCTGGACGATGTGCATCGACAGGTCTATCCCGTCCTTGAGTGGCATGATAACCTCATCAAGTCAATCAACCGCGCAATCGAGAAGATTCCGGTCTTGCCGGAGCTGATCGACCAGTTTCAAGAGCAAATTAACGTCTTTGTCTTCGCTGTCCTTGCTCCGTATATTCTCCCGATCATCACGCAGGTCAAGACGGAACTTCAGACCGGATCCTCCGAAATCATTCAAAGCAGCCAGGCACAGCAACACATCGTGTTTGACGATGATGATTCTTCCAATCCCACACATTCCATGCTCTCCAAAGATCATTTCTCAAATGTTCTAAACGAACCAGCTGGCAGAATCGCATCTCAGGTGGTCAAATGGACGGTGCCACAGCTGATGGAGTGCTGGGACAATGAAGACATCGATGTTGACCGAACCATTGATAGGATTGTTACTGGCGTCTTTCATCACCCGGCTCTTCGGCAGTATGGCGAGGACGGTGCATCTGATGCACGACGAATCATGTTCGGCACCGTTGAGGAATGGTGGAGTGGAAAGGATGAGGCTGAGAAGGAAAGTCTCCGAGAGCAGCTTTCTCGTGACGGTGTCTTCGAGGGCAAGAATCATAAGGAAGGGGTGCACGATTCGGGTCATGGATGTGGCAAGCCTTTGACGCTTCACCGAGGTCAAAGTCAACCCAACAACGGTTATAATTCAGACACTAGCGGTCTTGGAAGGATCGCTTCGGAGGCTGCTGGTGGCGGATCTCTTGGGGGTTTGGTTGGCAGACTGGCCAGCCAAGTTGGCTCAATGCTGCAGGGGGATTCCGGTTCCCGTAAGCCCGATAACGGAGGATATGAAACTCGCTATGATGATGCCGAACCCACGGAACAATACCAGGGAGACTGGAGACGGTTCGGGGGAGAAACCGAAGGAGAAAGTCAATATTCCGAGGTGGACAGGTACCAGCGTAAGCAGTGGCAGGAAGGCGCGGACGACACGCCGAGTTACACGCGGAGAGAAGGCGGGGAGGAAAGAAAGGAATGGCAGGATAAATCAGAAGAGCAGTTCAGGTATGGTTCGCGGGGGGACAGAGATTCAGATGACAGCGAACACACAAGTCATAGACATCACCGTCGTCCTGAAGACCCCGACTCATCTGAAAGATATTCTTCCCAGGGGAGAGAGGAAGAGGACGGTCCCTACCAATCGAGAATTGACCGACTTAGATCTGGCGATGATGACAACTCGGGGTTCCAAGGAAGAAGAACCCAGGACACGGATAGATTTACGGGCGGGTTTCGAAGCGAGAACACCGAGTCAAACTACAATTATGACAACGATCACCCTTCTTATGGCAGAGAACCATACGATAGCAGCAGACCTGACCGGTAAGTGGTCCATATACCCGGCATGTGCATTTTAGACCAAGCCAAGACGCTGACGTTCTATTTGGTGCTGAAGCTCTGAGCCACGATATGGTCAAGGAGAAGGCTATGGTAATTACGAAAGACCCGAGTATGGCGCTCGAGCGGGATATCGTCGAGATGAGTCCAGCGATAGCAACGAATATGCTGAACAGCGACCTCAGCATGGACGGCGCTATGATGGAGAGTCAAGAGGATATGAGTATTAGGGACATAATACTGCCGGCCGTTGGCCATACATCCAATCAAGGTTCAGTCGCGCATTTGGAGGTTTTTGGATTCACACTTTCAAAGTTGGGAGCAAGTATGGTAGCTCTTGGAAACTTGCACACCTTCGCCGTCAATTTTTGCTTTCACGGACTCCTGTAGGATGCTCACTAGTTGGGACCATTGATCACCACTTTGAGAGCTCCCCAGGCCTAGGTTGCTCCACTCGAACAACTTTGTCGCAATTGAGTAACCGAAGAGGGTCCAGGGCCAATTTTAACTAGAAGCAAGTCAGTATCAGAACAGATTTCCATACTCCAAATTCAACCTCAATCAATCAAAAGAAAACATACTCGTCGCATGGCGTCCACCGTAGATTCCCCAACCTCATGCTCCAGGTAGTCTCGCTTGATAAGACCAACTCCATGTTCGCCCGTCACGGTGCCCTCCATTTCGACTGCCCTCTTCACCATCCGATGTACAACGGCCTTCGCAGTCTGTCTTTCGTCCTCATTGAACAGAATAATAGCTATATATGTTGGCCATCAGTTTCACGCCATCGTCTACCGGCAAGGAGAGGAAAAGGATATTACCATGGAAGTTGCCATCACCCACATGTCCACAGATGCCAGCCAACAAACCGCTTCGTGTCATGTCCTGTTTGGTTGCCTCAATGATACTGGGCAACTTGCTCATAGGTACCGCCACATCTGTGGTCCACACATGGTCTTCAGGGCCTCGTCTCATAGCCATCACACTCCAAAGCGCTTCCTTTCGTGCACTCCAGAGTTCTTTCATTTCATCTTCCCCTCGAGCAAATTCGAAAGACTTCCCAGCACTGCTGGAAACAATCTTTTGAACCATACTGATCTGTTCCTTGACTCCAGCAGGGGTTCCAGTAAACTTGAAAAACAAAGTAGGCGCCTCGTGCCATTGCCGACGGGTAGTATGACTGTCATTGATGCACTTCATTTGGACGTCATCGAGAATCTCGACTCCTGCTACTGGAATGCCTTCCTCGACTACGCGTGTGACGCACTCGGCAGCGTTTTGGATGGTGGGGAAGCTAGCAACAGCGACACTTTGACTCTTGGGCTTGACCGTCAGTTTCAATGTGGCTTCCGTCACGAGCCCCAGTGTGCCTTCACTCCCGATGAACAATCTAGTGAGGTCGTAGCCAGCGCTTGACTTTCTCGGACGCTGTCTTGTTTTGATAATAGTCCCGTCGGCAAGGACGACAGTCAATGAAAGAACCCATTCCCGCATTGTCCCATAGCGATAGGCATTAGTCCCTGAGCAACCAGTACCCACCATTCCCCCAATCATAGCACCTGGGCCTGGGTCAGGTGGGAAGAAAAGGCCATCTTTCGAGAGTTCTTCGTTCAGCTCTTCCCATCCCACGGCAGGCTGCACAACCACGTCAAGGTCTTCCTTGTGAAGGGCTAAAATGCAATCCATGCGGCGAAAATCTATGCAAACTCCTCCTCTCGTGGGAGCAAAATGGCCTTCTAGACTCGTACCACCGGAATAAGGGGTCACTGGGATCACGCGTTGATGGCAGACCTTCATAATCCGAGAAACCTCTTCCGTAGTCGATGGATACAGGACTAGAAATGGTCGTTCGTCTTTCTTCAATGTGTATGACGACCAATCCGACCCGGAATGTCCATCGAGGTCACCGTGCTCAGTGGAGACATTCTCTTTCCCTAGGATCTCAACAAAGTCCGCCCAAGCAGCCTGAAGGTTTGATGGTGAGATGTCGTGACGCGGCGGCTCGAGTTCGGAGAGGGGTGTGGTTGACGAGGTTGGTAGACTGGCAGGCTTTAAGGATCCGAGATAGTAGGCACCCGTGGAGAAGAAAATTAAGGCTGATCGGTCATGATTAGCATACGGGGCACGTATAGCGACGGGATAAACAAGAAGATTATGTGCCTGGTACAAGTTCTGGAATTTATCGCATACCAAATGTCAAAGCTGCATAGCGGCCTCCAGGGGACTGGGTCTGATACTGGGCAAATCGTTCCTGTTCTGCGCGCTCCCTCTTCAACCGTTGCTGTGTACTTTCATAGAGTTGCTTTTTAAATGATTGCGATTTCTCACTTGCATGGAATTGAGCAGTCGCCGTAAAATGTCTTTGCTGGTGCACCATCCGATGGTGCATGGTCGCTCTCGGTTGAGCAGCTTGAGCAGTCACCCTCCTCCATGGCAGGAGGACATTGGATCTGACCATGTTGCGAAGGCTATCTCTGATGGGTGGAATATTACCACGATGGGGATGTCATTCCAGGCTTTGTAGAGCTCAATCAGGGATGATACTACTGTCTTGGCTTGACAATGTTGAACAGTCGCAATGCCTGCATTGATCAATTATTATTGTTGTCCAAGTCTCTCTCCGTCCTCCGAAAAAAAGCTGGGAGGAGACAAACATCACTATGTTACTTATGCCGTTGCATTAGTCATCTATGCACATGCATCTAGGGTGAATCAACAGGTAGATACAACGCACAGAGTAAATTAGCAACTGTACGTTCTATAACAATTGGAGACCAATCTTCTCTCTCTCATATTAAGTCTGCTGTGAGGTCACAAGATGAAGCATTACTATGGTCATGGGATGGGAAGAAATCTTAGACCAGCAGACTAGACTACTTAGTATCTAGATGGCCCTGATGACTAGAGTGATATATGATGAGCGTGGCTGTATTATTGTGAGACAATCACCATAAATCATAATAATACTACTCCGGTGTTCCCCCACCGGAAGATTTCTTCATATACAACTCACAGCAACAGCTATGACACTGTAGTTTGGTGGTCAATCCATAATGATATAATACAGAACCCTTTTCCGATCGGCATCGTTTCTCCAGCCGAAGTCAGTAGTCAATTGTCAGAACCACTCTATCTACTCCGTATATTCTATCTATCTATCTATATAACCCCGTGTTCTGGGGAACGACCGAGAGTCCGAGAATGTCCCGGGCTCCCGTGCATTCCGGCTAAATAGAACAACGTCAGACGGTTAATTTCCCTCATCCCAATGATCCCATATATCCATTATCCATAGATCATAGAGTTTCGCCGGACTTCGACCTGCAATGGAGTCTTCCCCCCACCAGATCCAAGCAGGCGGGGGGGGCGACGTTGTTCAGCCTTTGCGTTTCGAAATCATCCAGAATAATCATTCAGGAAAATGATTCGAACAGCGGATTTCCACCAGCAGTTCTGGGTCGGAGTAATTGGGGTGACACTCTTGTCTTTTTTTTTTTTTCTTCTCCAAAGTAATTCTACTTTCTCTTTTAACCAAACCCACCCCTCCTTTTTAACCTGTTGTTGACCTGTGCTCCTGCCTGGGTGATATAAGTATAACAGTCTGAAGCAACCCTCTTTCGTTTTCTCCCTCTTCGTCTTTCATATATACATCCATCATCGCACTCCCACGTCCTTAACCTCAGAGGAGATTATATAATATATAAAGGGCTCAGAAAACAACAAGCCAAAGAAAACACAGACGATATGGCTACATCGTCGACCACTCCCCAGGTATGTTCGATGCGACGCCTCCGAACCATCGCGTCCGTCTAAAAGAAAGCAAGAAAGAGCAAACAAAAGACAAAACTAACTCTTATGACCGTCAGAACCTTTCTTTTGTCCTCGAAGGAATTCACCAGGTTAAATTTGAGGATCGACCTATCCCAGAGCTCAGAGATCCTCACGATGTCATTGTAAACGTCAAGTACACGGGTATCTGTGGCAGCGATGTACGTGACTACGCATTCGAATGGTATCATTCAAAGGCTAACTGTCCTGCGTGCTTAGGTCCACTACTGGGAACATGGCGCCATCGGTCACTTCGTCGTAAAGGATCCCATGGTTTTGGGGCATGAGTCTTCAGGTGTCGTCGCCAAGGTCGGCTCGGCGGTCACAAGCTTGAAGGTGGGAGATCGCGTTGCCATGGAGCCAGGTGTTCCATGTCGCAGATGCGAGCCCTGCAAGGCGGGCAAGTATAACCTTTGCGAGAAGATGGCTTTCGCGGCGACCCCACCTTACGATGGCACTCTGGCCAAGTACTACCCTCTTCCCGAAGATTTCTGCTATAAGCTGCCAGAAAACATCTCTCTGCAAGAGGGAGCTCTCATGGAACCCCTCGGTGTCGCCGTACACATCACAAGACAGGCGAGCATCAAGCCGGGTGAATCAGTGGTTGTCTTTGGAGCTGGTCCCGTGGGGCTTCTGTGCTGCGCCGTGGCTAGAGCGTTTGGCGCTTCAAAAATTATCGCTGTCGACATTCAAAAAACACGACTTGATTTCGCCAAGAAGTATGCTGCAACAGCAATTTTCGAGCCCGCCAAAGTCAGCGCGGTGGCCAACGCGGACCAGATGAGGGAGGAGAATGATCTGGGACCGGGCGCAGATGTAGTCATCGATGCCTCAGGGGCTGAACCTTCCGTGCACACCGGCATCCATGTTCTGCGCCCCGGTGGTACATACGTCCAAGGTGGCATGGGCCGCAACGAAATCAACTTTCCCATCATGGCAGCCTGCACGAAAGAGCTGACCATCAAGGGTAGTTTCCGGTATGGAAGTGGTGATTATAAACTTGCAGTCGACCTGGTAGCATCTGGCAAGGTCAACGTGAAGGACCTCATCACTGGGGTCGTTGAATTCCAGGAAGCAGAACAAGCTTTTAAGGAAGTCAAGGCTGGGAAAGGCATTAAGACGCTCATTGCTGGGGTGCGTGATTGATTTGTTTCAGAGCCATGGTCTATTGTGGTGACGGGTCTAGCTGGCTATTCAGGCGTCCTGCCTTTCGAATGTCGGGACAGAGGAAGGCATGCTGGTCACGGATGTCGAAACCTAGCCTCGCGCTTTAATCAACTATAATTTCGATTATGTATGTATATATGAGAAAAGTCATGAAAACATGCGATTCCCCAATGTCAGGATATCTTTGGCCACTTAGGACTGTCAGGAAGCGGTATGTATAATAGAAGCTTTAGCATATAGTGCGCCATTGCGTGCAACAAGATTCAAAGAGTATCAAACCTATGGGATTGATGGATCGTGGGTATAAGGTATTATGTGATGTATCGCTTGTTGGAATGACCATTCTGCGGGATTCGGGATTGATTGACTGGAAAGAAAACTGAAAGGCGGCGAACGTGCAAGCTGCAGCAGTGCAATTGCAGACCGAGTCGATGATCAAGACGCGAGAAAGTCACCTGATGACGTCGTCACAGATCAGAGTACAACACATTCCGGGAGTTTAAAGGCTCAAGGTGGTAGGGAAAAGTGATGAGTGATTCGGGCGGAGATAATGAAAAGGTATGATGGAATAGTCCGCGCATGCACGCGACTCAAAGGTTGCATATCAGCAACATCCTGCACCCCTTTTCTGCGGCGAATTCCCGGATCGGAAGACTTCTTCCCATTCTCCCATCCCACTTCTCCAGTTATTTACTCCACCATTGCCTCTCTGCCTCCTTGTATTTCTGCGGTGCAATTGTACCGCGTTGTCATCAATAGTCATTCGACTGCGGATACTCGAACCGTCACTCGTACCGTGGCCATAAAGCCCACCATCGCCATATTGGATCCCGCTCTGGGGATCATCGGGATCAATCTCCCCTAGCTCGATCTTGGTAAGGATAATCCGCGCCAATCGATGAAACAGCTCTTCCACTCCTTCTCCTGTCAGAGCTGAAACTTCAACAGCGACGGGGATATTCGATTTAGCCGCCCAATGAGCAGCTTCTTCGGTGCCAACTTCGCGGCCATCAGGTGCATATGTCGCCGTCAATCTGGTTCCGGTACCAAAATGACTAGTGGAACGAACGGAACCGGGCACCGAATCGAGTGGGAAAGATGATTGCTTGCTGGAGGTACTGGAGGGAGTTGGGGGGGGTCTCATATTGTCCTCATTAAAGTCGCTGTGGGTCAAAGAGTCGTATCCGAGATCCGCCTTGTTTCCGGCGAGGAGAACCGTCAGGTTGGGAGATGCGAGCGCGCGCGCATCCATCAAGAAGGTCGGGAGCGCGGTGAAGGAAGCATGTGATGAGATATCGTAGATGAGAATGGCGCCTGCAGCACCCCGATAGTATGATCTCGAGACCGAACGAAACCTCTCTGTACCCGCTGTATCCCAAAGCTGTAGCTTGATCCTTGTCCGTCGGGGACCGGTTCCTAGCCTCACAATCTTCGAGGAGAATTCGACTCCAATCGTCTGTGATGACAACACTCTCCCTACAGGCGAATGATGCATTAGCGAGCCGACTATCCAGCTCAGGGGAGCCAGGGATAGAGACAGGCTCATTCAGGAGTCGTACATTCGTCCTTCACAAATCGATGTAGCACACATGATCTGCGGTAAAGAATCTTGTGTAAGCAACCACAACAACAAGCATAGTAGGAAGGGGAGTTTCTAGTGGAACACCAAAAGCGATGCAACTTACTTTCCGGCACCGCTTGGTCCAAGGAGAATCACCTTCGCAAGATAATCATACATACTCTCCAGCTCCTGGGCTGCGTTAGATAGAATAATCGCTAGGACATATCGGCCAAAGAGGCTCGAAACTACATCTTTCTTGTGCTGCCAAGTGCCATCAGAGCGATTCGTACCTGGTTTCCTTCGAGTAGTGAGGGGGATGATGAAGCATTCGACAGACCTCTTTGGCGCGCCATGGCATCGATGACTCAGTAAAGGCCGCTGGAATTATGACAGAAAGACGATAGTGAACAAGTATGCCGAGGATGGATCCTATGTGGGAACTTCTTGTGCGCTGTAACCTTGAGAATGCATATTATTATTAGTATGAGTTAGATAGTTGGTCTGAACTTCTGAACTCCCTAGGCCGCGGGATTAGCTCATGGGTATCTAACACCGCCAAGTGGGCTGGCTCCTAGTCGCTTCCCCAAAGTAATATCTACATTAACTGTCTATTTAGTGTCTACCGTGCCTTATCTATGCCCGGAGAACTTGCGTTAATCTCAATGGTGATAATCATGCATGATGGACAAAGTAAAGTCTCGTCATAGAATTCTAGCAATCTGACCCATTTCCCTATCAGCCTATCAAGGTACACCTTACTTCCGTTGTGCGATGAAGGTTTCATAATAGCTCATGATCAGGCTTGTTCTAATATACGCATATATATAAGGCAGAGATAACTGGTTTCTGTATCACATATTGAGGTAAGTAAAAACAGACAGCCTTCACCAGGTTTTCCTGGGTCAGATGTTAATAAGAAAAAAATCAACGAAATCAACAGACAGCAAAATGAAATACTCTGAACAGTGCTTTCCTACCAACGATGTCTTTCATGCATTTGTACACTTGCAGTCCATCCTTCACAGCACTGTCGGTTCATGTGGTGGGTACACCAGCAGCATTGTGCAAATGAACCGGCAGTAAGCTGGGGTTTCTGTGGCTCTCCTGGGGATCTCTTGCTAGTGGACAACTTTCTCGGCCATGTGGAGCGAGACACGCTCGTGGTGGAACGAGTCAACCTGGAGCTCTTCTTTTGACCATTTTTGTTAGCAGATGAACCATACTTGATTAGCACCGGAAGGGCTTCAGTGCTAGAGACTTTGGAGTACACTTTCGCTGGCATTTCATGCCAGGATTTGCAGGCACAGCAAATCGCAAAGTTCTTCATGACCGGTTGACTCGTTTCAGCACCTCCCAACTTTCTCGCTAGCCTGTCCGGCTGAGAATCCTCAACTCGAGAGACCGTGGTAACTGGATACTCTTCCACGTGAGTGAAACGACGTATACGAGGATCATCATGCATAGAACAAGTGTCAGGTGCGCTTGAAGGTTGATGATCTGAACGATCACCCCCTCTTTTGAGCACGGATTTAATAGACCCCGCTTCATCAGCAGTGTTATAGTCTTCCGAACAAGGCTCTGGGGACGAGGTCCGTGAAGACGAGCTGCTCGCTGGGGCCGTATCTTCAGAGTCGGCTTTTCTTCGAGGACTGTGCTCTGGTAGGTTCCCGTCCTCTCGACCAATCTTCACTGACTGAAGAACACTGGTATCTCTATCTTCTCCTTGATTGGCAAGTGACACATCTGATTTACTATCATGCCCATAATTCGATGGAGCATAAAATCCTTTTTTTCCCAGTGTAGTTGACGGTTGCGGTTCCTGAACAGAGTCAGCAATTGGCTCCGGATGCCTACTCCAGCGATTGCTTTGCCAGTGTCGTGGAGCGTCACTGGGGAAGGGTTTCGGTTGGCCCAATACAGACGATGTCGCGCCATGTAATGACCAGGAAGTTCGCTCTGTAGGAGCATGAGGAGCGGGCATTCCTTCGATTTTCTTTGAGACCGAAGGCTGCGGGACTTGCAGAGATTCATCGGTGGGAGGTATCCTCATTGAAACAGTCACCAGTGGGGAAGTAGGAACCCGCCGTGCGCCATTTGATTTGATCGAGTTGCGCACAGGTGAAGTCCTGTTATTCCCATTGACTGATTCGGAACTGGTACTACCTATTGAGTTACCGATTGCAAGAGGAGATGGCTTCGTCATTCTTGGCAATTTTTGTGAGGCATTACTGGCTGGAGCCTTGGCTGATGAGCTGCCTGAGGTGATCATTGCGCCGTTCGCCTTGTCCGAAACCACGCGAGACTTTGAGGACTCGAGAGCTCGGAGCTGATGATGATTCTCAGATTGTGCCGCGTCCTTTTGGGCGAAAGTTGAATTCAGGGCCGGGTTTAGAGACCTGTGGTGGGTTTGATTGCTTTCTCGGCTTCTTTGTGCAAGGTTCAAAGTTGCTGCAAACGAATCGCGGTCCATATCAGACGACGTAGGTGGCTTCTGAGTGTATGATAACCTTTCTTGAGTGTTGATTCTCTGTCCTGCTTGAGCAGATTGGCCAGCATTAAGCTTCAACGTCCGTGGAACGCTTCTCCCCTCGCCGTCTCTCTGCGGCCGCTCATCCGCCTTTCCGGCATCATCTTCCGGGCTCGCAACTGCAGGTACTGGCGACTGCGATTGCATCGGTGGGGTAAAGCTTTGCAACAAAGTATCACTTTCCACAGCTAGTCCTTTAGACACTACTGCACTGAAACGCTCAGGCAAACTCGTGAATAGAGGCGGGTTACCCACTCGTGGAGTCGGTGCGTTGTCTGTCGGCGTCTCCTTAGTACCAAATGCATTGGTTGTCAGATGATCATCCTCCTTTTCAGTTGCCACGCTTGTTCGAGATCTTGAAGTACGCCTCGAACTCGAGAAAAAGGCGGAGAAGCGCCTAGAGGATGACCTGGACTCATCTGCACTTACACTGGAACCCCTGCTGGAACTTTCGATTGGCTGCTTCTTGGTGAGGCGACGCGACTCTCTTTTGGATGAGGTATGGTCCCTAGAAAGTTGAGCCTGTTCGAGCTTAAGGAGACGTTTCTCAAGTTCAAGTCTTTCTGCTTCCAGACGTCGCGTGACTCGTTTTTCTTTTTTCGGCGCGGAAACCTGGTCGTAACTCTCAGATTGATGATTCTTTTCATTGGCATCGGGGGATCTTTGTAATTGGTCGAGTGCCTGGTCCCGTTCAGTGGAAGATCCTCGAGCGCTAGGCTGAATTGATGAGTCCCTAGATGCAGACTGATTTGCGTGGCTAGGCCTAGAACTCATGGGTCTGGATATTTCATGGTTCACTTTGCTAGGATGCGACGTGCACTGATCTTCCACTCGACCATCGAATGGAGGTTCGTGAGCGCCGTCTTTAGTGCCTTCTCGCTGCTGGCCGGACGTGGCTCTGGCATTCGCATTCGTACTCGACGGGGCCTGACAGACTTCATGCTGCCTTCGCTTCGAGGCATTAATATCAGACTCTTGAAAAATCCTGACTGGGGCGGGACCCAGGATAGATCAGGAGGAGGGATGTGGATGGATGGAGTAGGGAAAGGGTACTGGTGGGTAAAAGAATGGTCAAGCCAACTCACAGCCTCGTGCTTGTCGATATTGAACATCCGCTGAAAGTGTTGAGATATCGACGATCGGCGCCGCCGTCGATTCTGATCCTTTTCTTCCATTTTCATCGACACTTTCTTGATAATCAAGAAGCGGGTGGCGTGGGGTACGGGTATCGGATACTAGATGTTTTGCACGGGCCGGGAGCTGTATCGGAGGAGGAGAACCTCCAGCGACTCAAAAACAGGATGGGGAACAACTGTCAACTTAAGACTGGCGCAGAGCATAACCCAAGCTCACTGTCACAGCAAGCACTGAAGAATGATCAACCGGTGATCAATAACCATGATGAAGGATGCGTGGTTTCAGTAATAAAACTTGTTACTCAACCTGTCTCAAATTTAGCTGATGATGCATGTGTGTGTGAGAATATCCAGATTTGATTGGGCCATAAATGCTGCCTAAGGCAAGGAGATGTCGTTTGACGTGCTTACGTTTGGTCCTTTCTATATAAATCCAAGACTCCTAGAACATCTAAAGGAGATGGTAATGTCAAATCTACAGGGTGTTAAATTATTATATGCATAGTGTAACCACTATCTGCCATCATCCTGATCAAATTAGAGAAAATAGGCACACGAAGATAGAAGTATATTGGCCACAAGAGGTGATACCGTGGTAGTACTTCAGCATGAAACCACCACTTGGTTCAAACCTTGGCACTTACATACTAAAGTGGAAATTAAGGCAGGAATAGAAGAAACCATTATTGAGATGACAATATAGTAAGTCTATCTACAAAGTAGATATCTGGCTATATCTATCATCTGGGGTATAACAAACATGACATATGCTGATAGACTAAGGTAAGGGTACCTAGTAAGAAGTAAGTACCCCGCCAGTATGTTCCGTGGGCCAAGAAGGGTTGGCTGATGGTTGAATGGGGCCGCAGAAACCATGGCACCGATCAGTCATAACCGAATGGGACCAAGTTGCCAACTCTCTCTACGACATAACTCCAGATAACTCTGTATGCCCAGAACCTAGGTAGCTAGAGAGCAGAGTAACAAATCAGTCAGCTCATCACCTTCTATCTGTTGTCTTGAGACATAGCCACGCTTGGCAATCGATCAAGAAGATATAATATTTACTACCCATATCTTACTCACCACTCCAGCTACTTTCTGCCAGCAAGGATCAAGAGTAACGACTTCCTTTGTCTATTCAGATACCCCCGTTGAGATAGATATATACCGACGCCAGCAGGTGCTAGTTTACAGCCTGCTCGATATGCCTGATCGTTCTGACTTTCGAGGGCCACCACCAAGTTATCAGGCCTCCCAATCGTCATGGCACTCTGGGCAAGCGGAAACCGCTCCTCCTCCATACCACAACTGGCAGGAACTTGTACCTGATACGGCAACTCTACCTCCACCACCAGTGACCGGCTACTACGCCTCCAATGCTGGCAATGCATCTACAGATGACGCAGAGCGTGCCCATGATTTTTGTGACAGAGTTCCCTTATATCTGCCAGAGAAGCCTCCCACTGCTGCCTATAGCTGTGTACAGAGACATGATCTGCGCCCTGTGCAACCGCAGGAGTTTTATGGCAACCTTGGCACCACTCGTCCAGGATACTGGAATGGTTCAACGAGGGACAGAAACGGCGACTGTATCATAATAACAAGTCTACCGTTGTACTTTGCTTTTGAGGATTCTCCCTATGTCACTGAGGTGAGAAAGGCTGTATATTTTGAAGTCAAGCTGCTAGGCCTTCGTGCTGGACCAGGAACTGGATCTGCTGATGCAAGTGGATTTTCAATTGGGTTTGTTGCACAGCCGTATCCTACTTGGAGATCACCCGGCTGGGAGAGAGGAAGTCTCGGGGTATTCTCTGATGATGGGTGTCGATTTGTGAATGATTCATGGGGTGGGAAGGAATTCACGACTGGTTTTCATGTGGGCGAGACTGTTGGTCTGGGACTGAATATTAGCCTACCAGATTCTATGAATACTGCTTTGGGGATGCGGAAAAGGGTCTGCAGAGTCGAGGTCTTCTTTACTCGAAATGGACAGCGGGCCGGAGCCTGGGACCTCCACGAAGAGGTCGACCAGGAAGCTGGAGGCGTTGAGGGGCTAGAAGGAGACTATGACTTGTACGGTGCTATCGGGTTGTTCGGCGGAGTCAACTTTGAAGCCTGCTTTGATCCTGCGGGCTGGCTATGGAAGCCCTAGCTATATTTAAGATATGCCTTGCTGTCTTGCTTTTCTGTGGAGGGAATGCACTGAGAGCCAGTCACTTGCTAGTTGAGTACTCGAGTGGCCATGCAGATGGTCCGAACGGCTTATTGGTAGTCTCATATACCCTGTATATAAAACACCCCCATAAGACGGTAGCTCCAATCTTGATCACGTCTCATGCGCACTCTGAAATTCACTTTGATGCTGATACAGGACCGGCGAAGCTTTTTCAGCGACAATGATATGTATCCTTTCCAGATGTGGCGCAGCGAAAAGATCTACGTAGATCGAAGCAGGCGTACACGGGCATTTGTTGAAGAATCAGGTCCTGCTTTCTACATATCGGCCCCATGGACACTCACTCCGGGATTTGCTGTGCCGAGGACAGGGGCTTCTAGAAGACTTCGCGCAGGAAATGCTAGGATACTCCCTGCAGCATCTCACAGTTAGTGATTCGGGGGGAAGAATGTGTTACATCCCCGCCAACGTCTGATATGTATATGCTGGCAGCCTGGCAGGGCCTGAGCGAGACCAATGCGATCCGGACTCTGGGGCAAACTGCTTAGTGCGTCAATCCTTAAGGAGTAATACAGTACATACGTACCCGGGGGGATCATGCCGGCAGTACCTTATTTAGGCAGCTCACTTGGCTGGATATGCTATAGATAGCAGGGACTGATGTCATAGTATTACCCTCCCGTCCCCGTTTCGAAGGATTGTTCCCGGAAAGGAAACCTGCATGAGTGGCAGATTGTGGATGCATGACAAGAACACAAATTGAGCCTGGCACAGCGCAGAAGCTTCGATGCGAAGGACATTGTTCATGGTGAAGCTGGACTGCTGGAGAGTGCGAAATGCTAAGGCGGTTCCTCCGGCACTTACGCAATTTCATGGAGTAGGTGAATGCTTGTCGATCCCCATAGCTCAGGAATAGCAGGTGTCTAGACTTCAGATGTCCAGAATCCAGATGTTCCATGCCCTATGATCGTAGAGCCAAAATTTGTCTTTCCCATCACCTTCTTCACTGTACCTTTGTAGAAGCGGGTCATATGTCATGGTCGCTATTTCTATATCGTTATATATTCCCTCAAACCTCCACGTCTTGGTGCAGCTGGCTGGGCAGGAATGACATGTCTCGGTCAATACTGTGGCACTTTTTTTATGAGTGACTTGCTAACCTCAAAGGCTAAAGCACACATCGCCTTACACGATCATGCCTCAATTTAATCAAATCTCTGGTGGCAATGATAGAAACAAAACTCCTAACCATATCCTATTCTTATTGGGTTGTGATGTACCTGTATTGCAGGAACATTGTGGGGTGGCATTGACGGCCCACAAGATTGTAATATTTCCTGCTATTCTCACCAGAGTATTCTGTACTTTGCGGTGGTCCATCGGCCTGCTCCTCAGATGTCCAGGGAGTGCTTCAGCGCTGTCTCTGGTTGTTGGCCTCTCTATAAGAATTGCATGTTTCAATTTGAGATTCAATTTCGCATTTCAAGGAAGGGATCCTCTAGAAACTAGAAAGGCCCGATTCAACTAATTGTTACCTTTTACCTAAAGTCTGCTGCGGAGCAACTGCCTTGTAATGATTACTATCAATATTTGTATAGTTAGATGACGATAGACATGAACCATTATTTTCCAGCTATATGTAAGAAACAGTACTCTGTAAGTACGGAGCTACTCAACGAGACAGAGGAGAATATTGTCACTACATAGTAGTTAGTCCACTTGTACGTTAGTGAATGGAAGTGGTTAATGGCAGGTTGAGGCAAGCTAAACTGATAGCGGAGTTTGCCAATTGGCTAGGTGCATTGAGATGCAGTAGTCTATGTGCTCAAATAATTTGACCTCGTCAAACGTGCGGAAGAGAGAAGGGGGGCGGGGGGCGGCAAAAGAATATCCCTGTCATTCGAAAGACTAATGTCAGGTTGAGGGGACGGGTTGAAAGACCGCGGAGTGAGTGTACGAAGTACCTCACCAACCTCGTTTTCCCCGAAGCTGCATCTGAGAGGTGGCAGAACACGGAAAATTCAAACCTGAAGGGTTGCGGGCTCGCGGCAGTCCCGGAGTTTTGTGATAATATCTCTGAATTACAGGGGTAATAATTAGTTCTTCTGCTTCTTTGGCACAGAGTATGGGGTGATATAATCATTGCTTTTGATAATAAGCGAATGGGCACTCTGGACCTTTTCCGAATACATATGCACTTGTACTCTTGTGGATATGAATGTTGATAGAATCTGATTGTACCCAGGGATAATCCATACAATGATACCACGATGATGGTTTAATAATCAGTACTTACTAGGGCTATTTCTACTATTATCCTAACGCCTAAAGAGGGTCATCCCGACTTAGGTCCCTGTACTCCGTAATGCTCAATCAAACCCCTCTTGGCTTGGATTAGAAAGAAGACCTAGCTGTCACCAAAGAATTAAATGAATATGGTGCTGTTGTGAAAGGGATTGTTTTCAGATTTGGGTAGACTACATTTACCAATTTGAGTTACCTTCGAAGGTAAGCCGTCAATGCTCCCGACGTTCCGCTCAAGACCCAGTATTGTGTGATCGCGAAGCCATAGTACACATTTAATTTCGAGGGAAATCAACATCTGTAGCAACTAGCAAGCCCCGTCTGTATTTTGGCGCAGCGTAACTAGCGTCATATCACAGCGCGACCAACAGGCGGAATCTGATGTGGAAACTCCAAGGCGCTCCCATAGAATGATTATAGGTATCTATGAGCTTCAGAACAGTTGCACATTTCTCCTCCATGCCTTGTACCTAAGATAACGTGTGGGGTTCCTGGCAGCCACTCAGGATGTATCTGCAAGATGTAGATACACTTAATAACCTAGCGAAATAACACTTTGCAGTTCATACAGCCCACAGAGTACAGAATAGTGTCCTGAGAAGTTCTACCAACTGTCAAGATGGTCCTTATTTCTCGGGGATCGTTGTTTGCCAAATCCCACTCTTTTTTCCACATTCAGAAACTCCACCAGTAGTGGGTAGATAGATAGCCTACACTAGTACGGAGTGAGTACCTACGGAGTAGTACCTACACAGTACTTTATCTTTTCCCGCCTCAGGGCCCCCGGCCTCAATCATTTCTAATTGAGCATTCAGGAGTCTCAGGTCGATACTCTGTACGGAGTAGTCAGTCAACACACCAAAAGTCAGCATTCCCCACTACGATATGACAGGAAGAACAGCCCAGCCCAGCTAATTGTGTCGTTATGCTACCCTTAGGGGCTCTTTCCGGCTCACCTAGTACTACTAAGTAGCGATTAAGTCGCTTGTGTCACGGCCCATAGATGGGCCAAAGACCTCTATTCGCGGTATTCATTGGCATACTACTCAAATCTGCACCACCGTTGGTAACTCCGCTATAAGACTGCTTCGAGTGGTCAGTTCTAACGCCATTGTTGTCATTTGTCAAGGATTATTCAAGCCGTTTGATCCTGGACTGTCTAGAACAAAGAGGAGGAGATTACATTTTCCTGTTCCTGAAGTCGATTACTGCTGGCAGGATGGAGCGTATCTAGTGTTAAGGCATGTTTCCTTGACTGTTCAGTGGCATTTAATCATCCAACGAATGAGGACATACTCCATGATTGTCTTCAAACGCCCTGGTTCCGTACTGCCACCATCGAAGTAATGACCAGTTCCATCCTGATTTTCTGATCGACATTAGAAGCTGCATGTCATCTCTCCATACGGAGTAGTCCGCTCGCAGTTCCAGCTAGACAAGGCTAACGGCCAACGGGTAAAGGGCGAGTGGGCGACACACTGACAAAGTCTTTATCTTACCACCCGAAGGACCCAGACTTCGAGATGGACTGTGCACTGTGGGCTATGGAGTTGCTCAGCGACTACGGAGTACGGGCTACTCCGTTACATAGTTTGGAGATGCTTTTTTTAATCACAAGTGAGCTTCTTGTGTGTAAAGGATATTTCCTAGTGGCCTAGTGCTATTGCACTGTTAGTACGTTTTTTTTTTTTTTTTTTTTTTTTTTTTGGTGCTGAATTTTTACAGAGACACCGAATTATCATTGTTAATCTGGAATAATAATAACATAATTACAACCCCTGTAACTACTCCGTAGTTCCGTACCAGGAGTTCACTACTATTACTACTCTGTACTAGTTTGGAGTATCAAAGTGCAAATCGATCCTCGGCCATTCCCGGATGAGAGTGGACGTAGTGGGGAACTCAACACAGTCCCATTTGAAGTCCGTGCAGCCGAGATACGCGTCTGTTTCAGCCATGGAGTCCGGAGATATAAACACTATTGCAGACCAGCAGCCGGTGATCAATATCACACAGGTAAGCAGAAGTGGTAGGGATCTGTGCTTATCATGCAACCCCGACCATTTCGGGTTAAGGTCTGAGTGGTGGCTGCATTGCCAGTATCGATGCTAATACTGATGAGGAATTTTGGCTGTTCGGTTGTAGTCTGACCACAATCCGTTTTTTCTTGGCTGGAGTCTAGAGGTCCATTTTGTGACAATCCTGTACGGAGTAACTTGTTTGATTTCCAATCTGTATACAATATCAAATATCAACTAGGTACGTATCATAGAAGGCTGTGGCCGATGAAAACATGATCGACCCTGCTTTTTACTACTGCCAACTCATCTATCTATCTATAGTAAGATCATATTCTCAGGTCTAGAATCGTCTTTGACGACGCCTTCAATATTCAAATAGCATTCTCCCGCTGGTGTGGTTGCTTAATTGGTTTTTGAGCATGATGTTCTTCCTGAAAACGACTTTCATTGGCTTAAACAAAAATGTCCCAAGGCGGTTTCCATCTCTGTCCTTTCACGAAAGTCCCGTAATAATAACCATTTCCCGAGCACATCATGCGTTCGTCGGATCTCCCTTTTACTGATAATAATTCGGATTCTCCCTCCAGGGTCACAAAGTACCATGAGGATAAGTGGGTATCCTCTTAAGGCGACCTGCAGAGATGTCGTATCATCATCTGCAGTCACACTAATCCAAGCTCAGCCCTCAGCTTACTTTGTAGCTACAGTTGTCAGAATGAGGGAACCTTGGTCTTTGACTGTTATGTAAATCAGATATCTAAGACTCTGATAGAGAGCTTAGTCGGCTGCAGGTTTATGGACACTAGTACCAATTATATTTTACAAGGCATGTTGGACTGTTGGAGGGCGTGGTAATTTCACATGTCACTGTTGATACTAATTGAATAGAAGTCACCTATACGGCTACTAGGTAGTACCTAAGGTAAAGGCATCCATCTTGAAAAGGCTATTTCTATCCAAGACCATCTGTTTGTTTCGTCAGAGTGTCCATAGCCTTCTGAGTTTGGAGAATGCATATAATTGATCAGTAAGAAAACTGGAACTCTCTCCCTACCTTGCTGGGCTTATGTCTTGAAATTCACTCAAGGTGGTTGAGCGTGTCTAGGCATACTCCATGCAATCACGAGGACTGACTATGTTTTGATCGATGCGTTATTTTTTCCACTGTTTAACCGAGACATTATCTAGGTACGGAGTAGCCTAGGTATATGTTTCAACTATTTTAGTTCATCATTGCCGATTCCTCATACGAACATACGGGAAACATGACATATTTTAGGTTTGGCCAATCCAAAGTCACACCATCCATCTACCAACTACGGAGTACTACCTAAGATATCTGTTCGCCCAGGATCTTCTCCCCATTGTATCTGTACAATCCATCACTCCGTAGAGAGGATCGGGCTTCAGACCTTTTGATATATACTCCGTACACCTGAGGGGATATTCAAACTTCGACTATTTACACCATTACTACCGAGAGGTATTAGATGAGTTTTGACATCTAACCTAGGTCGAAGGTTTGGCCGTCTCTCATTGTTAGCTAACTATAACCGGAAGCCCGGCTGCGCCTAGCCTTTGACCCAACTTATGCATCCTTTGAGCTTCAGCCAACTACTAAAGCAGGTCTGTTTAGCCGTCCCCACGAGCTTGCGAGGCCAATAACAGGCTGGTCTGAGTTCCTATCTGATGGTTCAACACACCGGCCGCGAAGATGCTCAACCGTGCGAGCCTATTTTGCACTAATCATGTTCCTTAATAAGAAAGCGTGCTATGGAGACTGATAACTTGAATATCTTCGTGTCGAGCCTGTCAGGCCTGTCAAGGAGCCAACATCTGGGGAATGGCCTCGACTTCGTATTGCGTGCGCTGGGCTAGGATGAAAATCACAGACACACTTCTCCACTCAAGCTCCATGGCCCACAATCGCCTAGTAGGTATGTACTATGTAGTAGCCGAGCGACCGAGACAGCAGCACGAGTAAGTCAGCAAGTGGTGGTGGTGGCTGAAGGAGCATGATGTTGGGGATCGCCGCTAGGATGACCGTTGCCCCCTAGGCCTTGGCTGTCTACTATCTCTCTGTCTTAGATCTCTATGCCCCTAGGTAGAGTAATACAAAGCATCAGTTGTTGCAAATGAAAACTACGGCTGTGATCATTGCTATGCCTATTTCCTCAGCAGGATACAATCCATTACAGATATCATCCAGTATACCCTCAGTCCCTGTCTGATACGTAGACAATCCTATTTCCTCGCGGGTTCTGATTTGATAAAGCTTATGAGCAGGAAAACCTAGGCAAGTGTCAAGGTATGAGGCTTGGTGGCTCTCAAACCCTTGATTTCTGCAACGTCCCCCATTCTGGCCGAAAGCGATCCCATCGGCTGCAGGCTTTGTTTAAGTACTGGAGAAGTCTTAAAGTAGCTGAACGCCCAGACTCGGATGGAGTGGTTCTCAAGGCGATATTTCCGATCCTGGCTCTCTTTACTATGCAAGTTATGCGTATACTTCGACTTCAATAGTTAAGCTTTGCGAATCACAAGCATCTCCCCCCCCCCTTCTCTCTCTCTTGATGTCATTTCTCTGCTGCATCACCCGATTATGATTGGAATTTGGAGTCGGCTGTTTCCTTTGACTTGCACAGACTAATCTCTAAACTCTGATCCATAGAAGAGTCTGGTTTGCTGACATTGGTTATTGTACAAACCTAGCCAACTCCAAGGACAAGTGTCCATCTGCCAGATCCGATCGAATGATGCTTCCGTCAACTGAACTCAGCCTACGATATTGTGTCTAACATAGGTAATCATTCTTCTCGGAATCCACGAGTAGGTAACAAGTCTACTAGTAGGCATATTTCGGCTTGAGAAAGGGGGTTTTCTCTTTACTTTCTCTCTCTCTCTCTCTCTCTTTCTTTTACTCTCTACAATCGTACCCGTCGCGTCTTCTTTTCCTCCAAGCATGAGTGATTGTTCTCAACTGCCAATAATTGTTGTGTCGGTAACTTATTATAGACCAATCTCAGCTTATGATCTTCCTTATCATAAAAGACCATAGAGCCGGCAAGCTTCAGCTAAGGTACGCTAGACTAATTTCCTAAAGTGCATTACTCGTAACCATCATAACATACATACACTATCAGAGGTCTGTTCTTGAGCAGAAAAAAATAAGAGGAGAGAGTAAGGTGAGGGAAGTGAATGCCTGGCCTGCCTTGGTGATAAATGAACCCTCAGTAATACAATAGGAATAATATACGTACAAATGATAGGGGCGACCACTCCATCATAAGGTAAAATAAAAACACCCGTTCGCCGGCTGATCGGTGTATCGGCATCACTTGCTCATCGGGGCTGCTGAATGAAGCCGCTGCCAATGCAATGGCGATTTGTAAGGGATTTTATCCGTATAAATATAGATATGAACACTACATACACTATCCTACAGCTACGGGCGGAGGCTCCGAAGGTGGTAGAGACTGGATCAAAGTACAAAGTACTATGTATTATCGGTTCTTTGATATACATACATGGATTATGGATGCATGCCGCCCATGCTGGGATTCCTGATCTCGGGAATTATTTCATATCCTTTAGAGTACGTATCTACCTCCGTATTCCGGCTTAGGTTCGTGTCTACTTAGCCTCTCGCGGTTCGAACTCGTTGTTGATTTAGTATTATTCCAATACGGGAAGTAGTTGTGTAGTGGAGGCGGTATTTACTCCGTAGTAATTTAGTAGAATAATGATAATACCTAACAATCATAAAGAAAAATAAGAAAAATATTCAATACCTATCTATTATCTACTACGAAATTTCTAAGCTAGCTATCCATACTCCGTACTAAGGTAGTAGTACTAACTACTAACTACTAACTAGCCTAAGGTAGTCAGTCCCCCCACCCCTACTACTGTCTACTACAGACTACAGTCTACGACTAAGTCTACGAGACGACGACTAAACCAAGCCCATCCACCACTAACAATGCCTTCTCCACTGTCTGGTCCATGTCGGCTGCACTGATGCACTCGCTGCTAGCTGCATGGACCGCCGCCAATCCTTTCTCCACCTTCAACTATCCTCCATCAGTCCCATCTAGATCCAGGGTCTCTGACGCACGAGGCAAAAATACACCTGCATGACACTCAAAAAGACAAAGGACCCAGAGCCTACGAATAATCCGTGATTCTAATTTGCTCGTCGTTGGTTTGGTTATTTACTATTTCCGTTGTGGATTTGGCTCCTTAAGAGTGTACAGTAGTGGTGACTGACTCTATCAAGTATTATTTATCAGGATGATGGACTTTGAACATGTGCCTCTCCTGCCACGGACTTCTGCAACAAATTATAATCGCCAATGTTGCATGTCTGGCACTTATTTTATCTGCTCTCAGAGGCCAATTAAGCTGGAACATTTCTCCTTTCACTTCCTGACAAGAGCATCTTTTGTCGCAGAGGCATTCGTTTAACTTGCATCTTTCTCTCTTTCTCGCTCTATCGTTCTCTCACTCTAGTTTCTCCCCTTTCTTCTGGATATATCAGAAGGCGAGTCATTCGTTTTCTACTGTTTATTCTTTGCCTCCACACTGGCTTGTTTCTTCTCGCCGGTAGCTGTTCTGAAGAAGTGGTGGCAAAAGTGGGAAAAAAAGGCCATAAGTTGAGATAGAACCCGCTATCCCACCCTTGTACTCCTGCGCCCAACTCGTCGCGAACTTCTTTGTTGGCCCCATTGAGAGACTATCCTCACGAGAAAGGATAGGTGGTTTTTCTTGATTTCAAAAAAAATAAGAGGACAAAAGACTGGCGTACGCTCAATTGACCCCAGCAAAGGAAGGGCCCATTGTGTTATTACCAACATGGCTTTCCCATTCATGCGAGCATTTGTCGCCCTCTTGTAAGTACATACGCAACTTCTCGGCCGTGAGAAGACTTTCAAGGAGAAGTTTTCGAGTCACTGACCGTCTGTGCTTTCTCAGCTTCTATCGCTACCTTCGTCTGGTTGTCAATCTCTTCTCTTTCTGGACATTCAAGCCCATTCCGCCCCCGGAAAACCCGAAATTGACAGCGCAAGATGTGACGGTGATTCTACCAACTCTAGAAGGCTGCGGAGACGAATTGGTTGAAACTATCAGAACGATCCTCGACAATCACCCTTATGAGCTTCTTTTGGTGACCATTGAAGCAAACCGGAAGAAGGCTGAAGATATGCTGAAGCTAATGCCAGCTTCGAAGTCGAGAATCCGTCTTTTCACGGTGACTCATCCAAATAAACGTCGCCAAATGACAAGAGCCATTCCTGAGGTTCGCACAGCTATCACCGTCTTTGCTGATGATGATGTGAGCTGGCCACGCACAGTGCTGCCCTGGATCCTTGCACCTTTCGAGAAAGATGATCGATACGGGGGAGTAGTTACCTGTCAGCGATTGCGTCGCGCTGTTGCACCGACTTTTTCCCGGCGCATCTGGGGCTTTCTGGGAGCTCTTTACCTGGAGCGTAGAAACTTCGACTGCGCAGCTACCACGCACGTGGACGGTGGATTACCTTGTATGTCGGGTAGGACAGTGGCATATAAAACCCACATTCTCCAAGATGAAGGTTTCACATATGCCTTTACAAACGAAGAGTGGTGGTTTAGAAGATACCAGTTGAATGCAGATGATGATAACTTTATCACGCGTTGGATGGTATCGCACGGCTGGGAGACCTACATGCAGTACCATCCTGAAGCTGAAGTCTTGACGACTTTGGAAGACAATCCCAAATTCCTGAAGCAATGCGCGCGGTGGTCCAGAAGCAACTGGAGAAGCAATCTCACTAGTATGTTTCATGAGAAGCACATCTGGTAGTAAGTCTTGCCCTTTTCCTCCCCCCGGCCCGCCCAAAATCCCCCCTAAGGAGAAAGAAAGAAAAACCAAGTGCTCCATTCAAAGCTGCAAGCTGACAGTTCGGGTCTCCATCTCTAGCCGTCAGCCATGGAGTGCATACGCAGTCCACCTGACAACTCTGTCTCCCCCAGCACTTTTGGGTGACTTGTTGCTTCTGTTCCTCTGCCACAAAGCCACTGTTACATGGGAAGGGAATTCGCATGCTCTGGCTATGCAAGCCCTTGGTTTGTGGATGCTCATTAGCAAATTTATCAAACTCATAGGACATTACGTCCGATATCCAGTGGATATGTTGCTTTTTCCTGTTTCCATCCTTTTTGGTTATTTCCACGGTGGAATCAAAATGTACGCGGTGCTAACTCTGAATGTGGTAAGTTGCGTATTTCTGAAAGTTTCCCACCAAGCGCATGTGCACTATGCGCTACTGCACTGTCAACTCCCAAACCTGCCTGCCTGCCTGTCTTGTTCTCGAGAAGTCATCGAGGAATGGATAGTGTTCCCTTCTTTTCCTATCTTATTATCGTGTTTTTCCATTTCCGCCATCCCCACTTGCGACTTGGATCTATACTTGCCATGGTCGTTGGGCCTTGGTAACTCGCACCAGCGAAGAAGGACACTTCATATAGTTGATCTTCAACGTCTCCGAGTCTTCAGGGCTTGATGCCACCTTCCATTTCTAAAGTTTTCTCTCAGCTTTTGAATTATTGCAGTTTCTATTCGACAAGCTTCCCCAATTTTGCTAAATTACCACACCAATTGAACACTTCGCTGACTGGCGCCCTTTATCACAGACCACATGGGGCAGTAGAGATGGTGCCGATGATTATGACGCAGAGCGCATGAAGCGGCGAACAGATATTGATCACATGAAGCGACCCTATTACCCAAATTTCATAACTCAATGATGATTCTGTGTGCTCCCAGCGCTCAGTCACTTTATCGGTCGCGTGCCTCACCCCTCCACCTCCTCAACACGGCGCGAATACGCAGGTCTGGTACAAGATAGTAAAGAAGAGAAAACATAACAACTTCCCTTGTGGACCCCTCATTCCATGCGTTTTATATCATGGGATGCCGATGAGACTTTCTAGATCAATCTTAACGACCAGACCACAGTGACTGCTGAAGTGATATGGACATCGATTGTTACAATATGCTTCTTGATTTCTTTTCTTCCTTTCCGATCTACTTTGACTCCCTCCCTAGGGATGATACTTACGCTGATGACGAAATGCCTTGATGATTCCACATTTAACTCGAAAAATCGGACTAAATGGAGAGATTTTGAGCTCGCCATGCGGGGGATTTTCGGTCGACCATAATTGCATTGGTCTCTTCTCCTCCTTCGCCTTCTTCTCTGTTGTTGCTCCTCCATTGTGCCTTTTTTCCACCAATTCAAACCGTTGAGCAAATGAATGGCTCAACATCCACAGCAGTCGGGTCAACAGAACCGGTTCAGTAAACACATTTCTTTTTTTCAAAACTGCACGTTTCAGTGACTCGTTTTGACATCAAAATGTTATATTCAGAATCCTTTGTGTAACTTATCACAAAAGCGTGGGCGGGCTTTTTGGTTGCTTTTTTCTTCTCTTCATTGCTGCTGTTGCATGGTCCCTGTGCCATTTCCTTCTATTGTTCTTTGAAATTGCAGTTGGGAGGCTTTCTGAAATTCTTTTTGTGTCTGTCCTATGCCAATGTCTAAAATGATTGGTACTGGAGTGCTTGATGGTCATTTAATATACAATAATACTTACCCAAGATCTGAAGACTGTTTCGATATAGTCCTAGCGATGGTCAGGGATTTAATTAGGTAGCCACAGGTACTTATTATTGGTAGCTGTAACCCTTTTGTCTGACAAAAACATGGCCATCTTCTTGTTGTTGTTGTTGCTGCTGCTGATGCAGTACTGTATAGTCCAGAGTTGGTCTGGATTGACCCACCGATTGTTTATCTAAGAATGACGGGAAGGGAGATGGGACTGGGAGAGTACCGAAGGAAAAAGCAAAGACATCCCGTTCTGCTTTATCTACAGGGAGAACTGCTTGATATATCAATCAATACAAAAGGCCTTTATTCGCGCTTATTTACCCTAGAGCCTGTCTCAGAAGAAGTTATTTTTTTTATTGCGAATCTCCCAACCTTCCGAATTTTCTGCAACCGCTTGTCAAGCGGCCATGCCGATTCTCCCTCGAAACTCCACGGCTCTCTGCCGGCTCGTTTTATCTGCTAACCAACGCGCTGCCACACCATTTCGGCATTCTTTCCATTCGGTCTCATGGAGGGCTGCAGTTGCGCATCCTATTACCGCTCACGGTCCGCCTCCGAAAGCTCCTTCGCCAGCTCCAGAGTTCGGCGACCTATCTGAATCGCGCAGAGAAGGCAACCAGCATGCAAGCGAACAACCAGCGCAACCGTCAAAGCCTTCATCAGTCCTTAAGAAGCGCTTCTGGAAGAATGTTGACGTGAAGAGGAAGCCAGGTATCCAATTGTTTGCTTTCTTCCTCCCATAATCGCATCTCTTGTTAGGCTGAGCTGACATATTATTCTCTGCAATCGTAACTAGATGGAGATTACGAGGTCATGCTGGACACTCGGCCGATCCGGACCCCCGCCAAAGACATCCTGTCTATCCCATCGACTAAGCCTCAGCTTGCAAATGCGATAGCCCTGGAGTGGGACGTTATGACATCTGCACAGCAAGCTTTGAAGAATCATCTGATTCCACTGACATCTCTGGCTTCGCGGGCTGCCGACATTGCACAAGAAGATGCACGGGGGATAACTACTTCAAGAGACCAAATTGTCAACGTTGCGATGCGCTATTTGAGCACCGATACTCTTCTCTGCTGGGTACCCGAAGAGCAGCAATACGCCGTTGAAGAGACTGATAAAAATGGCGAGAGAGCTGAGAGCCTCCGCGAGGCTCAGGTGAGGGTTGCGAAGGATATCATCGCGTTTCTGAGCACGAAGGTGTGGCCTGGTATCGACATTGTTCCTATCCTCGACACGAATAGCATTCTACCAGTATCTCAACCTCAGGCTACGAAGGACATCATTAAACAATGGGTCGCATCCCTGCATGCATACGATCTAGCGGCCTTGGAGAGAGGGATCGTTGCGAGCAAGAGCTTGCTGGTTGCCGTCCGACTGGTTTTTGAGTGGAGCGAGAATTTCCGGCAACTCCAACGGCCGGGGCAAAAAAGGTTTGGGATTGAAGAGGCCGCAGAGGCTTCCAGCCTGGAGGTGAAGTGGCAAACTGATATTTGGGGTGAAGTCGAGGATACTCACGATGTCAACAAGGAGGATCTTAAGCGACAGCTTGGAAGTGTCATTGTTGTGGTCAGTGGAGAGACTCGATGATCGACCATTCCCAGCGTCTTCTGTATTTCTACAGGGGAAAAAGGGACATGGATACCTTGCCACATCCGCGTTATATTTGTCATTTAAGGTTAACTTGTATATACATATAATATCAGAAAAGATTACTGTACCATACTCTGTTGTATTGAAACAAGCCTTTGGTGTGGTACATTGTTATGTACCGTCCAGTTGTTTTTCTAAATATCCATAACTGGGCTAGGTTCTATATTCTCTAACTGAGAAGTACCTTACTACCTGATACTATATCCATCAGTCCTTCAATCTTCCCGGTGATCTTCTCCATCATGGCTACTCCATCGTACATGTGAATCATGCCTCTCGGGTCGCCAAGGCGCGGAACAAAGCGTTGCGGAGCGTGGATGATCATCGTAAGGCCCTCCCCCCTTCGAGGTCAACTGTGTTTATTATTTATATAGAAGGGAAAACACATCCTCCCCTCCCCTCCCCCCCTTGCTGATCAGCCCACTTGGCGCTACATTTGTTCCTGCACAGAATATAATATATCATTTTCATTATTTATCCGAGTCGTTTTTTGATGCTGTCTATAAAAATCTACGGATCTCGATTGTTTAATTGCTGTGAAACGTGTTAGGTGGCGAGTGAGAGATGGCGGAAAGGGGCGAAGGGTGAGTTCTGATATCCGGGGTCTTCCATGGATCGTGGCCGGCTCACCAGCATGGGTGACGCCTTCTTCTTTTCCCTTGCTCAGGCTTCCAGACTATAGAGCAGAAAGACATGTAGCTTGAAATGCGCCTTCGCGATGGCAACTTGACTCCTCTGCTCTTCTGTTCCTGAGCTCTGCTCTCTATTATCCTTGGTTGCGTCACCGCATGCAAGAAGTTTTGCAGCTTGGTCACTGTACTGACCCTATCCTGGCCTTAGGCACAAACGGTCCAAGAGTGCACTTGCGCTTGCGATTCTGCACCGCGATAAACCAAAGGATAACAACGACGATCTAATCGACCACGAAAGCGGCCCAATCGAATCTGGGGTATCTTCCCCGGTCAATAGCAGCTCATCTTTCTCGCTGCTGTCGCACAAGACTAGCAGCCGCCGAAGGTCGCGCCAGGAGATGGCTTCACCCCCGATGTCTTCGGAGACGACCCTAGAGCCGGTTAATTCCAACCAGAGCGCAGACAATATCGAGAAAATGCCATCTATAGCGCATACAGAACCAGGGAGCTTAACACTCGAACAGTCTGTGCGGACATTCCGCCTCTTTGAGATCCTGCGAAGTGGGGACACGAATGCGATATCAAAGGCGATTAAAGACACAAAAGAACCGGAGAGCCCAAGCGCGCTCACTGGGACGACAATCTTGCACCTGGCAATTCAATGTGCGGAGCCGCAAGTAGTTGAATTTGTTCTATCCCTTGGGGATGATCTCGATATCAACGTCCGCGATCGCGATGGTAACACACCCCTTCACCTTGCGGCTCAGCTGGGGAGAGGCCCATTAGTCCGCGAATTATTGAATCGACCCACCGTCAATGATTCAATAGTGAATTATCGTGGTCAGACCGCTCTTGACGTCGCGCGTAATCCCGATATCTTCCAACAGCTCCAGCTCGCACGATCTCTCTTCATCGACAGCAAGACTCGTGAGATACAATCGCTTGTGGCCCAAGGGGACTACGACAAGCTCGAAAAGGTGTTAGAGGAACCACGTGTTGAAGGAATTCTGGATGTGAACAGTTTGGACCTGGTTACTGATCCAATTACTGCACAAGCCGGAGGTACATTGCTACATGAGGGAGCTCGGAAAAAGGATACAAAGCTCATACAGATTCTACTGATGCACGGCGCCGATCCCTTTCGGCGTGATAAGAAAGGCAAACTGCCCCAGGATGTCACAAAAGATGACAGGACGCGAGCCATTGTAAAGAAATCCCCTGCAGCAGTAATTGCGCAGCGCGGTATCCAGGAGAAAGCCATCCTTGGGAACAGCTCAGCTCAGGGCGTTTCGGGACGTCCAGGATCAGGCGAAGCGCCGCTCGTGGGTAAAGATGCCCGTGAGATGAGAGGATATCTGAAGAAGTGGACGAACTATACCAGTGGCTACAAGCTGCGGTGGTTCGTACTTGAAGATGGCGTTCTGAGCTATTATAAACATCAAGGTAAGTGTCCCACAACTCTTGTTATCCAAGGATCCCCGAAGATTGACCTGTCTTTAGACGATGCTGGCTCTGCCTGTCGTGGGGCAATCAATATGAAAATAGCTAGGCTCAACATGGATGCTCAGGATAAGACGCGATTCGAGATCCATGGAAAGTCTTCTGTCAAGTACCACCTCAAGGCAAACCATGTTGTAGAAGCCAAACGTTGGTTTTGGACTTTGAACAATGCCATCCAATGGGCTAAGGATGAAGCGAAGGAGGAGCAGCGACGCCAAACACAACAAGCTGAGGCACTTCGCCAGGCAAAGATCGATCAGATTGAAGGCCGTACTCCATCAGAGTGTCCCTCTGAATCGGCGAACCTTGCCGCCAAATCGAATGGAAAGGGACTTGCTCCTCCCTCTCTTGGTGTACCAAGTAGTAGTGGTCACAGACTCAGCACGCATGCCTCGCGCACAACCCTTGACAGCACTCCTGCAGACGAAGACGGCTCATTATACGGCTCGTACGACCATAGTTTTCTGCAGAACGAAGTGAATCGAGCAGTCAGTCATGTGACCAGCGGTCCCGATATCGAGGGGGATGATGACGACTATGGCGATGACGCGTCTAGTCGTGAATTAAGTCCTTCCGACAAGGATGCGTTGAATATCACTGCGCAGTCAGCGAAACTGCAGCTGGAGATTCTCGCCAATGTTGCGTCTGCGCTGCAAGCCGAGAAATCGAAAACTCCGGACATGCCAATTTCGGATCCTGCTGTTGGCCAGGCCCTTGTTGCTTACGAGGGAGCTGTGAGCAGCTTACAAGGATTGGTGCAGAATCTTCTCAAAATCTCGCGGGATCGCGACTCATACTGGCAATATCGGCTGAACCGAGAGGCCCATCTTCGCAAAATGTGGGAGGAAAGCATGGCACGAATTGCACAGGAGCATGAAGAGTTGCAGTCGAAGATGGGAGAATCCGAAGAGAAGCGGAAACGCACCAAGAGAGCGCTCAAAGAGGCCCTTGAAAGTGCATCTGCACACACCAGTCGCCCCATCAGCCAAGTCCCTTCTCACATACAAGTCTCTGGGGAGGAAAACCGTACCGTCACTGAAGGAGATGGGCTGGAGAAGCAAGCCACTGGAGTCGTTGAAGACACGCAAAATCAGGAGGACCGAGGGATCAAAAGGCCTTCCCTGCAACGCAAGAAATCGGCTCTTTCCCAGATCGACAGTCTCTACGACTCTGATTCAGAAGACGACGATGATGAGTTCTTTGATGCAATCGACGCAGGTGAGATAAAAGTGGAAGACATGACAATCTCGAAAGTCAAGGATGAAGAAGAAGGGCTCGAGGTTGAAGGTACTGAACTCCGAGCCGTGAGGCGCTCCGACATAGTTCCCTCGTTTAAGGGATACGAAGATCCTATCAGGACGAGACTTACGATGGATAATGACAATAGGCCTAAGATCGGGTTGTGGGTAAGTGATTGCTGTTTCCCTCGCCAGACTCTTTAAAGAAAGGAAAAATGTTCTAAGATGATACTCCAGGGAATCTTGAAATCGATGATCGGCAAAGACATGACCAAGATGACGCTCCCGGTCTCCTTCAACGAACCAACGTCCTTGCTTCAGCGAGTAGCTGAAGACTTGGAGTATGCCGACCTCCTAGACATCGCGGCTGACCGATCTGACTCAATGGAGCGCTTGGTATATGTTGCTGCATATGCAGCAAGCGAATACGCATCAACCATTGGTCGTGTGGCGAAGCCTTTCAATCCTCTTCTTGGGGAAACATTTGAATATGCTAGACCCGACAAGGGCTATCGTTTTTTTATTGAGCAGGTTAGCCATCATCCACCGATTGGCGCAGCATGGGCGGAATCACCGAAATGGGATTATTGGGTAAGCAGCGAAACATCCCCTTCCACATAAAATTATTCCTGGCGTCTAACATGTTCAAAATAGGGAGAATCTGCTTTGAAGTCGAAATTCTACGGGAAATCATTTGACATTAATCTTCTTGGAACCTGGTTTTTGAAACTCCGTCCGGCGTCTGGCGGGGAGGAGCTCTACACGTGGAAGAAGGTCACCTCATCTGTTATTGGAATCATCACCGGTAATCCAACTGTTGATAACTATGGATTGATGGAGATCAAGAATTGGACTACTGGCGAGGTCTGTTATCTGGATTTCAAGCCCAGAGGCTGGAAGGCCTCTTCTGCTTACCAGGTGACTGGCAAAGTGGTCGATCAGGACGGAACACCAAGATGGAGTATCGGTGGACGCTGGAATGACAAGATCTACGCTCGCCATACCCCTGGCTTCGAGGCACAAGTGTCTGGTCAAGACCCTGAGTCGGCCAAAACCTTCCTGGTGTGGCAAAGCCACCCTCGACCGAGCGGGATTCCCTTCAATCTGACACCGTTTGTGATCACGCTCAATGCTCTTCCTGAAAGCCTGAAGGAACATCTTCCGCCAACTGATACACGACTTCGTCCGGACCAACGTGCAATGGAAAATGGGGAATATGACCTTGCTGCTAATGAGAAACATCGCGTCGAGGAAAAGCAACGAGCGAAGCGTCGGGAACGAGAAACGAAGGGAGAGGAGTATCAACCTCAATGGTTTACCAGGGCCAAGTGTCCCATCACCGGGGAGGAATATTGGTCGCACAATGGGAAGTACTGGGAGTCCAGGGAGAAGGGCGATTGGAGCATCAGTGAAGACATCTTCTGAAGCTGATCAGAGCTCAGACAGCCATAACCCTTGTTATACACATTCTTGTCGCAAGTCGCAGGAACAGGCCCTTCGTGTGTGCATCGGCTATGGCTATACCTTGATCAAGCGTTGTAATGTTCGAGTATATCATATCCTTATTGGTTTATTGGTCGAATAGAAATTATAGAAGATTCATTTCATATATTAGAATTCCACGAAGTGACGCTCGTGACATTTAGGTAATCAGATGGTTCAGTACCTTGGCATTTCTATATAAGGACTATAATACAATGTTGATGAGAATTCCCCGGATCACGTGGTGCAGCGGCATTCTCGGCGGCCAGAAATCATAGCTTCCAAGACAGTTGTCCTTGACTCCCCGCTGCATCGCTCCACGACCGTCAAAATGCCAGGCGAATATACGTGCGGGCGTTGCCTGCAGGTAATTCAGCGAAGGGTCACCCTTCGACGTTCAACGATCCGCCTGCAGCATGTGCCCAACTCGCAGCGGATAGGCGACTCTTCCGCATTTCTGACAAGAAGGTTCAGCTCACAGAGCAATGGACGCTTCACATCCGGATCTGCCCAAGGGCAATTGAAACGGGCATCATTGCCTGCCTCTTCGTCTGTGTTCACTGTATCCCAAACAGCGAAGCCATTGGTGCACCGAGCCTCGTCTACCTCAACCCAAGCGCAGGAGACCCGAGCTTTGCTCAAACCAAACAACCTCTTCCACCCTTTCTCGAAGTCTCCTGCACCTGCTATCCGACAGCGCGCTGCATTTATCAAACAGAATGCCTTTTGCCCGCATCCCAGTCATCAGCAGACCCGCTCACCGGTCTCTCCTCACGACCCCGAGTCGCGCAAGAGCCAACAAGGCACTCTTCCCCCAGCACACTCGCATTTCGAATGCCCCGACTGCGGCGTTCCGATCTATTGTTCTGAGGGACACTGGATGGATGACTTTGAGGCCCATCTGGAAATCTGTGATACAATTAAGCAGATCAACGAGGACGATCACGATCTCCATTCCGGTCGATTCTTCCCGGAATTCAGCTATCCAGGTGTGCAGGATGACAATTTTGTCATCAATATGACCAACTGGGACACTTTCCTCTATACGCGGGAGTTCGATGCGATCAATGACGATCGGAGCATGCGACAAGTGACCAGAATGCTTACATACCCGATGACGATCGCGAGTGTATTGCATGAGCTGAGCCCTTATAGCGTTCGTACTGGCGGCAGGCTCACGACTGAAGGACTCAAGAGCATCAGTGGTAGGTTTTCCCTTCTAGCGCCCAACAAGTCTAATGTATCACATAACTGACGCAGTTCTTTCTTAGCTCTCCGTTACACTATGCATCCTCCCAGGACTGGAGAGGGTGTCGATATCCAGGGCCTGCGCCTGAAAGCCCCCCCTGTTCGGATATTCATTCTTGGTGCCCGCGCCGAGTCCTCGCTGCCTCGTGACGTCTGGTTGCAGCTGAGCTATATCTTCCCACGTTCTCTGATTCACCTGATCTTCATTGGTCCCGAGAGTATGGCCAACCGAGACGCCGAGTTCCCTCTTCCAGAACGGACACCGGAGAATCCTTTCGGAGGCATTGTGGAGGATCGGCTTGGTGGGCAATTCAAGATCACGACTTATGTCGACTACTTCCATACGATGTACAAGGCACAGTACTTCCAGCCTTTTGATCCTTACCTGGACTGCTTCATGCTTTTCCATCCTGGCCTGGGCCATCCTGCCAGCTCTCATGAATGGGAAGAAACGCTACCACAACTTCTGGAGACCAAAGTCCCCATCATCACCACAGGCTACACCCAGTGGGACATGGAGAGAGATATTAACTGGGTCCGTGAGAAGTGCGCTGGCGAGTTCGACATCTTGCTGGAACCCGGAGAGAACATCTTCCGCAGTCTGCGTTGGGACCTGAACGATCTGGATCCCCATGATGTCTCCTGTGGGAACTGGGGTGTGTGGGCTTTCAGAGGGAAACGGTACGTGATCACTATCCCAAGCTCAACTGCATGTCATGGTGTAATAGCTAACATCCTTGCTCCCAGGTACGAGGCTATCCACAAGGACTCTTAACAACATTATCCCTCCACGCGATGTCTGGATGTCTTTGTTGTATATTTGTATAGATTGTGACATTAATTTCCAACTTCTCCCCTTTCATTACCCCTGCTCGTCTCCTATTCTTTCCTTTGTATAATGCAATGTAGATATCCAGCCCTCGCGGTCTTCGGCTGGTACTCCTTGATTCTCTACAAAGTACAATGCCTTCGCAAGTACTGGTATGTAGACAAGATACGGAATTAAGAGTTTAACCAGCACATCTGACTACAAGCCCTGTTGCCTTCTACTCTCGAAATAAGCGGGTATCGCGGCTGAACTCGTCGAACACATATATCATTACAGGCGCGAAGAGAGTAAAAAAAAGAAAAAGGGCAGGGAGCAGAGACCGCCCTTGAGCAGCAAAAAAAAAATTAAGGGTATAGGTGGACATGAAAATAGTTACGTCAAGTCAGGTCGGATGGCCGAGAATGGATGAATGGTAAAACAACCAACCACGTTCATGAACGCCTTAGATCGATTCCCATATAAACCAATGAGTCTGCGCGATGGCGCCGAGCGTGTACATGAATGAGGGCTGCAATGAAGAAAGAAGCAAAGAGAATAGTGGTTAAAGGAACAAAAACCTGTAATGTTCGTGGGCGAATCCTCCCGCCACCCCCAGTTGTCTTGGAGTTGACATTGATGCAACGAGCAAGGACGGCTTCCCTCCGCACCTCAGCAGAAGCAGCGCACGGTGACAATTGTGTGTAGGAGCGAAACAAGTAAGAGGACCTCGTGTTCTGGTTTGCATGGCGCACGCCCAATTTGAAAGACGTCCACTTTAGAGCGCGACCAGACCCGCAACGGCCATGACCCCGGCAGCCAGAGCACCAGAGAAGTGGACCGAGGAAGCGGCGCCAGTCTGAACTAGTAGCGACGAGGGCTGGGAGGCAGCACCGGTCTGGGCAGGGGCGCTGATGGTGGCTGGGACACTCATCTTGATGGTCGAGCTGGTGGAGTTCCAGCGGCCAGGGCCAGGGACGTAGGAGGGTCTGACGGAGTGGCTGCTGGGAGTCGCGATGATAGGGGTGCTGGTCGCCGATGGGATCAAGGTCGACGACGGCGTGGGAGTTGAGTCGCCGACGCTCATCATCTGGACGGTGATGGTCTTGGGGGCCCCTTCGGCTTGCTCCGCAGCGAATGCGAAGGGCGCGAAAGCCGCGGCAGTAACCAGAAGAGCCTTGGTGAAATGCATTTTCTTTCTTGGTAGATATTCGGTAGATCAATGGATATCAATGGAATTTTCTTATATGGTAATTGGCGTCGTCGCGCTGGTGTATTGCGATGTTCAGACTGTGTTTGAGATGTTGAGATTTTTGGTATAATAATTGGCTTGTTGTTCTTCCTTTGATGTATGTCGTTGTTGTCTTTTTTTTTTTTTTTTTAAATTTCCGTTGGGAATCTCTGGAGCGAGAGTAGTAAAGAATGAATGGAGCTGGGAACGAGTGACAGCTCTGGTGTATGAGGAATGAAAGAATGGACGATGCCTCGAGGCAGTCAAGAGATACAGTCAGTTTATAGATAGGAGTTTCACCATAAACAGAGCCGAACGGCAGAAAAGGATCATAATAAGCGCAACGGGAAAAGGGGCCGAACGCCAACAACGAACGGCGCCAGAGCCCGCACTAAGAGCAAGTCTTTTCGAGTTTAATTATCGAAGGCTGAAGGATCAGCGAATCAGCCAATTGAGCAGCAACCCGTAGGCGCTGCTTGGCCCGAAGTTTGGATTTGGACCATCATACAAAGCTCCCTAGTGGATTTGGACGATAATTGCAAGGTGTCGACTGCTGGATTCTACTACGAAGACGAGATGCACGAACAGTAATACGCTTTCAAATTCACAAGATCCCGTAGCTAGTTGGATAGATAGTTCAAGCTTGTTGTGTATCTATCCCTCTAGTAAGTACTCTAATGCTGAGTGAGGGACGAGATATGCACATGCACGGCTAGTTCGGCTTTATGGAGTAGTTTCACGCTCATAGTTGCAGCTGCCAGCAGCTCAGGAGTCAGGACCCTCAGGTCGGGAAATGAGGAAATGAGAAAACCCGTGGGAGGGACCGTCGATCATGTTATCTGGAGGAAAGGCTAATGGATTATGGAATAGCGCAGTGCAGGCTCTGCGCCGAACCAAAAATCCCTGGCAGCAATTTGAGGATCACTGGAAGAAAGCCTACCGCGGCTGGTTATGACATCGAACGATCAGGAATCTCATTCTCGACGACGGGAATGAGGATAGTTAGTAAATATGGATGGTAATTGAGTGTAATTAATGGTGGTTGAATGGATTAATCACTATCCAAGTCTCGTTCGGCTGGTGACCATAGCGTGGGGAAAAGGGGGATGTCAATCTAGTCAATACTCAACAGTCTGTAGTGGTCCAGAGTTCAGAGTCCAGACAGAAGCCCACATACTAAACGTAAAGCTGTTCTGTACGCGCTTATCAGTCCCAGTCTTCAGTGTTGGATGCTCAGGCCCCAAGTAGTGAGAGAAGAGTGGTTAGAATTGTGTTGGCCCAAGCGTGCAAACACAGAAGAAGAGTCTATTTTTCATCTTAGAAAATTCACACAAAGTCACCGTTTAAAGTGGAGTAGCTCCAGGATCGGGCCAACACCAATGACAACTCAATAAAATAAGAAACTTTGAGAATGTATTTCGGCTTGTTGGTTGCAAATAGGAGGAGCCAAACTCAGTTTCTTCCGAGATGAGTGCAGTTAAGACAGTCTGATATCACGGGACTTGACAATTCAATTATGATTGAAAGTGTACAGCTGGGGATGGGAAAGAGTAGAATCATGTAATGGTCGTATTATCTATAATACACAAGAAAACTAATAATCCATGCCAAGTTATCGTACAGCCTGAGCGTACTCAAGCAAAAGTCGTATAAGAGGGATCATAGGGGGCCGAAGTCATATCATGATCGTAAGAAGCGAAAGACAGAAAACACGCAGCAAGATTCACCTTCCAACGCCAGGTAGGGTATAAATGCTCTCGTGTTGATCAATGAAAATACCACCCAAAAAAAGCACAACAGCAAGGTAGGAGGGATCACATACTCTTGAGAACCCGTGGATATCCACAGATTCCCAGAATGTGTAAGGTTCAAAGCAAGGGAGCACAAGCCGAAAACAAAGAGTGATTAATGCGTTGATATAGGTTAGAGTAACGAGCAGCCTTTGAGCCGGTCTTTTATGAGTAGTCTGGCCATAGAAGCCTCATCACAACGCCCAGACGGTGCTGATCACTAGAGCGAGCATCGCCCAGTATCCGCTGAGTTCCAGAAGGGCAGCACCGGGAGCCGAAGATGTGGACGAATCCGAAGACGTGGAAGAATCCGAAGACGTGGAAGAATCCGAAGACGTGTCGTTTGGCAGAGTTCCATTGATGTAGATGGTGTCAGTTCCATTGACATTGGCCACTTTGGCAACACTGGAGTTGGCAGGCTGCGTCCCATTGAAGATCGATTCATAATAGGTGCGGTTGTTGTTGTCATCACAGCCGCAGGGCGAATACTCTTGACACAAGCAAACTACCGGCATGGACTCGTTCTGTTGAGAGGTCTCATTCCGATAGTTGTAATGATGGGAGTACGGGTAGGCATATGCACCGTACAACCAGATACCAGGGAAGACGGCCAGCGCAGCTACTGGCAAGAGGAATGGAGTGACACCAAGAGGCGACCGGGTGCCGGCGCTGTAAGGGGCCTTGGCACCTCCAGCGTAATAGGTACCTCCGCCGTACGAGGGCTGACTGCGAGTCGAACCGGAACTGGAACCAGAACCAGGACGAGATCCGGATGAACCACTGGAAGAACTATACGCAGCGCAACATTAGTCAATGTCTATTATGTTAATTCAAGAATGAAAAATTGCAAACCCACTTACCCAGTCCGTCCCCCGGACGAGCCACTGCTTCCGCCGCTTCCACTGCGCCCACCACTGGAACCCCCGCTACTACCTCCTCCTCGACCACCTCCGCCACCTCCGCGACGTTTCTCAAGAGTTGGTGCATTGAAGGAATCGTAGGTCGAGAGAGCATCATCACGCGATACCAGATCTGACTGCGGGATACTAAGCGATATCACCGATGTGATCGATAGAAGAAGGAAGAAGACCGCTGTGTAGGTGATCTTCATCTTGGGTTGGGTATATATGGGTCGAACTTGGAAGACTTGGGTTATAGAATGACCACCCCTGTAGTATCGATTGGACGTGGAGTGACTGTCAGCCTTGAAGGGAAAGAACAGCGCAATATCTGTACTGATATCCTCAAAAGAGCCGATAATCGAGAATGAGAGGGAAAGAAAAAGAGAAGAGGCAAAGAGTTAATATTGACTTCAGGAGAAGAAAGGAATCCTCCGGTTGATGTAACCTGTGACGGCGGACAAGTCAATGCTTGGTTGTAACTAAAGGGGATTTCTTGGTCTGGTTCCGAGGAAATCCTCCCCCATATCTCGTCAACCCATCTACTAATATATATATCTTGTATATTAGTCCATCGAAATTAATGATCAACCTTCTCATTCATGATGATTTGTTCGAAGGTTGGACCGCAGCAGTCATGCCAAGGACACCGGGCATCTGCTCATTTCCAGAAGTTTGAGAGAAGAAGCGGTGATCAACTCCAGATCGCATTCCGCTATGATTTCATCCCAATTCCCAAGACTTTGCGGTCCATCCACAAGCCTCTTGATCGGAACCATCGGAACCCGGCAACAATATGCGAACAGAATGAGATCCATTGCTGAATTATGAAATCGCCGTTTTGCCTCCTCCCACTCCACGTGCTGGACGAAGTTGTGTCACTCCCTCACTGTACCAAATACTACCAGACAGCCAGTCCTCTTTGGGCAGAGGCGCAGCAGGGCTAACAGACAAGCCACCGCCCAGAGGATAAAGTCACATACTCTCTCTCCCTCATGATTTATTATCATTATGACTCGCTAATTCTGTGATTTAATTCTTATTATTTAATAGTGATCCATGCACTGCCTACGCGAAGAGCCTTGCTTGGACCCTTTGGTTTCTGCGCTATCCAGCATCCATGCATGCTGATTGCTGTTAGACACCACTTACCACTCTGCTGAGCCTGCAGGGTCAGGTTAATCAACTAACGCTCCAATAGCATGGTTTCTACGGAGCAGAGAAACGGTCAATCGAACCGAGAAAGTAAAAGATAGAAAAGAGGCTCATACCATGCCAAGGTTTCACTCACCCACAGGGCGGTCCTCTATACGAAGCTTACGAAGACAGACTTGAGACCGTGGCAGTGGTAGCTTCCGCCATGCTCGTTCAACCGCCATTATTATTTGAACTTTAACTCCATTTATACAGCCTCAGCGTGGTCGTTACTATGTTCAGTAGACTTTCTATCTACATCACGGTTCCTATTGGCGAGTCTCAAGTCCAAACTCCTGGCTAGCTCAGTCACTCACTATCCAGGTGGCGCTTCATAGCACAGGCCTTACCAGTATTTCACTCGTTCTTTGGCTTCACCAGGGGTCGATACACTGGATCCCACATCTGTATTCGAATCCACTCCTCCAGATCGTCTTCGTCGGTGGGTATACCTTCTTCCTGTGCATGCCCTTCTTCCACTGCCGTCCTGATCACTGCCTTGGCGATGTCGACGCTGATTTCCCGCACATCCTCGACATCGGGCAGAAGAGGCAGATTTGGATCCTGGAGCGCAGGTGATTGAGCAGCGAGCGCTTTGATAGCTGCTACCAGCATCTTGTCTGACAGCACGCGTGCCCGAGACAAAACCGTTCCAAGTCCTATTCCCGGGAAGCAAGTGGAATTATTACATTCCGCTGTAAGTGGTCAAATAAGCCATATCACCGCAAGTGGTATCATTGCAATGGAGCACTGAGTACTTACCAATTTCATACTTTGTACCGTTGCGATCAACCGGGGGGAACGGGCTTCCGGTGGCTATCAACGCCCGTCCATCCGTCCACTTATTGATATCGTTGGGTTGGGCCTCGTGCAGCCGAGTAGGGTTGCTGAGTGGGAATATGATTGGTTTGTCGACATGCTTGGCCATTTCCCTTATGATTTCCTCCGTAAAAGCCTTCGGCTTTGTTGATGTTCCGATCAATATATGCGGCTTGGCTTTCTTCACTACGGACAGCAGGTCTCTTTCCCCTTCAGGCCATTCAGCGTCATCTCGCGCGAAAGGTGTTTGAGCTGGTGTTAGCTCATCTCCTAGAGATTTGACTAATAAGCCTGGCTTATCTAGGCACCTGAGCAAGGTCAGTGGGGAAAGTAGTCAGAGGACGGGGAGAGCACGTTTGGATCAGACATACCAAATTTGCTTTGCTGCTTCTTCCTTCGATTTATGAGCCTCGGTCTCGATTGTGTCGGCAATCTGTTGAGCAATACCAGTGCCCGCTGAACCAGCGCCAAAGATGATAATTCGCGCGTCTTTTAATTTGACATCGCTGACGTGGAGTGCAGCCATTAATGCTGCTAGAGTCACACACCCAGTGCCTTGGATATCATCGTTGAAGCAGGCCATGTGAGGTCGAAACTCATCAAGCAGTCTTTTTGCATTGTGGAGGCCGAAATCCTCGCTAGGGAGACGTCAGCAGATTTTTCGGAAGACCAGATCCTTCTCAGAACTGACAAATGGATGTATGCTTTGGGAAACAGCTTTCTCGCTGCTTTCATAAACTTATTCACAAACTCGTCGTACTCCTGGCCTCTGGCTCGGGGTTGTCGAAGGCCGAGATAAAGCTCATCGTTCAGCAAGTCTTGGTTCTGCAACATGTGTTAGCAGGCGTTGCTCAAGTTGCGATATTACAGTCATACATCTGTGCCACAGTCCAGCACTACTGGGAGCTGCCGCATTGGATGGATTCCCGCACATAGGGTTGTGATCACCAATTTGGCAACGGAGATCAAGATAGCACCAACCCCTTGATCACCAATGCCTAGGATCTGCGATTCAACCTGTCAGACTCGTGGAGGAAATGTGCTAGTGACCATCATAGGGTACCTCTTCGCCATCGCTGACAACAATGTAGTCGACCTCCTCACGGCGGCCAAAGTTGGAGAGACATTCTTCAATGGAGTCTTGATCATTGATGTTCAGAAAGCAGCCCTCTGGCCGCCTGAACAACCGGGAGTAATTTTGGATGGCGTCACCTTCGGTTGGGGTATAGATGACGCTGAACATCTCTTTCAGGTGAGTTTGTAACAGCTGCGCAACGAATGAGCGGAAGACATTTTGCAAGGAAGAAGCGATGCCCTAGTTCTCATCTGTCTTTCCAAGTAAAAATGGATGTATTCGTACCTTGTAATACAATACGTCATTTTGCGCCTTCATGCTTGCCATGAAAGTGTTCTTGGCCAGATCATCTGCACGACTGCTATACTGTTCGTATGCACGTCGGACTTGATCGTCGAGCGTCTGCACATTCGGCGGTACCAGTCCATGCAACTTGAAACTCTTTCTCTCCTCATCGGTGAAAGCAGAGCCCTTGTTAAAAGTAGAATTAAGCATGACACTCGCTCCCTACAGCGAGGAATATCAGCACCGTTACCGGATGACTAGAACTTATCAGATTACCTCGTATGGACACTCCAACGGCCCCGAGGCTGCACGAGGCAGATGGCTAAATTTTGAAGATCTGTCGGACATGGATATTTCACGAATAGCTGATGGCCAATGCTGAGTGTAAGTATGTAGAAGAATGCGAGGAGATGCACGAAAGTTGATCGTGACCAGAAAGGGCCAACAAGCAGACCAAAAGCTACCTAGTCTTGAATACTGATACGAAGTCCAAGCAGTCTTACTAGCGAGGATCATGGGCACTATCTATATCGGGTACTGTTTATAGCCTCGGTGGGCGGGGTTGCAGTGCTGGCATGACGTATAGAGAGGGACATGGTTCGACACTTGCATATATTTGATAAGAATCTGCGAGGTTGGAGATATTAGGAATCCTTTTTTGAATGAATGGACGCCATAACAATATCTTACCTTATTTAATCCGCCTAAATTCTTGATATTTACTCAGTCCTGCAAGCACCTATGGATCTGCATTGACGCTCATTACACTTGAGTGACGATGTGACATGATCACTCTCTTCTGCATGCTTATCGTCGCATACATACCACGTGGTGATAAAGAGAGATAAGATTGGGTAGATGCTGACTAAAGAACTAAGCGAGGAGACCAAAACAAATTTTACGAAACTTGTCCTCTGTTCCTCTCCTCAGATTGATAGCACCAATTTTCTCCTTTTGGCAATATTCCACCAGCCATGCCGCTGAACATTACGCAACCATTGCTCAAAAATGCACCTGTTGCTTGTTTAAATGATGTACAAGCCGCAGGCGTTTATAATGGTTCCATGATAGGTACAATGACCGAAGGAACTGACCTACTTTCAACGCAGATGACTATTTTCTCCAATTTACAGAGTACGAAAACTCACACCGAATGTCACTCCAGGACGCGATGGAATTATAACGGCGCAACTTCACAATCCAGCTGTCCGAGTCCTGCCTTCTATCCTATCCGCAAGGATCAGGTTGGAGCATCGGACAGTCATCACGGACCCTTTGTTCAAGGGACAGTCGCCACATGTCACGTCTTGTGACTGTGATCGACTGGAGCTGGATTGTCGGATCTTGTCTTTTCGAGATCTTTGAGTTTAAAAAAGTTGCCAGAGCAATCTTCAGGGCCTTCATAGTTCATGTTTGCTCGCGTTTCTTTACACCTTACGAGAGCATGACTCCTTGCGCACCTACATCCAGAGTATATCGCAGAATAGATATTTTAGATTTGCTAGAATAAATGGAAACGCGCGTGTTGCTGCTGTCTATGTTGAGTTGTGCCGAAGAATGTCCAAGCCTGTCGCATGTGAGGAACAAAGTTTGAGATATGATCTACAATTTGCTCTGCGCCTCGTCATCGATAATCTTCACCACCACTTTGCCCCAGGTCTCTCTGCTTCCGAGAGCCTGCAAGGCCCTGGGTACGCTTTCCAGCCCCACGAAGCTCTCATCGCGGAAAGCAGTACCCCTGAACTTGCCCTGCGCCACGAGATCGAAGATCCCCTTCCATACCACGCCCACCGATTCCTTCTCGAACTTGGCGTACTGGCCCCAATGTAACCCGACCAGACTCACGTTCTTCAGCAGCACCCGGTTCAGCGCGACCTTCTCGATCTTGCCTGCCGCAAACCCGATCACCAGCAACCGCGCATTCCACGCAACACACTTCAGACTGGCCTCGATCATACCCACTGGGTCATACACAATATCCACGCCCGCCTTGCCGTTCCCCGTGCGGTGCTGCGCACACAGCTTCTTGACCTCCTCAGGCCACTGCTTATCACGGTAGTCGATGACATAGTCGGCGCCAAACTCGCGCGCAACCTGTCTCTTGCGCTCCGTGCCGGCCGTTGCAATCACCGTCGCGCCGTTTGCCTTGGCGATCTGCACGGCCGCCAGCCCGACACCGCCCGCCGCCGCATGCACGAGCACCCAGTCGCCCGGCTGGACGTTCGCCCGGTGCACCAAGCCGCCGTACGAGGTCGGCGCGGTCACGAAGAGCCCTGCCGCGTCCTCAAAGCTCCATCCAGCAGGCACGGGGAGCAGAGAGCTCTCCGGCGCAAGAACGTGGGTCGCGTAGGCGCCCTGCGTCGCGCCGAAGACGCGATCGCCGACCTTGAACTGCGTTGTTTGCCGGGCGGTCGGCACGGCCAGAACTGTGCCTGCAAACTCGGCGCCGCCGACCCAAGGGAGGGGAGGCTGGTGCTGGTATTTCCCCTGGATCTGGAGTAGATCAAAGAAGTTGGTGCCTGCCGAGTGGATCTTGATCAAGTAGTGGTTTGGCGATGGCGATGGGGTGGGAAGGTCGGAAACCTTCAGGTCGAGGGGACCCTGGAGGCGTAATTGTTGTTAGAGAAGCATAAGTAGGTAGACTATCACAGGAATATAGCATACCTTAACATACTCCTTGACCTGGATGGCTCTCATATTGATTATGGATGGAAAAAAGGATGGAGGATAAAATCTGTGGGCGGGTATCACAAGAGTTTTCATAGATTTGACCACAACAGGTTCAGTATGTACGTGTCCCGACAATCAAAATGATCAGGAGTTGAGAATCGTGGAATCAAAAGTTGCAAGTTGGAGAGCTATGGGCGTGGACCATAGAGTATGAATGGGCCTCCCCGCGTTTCCAAATGAGCCGAGGTCGGTCTCGGATAACTTGACCATCTGTGCACTTTACAGTTCAGCTTCCGTTGGTGGAGCTTGGCAGATCGCTGAGGAGATTCTGTAGATTTAGTTTCGATGGAATCTTACCTTATGTAATTGACGGTTGTAGTGGCCATGAAATCAGACTACGAAGTTAAAGAAGAATTGGAGTTGAGGGGATGAACTCCCAATCCGTCTTGGCTTTCCGAAAAGATAGTAGGAAACCGGCTTAGTACATTTTTCACTGTTGTGCAAGGCATTGACTGCCCATAGATAAAAACATCAGACGCCATCATAAACACCAGCTTTTGCTCCAAGCTTGATGCAAGTTCAAAAGAAAACGCTGTCCTGCAGTAAGAGCTCATCACTTCGGGACATGGGCAATAATTAAACGAACAACGATAGAAAACAAGAACATTAGTCTGAAGAATAATGATATCCAAACCAAAGTTATAATTGGCATGTCCAGCATGCGCGGAGCAGTCCGCAAGACACCAGGCAAGAATCGAAAGCGACGAGTCATATTATCAATTGATGTAGATGATAACGCGCCCATCTAGAATTCAATGCTTGGTGGCCCATGTAGAAGAGGCTCTTGCGCAGAATGAGGATAGATCGGCGCACATATCATGGAATGCTGCCCATTGGGGAAAAAATGAGAAGGGGGCGTTATGAGTCCACCCGACAGGTGTTCTGTCCCCCTGGGAGGTAGCGTTGTTCTCCCCTCAGCGAACCCCGAGTCCCGTATTTGATCATTTCGTGGATGACGGACTGCTGTGTCAGGGATATACTGATGATGTAGAAGTTGTTCCCAAGATTTCACTCCATCGAAGTGATCGGGAACATGGTGATGTGAGAGACTGGAGTAGGAACCAGACTGGGGCGAGTAAATGACTGGGGGGGACTGCAGGTGCGTTGCCTGTAATGTGGGATCTATAGAATGTGTTGATGGGGGCCTTTGGGAAGCAGAAGAATAGAAGTGCATCGGTGAAGGTTGAGCCACTGCACCAGGAGGAGCTGGATACCAATGAGTCACAGGCCACTGCATTGGAACCGTTGTCGCTGTGCTCGATACTGGCTCCTGCATACCAGCATCGGTGACCGCAAAGGGAGCGCCGTTATAAGCATGTGTCATTGCTGGTGTCTGACTGACAAACACTGCATCATAGGGATGGGGGTGTGATACGGCAGGAGAGCCATTGGGAGAGCCATATTGTTCTGACGGGCATGGTGATGGCTGTTGCCCAGCCGGAAGAGCCCATGTCTCGGACAGACTCTGGTTATCGAAAAGAACTGGAGCCGGGATTTTGGCATACGCCGCCGGTTTGACATCTCGTTGCTGGATAGGCTGTGACGGAGTCCTGGGAGAGTTCGATGATGTTTGTGCCTTTGGAGAAGAGCCTTCGTTTCCGCTCTCGTCACCAGAGCTCTTTGACTGGCCATCGGGGGATTTCTTTCGTGTTTGACGAGAAGGCTTTGTGACACGCCACTTCTTCAGTCTGCTTCTCATCAGTCTGCTTCTCAACTGGGTCTCACTATTGCAGAGAGAATCGGGTTAGCATGCATAAGGCATGATTATCTTCCTTCCAGAGCTGGCTCACCTTGGGTTAAAACTATCTGAGCGAATCTTCTTGATGACTTGTTTGAGGGGCCATTCTTCATCTTTGTAGAGTTTGGCAATCAAAGCTTTTTTCTTCTCCCAAACGTCCGACGGAATTGATGTCTTCATCCTTCCCGAGAGGAAAAAGATTCCGAACAGAGAAGGAAGTGGAGTAGGATCAAGAGAGATAGAATGAACGATTGGGACCGTGACCAAAATAGACAAGAGGATTGTTTGTACGTGGGTAGTACAGGCGCCTCGAGTAGTTGGCCAATGATTGAACCTGTGCAGTGCAATTGTATACACACAAATAAGGTGTATGAAGGCAAAATAGTGTATGAGTCTCGAGAGCACCAGGCAGGTAGATAAAATCGAGAAGCAGATGGGACACTCGACATGTCCAGTGCGAGATCTGGATCTAGTTATATGTACTTATGTAGTGCAACTATAAAATCACCTAGCCAATATCTGGCGCATTGAGGAATGACTAGCTAGTAGCTACTGGAGGAATGGGATTGACAGGGACCCTCGTGCCACTGCCAACCTCAGTCAATCCACATACGGAGTATAGTCAGAACGAGGATCACCCATCTTGATCAGATCGATGGCCACTGGTGGAGAATGAGCATGCTCGAGGAACATCAGCATCCGCTACATGTGTGTGTGTGTGTGTGCTATGACGCTGGTGATTGGCAGAATGAATAGCGCAAGTTGGGGGTTTATAAGAATTTTTTCTTCTTTCTGACTCTGTTTAGTGTTGAAAAGAATATTCACAGTACTTCTGTCGCCTGCGGTAGACAGACACTATGTACATAGTAGCCGTGAGCCCTGTCAAGGTCGGTGAGATTTCCTCCGCTCAACCTAAATTGATCCCGAACTATCTCCTGGCTTGAGGTCATTCTTAAAGTCTGCGGATCGAGAGATCTATTCAGCAATTAATTAGTCCGAAGTGATCTTCCATGGGTGTTGATTGCATAGCCTTCAAGAGGTTAGAGAAGCTTGTGTTGAACTAACTGCTCTGTATCTTACCGGAGCAGTACCGAAACCTTTGGCCATACTCCAACTGGGGTCCCTGGGTCAATGCCTAACACACCGTGGGTCTAAAGATATAACATGTAACAGTTTGTATGTAAATCAAAAGTTCCAGCTTCCAGGTTCATCAGAACCTAGTTCACAAAGCTCGTGCTTCTCAGAGCTATCGACGAAATCGGATGAAATCCTCCCATGATGCTGCTTCGAAATGTCGGAGTCCACAGTACAAAGAAAAGTTGGGATACCGAATTACCGATCCCATTTGGACACGATAGACATAACTAAGGTAGTAGACTGGGCGGCTTCCTCTGACTACCTTACCGTACCTAGTAGGTACCTACTACTACTATGTACACTCTGTCTGATTGGCAGAGTCATTGTAGACTTGTCCTGCAAGTACTTTAGGCCACTGTAGACTTGATTTCTACCTATCGACTTTTACACCCTCGTTTCTTTTTCTCATTTATCCGTTCCTGGTCAAGCTTGCGCCTTTCATTGGATTGTTGGATTTGCATTTCCGTCAATAGCTCCAATCCCTCATCATTTGCCAACTCAGTGCCTTGAAAGCCTCCGCTTTTCTTTTTTCGTTTTCTTCCTTGGCCATCGCCTGTCTTCGCCTCTCTCTTACCCTGCACGCACAAACACACGCATGTCCCATCTCAGCTTATGCATGCACGGCCCGATCTGAGGATGCACTGTGGCAAAGAAGTGAAACCCCACGGAGTATGCCGTGATACCAGCAGTCACAGCCTGACCCGTCACCGGTTTCCTACAAGCTACAACTGCAGTTGAGCTTTAGTGCAAGCTAAGATCATTCTGCTAGTGGTGATTTTTCATTGCGTTGGAAACTATACCGTCTCAGGTGCTTGGCGCAGTTGTCGTGTTTCCAGATTAGGAATGCTAGGATACAGCTGAGGTAGCAAAGTCTGAGGCCATTAAGCATCAGATAAATAAATATATTAAGAGGAGGCAAATCTACACTGCACTCCAATTTCGCAGGACATAGTCCGAAGGCTGATGAAGATAGCTAGATATCGGCTCTCCAAGGTACCTAGTCCATACAGTAATCTGCTATCACGATCTTGAAGTAGAAAGTCTGGGTCTCGGTAAGTCCGATTATCTATCCACTGTCTTTTCTTCAGCGGATGGTGGATATGGGTCTCTTTGCATGGAGTACCTGGTAAATGGAGGATATTGCATGCTCACACACTCTCCCTCCGTACCAAGCACATACTAGTGATGTACTACGGAGATAGCAAGCGATCCATCCTCCATTTCTTCGTATCAGGCCGCTTTCTTTTTTTACTCGATCTCCGACTGTCTGATGAAACCCCGAGCTATTCCAGACTCACTGAGAGGCAAGTTGTGGGGAATGTCCATGCGCCACATACGGTAGTAGACTAGTAGTAGGTGAGTATGTAGTATGTCGCGTCTGAAGCAGAATGGGCTGAAACTACTCCGTACCATAATCAGATATCGTTTCCAAGATCTGGTCCGTCTTCTGCCTTCTGCCCATGGCAACTGGCGGAGAGTGATAAAAATAAGCTATAGATCATGATGAGCATTGCATCAACCTAATCGATTGTCTACCAGGCAGACAGATACTGGGCTGGAGCAGTACAACCACTGTACACGTGTGTTCACCTCAATATGTCAAATCTGGCATTGCATTCACATCCCCTCACTGCATCTTCTCTTTCCCTGTCGGTCCTTGCTCCTGTCGATCTATCTATATCATGGAACGAGCACGGAGATAGTCGTCGACTCGGCAATTAAGCCGTTGACGGTCTCCGATCCTATTAGACGAAAGACAAATTTTCTGGTTATTGGCGCGGATATGATATAATTCTTGAGGATGCTGACATCCTCAAAGAAAATATCAATGGCTCCTCTTCTTATTGTCAACAAGGTCCTACCTTACCGAGTACCGACTATTGTGTTTGTACCAAGGTGGGCCGCTAGGCTACAAGTCTGTGCCCTGAAACTAGGCAGATCGGCATGATCAGCTAGCTTCGTTCCCAACAAGTCTAAAGGAAATAGTACCCAGACTAAGTCATCTAGTTTCTGCAGGTGGGATAGTTAGTCTATCATGGATTTGTTTGTTGATGCACTGACTGAGATCGAAATATTATTCTCGTACAGGTTTGATTAGTAGTGTAGTCATTGATTCAGTGCTTCTGCATGAGCAATGACTGCATGACTGCATATTGAATCTCAGGTCTTTGTTGTTACATCATGCTCATTTCCCCCAGAGCGCCCTATCAAGCGAGACAGCCATACTTACATGATCTTACAGAGTATCCCCGTGGATGAGCTACCACAAAAAAAAAATTTGTTGACGAGGAACAAGACAATTTAACTCATATTCTGCGCTTTCTACAATCCTTGAAGTCCACATACTACTTACACGGAGTAACGGAATACACCGAGCGTCCGTTGTGTCAGTTTCCGCCATATAAATAACTCTATTATACCTTCCTCATACCCTCGTTGATAGCAATTACGGCATTGTGTGGGACCATTGACAAGGGTATAGCTGCGCGGCAAGATCCTAGTTGACGCCTGAAATCGATGAATACGAATCCCAGTCCTCATCAGAATCGCCACCACCACTATCACCACCATAATAAAGCAGCTCTGGTCACCTGCGCTCAGGGATTTTCTGCAGGGGAGCCCCCCATCGGCATCACCCATCGAGCCGTCCGGGAGTGCAGATGATCTAGTGAATCCGTGCAGATTGACAAATGACAAGCATTGTAGTGGACGATCCGCAGATTTCCTCGTCGCTGTGGCTGGCTGTAAAGATGGCGGTGATAAATGAAAGCATGAAGCTAGTGGACCAAAAGGGCATATGTACGGTAAAAGCCCTTGAAAGCAATCCACTTCCCCTTCTAATCCTATCGAAGCCTAGCACGGCCATCAAGGAGAATCTCCTCTGAGTTTTTCCCCCCTCTTGAGGGATATGACGACAATTTCTCTCGTCCCTGTGCTCTGGTTAGAAAGCAGCCCAACTCTCCTTGCCGTTGTTGATGTGCTCAGAATAGAATCATTCGTTCATTGACCAGATGATTTTTTTTTTCACGTACATCGAGGGCAATGTCTCGCAATGTTGACTTTGCTCCGAAAGGACCATCTCAGTTTGTGCGGGTTTTCCAATGTTCTGGCCTATTCCTTTAGCGAGGGATGAACCTATAGCGTGTTCTAGTCAACTTAGCTAAGTTGATTCGCAACATCGCTATTTCCAGTGTAAAGGCAGATAGACGGTTAAGGGAAGTCATGGGTTCTCAGTGTCTTGTCCCCGGATTCCCAGAAAAGATCCTTAAAGGCAGACCATGTCGCAATATTGAACACGGTTTCGGAGGAATGGGCGCTTTATCCATATTGAGCTGTCAGAAGCAACCGTCTTGACACATTCTCGACTTTCTCTCTTTAGTCATTGATCCCCGACCTCTTAAGGGAGCCAAAGATCTCTTCTCGGTCACTGTACCAAACTCGATCACATCTTCCAAGTCCTTCTGACACCACTAGACCTTGTGCAGATCAAACCGAGGGCACCAGACAATGGCTATGGTACGCGTGTGTGTCATCTGACTACACTGGCAACTATCTGCTTCACTGCTACGGTTAAAAATGCTGGCACCAATGTGTACGACATCCTCTCGGCGGTCTGAAAAGGAGCAGAGCTGATCAAGGCCTTGATTACTCGATCACCCCTACATCTATAGTCTTTTCTCTTCCACCTCTAAGAGATTATGAAGCAAGCCATAAGCTGACTCGAGATATAGAAGTATAGACACCTCCTCACTGCATATGGTGATGCCTCAGTCACTGCGTATGATGTAGTTGGGATATAGCTGGCTCCGGTGCCTATTCTGCACCGTGATCCGTGCCCCACGAGTCCAGTACCAATATTTCTGAGCCGTTGGTATCTTTCTTCACATGCACCGAGGCAAACGTTTCCGGCTCCGGGCTCCGGGCGATCCCCAGAGTTGCCCCAAGTCCTGGAAATCGACCACAAGTTTGTTCATACTTGAGGGCATGAACACAATGCGCAGGATATTGAAACATTTTCGGACGTTGACTGTTGTGATTGTCGCCTACGATTGGGCATCTCCTGATCTCTTCGTGGAAATTACGCCATGTTTACCATGGCTATCAGATCTTCGATGTAACTCTGTTTCTCCCCAAGACGATCCTCCGGAGCATCAACCTTGGTTTCCCTCAACATTGCCCCGATGGTGGATATTCCGGTCTGCGATAAAGCTGGAGACGGCATGCTGCTCCTCCGGTTAAGGTTGATCATTTGATGATCCACGTCGTGATCCTTGATGAAATAATCACCTTAAAGGTACTCCTAGATCAAGGCCTTTAGGGTAGCAATCAGTAACCTGCATCTCTCCAATAATCAGATTGCGCTCTACAGGTTTTGAGTTCAAGCAACTGGTGCCTCTTCTGTCGCAGGGCCGGAAGAAGTATCGCACTTACAGGAACCACTGTAAGGTATTTCCGTATTGTGCTTCGTGATCATACGAAACACCGACTGGAATATGATCGTCAAGATTGTGGCAGTGTATATTCATCGTGCTTGGCTTAAATCACACTTACCGTTTCTATTTCCGTTCCTTGGGAGCCTACTCCGTAGTAGTTTCATCTCTGATCGGCTAACTTGCGTGCTCTCTGATCTCTACATTGTTAGCAGGCACTTGGCAGTTTGGATCAAGCAGGACATTTCCTTGATCATAGGATACAGTACACCAAGTTTAGGAACCGCAACCTAGTTGAATGCCTCTCAGAATCCACCTTGGGAAGAGAAGAGTTCTGTTGCTGTGGATTTCTTCAATAGTTTATGCAAGAGGCATTTGGATTAAGTAGAGATTTGTCACTGATGCCTGAGGCAGAGAGACTCGTCATGTGGCTGCCTGATGCCATCTCGGTTCCTCTGAGATTTGGATATGTTCTGAGAAAGCAGTCCCAATTGTCAATGCACACTTTTACTCTCCGTATATCAATTCGATACTCTACACAGTACACCGGAATTATTCTATAGAGATTTGGGTCACAAGCGAATAGTAGCTCTCGCAGCTTGCTCACGTCAGACTGTCAGTACTATGATCGCCTCGAGTATTGCCGATCACCTATAAGGGGGCTGAGGAATTCATGTCGTAGCTCCGTACTTCAAATCTGTCGCGCTAGACTGACGCTGTTCTCAGCTCGGAACGAGACATTGATTCTTCAAAAACAGAACAAGGCTGTGAGATCTCTAAAAAGACCACTGGCTGCTCTTCAGAAAAAGTGATATAACGGGTAGCATCGCATCTCTTGGGGGGTTCACAAATCACGTCAGGAGGATTGGTGGTCGTCGTCGCTTGTTCTCGAAGAAGGCCGAAAGGATAGATCCCTATCTTGAATCTTGACAAGTTGTCCAGACCTACAAGATGAAGGTCTACTTCATTGGTATCCTACCACTCGTTCCTGGCCTCGTCCAAGCCGCTGGCTCTGCGGGCTGTGAGAAGCCGTTACCCAAGCATCACGGTGCTGGAGGGAGTTATCCAACAGATTTTACCACATCTGATGGCACAAAGCGATCCTATATCATCCATATACCGTCCAGCTATGACGTGAACCAAGCAGCACCACTCATTTTCTCTTTTCACGGGAGGTCGAAAACCGCAGAAAACCAGGAGGCTCTCTCGCAGTTCAGCAATGAAGAGTGGAATCCGAATGCGATCGCAGTTTATCCTCAGGGACTAGATGTACGTGTCTCACCCGTCCAACCCGCAATCAGGACACTTGGTCGTTAACAATGCGCATATAGAAACAATGGCAAGGGGATCCAGCCTCTTCCGGAGTCGACGACATCGCATTCACCATGGAGATGCTCGACCACTTCGAGCAGAGATACTGCATCGATTCATCGCGCGTATACGCCGCCGGTAAATCGAACGGCGGAGGCTTCACGGACCTTCTCGCCTGCGACGCAACCGCCTCCCGGCGCATTGCGGCATTCGCCCCTGTCTCGGGAGCCTACTATCAGGATGTATCCGAAGACGCCTGCGATGCGGAAACCGTGCCCATCGACTGCAGTCCAGGACGGAACCCTATCCCCGTCATCGAGTTCCACGGCACTGCCGATAAAACGATCCCATACGCTGGAGGCGGGAGGCGTGGGGAATGTCTACCCTCTGTACCACATTTTGTCCGAGAGTGGTCAAAGAGGGATGGCTTCGGCCTGCAGAATAAGACGACGAACTTCTATGATGGCAACGTCCAGAAATACCAGTACGGCCGTGGCAATGCCTTGGGCACTGTGACCCATTATCGGATCAAGGGGCTGGGTCATGATTGGCCTAGCGTCGCGCCGAACAGTGACAATCCGGATGGAACCTACCTCAATGCGACACCCATCATCATGGACTTCTTCGGTCGCTGGACATTGCCGTAGGTCAGACCACGGGTATTTGATGATACAAGCACTATCACGTCATATTAAATCATGCATTAGATTGTCGCTGATCTCTTCCCAAGTGAGAGTATGTGCAGAATCTGAGTAGTATCCATTGGTCTCATAATGATAAAACATACAGATCTGGATAATCCAACTGGTCCAGTTCACTAGAAGACAACCATGACCACCCACTTCACATGCTTTGCCCTTTCTCGTACACAAAGACGCCTTGCAAGGTCAGGGCCGCGTTCTCTATCCAGCTCTAGTCGGCCATGATTCCAAACAAAGGGGTCCCCTAACCCAACTCCGATAGCGTATAGATCAATACACATCATACCACACGCTGCATCATACATTGCTAAACCGGGACACGCAAAAACAAGATAATATTACAAGAGGAAGTGAAATGGTCGATCCTAGCGACCAATTCGTACCTATATGCATGACAGGGAGCACCATTAGAGAGCCCCCGTCCCACTTCAGCGCCGCCGTTTGCTTAGACGGTGCTCTTTGCCCTTCTTGGACTTCTTCTTTGATTTGTCTGGGGGCAGGACGAGTGGTTCATCCTTCATGTTCCATTCCATGAACCTCAGGAGGTAGTCATCAACATCACCGGGTAGCGGTTCGACATCCACGTGATCATCCGCACCATGGATTTGCGGCGTAGTAAGTAGCTGTGGTCCAGGTGTTTCCCCTTCATCAGGACCAGTGGACGATGGTGTTCCCGCCTGACCAGGGGTATGCGGGATGCTGCGGTCCCCAAAGTCATCCTCGTCCGCATGCTCCATCTCCTTCTGCGCGTTCTTGGCCGCGTCGATGTCCTCCTTGTCTTCTGCTTGCTCGAAAACCCGAGAAGCACTGGTACCTACGCGGTTGGACAGCACACGATCCATTGCAGCGCTAGCCTCGTCCTGACCTTCACGCAGTTCCTCGGTGTCGATCATGTCACGCATACCCAACTTGGTGAAATAGTCCGTTGTGAACTCGCCTTCCTGGATGACGACATCGTCCAGCAATCTCTTCTGGTTGGCCTTACGGAGAATGTTTGATTCGATAGTGTACTCCGAGACAAACCGATAGATATGGACATCTCGTGTTTGTCCTATACGGTGGCAGCGGTCTTGACATTGCTTGTCCATGGCTGGATTCCAGTCAAGGTCGTAGAAAATCACAGTGTCAGCGCCAGTCAGGTTGATTCCCAGGCCACCGGACCGGCTGGACAGGATGAACGCCAGAATACGATCGTCATTATTGAACCGGTCCGTGAGAATCTGGCGCTGCTCCACTTTGGTAGTACCATCCAATCTCAGATACCTGTGTCCATGGATATTGAGGAATTGCTCGAGAATATCGAGCATTTTTGTCATTTGGGTAAAAATCAAGGCTCGGTGACCACCAGCTTTGAGATCACGTAGCAACTTGTCCAGCCTCTGCAGTTTACCACAGTCGTACTGTAGCAGCCTCTTATCTGGAAACGCGATGGAAAGCCGCATCTGTGCCTCATGGAAAGGATCATAAGCAGGCAGACGCTCTTTATCTGTCAGATACCGCGTTTCTAAGGGTGTCAAAGCGGCTTCGGTGATACCAGAGGCAACTGCAGCTGGTGTCACGCAGGCGAATCGTTTCACGAACCCATCCATGGCTTGGGAGCGCTCTTCAATAGACAAGATCATTGATGCAAGAACGGAAGATCGGTTCGACAGCCATTCTGCCAGAGACCGCTTGTGAGGGGAGCCAGTTAAGGTCGGGTTCTGCTTGCTATCCGCCCTAAGGAACTCAATGAGACTAGTCCCATACACCGGTCGACGACCATGGCGTTTTGACTCAAAGTACAGGCACCGTTCCAATTCTGCCATTCGACTCTTTCTCGCCTCGTTTTCTAAGGCTTCAAGTGTACTCTGCACCGTCGATCCGTCAAAAGTCATTTGCCAATTGGTTCGCTTGTATTGACGTTCTCTGAGCATGTTGAAAGGACCGTAGGCCATAAGCCTGGTACTATCGTCCGCTAATCTTCGAGAAATATCTTCTCTCGAGATAGGGACCAGGTTCAGGAAATCCAAATCGAGTTTCGTAAGCGGATGTTCAAATAGCAGTCGTCGTCGGACCAGAAGCTCTTTGACCTCATATTCGGTCGCCACCGAGTGTGGCATGACAAACGACGTTGATATCTGTCGAGTTTCAAACAGATCTGGGTGATTGCAAACCTTCCGAAGCTGCATGAGACAGTTGATGATGGAGAGATAATTCCCAGACGCAAGAGTCTCCTTTGTTTGTGCCATGGACATGAACCCATCGTACAGAAATCTTTGTCGTTTCGAAAGTCTACAATAGACAACATGCTCGTACTTGGCAGGCATCTGTTTCTCCACATCGGCTTTGAGGCGACGAAGGATATAAGGACGCAGAACTGTATGGAGTTTGGTTACAACTCGCTTTGTCTCTTCATCCATGATCTCTCTGCCATGCTCCAATATCTGCTCCACGGGCCGCCGAAACCATTCGGAGAAGTTCCGGAGATCAGCAAATCCCTCAATGCCAGTCCCATCACCATCAGAAGGCATCAGGAAGAAGAGAAGCGACCATAGTTCCGTGAGATTGTTCTGGAGCGGTGTGCCTGTAAGAAGCAGCCGAGCGCGAGTCCTGAACGTAAGCAACGTTTGCCATTTCTGCGAGCGAAAGTTCTTGATGTTATGAGCTTCGTCAAGTACCATGTAATGCCAGTTTCTCCTCTTCAGAACCTGTTGATCCTGTAGGACCAGTTGGTAAGAAGTGATCAGTACATTCCAGCTCGTGTCATCCGTCCAACCCTTGCGCTTTTGCCTTCGCTCCTCTATGCTACCATAGTAAGTCATAATCTTGAAACCAGGGCACCACTTTTTGAATTCCATTTCCCAGTTGAGTATGACACTTGTTGGCACAACCACCAAATGTGGCCCCCAAACTTGATGTTCAACGGCCAAATGTGCAAGCAAGGCAATCGTCTGAATGGTCTTTCCAAGACCCATCTCATCCGCAAGGATGCCGTTGATCTGATTGTTGTAGAGCCCGGCAAGCCAATCCAATCCATAGTGTTGGTATTCTCGCAAAGTTCCTCGGAGGAGATGTGGTATTGGCGTCTTCAAGCCAGGAGTAGGCGATTCGAGTACCTGAGATGCCTTGTCTCCAGACGTTTCAAATGAAGAAACAGAATCGGGTTCAGAAGCTTTTGTCGCAAGAGTTCCAGGGGATACTTCACTAGATGCCTCTCCATTGTGACGAACTTCGTGCTCATCATGACTTATTACTGGGGAATGAGATGGAACGGGAACTATCTCGTTCGGTGTGTCAAGCACAGCGGAGTCATCAAGTGGAGTTGCCTCGGGCATGTCGGTATCGATAGCTTCGATTCGCTTCGAATGCTCTTCGTAGATGGTGTCACTCGCGGAAGTTACGACTGTTTCCTTTTGAATTGATGCAGGATTTGACGGGCCGTTCGGAACCAGAGAGACTTCGTCAGGATCCTCCAACTCTTCATCCTCGTCATCTTCAACTGAATCAGATCGTTCATCCTCATCAAGAAGAACCTCTCCTTCGTAGACACCATCGGCTGCGAACTCATCGCCCTCATCATCAGCATGATCCATGTCATTCACTCTGAGATCTTTTCCCGCAAAGAAACCCAGTAACCCCGGTCCATCATCGCTTTCAGCATCCGATCCAGCGTCATCGGAGCTCCTGTCCTCATCACTCTCGCCCATATCATCATCCATATCAGTCGATTCTTCGTCACTGTCATCTAAGAGCATCGGGTCGACTTCTTCGAGGTCTACCGGCTCTAGCGCAGCATCCCCTTCTGATTCATCTGCCCCGATTATTTGAATTTCGTGCATATGATCTGTATTCCTGGAAGATGTCGTATCGTCTGAGGCGACAGATTCGCCGTCTGATATGGCGTCTGGAAGATCGGCATATTTTAAGCGAAGTTCCTCTGCTGTTAAGCCTTCATCACCATCAACATCGTTGTCATCCTCGGATTCCGAATCCGTAGAAGACATATTATTCTCATCCTCATCCTCAACACTTGAACTGTCATCTGTTTCAGAGTCCTCGGCATCCGTAGAGTCAGGGACGTCGCTTCCGTTCTCGCCCAGTATTTCTAAGCGTCGCTTCTCGAACAACATAGTCGATTGCTTGATTGCACGATCAAGGGCGCGTTGATCCTCCACCTTTCTCTCCTCTTCCCAGCGTGCTAAACGCATTCGATCCACCTCTGCACGAGCTAAGTCGAACATTCTCTGAAGGTCCTTGGCCAGTTGCTTGCGCTTCCCGCGCATCTCTTCTTGCTGCTCTCTGAGGATATCTTCCGGTCGCTTGTTACGTTTCCTCCACGCGTCGGCACACCACTGAGCAAAGAGTCTCGCCGTGTTGCGATGGCGCCGATGTTCCTGATCAAGCAACTTCTTGAAGTACAGAGCATGCGCAACGAGATGGTCTTGATGCGAGTACTGATGGGATGGTTCCTCCTGTTGTTCAGGCAAATATGCGGAGCATACAGTCGGGCTCAAAAGACCGCCAGGTTCGGTTGCCTCTACCACCCGAAGTCTTTTTCGAGCTTCCTCAAGTGCTTCGTCTGACGTGAGGATAGCGTCGTCGTCAACTTTTCTTCCCTCACGATCAAGCCAGTCTTTGAAAGAAGCGTATTTCCGGGGTGGCAGTACATGGGAAGGATGTTGCACCCCAATGAAAGGCTTCTTCACTTTGATTCGCAGTCTTGGCACACGCGGGCCTTGTCCTTCTCCAGGCTCTATTTCATTGCCACCAATGCCATTAAGCTCCTCCGTGCCGTTTACCAGTATGGGAGTCGCGGTTGAAGCGGATCGACTGGGGCGAGACTTCTTGGAACAAAGACCATTGGAGCTGACGTTGAATGAGGGCAGGAGAGAGGCCGAAGCACCGGAACTTTGCGACCTCGTTCGCGCATTAGCCTGCTTGGGCGCTGGCGATTGTGAGACGCGAGACCGCCTGTTATTCGCTCCCCTTATATTTGCACTCATCGGCGATCCATTGCTTGTATTGCCACTTATGTGCCTGCTATTTATCTCCGATTGTGACGCGCTCGTGGAAAGTGGCGACGACGCGACAGCCTTCCCACCGCCGAACCTATTCTTGCCAACAGAGTGTTTTTGAGCTGCGCGTGTATGCCTCTTGTCCGACGGGGGCTGAAACTCGAGGGGAATCGCGTTGACTCGGGAGGATCTCCGCCTTCCATCTTGAAGGAACGAAGTCGGCCCATCGGCACCTGCCTTCTTCCATGGCGGCGATGGTGGTCGCGGTGTCAAGCGGCGCGCACTGCCGGGTCCTGCGAGTTTTCGCCTTTTGGAAGGAGGTCCCTCGGAAAGGTCAGTTAGAAGCTCATTCTCCTTGGCTTCGGAAGGGACCAATTCGCGATTCGCGGGATCCGGTGTTTGCTCGACCGCAGGAGATTCAGATGGCTTTTCTTCTATGTCTGGCGTCACGCGTTCATCGTTGTGGTGGGATATACCGTTCGAGCTGCCGTCTTGCATGTCTTGTTACCACAGATAACAGGGGCCCTCTTCACGGCTGACCCCAGTTTTCCCAACGAGGACGCAGTCGGATGGAACAAATGTAGCATCAATAAATAGGTATAAATTGATAGAGATGCCACAGAAAGTTTGGCATAGTTATCGGCTCAATAGCGTGTCTGGTGGTTGAAAAAGCTCTTTGATCAACACTTTGCGTGAAGGAGTGGTTTTTTCATCCTGTGACGAGGAGTACGGGGAGACGTGTATGTAAGCGCGCCCGCCGCACCTCTGGTATCTGGCCTGTGGACGCTGGTGCCTGAGGCGGTAAGGCTCGATTTCCGGAGTGCTCTGCTTTCCGCAAACCTCCAATAATCACTCCGAACCCCGTCATTGGCACTTGCACGTCCTTCGAGTGAGCCTCCTCGCCCTCGCTTTGCTCATACCTCCAAAATTTCGCTACAATTGCGGTGGAACTGTAAGTGATCAGTTCTCGAGCTATTATATTTTGCGTTAAGGTTCTTGTTCCATCGCTAACAGCCCCGAATAGATGCTGTCCTCGCGCATTTTGACCCGGCGCCTGCCACAGGTTGCTGCTCGATTCAACGCCCCCCGCGCCCCGTTCTCGCAAGTCCGAAGCCTTGCAGCTGCTGAGCTTGACGATCCTTTGCAGGTAGGATGCGAAGTTGTCCCCTAATTGCTCCACCTTCCGTCAATTGACTTTCTCGCGTCATATGCAGAACGGTGGCTACCAGAATCCTCCCCGCCAGAAGCGTGCTTTCAGAGATCCCTACGGCGACTGGTGGGACAAGCAGGAGAAGAGGAACTTTGGCGAGCCTGTTCACGAAGAGAACGAAATTTTAGGTGTCTTCAGTCCCGAGCAATACACCCATGTCACATCCCGCAAGGCCTTGTTCCAAATCGGAGCCTTTGTCGTAACCTTCCTGGGATTCTGCGGTGTTGTGAGCCTTTACTACCCTGACAAGCCGAGTGCTCCCAGAACCTTCCCAGGCGGCTTGGAGAAGGAGCTTGGAGGCGCGCATGCCCTTCCGGTACGTCCATTACGATTTTTATACCCCGTGTTCTCGGTGTTGTCATAAATCCAATATACTGACGTTCCTCTCTAGGTTGGCAAGTCCAGTGAGGACTCTTTGTAGGGCTTTGATCTTTATGTCGTGTAAATAAATATAGTACGGTTTTTCTCTCGTGGTTTCAATTCAAAACATTCGATTTTCGATTCGTCTTGACACCGTGGATTGTTCTTCTGAACATCAGGTGTTTCTCAGCCGAATATCCGTCCATCGTACTATCTCTTGTGTGTGATATACGATATATGACATACATCCCCTGCTACATATGGCATAGGAGGACCAGCTCCGGGGTCACATCTTGAACAAAGGTGATATCGAACAAAACGGGCTCATGCACTGCTTAAACTCCCCATCTGCGCCTTTTACCTAAAGATACTGCGGCAAGTTTCTCTGTTCTCAAAGGGGGCGTTGGAAAATATGAAACACAAATCAACACCAACCCGATTGGGCAGTCATGGTAGCGAAAGTCAGGCATCTCAGTGCAGTCCGTGTACAATACACCTACGCGAGATAATTCGTACTCCCAAAAAAAAAAAAAGAAAGAAAAGGTAGAATAGATCAATGACTTGTTGATCTAGTTACTCTTTCATCCAGGCCGGCGATTTGCTGTGGTGTGACATCTTTAGGTTGAACTACGTCAGTTCATCGGGGAAGCTTTTATGTGTTTCAAGTGCAACAAAAACACCCGCCCGCACCCCTTTCTATCTCAACCAACAGCATCCCTCAAGGGTTAAGGCTTCGCGCTCATCTCATATCTCTACTTCTGCAATCGCAGGGACATATTTTGATTCCAGATTTTCTCACGATTGAGCGCACGGTGCCTCCTCCCTTGTTTACTCGCGAACCTTTTACCCATGGTCCCGCACTCCACATCCACCCCTCTTGTTGAGCGCCTCTAAATTTGGAGAGATAGAGGGAAAGGAAGAGAGATTGAGAGAGTTTCCTCATGTCGACTTCATCAACGCAGTCCCGAGGCATCAACCGACGGATCAACAGTATACAGCAAGATGTCCGACATTCGCGCAATCTCTCTGCGTCTCGGAGACGTCTCGTCAACTCTTCAACAGCGTACAGCTATGCCCTTCGCGTCGCCTATCTCACCTATTTGCTGAATCCCCGTTCTCGTCGCGTACACAATGTGCCGGCTCCTCACCAGCAGCGCCCAAAACGGGCGTCAACCTCCTTCCACGATTTGATGAGTGATTTCTCGCTTGTGAGAGATTCGAAGAGCACGAGGTTCCCTAGCGGTTTCGTATCCGAACTTGAAAAAAGGTTGACGGGGGTTTTGATGGGAAAAGAGAAAAGGAAGGAATATCAAGATCACCTGGTTGTGAGGACATTTGCCGCCTTCCTCAACACTTTGAAAGACCAATCGTTCAAAAAGCGAATGGAGAAAGATCGCCGAGCCGAAGACTTAGTCCTTATATTCTACTCGAACGCGACAAAAGAGCTGAGCAAAGGGAAAGATTCAGATGACGACAGTTGGAAGTTGATGGTGGACAGACACGTCGCTCTTTTCGTTCGATTATTTGCACTTATCCTAAAGACTCATGATTGGGACAAGGATCGACCCGAATTAGCGAACAGATTATCGGTTCTGGAAAACAAACTTCTTTCCCATGATAACGATCTTATGCAAGCCGGCGGCTCAACAACAGCAGTTGAGACTACGACTTCTCTCAGCTACGATGTTAAGGACATGCCCCTCGTGCAACATGTTGCAAAGATATTCAGCATCAGCACGCACCAGGTCCAGTCCGACATCGATAAGAATAGAGGTGTGTGGACTGCGAAAGCGGCTCTTCAGGACCTGAAAACATACCAAGCCCACCTGAACCTCCAGACCCGGAAGACGCTGGCTAAAGAAGACTTCGACAATGAGGAAGCATTCGAACACTGGAAAAAGAGTGAAGGCCCGGATCTGTCCCAGCTGATGCTGGCCCTTGTACAATCCAATCCAGAGCTTGCCAGAAGTACTCCAGGAGGCGCGCTTCCGCAGTTCAACGCCAACGCTGGTGACCTGGGCAACGATACAGGCGCTGGAACGCTTTCAAGGGTGTCCTCTGACAGGCCGATTTCTTACGTTATTGACCAACCAGTAGACCTGAGCTCTTTGTCACTTAGTGACGATGCAATTGACAATTCGGATGAATCTGACACATACACGTTCATTCCCTCGGATCCACGGTCAATGTACAAGTTCATTATGGCTCAGACCTTGAGCCATGATCTCAAAGACCGCGATATTGAAGCAACGCAAGCTACCTCTGAGATCCCATCAATGAAACTTCTCTCAAAACAGTCAACCGAACTGTTGAACGAAATATGTCTTCGCTGGCGAATACCCCATTTCTCTAGAGTTGTTTTGTTCTTGGACACGATAAGGGCAAAGTTTGTGGACAACGAGATTGACCTTGATACTCTCGATTCTGCCTTCACATTTATCAAAGAGACCCCTCCGTCAGAAGGAAAGAAAAGACACAGTTTCATGGCTTCCGTTGTATTTGACAGGAGCAAATGGACAATTCAGGATCTTCTAGTGATGCAACAATTACTTTCCTCCCTCCATGAGGCATTACTTCGGGAGTTGTACGACGTAATGATGGATTGTTTCGAAGCAAAGCCTCGGCCAATTGGCCCAGTCATGTACGTTTTGGAGCATCACATCCAGCTCGATCCCAATTATACAGAGGACTTGGAAGATATCGATCGTTTCCGCTCGTATGTGCGTGATGGTTTGGCGCAAAAGGCGACTGAAAGGTACCAAGAACTTCTCGGACAGATTGTTCCGGTTGAATCTGAAACATGGGAGCCGAGCCACATCATTCAGCTTAGCGATGCCATCATGAAGCTAGCGCAAAAGATTCGAAAACGCTATCGAAACAATCCAGAAATCATGGGGTAAGTCTGGAGCCATCGTACGATCAGGCTATCCTATCTTCGTGACTGACTAGTCTAGTGTGAATCCATACAATATTCTCCTTACAAATGTCCTTCCCATATTCGCCGAAGATGCCCACGAGATGGTGGTTAGAATCATCGAGCAGGCCAAATTGAGGGGAGAAGATGTTGAATTAGAAGATGGTTTTGATCTGTACAAGCAATTGACAGCTACACGTCGACTCTTTGTGGAGGCTCTACCTGAGTAAGATCCTCACCACTCACTTTGATACTTTCGGTACTAACTTCCATAGCGCCTCTTTCCCATTCCACGTGGAAAATCTTCTGGAGGGCTTTGTCTGGCGCTGGATTCGCCTGACTGATCAGAAGATCATGGAATGGGTGGAACAGGCAGTTAGGCAAGACGTTTTTACTGTCCGAGCTGACGATTTGACAGACGTGGTTCCTGAGGACAATAGGCACAGCGTATCTGTTATTGATATATTTCGCTCATTTAATCAAGTGATTGAGCAAATGATACAACTCGAGTGGGATGATGATTTGCAGTATGCCAAGTTCATGACTGCACTCTCGAAATCTATTGGGACAGGTGTTGCAAAATATTGCGAATCATTGGAGCAAATGTTTTCCAGGGAGATGGACCGACTTTCCCCTGATCAAGAGGCGGCTATGAACCAGACTACTCAGGAAAGGATCATGCAAATGGCGAAGGAAGCATGGGCGAGCAAGGAAAAGATTGAGCCATTCCAATTCTTCCCTGAGGTAAGTCTAGCGGAGTAGACTGACAGGCTTGTTGTTCTGACGATCTATAGTCTTTGGTCAAACTCAACAATGTTGAATACGCTCTCTCTCAGCTCGATAAACTGGAGCATGAGATCAATGTCGACGGGTGTGCCGAAGTGATTGCGCAACATGCACCTCCACAGCTGCAGAGGATCCGCAAATCGACGACATATGTATTCACTATCAAGGTTGTGGAAGCTGAAGATTTGAAAGCTTGCGATATGAACGGCGGCAGTGATCCTTACGTTGTTCTAACTGATGAATATCAGAAGCGAATTGCGAAGACTCGTATTATCTATAACAACCTCAATCCCAGATGGGATGATGCTGTTGATATAACCACTCAGGGTCCTCTCAACATCATTGCAACCATTTGGGATTGGGATGCCGTGGGTGACCACGATTATGTTGGCCGTACTTCCATCAAACTTGACCCAGCTCATTTCAGTGACTTTCTCCCTAGGGAGTATTGGCTGGATCTGGATACCCAAGGCAGACTATTACTTCGTGTCAGTATGGAGGGGGAGCGTGATGATATCCAATTCTACTTTGGCAAAGCCTTTCGAACGCTGAAGCGCACTGAAAGAGATATGACTCGCAAGATTACGGAGAAGGTGAGTGATCCGTCAAGGATATATTGACTGAAGTCTTGGAAACTTACGATCCCTGCCAGCTTTCTGCGTACATCAGCCATTGCTTATCACGTCGAACTCTCAAATCCTTGTTGTCCCGGGGACTAAGCATATCAAGCGTGTCTAACTTCCTCAGCCGAAATCGTCCTCAGGGTACTACAACAACCCCTTCAGCTATAGAAGTGGAAAATGCGCTCAAGCCACTTTTTGACTACTTCAATGATAATTTTGCAATCATGAACAAGACACTCACATCCGAGGCAATGAAGATGGTTATGGCGCGCTTATGGAAGGAAGTCCTTGCCACCATCGAAAGTTTGCTCGTGCCTCCGTTGTCGGACAAACCCTCTCATCAAAAACCACTTACGATGCAGGAAGTCGATATTGTCTCTCGCTGGCTTGTACTCCTTCTCAATTTCTTCCATGCTGTTGATGAGGAAACCGGCGAAGCCCACGGTGTCTCTCTCGACATTCTCAAGTCGCCCAAGTACCATGAGATCCAAACTTTGAACTTTTTCTACTTTGAGCCCACGGAAAGCCTCATCCGCACCTCTGAGCGCATGGCATCAGCGACGATATCCCGGCAGCAAGCCAACAAGAACCGAGTATCTGCGCCGCCACACATCGGAACTAGTGGAACGGGCAGTATCCTTGGCCTCCCCAGCGCACGGCGAGCTAAGAGTATCATGCTGTCACGGAACCTAGGGACAATGAAGAAGATGAAAGAGGAGAAGTGGCGGGAGGCGCAAGCAGAGCCAAATGATGATATGATCCTGCGCATCCTACGCATGAGACCCGAAGCAGCTGGATATCTGCGTGATCGAAGCCGTCAAAAGGAAAGGCTTGCCGCTGCAGCTGCTGCAGATGCCATTGTGAAACAGAGTCTCATGGCTGGAGTCGGGGGAAGGATGACGGGAATTCTTGGACGAAGATGATTTAGGTGGGGGGGGTTGGTAGCATGGTAATTATTGAGTGCCGGATTCTGCTTCTTCTCGTCGTTGTTATTGTGAACTGCATTCTAGCATCATTTGCCTACCTGATGTTCATGATTCCCAACTCTTGTTCACTTGGCGAGTTTCAGACATTTCTGTTTTTGCGGGGTTGACGCTAGACGATAATCAGATAATGAGATATTGATTATTTTACTTCCTTACGCACGGCATTTGATATAATCCATACGGCGAGTTTGTAGGGGTCTATATAGTTGAAGCTCCTTGATATTTTGCTCCAGACATATCTATGTATAACAGTTTCGTCTCATTTGAATGGGGTCGCAGATTACTCCAGAGCAATGCACTCAATCTCAACAGGCACGCCCTTGGGGAGCTGAGCAACAGCAACGCAGCTACGGGCAGGCTTGTGAGTGAAGAACTTCTCGTAGGTAGCGTTCATCTCAGCGAAGTTGGCCATATCCGTGAGGAAGACCTATAGGCAACACACCCCCAAACAGTCAGCAACAGCATCCACACATCAGGCACCTATCAATCTCATCCTTTCACTCCGGGGAAAAACCACGGCAGGTAGCAACGCACATTGACCTTGACGACCTTGGAGACGGTGGATCCGGCAGCATCCAGGATGGCCTTGATGTTGTTGCAGCAGACCTGGGTCTTGTCGCCGATGTTGCCCTCGACGAGGTTACCGCTGGCGTCGGCGGGTATCTGGCCGGAGATGAAGAGCTGGCCGTTGGCGCGGATGGCCTGGGACTGTGGGTGTTGGGGGGCTGCGCGTCAGTACTGCTTGTGATCTCGCTGGATGGTATGCGGAGGCTGCGGGGTGTCGACTTACGTATGGGCCGGCAGCTATTGTCGAGAGCATTGTGTTAGCAGACGTTCTTCGCATTGGGGGTCTTGTCGCCGGTATCGGGGGGAAGCTGCAACTTACGAGGGCAGGCGTCCTTTGCGAAGATGGGGGTCATGCCAGACATGTTGACTGTTTGCCGGTAGGGGATAGATCGACTAATGTTTGAAGCGAGGAACTCAGAAGAAGTGAGAGATAAAGGGCGCGATACGAACGAGAACCGGGAGAGGGAGAGAAGACGAGAGCTGCTTTTAAGCATGAGGGGTGGAGGGGTTGTGTAAAGATTAGCTCTATCTATTATTCCGCGGGAAAGCTGGTTGGTGATGCTGTCGTTTCCCCCACCAAGAGATTCCCCACCAAATGTCATGAAAGCTGGGCGGCGATTCCCGAGTCTGAAGTAGATATTTATATAGGGCGATGTTTACTAGTCTGCTTTGTATGTATGCCTATCTTGGTTGAGCACTGGAAGGTTCTGTCCTCACTGGCTGAAAATTGGCAGAAAATACTAAGGTGGCTAAGCTAAGTGACACATACTATATACAAATCATCACAAACAATTCATTTCTTCGTCATAAGTAACAGGGTCTAGGGTTTCAAAACGTATGGTGACTGCCATCATGTCGTTGTAGGCTTATGTACACCCAGATTGCCTAATTGCTGGAGAAAAGCCGCAGTCTGTTCAGGAGAGAATCCAAAAAACACCGGCCCGTTGAAGACGATATTAGCGGACGAGTTCGTGGCTCTGCCATTCTGGACTTGATCGTCTGCATCGTCCTGGTGACTAGGCCGGATGGTATCTCCGACTTCATCCTTATGGAATTCATCGCGAATGGTCTCGGTTTCGGGATCAGGCGCCGGTTCGTTCACCTGGGGGGCACCATGGCCAAAAGGACACCGACCAGTCCTCTGACCGGCGGGTGGGAGTGCCATGTGGTCAGGGATGTGGTCAACAGCGTCCACTCCAGCAGGATGGTCAGACGGTCTGTCTGACGACAGGCGAATGGAGACTGAGACCGGGGCAGGCGGCGGCGAAGGCGTAGCAGATGGGAAAGGCTGTGTAGCAGGAACATGGATCCCCCAAGGCCTGCTCGGGGACTCTCCAACGCGGACTTCACGTAGCGGACGGTCAAACCGACCTTTCCTGTCATCTTCATCGTTTATATCCACTTGTTCCTCGTTTTCATCTCCGTCCTCCTCTTTGGCAGATTCGGGTGTTTCAGACCCGGGTGATTTCATCCCAACGCCCTCCGCCCATTTCTCGACCCGTTCAACAGAGGAGGTAGACGAAGGGGCACCATCCTGACTGTGGCCTGGCAGGAATGCTTGGTGTTTCGCTGACAGGCCTCGAATCATATTGATAAGACTACCATATTTGGAGTCGAGTAGCCGCATCGTTTGCTCGTCTCTCTGGTACCGTTGTACACAGACCGCATGGCTCCGCGGAATCTCATGCTTGTGTCTCTCGACATAGTCGGCGATTTCCTCCGGACTGTGCTGGTCCATGAATCTGATGGGGCATCTGGAAACGGGACAGTGCGTTGCACCGGATTTCGCAGATGTAGTTAAACTAGAACGTCTATCACTCTGTTCGGCTTTGATGGGATCAAGGTCTTTGAGCCCACACGTGTCACCGTTTTGAGTTGCAAGGGCTTCCTCTAACCCATTAGGCTCCCCGTTTTCAAGGGGTTTATTGTTGGGCTTCACAAAGGGACAACGCAAATCTCCGTGCGTGCCCTTCGTGGTGAAGTCTTTCTCTAACTGACCCGGTAAACCAGCTCTCGTCGCAACGTAACATGAGTTGAGGTCAGAGAGCTGGTTGTCTTCTTGCGGGTGGTTTATTGATCTGCAGCACTCAAGCCCTTCTGTTATAGCGGCGAGTGCCCCTTTTCCTACGTTTCCGGACTCTGCGAGTGCGTTGACTACATCCAAGGGGTTTAGGGATTGGTTATGGAGGGAATCGAACTCGGAATGATGACCAAGTATCTTCTCTGAGATAATCTTGGTGCGGGTATTGGGCCCAGTGGGAAGTTGATGTGCGAGTTTCAGATACTAAATTGTAGACGTCAGCACGACTGTATTCTGCAGTGCTACAGAAATTGACACAAATATGTGAAGTCTCATCAGATAATACATGACTGTATCCGTCACCGCCGCAGATGCGACTCCTGATCTAGAGCTAATCATTTTCTCTCATCACATGAGACATGGGGAGAACACCGAGTGGGGAAATGTTGAGAAGGGAGGAGTGGAATTTACCTCATCGTGTGCATATTTCAGCCTCTGTTGTAGCAATCTTTCCTTGCAGCCAAGTTGTTGGATGGAAAGCAAAAGAGCTTCAAGAGCCCGAGCTAAGGTTCGAAGCTGCAGGTCCGGCTGCGTTTCATTGACAACGGGAGCTGGAGACATCTTGCTCTGCAGTGTATAATTACTCAGTGGGTAAGAAAGTACAACACATCTGTTGGTTTCATATGGCACATTCTGCTGGACGCAGAAGCGCAGGTGTGAAGAAAAGAGAACAGAAGAAGAAGAGACAATCGGGTGTGGTTTTTGTACTGCTGCCTGAAGCCGTTTAGCGCCAACCCAAGCGAGGTGGTCCGTGCTCCGTGTCACGTGATATGTACATATACCAAATGATGGCCCGTTTGGGACCGCCGTATGCGACATCCGGGTTCTTGGCTGGAATACTTGTATATATCAGATGGTAATGGTGGGAGTCTAGTTTCGTGTGTTGTTAGAAGGGGGTGTTGGTGGAATGTACGATTGGTCAGAGATTTGATTATGGTTGCTGGTGTTCGTCCCTGGTGTAGACTTGGTGGTGGCGGCCGTGGGATGGACATTGGCCTAGTTATTGACTGTTCATCTTGTTTCCATAGTGCCTAGGCATGCCACCCGGGACTGTTGGCATTGAGTACTTACTATGAGTTTGTCGCGAGGTGGATGTTCGGGCGGCCTTTGTATGCCAACTCTTGTTTGAGTTGGGTTGAAATAGCTTGCTGATATGAGTTTAACCTTATAGCTCCCTGTCGCTTTCTCGGTGGATCGGTATGTTACTTGCCATGCGTAGGTGGGTGTATGGGTATGGGTTGAGGTGATGACTGCAGTAGTAGGCAGGGGCATTCGATATGTATATCTGTTCCATATACACACATGGGGACGAGGAAAAGATATATTATTCGGGCATTGGTCGTATGGCGGCAACAAACAGACCATTAAGTAGGAATTCATATCATTGTGACTGGTTGACTGTATCAGTGACTTTCGGGTTATAATACTACATATTAGCCACCGAGTATATATAATAATACAAAGACATACAGAGAAACTCAAACTCCTCATTCTCCAGACTGATAATCAAACTGCTAACCGGTCGACAAGTTGGACCAAGCAGTTAACCTTGGCATATCTAACAAAATATGCAAGGTCTCGTCATTAAAGCGGCAGCCGGGCTAGCTCAATCGGTAGAGCGTGAGACTCTTAATCTCAAGGTTGCGGGTTCGACCCCCGCGTTCAGCTTTCTTTTTTACTTTTTTTTTTACCCCCCTCCACAGCTAAGGACATCACTCATATCATTTGATTCTTGGATGATGCAATATTGCAGCATCCCCCATAAAGATTGCAGGTGTGACTGAAGGGTTGATACTAGTTTCGACAAACTGATCCGTGATTGCCACCAATGTTCTCTGTTCTATAGGCATAGATCGTATATAATTTCTTGAGTAGACAAGAAGAAAGAAAATAGCACGCGGAAAAATTGAGAGAGACCTACAAGAGATGATATTCATTTGTCAGAAGTTTCCGGATATGTGCATAGCCTGATAATACCATAATCCCTGCGTCTTATCACTAAAGCAGCCGCCGGGCTAGCTCAATCGGTAGAGCGTGAGACTCTTAATCTCAAGGTTGCGGGTTCGACCCCCGCGTTCGGCTGACTTTTTTATTTCGATTTTTCTTGTAGATCGAACTGGAGTTTTTTTCTTTTGTTTTCCATATGCCAGGTACACATGGGAAATATCCATGCCCGGAAATATCCATGCCCGTAGCCATGCATTGGATACATCCATCGGTCTCAACGGTATGACTCTATTTCTGAACTAATGGCCATCTCACCGCATCTCCATGCGGGCTTCATGGTACACGTTATTCCCTCAGAACCAAGGAAAACCCTACTACTTCCAGGGTACTTGCAAGTGACCCTTGGATTCACACCTCTTCAATCTGCAAACTCCCTGCTCGTCATACATCCCCGAATTTTGCACCATTGATCCCCATCGGTCAACCGTTTCGTTGGTTAGATCACTCTGATCGATTGTCGGTGACACAATAATGCTTAGGAGCGGTAACAGCTGGCGGCCATCGCATCCGCGTGTACGCCACACATGAGTAGCGTACATCAGATTCGAGACTGCAGGATGGCTGCAGCCGCTGCAGGGCGGGGGGACGGGTGTAAAACAGTAAGATCAATCATCAAACACACGAAAGAAAGCCACACAGGTCTGTAGGCAACTACTAGGTATGTGCTCGAGAGAATAGGCTCCGGCTGCTAGGGAACCGTGTGCGCTCTGCAGTCTGCAGGCTGAGCGGAAGCTCGGGGACGGGTTGAATGTAATTTTACTCTTCTGATGGAGTCGTTAGCCGATGGGATTGTTCATCTTGTCAAATAATAATTCACCACACGCAGTATCTGAATTGTATGTGCTATTCGCTTATCGGCCAGTAGGCAGGGATGGGGTCGGGGTGCAGACTCTACAGTGTACTTAGGAGATATGTACTCCGTAGTCCGCAGCTCCATGCCCAGCTGTTTCAGCCTTTCAGGTCCTTGCGTATGCTGATATTAATCATTGAGAATTGACGGACTGAGTCACTGGGAACGAAATGAAGATACTCCATAGATACTCCATAGTGGGTTTGCTTCTTATGTCGGAGGGTCGGATCTTTCCGGACATTATACATGACTAGTTCACGGAGTACATGCTCTCTACGAGCTGGGGGGCCAAGAAAAACTGCCTAATCCACACCATTCAAAAGCAGTATGATGAGTTCTTGACAGGAGCTGGCGAAGAGGCTAGACTCCTTAGGAGGATGAGCAGGATGTAAGCCTTAGCCAGCCCATCCGGACAACTTGAGTGTTGCACGATGGGCCATGAATGAACCCTTGCTAGACGGGTGTTCATCGGATATTAATCCATCAACCTAGAATTCTAGACGATCGCGGTTTGACACTGGTTTCACAGCCAATGCTTTGAAATAGGTGATTGATCTCATTTGTCGATATTGCCCGATTGTGAAGTGCACTCCTTTTGGCTATTCTTGATGGGTTACGGGTGTAACTGGAATACTAGACAGAGACTATATTAACCACCTTTGCACGATTCCGAATGCCACTCTGGCCTTTAGACTTGTTAGCTATTACACTTTCCTCTGTAGATGTTCTAAGAATTATTCTCGTATGATATTTATCCGCTCGGCCCTGGTTGTACCACTCTTTTAATTTGGGACGATTCAGGTCTGGGTGTCAAGGCCTCAACGGGGAACTTGAGGGCTCATCATGGTGGGGCAACAGTCTTGATGGTGATAATGCACAATCGTCAATATCACATGTAGTCAAGTGGTAGTAGTAGTGGTTGTAGCAGCATCCTCCTACAATAATTAGCTAGTGATAGATAGTAGAAGCATGAGATACAGAATAGTACTTGATAGATACCACTGCGATACCCGTCAATAATGCAACGATAACACAACGACTGGTGGACAGGTAATGCCGAGCAGGTGTAGGACAGTTCACTACTTCAACCCGGAGCCATATAAGGAATGGTTAGTGATGAACCTTCTGCTCCAAGATAACATGCTTGGGGACCAGGACTTATTCCAAAGTAGAAATGGCGGAGTGATCAGTCCTGTGAAAAGCTCCACCATGGACAGAGCCACAGACCGCGAGTCAAAGCGAAGCCGTACTAACTATCTCGCTACGGTGTGGATGGAGTCGATGGATCACGGCGAGAGAGAAGAGGGAATAGATATTCGAAATAACAACCATGGAGCCTGTATCCAAATACATGATGTGATCAGATCGCTAGCCCCCCTCCGAGCAAGACCCCGGGGTCTAGAAACCGGAAAGAATTGCTATAGAACAGAAGATGAGGGGCATTGATGGAGGACACTTGCATGAGGATACCACTGGCCACAGTACTGCTACCTACAACCACCAATAGATATCCAACCTATCTGAAGAAGAAGTTAGATTGTGAAGTCGTCAGAATCCTGTACCTGTCTCACTGGATTGCGTGGCATCGCCTATTGGTTTATTATCAGCACATTGTGGTAGTAGTCGTCAATCAAACCATTGATTGATGCTATCCCTGTCCATGGCTTGATGGCGAATCTGATTGATTGAATAGGAAGAATTCTAGACTCTGATGCCTGTGGGATGAGAACAATAGTAATACCAATACCATTAGGCAGATATCCTACAGGGCAAGAATTCTCTCCATGTATCTATTCTATGTGCAGTCAGTCTATTCCAAGGTACCTACCTCACTACACAGTACCTACTATGGATGAATCTAATATTGTTCAGATACTGATGGAATTACCAATACATAACATGGATACATTCTGTACAGTACAGTAGGTACTTTTGCTTCAATATCACCAGTCGATAGAACAGACACTTTTGAAGGATTCTAGAACTCCAGGCACTTTTGATAGATAGATAGAAAGGGCAAACAGTGTACCATTAAATGTATATAATTTATAGATTTTATCTTCAATGTTATGGTAATTCCATTACATCCTACCTACCTTACCCACTTCTATATCGATTCTGTGATCGTCGGTATTACATTTACACTGGACTCCGCTTGGGCTTATCACATCCATCCAACAACTATTTTTACACTTTCTTTTTTTTTTTTTTTTTTTTTTTTTTTTTTTCCCCTGCCTCACCCCTCATCCCCCTGACGCTCCCTCCCTCTTCCTTTTCTCTCTTTAGTATATTTTTTTCTCTCTTTTAATATACCACGATCCCCTTTTTATCCTCCGTCCCCTTCTCTCGCTCTCCTTCTTCTTCTTCTTTTCCTTCCCTTTCTTTCATCATGTCCCAATCAGCCTCGTCTCAGCCCACCCAAACTCCTGATGCCGCCGCCCAAGTCGCCGGACACCCCTCCTCCCATCCCTCCCGCACCACCGAACTCGCCGGTCTTAAAGTAAGACTTCGCGCCGCTCTGCGCCAATTCCCCGACTTTCCCTCTCCTGGTATTCTCTTCGAAGATATCCTCCCTATCTTCGCCGACCCCACTCTGCACGAAGCCCTCCTTCGATGCCTTGAGCTGCATATTCTCGAGGTCCACGGTAACCAGAAGCCTGATGTTATCGTTGGTCTGGAGGCTCGTGGCTTCCTTATCGGCCCCAGTCTGGCTTTGAGACTTGGCGCTAGCTTTGTCCCTGTTCGCAAGCAGGGTAAGCTGCCTGGTCCCTGCGAGACCCAGGCCTATGACAAGGAGTACGGCCAGGACTTCTTCCAGATGCAGTCCGATTCCATCAAGCCTGGACAGAAGGTGATTGTCGTGGATGACATTATCGCGACTGGTGATTTTGCCCTTCCCCTACACCCTCAAGCTGTTCTACCTTTCTTTTTTGAGATGCTTGTCCTAACCGACTCGTGAAACAGGTGGCTCCGCATATGCCGCTGGAGAGCTCATCAAGAGAATGGGTGGTGACCTCATGGGTTTCATCTTCATCCTTGAGCTGGAGTTCCTCAAGGGAAGGGACAAGCTCCCCGCCCCTGTGTACACTCTTCTTTCCGGCCAAGAGAGCAAGCTTCTGTGAACCTTCACCCAGACCGGGAATGACCAAACAAAAAGCTTTTACGTTTAATGACTTCGCATCCGACTTTACAATGTCAACAATACGCCCAGAAAAGCACTCTATTCACCACCCAAAAAAAAAGTCATGACGGAAAAACCATTCGTGCCGGACGGAGACCCGTTTCAAAGAAGATCGGCTGTTATTGAGATCTCGACTAGCCAGAAAAATCTCCGAGCCGGAGCCACGTGCTCTCCGGTGACCTTGAGCAATATAATCTGTCCAATAACACCTGCAGGAGAGGGAGTCGTGCGGTACTTAGTTGAGTTCCTGCATATATGCACCTTACTCCCGCCTCGATATCATGCAACTTGGTGATGATGGTTGGATCCATGTACCTGGCATGTAATTTTTGTGTGCTGCGGTGGGGGGTGGGATATTCAATGGTCAATTGACAGTTGCGGCCGACTTTTGTCACGAATTTCCATCTTAGTATATTTTATAGATTGATTGATTCTACATATACCTCTTCAAACCGCGGCATGTGCATCTTCATAAGTCAAGCGCGATCTCTCTGCGTAGCAAACGGCGTCTATTCATCAAATCGTGATCCTTTCTCTCATAACTATAGACAACAAAGCGACTAATTCAAGGGTATCGACTTCCGCATCACCTCATCAGCCCACTCCTTTGGAAACCCGATGGCCTCGGCCTCCCGAATCGCCCGGTTCATACGCGGGATATACTCCTCCTTCGGAGGCCCCAGACGCACCCGATTCTCATCAACATACACCAGCACCGTCACGACCGAGGCCCCGGACTCCCCCACCCCAGGAACCCATCGGGCGGGGTCCTCATCCAGCCACCGCGCCACCACGGCCGGCACATACCACTTATTATAATCGCCGACGCCCTGCTCCCTCGGCCGCACCTCCACCGGCACCGGCCCCGACCCCCGCGATCCCGGCGCCGCATGGTCAACCCCCTCATACCCATCCAGCAGGAACTCATCGTCCGGATCCATCGCATACAGCACCCCGAAGACCGCATCCTGGGCCCCCGACACGGGCACGTGCTCGCCGTCGCGCACCTGCTGGCCCACCCGCAGGCCGGCCGGCGGCAGCACGTTCGCGTACCCCGCTTGGCAGATCATCCAGCGCCAGTGGTCCAGCCGGGCGATGGCGAGGGGTTTCGCGGAGCGGGCTGGGTTCGCGGTGCAGCGGAGGCGCATTTGCGTGGGGGAGAGGTTGGAGCCGTAGGCGAAGTAGAGGGGGCGGGGTGCTGGGGTGGGGGTTTCGGTGATGGAGACGGAGACGGCGGGGGGTTCCTTTTGGGGGTCGAGGAGTGGGAGGTCGTTAAGGGGTTTGAGATGCATGGTTGAGAATAAGGGGGTCGTGATTTTGGGAGGTGGATGGTTGTTGTTGTTTGACTTTTGAGACTGAGAGAGAGGTTGAGGATGATCACTGATCAGTAATAGTAGTAGTTATTCAAGGTTAGTGGATCCGGGGCTCCGCGGGCGTTATAACTCTCAGTAAGTATGAGATGGACTTGGCGATTGCACTCTATAGTCACAACTTGAATGTCAGAAATCAGGTATCAACCACGCGTTGCATGAAGTTGGAAGATAATATTATACTCTTTTCTCTGGCTCTGGAACTTAAATTGGAACGACTGTGGATGGCTTCCGCCGGGTTGTGGATGCACTTCGATTGACTCTGCCGTTCTATGGATCCATCAGGAACCGGTGGCGCTGATTATTCAGAAGTTGATCCCTAAGTGTATATGAGGCAAAAATGGCCAGTGTTGCTATTTATATGTTCAAAAATATACCTGAGAGATGGCCTAGACGGGATATCATTCAAACTATATACAGATTGCTGATTGGAACGCCCTGCGAGCGGACAGTATACCGTCGCTTGATGCCCAAAGCTCTCGCGTGTCGGAGCAGTTCATATGTTTCTTCGCCCCCGCCAATCATGACCATGCTGATAGGATGTCGGCGAGGAGCACCGCCCGTAATCATCTGCGGCTCATCCAGTAACGGCCGAATAAGAAAGGGTTCTGCGCGCAGAGCAGCCAAAGCGGCAGAGGGAGACTCGAATGCGGAGTTGTCCTCTGGCGCCTGCACCTCGTAATCGACCACGATCACAAGCTTGAGGGCGCTTCGTGATGGGGGATAAGCGGCGATATTTCGTAGCTTTTGAGAGAAGCTGCACCCGCCTCGTTTAATGACGAGAACTTGATGTTTCTGTGCAATGTCTCGCAGGATACGGTGCTCACAGATCTCATCGGCAAAGTAAATCGTCGACCATGACAGACGAGTCTTCGAGGAATCTCCGGTGGCGGAGATAATAGACGCGTCTTCCACTTCGGGGAAAGGAGCAGAGCCGATACCACTGGCGACGGCTGCAGGAAGGCTCACGCGTACGGAGGACGATTTTGCGGAAGATGGTCGCGGGGTTGGACCTTGAGCCTCGTCCCGAAGCAGCGACGACACGGTGTCCATCAGAGACGAGAACACTGTTCTCATTCCGGAGGCCGAGGGGTCGACACCCCCGATCTTGTCGTCGAGAGAGGCAGATTCGCCGAGGATAGGCTTTGGATCATGCTCTCGAGCAGCCGATTCACGGCCACCAGCTGAATGATTTTTTGGACGGAGGAGCTCTGGCATTACGTCAATGACGATGTCAACCATGGCGGAATCGCGCATGCGAGTGAAGTTGGGATCAGCAGGATCGAGGACATCAAAGGTGATTTCTCGTGAGAGATATACCTTCTCATCTCTGCCCAGAGGCACATTATTAATCACCTGTACCCGGAATTCATCACCATCCGTTTTTCTGCTCATGTCGGGTGAGGGTACGTCTTGCACCATGCTTAATCGAAGACCTCCTATGTTCTTGATGAAGATGCCATCGCGAACACGTTCCAACGATCCAGGTCCCATGACCATACCAGGAATGGCTGGGAAAGATATGTCGAGTGTAGGGCGTATGGCCATTGGTGAACTGGTTCCATTGGAAGGTACCAATTCGGGAGGTAGAGTCCACGGGTAAAATGTGTAGTTACTAGGGGAGGACAGATCAGACACCGAGATGCTAGGATGGTCACTAGCATATTCTAAGATAGGCCCTTCAAGCGACTCTCTACTTGGCATCAGGTGCAAGCGAGCCAAGTTCGCCGCATGGAAAATATCAGGACGCGCTGCTGTTGACGATGAACCGAACGTCGGCGGCAAAGGTGCCAGTTGGCAAACCGACTCGTTACTCGCTCCGTCATACTGCGACTGCGTGTTGTGCTGACGGGCACTAGTACTTGCACTCTTCGGTATGATGAGCGGGTGACCCTCGGTCGAAAAGACAAGTGGCTGATCCAAATCATTTAGCGGATGATCAGGATGATACAGGAGAAACAGATATTTGGCAGTTTCCCCCAGAAAAAAGCTCTCCATCCGGTCGTTTAGTTCGCCATTCCTGACATCCTGTATACCAGCCCAGCCGCACTTCGCCCAGCACCGGCGTTTGATATCTCGGAGCACCATCTCTCCAACATGAAGATACCATGGATCTTTCGTGGCCCGATACAGATAGTACGTGGACTCAACGAATTCTGGACGACCTCCGTACCACGATAGGTCGCCCTCGATGTTTCCTGTGGCGACATTCCATCTTTCAGGAAGGCCGGAAAAACGGTTCCAGACCGCTGTCGTCAAAAGGTGAATACTGATGGCCTCATCAAGTTCTCCTGCTAGCGAGAGTAGGCCCGGATAGAAAGCGCTCAGACTATCAATCCAGAAGGCTCGCGTAGCGCCAGTAAAAATGTCACCTTGAATTAGATGCGGGTGTTGATATCCCTCACCCCGATAGAGGTGCCTTTTGATCGCAGCATGTGAATCTTCCCATACGCGCAAGAAAGCCTCTGGGGAGTGTTCATATTCGCTCAAGGGTGGGAAATAGTTGTCTAGTGCCTGCCATGGGCTACTGAGGTTGTACAAGGAGCGTTGTCCCGACGAGAGCAAAACATAGGACTTAAAGGCGTACTCGAAGAAGCTGTCAATGCCAGCTCCAATCTGTAAACCGCGACGTTTAGTTGGAGTGTAGATCAAGAATCTCTTACAAGAGTGAGAAGCTTACCCCCGTATAAGAGTGCACCCAGCGACCGGACTCTGCGTCGATGCCCGACCCTATCAAGCCAATGTCACTCCGTCGTTGCCACACAGCCCAGAATGCCCTTTTTGCTAGCTCTTCGTATCGACCATCCCCAGTAAGCCTGCTCAAAACAGTGAACTCGAGAACCAAGCTGCCTGCGCCCGCGCTGCACGTTTCGGTGGTCTCCGGATGCGAGCGCCGACGATCTTCCAGACAGGTCTCGGCATCAGAGCCACCGCAACCTTTGTTCGCATTCAAAGGCGAGTTCGCATAGAATGGACGCCGCTGCACGCCGTAACGAAGATTGACTCGGGGATAAGGAAGACCAGTGTCCGTGTAGAAGGCAGGTAACAGTCGATTCGCCAGATCAGCAGCGAGCCGCAGAAGCTGGCCATCATACACAAATCCGTTGGTCCACTTGATACCGTGATCATCTCCAGAGAAACCTGCTTTGTCCCAAGCTTTTGCAAAGGCGGCTTCTGGTTCCGGAGGGCTATATCCGGTAATCGGGAGATCGCCGACAGCGAAGAGATGAGCACTGAGTAGCCCGCCTGCGTCAAAGTCCAACAGTCAGACAGAAAGATCATATTGATTCCGTCGAGCGCAATTAACCGCACGTACCTAGCCCTCGAATAACAGTCTCAAAGACTTGGACTTTGCTATCGATATCGAAGCCCCTTGCCCTTTCGCCCTGGCCAGCAGGGCCATCCGAGCCGTCCCCGTATAAGCCGACAAAATCCCTGATTCCATTCTGGAAGTGGTTGAATGCTCGGTCGCCATCATCCGGGCTCGACGATAAGATCGCCAGGGACGACAGACTGTCGATCAGGGTGAGGGAGTAATTCCCTAGAACATCGTTGAGTTCAGCATGCGCGAGGTTGTCGCGGTCGCGGACGAGCGGACGGCAGGACAAAGGACGCAACTCGTCTTCAGGAAAGGCGTGCTTGAGGTAGTTTTCGAAACCGTGGTAGAACATTTGCTCCGTTTCCTTCCTAGAATGCACTCATCGTCCGCGTTAGTCTTGCGTCTGCCGTAACACCAAAGCAGGCAGGGAATCAGGAAAACTGAAATACCTGAGCTCATTGATTTGAGCAGTCCTCATGCCCTGAGCCACGGCAAGCCATAGCGACAGAAGCAAGAGCCAGGCGACCCATGTTGACTGAAGGCGGGACATCTGTAAGCTCCAACATCCCGAGCGCATTACCGCAAAAGCGAACCAGCCGCAGATGACATGGGAACGTGATAGATTATCTTGTCGGTCCAAGAACTGGCCAGCGCCGTCGAGAACCCTCGGATTGTCGAGTGTATTTGGAGGTTGATGAAATAGTGGTTGGTGGCAGTCCCCTTAATGTCGCACGTGAGATTTAAATTCAGCCCGCGTGAATGGCTCAGATGGATTTGTTCAAGCTGAAGGACAGATATGCCATTCCAATATTATCATTTTAGTACAAACAACTTGGATAAACTGGTTTCTTACTCATTCAATGCTTTTTGATACAGGGTTGAGTGTCCCTTAATTGAATCACTGCTCAATATATCCTAAGAAAAGTCATGAACAAATTCCCCATTGAAACTGCTGATGACCAAGCAGCCGAATGCTAGTTACCTCAGTATGAACTATATATGACAACAGAAAATACAATGTAGGATATCTCAAGCCACACAATGCGCTATGCAAAACCAGAAAAACATGTCTTCAAGAGAAGGTCCGGACAGAGTGGATCTGGAACAACCGAGCTAGATGCCATGAATATTGCCGATCAATATGCGTTTACTGACCTCCCGCACGTTCCGCATCATGTCTAGCAGAGAAAGGTCGCGGTTGTGCTTCGATCACATATTCAACACCATCATCAGATGCGTAGCTTGGAGGCCTAGGCGCCGCAGCCTTATTATTTTGCCTTCTTCCAGTGCCGTCGATGGTTGTGTCCGGACGCTCGTCGCCTTCCCGTCGTTGCCAATAGAGAAGATCGGGATTTAGTCTCTGCAGGGCACGAATTAGAACCCTGACAGCTCTTTTAAGGCTGGAATTCGGACTCACCACGCTACTTCTCCAAAGGCCATATGCTGGTGGGGGAGCCGTGACCTTTTCTCGAAGGTGGCCTTCGCTGCCGACCAAAGCTTCTTCATCCCCTGCGAGAATGACATGTATTGGGCGCGCTGGCTGAGCATAACCCATTGGCCCTGCTCGACTGGGTATGCGATTCCGGGCAACCCCCGAACCGGGATCCCGTAAGACGGTCATGGCGAAGCGAATGAGAGAATGGCAGAAGATGATGGAGAGAATTAAAATCATGAAGATCAAAAGAATATGAATCTCTTGCCCGAGACGTGTGGCAGAATTGATTGCAAGATCTAGCCCGAGCGTCAGCAGTATGTAGATCAAAGAACAACGACAAGAAAACCTACAGAACGCGATCGCTGCAATTAAAAAGATAGTAGATGGTATCAATGTGTATAATCTTCTCCTTATACTCCGTTCTTTGAGGGTTGACATGCAAGATCTCTGCTTGTTCGGCGCCCGCACAGCCTGTACTGCCGCGGTCGAAGGAGATTCTAATGACCTTTGTCCGCTTGGATTGTCACTGCCAGTTGGAACCTGCGAATCAACCGGGATATACAGCGCTGGGAGCGTGTTTAATGAGACAGCGGCAGTCGAGCCCGAATTCTGTGATGGTGAAGTTTCACTGAATGGCAGAGATTCTCGGCGGCCAGCACCATCGTTAGAACCTCGGCCATCAGTACATGATTGTGTGATTGCTCCATTATCACCTGGATGCAGGATTGAATCGAACTCTGAGCATGGAGCTAGCTCAGTTGGTTGCGACAATGCGGCCCGAGGCGGTTCCATCATAGTTGATAGCTGTCAGACCGATAATGACATTGGAAGCAGTGGAACATCAACAGATCAGAGAATAAATATCGATTTTATCCTCCAAGATCTTCCTCTATATATATACCCAAGTTTTTTTCGAATAGCAACAATCGACCCGATTTGGATGGTATGTATGGCTGGAGTCCTAAACCGACTTCCGCATTCGTTGCGCACCCCCGTAAACAGATGCGAAGGAGACCGAAGCTGCGACGAAAACCGCCAGGAATGGTCGCACTGTGGTTGAACAAGGAACAAATTAATATTCCGCAGACAAGAGCAGGAAAGGTAATATGAGGTTTATTTGTCGATACAATTTCTCTATACAGACACAGGGATGCTGTAGCGATTGTGAGGGTCGGAGGAGCTGTATAGGATATGGATTCGTTCTTCCACTTCGAGTCGAGTGACTTGTGATATAGGACCTAGAGATGAGATTGAGACGACAGAGATATCTCGAATAAGCTGAAGAATTAATTGAAGAGGCGAGAGAAAGAAGGCGAGAAATGAATATGGGGGAGCACCTGGCCACCCAACAGTGTAAGATTTGATGCACAGCTGATGATAATTAGAACATAAGAGTAGACCACCACGATCGAATAGACAACAAAGAACAGATACTCAAGTGGAACTTCACGCTACAATAAAGAAGGAGGAGAAAGAAGCACCGAGGCCCCAGAGGCCAAGAAGCTTGAACAGCTCATCTTGATACTGGAGTCTGGAGGAGGAACTAGTAGATAAGTCAGGCTGGGTGGCTATTTTAACCGCGGAGGTCAATAATAATCCCAACAGTGCCTAGTGTGATCGAGATACAGGAGATGAACCCCTGAAGGACCCACGTTGTCTACGTACGCGGTACGACCTTGCTCAATGACCTTGCGACATTGTTTTCTCCATCGAGGAGAAGATCAAAGGTAGATCGACTATCTATGCTGAGGATGAATGATTTATGAGTTTCCCTTGCGTCCTTGCCAATGTCGTCGATTCATCGAAAGCTCCAAGTATACAGCATCATAGAGCCGACTATCGGAATGGTTCTCTCCTTTCTACCGCAATGCGATGGTCAGACCTTGATCAAACACCAACGCCAAGCGCCATGTGTTTCAGAACACCCATCAAACTTGAACGCCACACCTCAACATATGGTCAGTCATTTCACATCTCATTCGGAATGGTAGATGGCTCATGAACCATGCCATGCAGCGGGGACTTGGCTCAGCGTACTGGTATATACCAGGAAGATTTCCATACACATACATAGCGATTACGTGCTCATATCTCATATGTCAATTACTCCAAGAATAGTGCGGCTGAACCTTAGGTCCACTGTAAAAACCGACCGATCTTTGGACATTGATGCAGGGTGACTTGATGTTAGGTACAAATATTTCTGACATATCCGATGTAGAGTCAATAATTACGCCGATTTCCAAGTCTCGATAGCCGAAGATTGAAACCCACAATGATGGGTTTCCCCATCCTAATGTCTCGAGGCTTGTTACCAATCATAATTCAGGTTCGGTGCCTTGGATCGGCCTGGGGATGCGGCTTCGACTCTATGCCATCACCTCAAGAGCCATTTCCCCGGACAGAGTCGCGATGGTACTGGGTGAACGAAAAGCAGACGTATGCCTTGGTGCGCTTGCGATGTGCAGAGTTCCAAGGCGTACCCGACTACCCGACTACCCGTACATAGTAACCATTCAACACCATGTTGAGTGACCATCAACTGCTTCGGGATACACAGGAGAAAAGTGGAGTTTGATATGTTAGATATGTGAATTATCAGGTATCAGTCCGGTTGTGAGAGTATCATTTCCCGAGTTCGCCAAGCATGAGGGTTCGATCCGACGATCCAGATACGACTAGAGTTGGTTAGTTATTCCGACATAAAAAAAAAATCAAAGGAGGACCGGCGTGACTCACTGATAGGTTCATTATTCGGCGAAAATCGTACATCGTTGACCGTGCCTTTATGCCCGGGAAGCTTATACAGAAGCTTTCCGGATTTGAAATCCCAAACCACAACACTCCGATCACCGCTTCCAGCCGCAATCTTTTCACCTTTCGGGTCCCAGCTTGCCTTAATCAAGTTCTTCTCGAGTCCCATAGGGGCGCCATCGTATGTACGGATGTGCCGGTTGGTCGGCGCGAAAGGTCGGATATCCCAAGTGCGCACTGTCGAGTCATGGGAGTTGGAAAGAAGCGACTGCGAATCCGGCGAGATTTCCAGTGATGTGATGGTATCCGTATGTCCACTCATGGAGTACGCGACAGCTTTCTTCCGAAGGTCCCAGACGTAAATCGTGTTATCAATACCTCCGCTGTAAATCTCGTTTCCTGCCTCCGAAAGAGCGACCGCAGTAATGGGAAGCTCCGTTTCAAGATATTCAATAGCGTCCTTCTGTCGTGGATCCCAGATACCAATGCATCCATCGTTGCTTCCGCTCACCAACAGCTCCTGACCTCGTTTACTGATATCCAGACAGTTGATGATCTCCTCGTGGCCAACGTGGCGCCGTATTCTCTGCCCAGTTTCTACATCCCAGTCCGCAATGGTCATATCTGCCGATGCAGAGAAGATCGCCCGTGAGTCTCGTGACCACTGCAAATCAAGGACCGCTCCACGATGTCCCGTAAGGATGCCGTAATTCTCGCATTGTCCGTAGGTGTTCCATAATACTGTTCGATTGTACGCAGAGATGTCAGAAGAACTGAGATAAAATATCACATCCAGGCCACGACTTACAGATAGACCGATCCATCGAGCCAGATGCTATGTGCTGCGCGGTGGGGTCGAATCGTACAGCAAAGACCTCCCCGGAATGACCTGCGAAAGTCGGATTAGTTCAACATCGAACGGGTTGAGCGCAGATGGCTTACCAGTAAGTTCCATAATGGGGGCATCAAGGCCACTGGTGCGAGGAATCTGCAACTGTGGTTAGAAGGACAATTCCTTCGAGATAGCATTGAGTCCTCCATGGGACGGTAGAGGGGACATACTGCTTGCACGAGGGTTCCATTCTGAGAGGAGCTCTTTACAACGGCTGTGCCAGCGTTGAGATCACCATCGGACTTCTTTCGTTTTACGACCAGTTGATTTGATGAGCCGAAGGCTTGCTGAGCAGGTCTTTTTTCGCCCGACATCGTCGCGGAAGAACCCTTTCACTAAATTCCCAGTACTGGGGAAATAAACCAGAAGGAAAGAAAAAAGCCAATGCACGGATTGACAGGAATATATCAAAAAGCTGTTCGGCAATTGGAAGCTAGATATCTGAAGGCCAGCCAACCGTCATTGAGTAGCAAGTTAGTCTTTTGTCCAGGCTTGATGCTAAACGCGCAAGGCAGCGAGCCGCGCTAGACGCGAATCTATGGCCCACCCGCAGAGAAGCTCCGCCCTGCTTGGTTGATCCACCGACTCCAGCGGGGAGATGCGAGGTATCCGCAGCTCGCATTTGACAATTATCCCTAATTCATTTTCACACAGACATTCGACTTAATCGCTTGCTATAGTAGTTGATCAGTCTGGAACAAGAAAGAAAACATGTCTTCCACAACCAAGGTCTCTCGGATTGGAGAAGAGTGAGTCCTACCTTCCTGGACTCTGTAACGTATCAGTTGATTACAGCTTTATTGACCTAACCTGCAACTATAGGCTTTGGAAGTCAGTAAGCTAAGCGCTGCTATGCATCCTCGCCAATGACCCTTTGTTGAGCGAGCGGACAAAGTGTCGAATCGAGTGCGTCAACTAATGCTGTCAATTCCAGGACGAGGGTTGACAAGGTCAACGCGGAGTTGGTGACGTTGACGTATGGAACGATTGTCGCGCAATTATGTCAGGACTACGATAGCAACTACCAAGAGGTCAACAAACAGCTGGATAAAATGGGCTACAACATCGGCATGCGACTGATTGAAGACTTCCTGGCCAAGTCCGGGATGGGTCGATGCGCCAACTTCCGGGAGACGGCCGATATGATCGCGAAGGTATGATTCGATTGACTATGCGATGATACCGTCGCGGCTGGAAGTACTTCTCGGTCACTAACATCAATACTGGTCACAGGTTGGCTTTAAGATCTTCCTGAACATTTCCCCTACTGTGACGAATTGGACCAGCGACAACAGCCAGTTTTCTCTGATCTTCGACGAGAATCCTTTGGCGGACTTTGTCGAACTCCCGGATGACGGAAGGGCGCAAGATGAACTGTGGTTCTCTAATATCTTGTGCGGTGTATTACGAGGGGCACTCGAGATGGTAAGTCGCAGACTGCATCTGCCATCTTCACTCTCGCTTCGAAAGGCTGACAATACAACTTGTCGCTCTCAGGTACAAATGCAAATCGAAGCTCACTTTGTCAGCGATATCCTCAGAGGCGATGATACGACGGAGATGCGAGTGTCGCTAGTCCGATACATCGAGGACGAGATGCCGCCTGATGAGGAGTGATTTTGATGAGCGATGTCTGATTTGACACTTCTTCCGTACTACCGAGGCGCCTGGTGTTCTGGGATTCTGCTGTTCTTCTCTATCGGACTCCTTTAGTTTCAACTAACGACAGTGCACTTTCTATCTTTCGGCTAGACCAAAATTTCCCCCAGAAATATATGAGGGATGTTTCTCAAAAGGCAAGAAACGCCTGAAGGCAAATATCTCGTTCATCGTATATTTGTGGCAACAATTACATTTGTCTATCCCACTACGCAGACAGGAAGAACCGTAAGGTACGGTCCGATTCACGGGACTCTGGAGGCATATTATTCTTAATGTTTCTTAGTACTCTTAGTCGCTTAGTATTCTTAGTGGTTTGACTGTAAATACTATCGCCAATTTGCCATTCGCCAAAGAGACAGTTTCCATCACCCATCGTTATCTCTTACTCCCAGAGATTAAATTCCAGATGGAGTTAGATGATCGCCTCTGTCAAACCTAATATGCTGACATAGTTATGCAATATCCGACCTGGAAGACTACATCTTGGAGACACGTTTAGATAGACTCTAGGGGGCGTGCGAGGGATTTGACAGGATTAACTGATTTGATATTACAGAAAATACAGATAACAATCCATGACAGCACCCATAGGCCTACTACACACATCACTGAGGGGAAATGATATGATCGCAAACTGTGTCCGTGGTATGATTCAAGGATCATCAACGTACCGGCCAAGAGCACCTATCATCTGATAGTGGTAGCCCAACATCTACCTTGCATTTACTAGATTGCAGTTTGACGTTCTGGTAGCTTCTATCTATCCAACTATATACCAGTAACTGAAGATATCGGACCATGCGGGAATCACACCTGATCATTGAGTGTAAGGCAGGATTGTACAGAGGAGGTACGTACATTGATGGCGTAGACAGATAGGGTCACTCAAGCATGCAGCTTGTATACCTCATACAAGCGATACACCCAGCTCGGGTTCTCGATCCTATGAAATCGATCGTCATTTACCCCCAATAGCTTTATTTTATCGATGGATGATCCGACCTTCTTCTTTTCTTCCTTGCTTCATCATCTCACCCTCTTGACCGTCAGCTGGAAGAAGACAGCCCGTACTGCCGTCGTTCTGCTGGCGCGTCTCTCATTGTATAACGATTGTTCCAGTCACGGATGAATGATTTTGCGGGACCCTGACCAACGAGATACTGTAGTTTTTTCCCGCCTCTTGTATTTTTTTAATTTTTAGGAGGCAGGCAGTTTTCTCTTCTATTTTATTTTTTATTTTTTTTACCTTGAACATTGAGATCCTGCTGGGGATTCGTATCAGATTGCCTTATTAAATACTGAGTATTTCTCATTTCTATCCGGACTTTTTTTTTTTTTTTTTCTGGTTCGGTCCCGGATCAAATTTCCTGTTCACAATTTCCCTCCTCCCTTCATATTTTTTTGCCGCTTTGCACTGGGAGTTGTTGCATGCTCAGAAATACGCGAGATCGCCGCATCTCCCAGCCCTGCCGCCGCGTTCCGAGCGAGATAATCCGCGCCGAACAAGCGATCCACGCCCAGCCGAACGGCAGAACTGAAAGTGAAGGACAGCCCAGCATCTCCAGGCACCGCGCTGGATATCCACGTCCTCCCACCCAAGTCACCCACTCTAAACCTACGACTAACTGCCACCAACTATTCCTCCTCCTCCTCTTCCTCCTCCTCCTAAACTGACCTCCTCAGATCTCCTCAGATCCACCGCTTCATCCACCTTGTCCTAACCTTCGCCTCTTTTCCCCCAACTTATTCCCCTCTCCTTCTGTACCTCTTCCTCCATCCCCCCCCCAAATATCACCACCCGACTCCTCTCCCTCCACCCAGTTTACTCTTGGCTGGATCTGCCGACAATCTCATGATCTTCATCGCCTTGTCCTTGGATTTTGATTGAGGTATCTCTCACCTGAAAAGACTCTGTTTCTTCTTCATCCCAAAGTGGTGCCCGCCGGGGCATTATCTGACCCGCCTCCCCTAAAGCGCCGTCCCCGTTGCTTCACTATCGTCGTGCGCCTTTCATCTCTTCGCGTCGCTCATCGCACTCACCCTTTGCGGCCGATCTAATTGCGCTCTCTTTTTATTTCGAGTTTCTGACCAACTCATCTACTCTACCCCTATAGTCCTTATCGCACCTTCATCGAAGCTTAATAGAATCCTTCAGAGGAACAGATCACGGATTGTATCATATTGGATCTTTTCGCTTGCGCCCTTTGTTCTCCTCATTCGCGTCCGTTTTTGAAAAGGATTACAGTTGTCTTCACTGTGGGTGATCATCACGATTCGGTTTCTGACCTGCCATGGGAATGGACTCTCTGACTTCGCGTCGGTAGATTCTTTGTGACACTTTTCGGACTTGGCTCGGACACTTTGAGGGTCCCTGTCGATCCCACATTCGTGCTCAACACGGGAGAAAGTCTTGTTTGAAACCCTTACACGCATCGGGTTCGAAGCGCCGGTCACTTCGCCTCTTCCATCTCGACTGCCTTCCCCATCTCGGCACGCGCCTCGTCTTCGACCTGTGGTGAGAGCTCTCGCCCCGAGACGGTGGATGCGCGTTGCACCGATCTATTGCCGACGGCTTTCTTAGAGCACCAGCAGCAAACGAGGGTGGTTGAATCCTCGTAGACCCACCATGAATCAGATGAATGTTACAGGGATGAACCCTGGGGCTGGGGGCCCCGTGGGTGGTGTTCCTATGATGAATAACGGTTCCACGGCTCCTCGCAACGATGGAAATGTGAACAACATACCGGAGACGATGATCAACAACCTTAACACATATATCTATGATTATTTTCTGAAGCGAGGCTATCACGAGTGTGCTAGGGCTCTCGTAAAAGATGAGTCGATCAAACTGAACACGGAGCCACCTACAAAAACCAGCCCGGGCCATCGTCGTGACGATGTGAATGGCGTTGAAGGCGATGCGATGATGACTGATAGCAAGGACGGTGATAAGATAAAGATCCCTGACGACCTTCCTCGCCCCAATCTCGCTAGCGAAAGCCAACAGTCCTCATTTCTGCTCGACTGGTTCAGTCTTTTCTGGGACTTCTTTTGGGCCCAACGCAAAAAAGGGAACAGTAATGATGTGCGGCAATATCTTCAGCATACTCAGGTAACTGTCATTGGCCCTGACGCGAGTGGTGCCCCTCTAACTTGAGTTCTGCAGAATATGATGCGACTCCGAGAACAGCAGCATAACCAACTGTTACGGCAGCAACCAGTGATGCCCGGACAGATGGGCCCGCTCAATATGCGCCGCAACGGCATGGTTCCTGCGAATCTTCAAAAGACTGTGTTGCAAAATAACACTGGCGGCCTGTACGCACTCCTCTGAGATCTCGTTTCGTCATCATTTTGCGATCAACATGTACTGATCGAGAACTCAACAGGTCCCAGCAACAATTAGCCCAGTTCCAAAAGACCCAGCAAATGCAGATGATGCAGCAAATGCAACGAGAACATTCTGATATGGACATGAACGGCCATCGCCCGCAGTCTCCCTCCTCCGCCGAAAATGCCCCTTCACCGTCGAAGCGACCACGTCTCGAAAACGGCCCGATGAATGGACAACAATTGGCTCCCAACGGGCGGGGACAAGGCCAGGGTATGCCCGGTCAACCGAATCCTCAGGCGTTATTGATGCAGAATGGGCTCAATCCGCGGGCGATCAATCCGGCCCAGTTTCCAGGGTTCCAGCAGCCAGGCCCAGCTGCTCAGCAGAAATCCATCCAGGTATATGCTCAGAACTTAGCCCTTCATCACTCGCGCTCAGCACTGAATAACCAGGGCATCCCGAATGGCTTAATGAACCCCGGTGTCATGCCGAACCAGACTGATCTGGTGCCTATGCCAGACGGCCAGGGTATGTATCCGATGAACGGGGACTACTATGGCGCGAATGGTCCGATGGCCCAGGTCCGCGCGGGGATGCAGACACCTGGCGGTCAGCACGGTAATCATGCGCTCCAGGATTATCAAATGCAGCTCATGCTGCTCGAACAGCAGAATAAGCGGCGTTTGATGATGGCTCGTCAAGAGCAGGACAGCATGTCTCGTGCTGACGGTCAGCCCCCAATGCCTGGGCAGCAGGGTTTGCCCCCAGGCACCTCTCCCCAAGGCAGCAGGGCGGGCACGTCACCGAACCCCAACGATCAAATGAAGCGAGGAACCCCGAAGATGCCTCAAACCGGCCTGCCAGGCTCCCCGAGTGCCGGTGATCCAATGGTTCAGAACCGCGGATCTCCCGCTGCGATGAATTTCAATGCCGGCCAGATGCCACCCGAGATGGCCGGCGGTCAGTTCTTCAATGCGATGGCCGGCCCGAACGGTATGCGCCCGCCAAGTTCCAACCCGGCTTTCACCGGTCCGCAGATGGGCCAACCCATTCCTACCGGAGCAGCCAACCGGGTCGCGGCCGCCAGTTGGCAACAGCAGGGCCAGCCCATGGCGCCGCAACAATCACCAGCGCAACAACCTCAACCGACGGGAACACCTCAGCAGAATTCGATGCCTCCCCCTTCGGCGCCGCCAGTTGGTGGTCCTAATGCTGGTCGCGCAGCGCCCCAGTCTCCTCAAAACCCAGCTGCAACTCCCACGCCCCAGCCAAGCAAGGCTGCGCCGAAGAAGAAAGAGCCCAAGGAACCTGCACGAAAGGTACGTCTTCGATTCCCTGTTTACAAGTGCCTTCTTTTTCTTTCCGTCTTTGTTTGTCATCACTTTTATTGAACATCATTATAGCGGGCCACAAAGAAGACCCCTGCTGCTGCGGCCGCTGCCGCCAATACGGCTGCTACACCTTCTTCAGAAGCTGAGCATCCGCCAACAACCCCAACTCCTCCAACGCCAACAATTACTCAACATCCTAGCTCTTTCAATAAGGCTGGACCGAACGTCACAACAACTGCTCCGCAGCCAACATCCGCACCGGCACCTCAGCCTATTGTGCAACAGCCTCCCCCAGACCAAACCCAGCAATCTTTCAATGACCTCAGCATCCCAGATGTAAGTCACTTTGTCATCAATTGTGTTGTGTGAATCATTTCTAATCACAAATTCTAGGCGTCGGCGTTCAACCTTGATTTCAGCGCTCTAGAGAACCCCGACATTCTCGAGAACTTCGACTTTGACACCTTCCTTAACACCGATGCGGATACTGCTGGATTCGGATTCGACCCAAACATATCCTACCCAACAGATGGTGTTGAGACCGGTGCCGGCGATGGCTTATAAACGAGCCGGACGGTTCTTCAGTTTCTAAATTCCATTATACCCTTGTTCTGTACATTCCATAAACTTCCTCGCTTGTGCTATTCGGTTATCTCGATTTTTTTTCTTCTCCCTTTCTCATTTCCTTTGTTACTGTCAATTGACATGAATTGGATATTTTTGCCGCAAGACTGGCGTTGGTTTGTATTCATCTATGCATATTCCTTCGTTCTCTGCGAGCCAAACGGAATGCCATCCTCCAGTCTGCTATGGCTGCAATGGCATTGACTCAGCCGAGTATCTGTGACTATGAGCCCTTTCATTTTACCTCCTTTCTCCGACTATCTTATATTTTCGACTTCGTTACTTAATACTTTATTCTTTCTGAGTTGTCGAATGGGCACCCGGGTCAAGTGCAGATGGGGGTGATCGTCTCTCTGCTTCCCACGCGCTCGGGATTCACGTCCTCAAAAATGTGTCTTGTACGCCGCGCTTCTTCAACTCCTCTTGTTGCTGATTCCGAATCTACTTTTTTTTCTCCGTTTGTCTCCACTTTGGCTCCGTTCTGTGGCTCTTGTTCGTTGCGGCGTTAGTGATGAGACCCTAGTCAAACGAGAGTATCCTCTCCGGGAATGGCTTTATGAATTGAGGAAGTTGCATACATTCATTCGTTACATCTTTTGCCTGTCTTAAACTGTAAGCCAGTCGAGTACTTTCATCGAGTAGGATCTTGGGATGGCACTTTTTCCATTTACCTCATGTCGTGGATGGCGATTCGGAATAGAAGAGAATCAAAACTGTTGTGCATCTTCTGAGATGACGTCTGCAGAGTTTCGATTCCATAATCGTACATATAGGCTGTGCGTTACACAATCAAGCTCAGTTGATTTCCTCTATAGACTCTAGACAGACAGTATCGAGGAGCCACCCAGCTATCTACCCCCCTCTTGAATGCTAGGTGCCTTCCGGGTCTGCTTTGACCAGAACATCCCTGACACGACGAACCTAGAAGGTTGTATTGCCCCAGTTCTTCAGCCGATCCCGTTCCTGCGCCGCTTGGTCTTCCAGCAGAGTGTCCTCCTTCACCATGTTGATGAGGTACTCGATCACCACGCGGGCACATGCCTGCTGCGCCCCGAAGACCGTGCCCTTGAACTCTATCTGTCCAACTGGGCTCGCGCGGGCCAGGAACGGGTCATCCTTGAAATACGCACCGACTTTGTAGTCGCCGTTTGTTTCCATTCCTGAGACGCTTTTCTTAGTCGTTCTGATCTCCGGATTTTCCAGGGAAAGCAGCTGGCAGATCTCTGATGCAACAAGTCAGAGTATTGCATGCCAGCGTAACAGACATGGGCTCACCTCGAAGCTTCCAGGTGTAGAGACCGAGCCCATTAAATCTCAATTCTAGTTCTGCAGGCGTCACACTCCATCTCTTTTCGTCCTTCTTGTCGGGCTCTTCAACTGGCTGCAATCGAACATTGTCCGCCAGCGGTAGAAGATTCGCATTGCCCTCCCAAATTCCTTGCACATCTCTGGTGGACGGGGTCCTAGCCTTCTTACGGTTGCCTCTAGTAGTCTCCTGACTGCCATCATCAGCGCTCCTTTTCAGATGGCGATATTGCGCGAAAGGATGACGAATGCCGGCGCCTGAATCGTCTACATGAATTTGTTCCCTGGGAACGAGGGCTAGCTGACTTTGATCGGACTGACACAAAGCAACAGGTCCACACAAGCCTGAAGGCGGCTCGTTCTTGGAGACCAGCAATGTATGTAGAGCCATATGGGCAGCGGCGTTTCTCGAATCCCTCTCACGAGTGTAATGCTTGAGCGCTCCGAAATGTGAGGTGTCAGCTACTTCAACTACATGACGGTAGCCTTGTTTGTGATTGTATTTGGTATACTCCGGGGCCGGTAAGGCATTTTGAATGCAATATTCTGGCAAGTAATGTTCGTCAGCCTGTTCATCGCATATGTCATGATCATTTCTCTCAAGGATCGCTAGGCTTCCTTCCTTACCACGCAGAATTTCAACCCAATCCCAGCCGTAGCAGAGACCATCTCTAGGCTCCTCGGGGACAGTCCAGTCCGGAAACTGCCTTTGCAGCCTTGCCATGGCCTTTCGGCTTACCTCACACCTGGCCTCAAACTTGGTATGAAAGGCTTGACCCAAGTCAAATGTGTGACCGTATATGGTGAGCTTGCACAGCCACATCCCTTTCTTACTACAACGGGTGTACTGGAATCTCGGAAGCAGAAGAGCTTCAACTCCCAAAACACCCAAGTAGAAGAGTACCTGACTCTCGCTCAGCTCGGAGATACCAAAAGAGGCCAAGGACCGGCGTCTTGTCGGGGTCTGCAGAGATGAGGGCCAAGTCAGATAACGTCCTTGACACTGCACTATCAATCAACCCAACAATTCACGTACCTTTCGATGTCTGGGTGTTACATCCACGCGAGGCGGGTCCCTTCTACACGTTATGAGACTCCATTCCCCGGAGGTTTGCCCACTATCTTCAACTTTGATAGCCGAACCAGTAGCAGGCAGACGATGAACAGAGTCATCTCCCTGCACCTGTTCCCCTTGAGTTGCAGCAGGTGGTTCTGGCACTGCATGACCACGAGAATCAGTGCGAGGAGAGACAATCTCGCCATCCTCCAACTGCATATTCATGTCGGTCACAGGACTTAGCCGCCCAAAATTAGCTGCAGTGTTCCTCTCTGCAGGTGATAAGACATCTGCAAGCATCGGAGAGGAAGTCAATGGCCAACGTGAGAAGCTTTGAGAGGCCGAAGCAAAAGAGAAGGGAGAGCGGTTGTTGTTCGCCGTGTCAACGGGCGCCATTATCCAAGGACAGATATGTGAGCGCACTTGCAGCTGACCGCTAGAGTTCGTTTGAAGATTCTGTTGATTCATTTTGGCTGTAGGTAACGAGGGCATTCCAAAAGAATGACGGTTGCTATTCTCGGGCAACTCCATGATGATATATCTCCTCAAAAGCAGATCTGGGTGGGAGCTTCTCGGGGGAAAAAAAAAAGAGAGTTGAGGGGAAGAAGATGAACACAAGTACAAAGGATGAGAAGTGGTGAGAAGTGATACAAGACGGGCAAATAGTCGATGGCAGCAGTCGAGGAGAGTGCCTGCTAAATATGGCAGCAGCGCCGACACTCTCACCCCTAGCTCTTACTGTTCAAGATCCAGCATAGACTCTGCCACATCGAAGATGTCTCTCTCAGACGAGAACACTAAAGACTGGTTCAGTCATGCATACAAGTGGACCACTCATTCCCATTAAACATCTTATTATACGAATAGAGGTCCATTTGAACCAAACGCTACAATCAATCCTACTTGTAAGCTTGGGCGATGCATCGATCTTGCGGTATGTTATGTGGAAAGCTCTGAATAACCTCATGGTCAAGGAGTCGTACGTTTTGGGAGGAGCGGGACTTGCCAGGCTCCAGTGTGGTTATAGCCAATAATGATACACAATGAAGCCATGTATATATTCAACGAGTGTTGGTTCATCCGTCAGCGTCTGGTGAAAATTTGTATTCAAAGGTTTGAACAGTCATTGTTATGGAAGCCCGGCATGGAAAGTCAGCCGCCACGAATACGCGAGGCTCTTATGCTTCAGTCAATCTCCAAGCTTTGAACAACGGGATCGGCCAGCGGAAGTCTCGAGTCCAAGAAATCATCAAAACCTGCTGATGGATCATGGTCTCCTGCCTCGGACAAGTTCTTGGACGGAGGGAGTAACACAGGAGTCTCTTTTTCGGGGGCAAGGCTTACTCCTCCATGAGCAGAACCGTTGGTCGATAGGCGTCTTTGGGACTCATTGGGGGTCTCAACATTCCCACTTGTCCGGACAATAATCTTGGTAGGAGTATGATCAATCTTGTCGTGATCTTGGCGCGATGTCTCGCCCGAAACGTCGTTTTCTTTATTATCTGACGTGATACCCTCTTTGCGACTTTTCACATGGGTATTTGGACTCACGTGCAGCTTGCATGTCGTGGTGGCCTCTATAATCCCCTCAGAAGGTAGATTTGATTTGACGCTGGAGCCAGAAACGCTTCTGGTTTCAGTTTGGGACAGTTCCTTCAGCACTGACGGACGCCTTCCCTTCTTGACATAAGTTGAAGAGCGCTCCTCTGCAGCAGAAGAAAGCTTAGTTGCCATCGGGGGAGCCGCCGGCGCAGCATTTGTGGAGGCCTGGGTGCTGCAAGCCAGTGGCTTTGGTGGACTGACACCCTCGATGAGCTGATTATACGATTCCTCATCGATCGGAGCAACAAGGCTAGGTTGCTTGCTATGCTCATAACTGATACCAGTCATACTAGAAAACGCACGGCTGCTGGATGAGTTGGAAATATAATCAGGCATAATGATATCCTCCCAAGACGGTCTTGCCCCTCGGTGGCGGGCAGCGGGGTCCAGGACGTAGGGGTCAATGAAAGGGTCTACCATGAATGACTCCTGAGGCGCCCACGTGGCTTCCTTATTCTGCCATTGAGGTGGAGGAAGTGGTGGATAATTCCGTTGCTGCCAGGTAGTATAGAGTGCTGGATTGCTAACTTGGCTGTTCAGAGTGACTGACCCCCGGTTTTCCGGTCGACTTGGGGAGTGGCCATGGAGGTCTTCCTGCTCCTTTGTGCCGCTCCCAAGACTACCTGCATTGTACTTGAACATGCGTTTTCCACGATTCCACATACCAGCGTTAGGCCAGGCGATGTTTGAGTACTCCAAAACCTCTGGACTTGAGTCAGCCAAGAGCAAGAGATATACTAGCAACAACTTACGCAGAGGTGCGTGCTGAAAGGAGAATGCAACCACATCTTTGACTCTCTCAATCGGTGGATTGCGGTTTGGCCGAGCAAGTCCCTCAGCTATTACTACTCTGATTCTTCCATGAAGGTCCCCTGCTTCCCAGTGCTTTTGCTCCAGGATTTCATTGTGGAAAGGTGGGAAACGCAGATTGTCCTGTTCACCATTCCTATCGACATCTGCTAAATATGTTAGACTCGTCGGGTGAGGGGGATTAAGGGAATACAGACGGGAACTCAATTCTGAGCGGAAATAACTGACTGTCAGTGGTTTTCCTCGAAGTATGGGATGTATGGATTTTGGGACGTACCAATAACATGTGGCCAGTTAGTTCTCTGACCAAACACACTCCCCCTGCATAGTATGTGGACTTAGTATATCTTTCGAGTGTTCGAGTAAGCTGTATTCAAGGAGCGGAGTACATACGAGACACACAGTCCGTCAATGAAAATTCGGACTTCGAAGAGCAGGGCATCGTCCGGCTGCATCAGACTTTCTGTCAACAGACTTGGCCGAGGCTTTTCCCAGCTATGAACGGACACTCGGAAAGGAGTGTTTGGTGGCAGGCTCGGTATAAAAGTAGCCAGAATGGGTAGCTGGACCAAGCTGGGTCGTGGCATGTAGTAAGAGCCAGGATTAACGATGGCAGAACTATTAACATAGGAGGATTCCGCTGGACAGTCATCCATGAGCACATGCATGCAGTGACGCTACACTTGCTGGGGGTCATGGGGCTGACCTTCTTCCTGATGCACGAAGCATTGTGTCTTGAACTCCTGGACAGGCGCCTTGGATTTTTCCGGGAAAAGAAGCACGTCCCAATTCTCGTACCGCATTCTGGCTTGCTGCAGGTTTGATTCTTGGAAGAAGGGAGCAATGAATCATGAAACAGGGGTCTGCTAGGGAATATTGAAGTAAATGGAAAGCACATGTATGCCCAGACAAGGCACAGAGAGAAGTCCTATATGCCTGGCCCTCGCGAGCAAAGACAGCTGGGAAAAAATCAGGGTAGAGAGAAGAGTAGCCACAGAAAGTCAAAGGACGCACCTGCTTTGCAGAAGAACAGGAAGATAGTGAGGCTCCGTTTGGTCCCAAAAAGGAAGGAGGACGGAAGGAGAGTAACAGACAGCTGCGACATCACATAACCCTATCCGTCCATCATGCATTTAGTCAACGAATATTTACGATATCGGCGGATGCCAGTGACCGTCATTAAGAGACAGCTTGTATGCAGTAAGCAGATAACCTGGTTTGACAGTGCCCAACAGCGAACCGGAGATGGCGAAGGCGCATTGAGGTTCAAATTCGCTATCCCAATCCATAAACATGATAATGTGACTATAGGGAGACAAACTAGAGGAACATATCAGAGCTCATTGCATCAGCAAAGGGGGAATCATCCGTAAAGAGCAGACAATTTGACACGAGAATGAACGCCAAACCCGCATGAGCATTTCAGCAGAAGACCTCCCTAATCCCAGCAGCGGAACAAAAAGGTTACGAACGATTGCTATACTAGAACGCCCAGAGTGTGCTTGAAGTCTCGCAATAGACCACCCATTGACCTCCTGATACTGAGCCAGAAAGGAACGAAGAACCGACGCATATCTGTCTTCCCAATGGCTACAAACACGCAGATGGAAAGTTAATCAGGAGAGAGAATACAAACCATCTCACAACGGCCTTTCAAATAGGAATGAGGGGGAAGCAGCCCGCCCATAAACGATCGAGATCTCATGCGCACAGGAAAGAGCACCAAATGAGCGAAGAAAGGACGAATCTTCAGAAACTAGATCGAAAGAAACGAGAAGAGTAATCAAGGGTGTTGTTGTACAGGCCATCAATTTAGCAAAAAGCATGACGTAACATCCTCAGAGCAGAATACAGTTGAATTGGATTGCTTCGTGAGAAAGACTCGAGAGGAACTTTTCGCAGAATGCCTGCCCGTAGTGTATAGGAGATATGGAAAGGGGGGGAAAGGAATAAAGGGAAAGAGTCAAATCATAGTCAAGGAAAAGGGGAAAGAAAGCGCGTCAACAATTTCAATTGCTGTTACATGAGTAACATAACCTAAGAGCTGAGCACAGCATAAATCAAGGTAACATCGAGGCACGGGGGGATCAACAAAGGTCATAAGAAAAAGGGGGAATGACTTGATAAATAAAAGAGAGAAACACTAAGATAGGTTGAAATAAGGAGCTCAATCTTGCGGAGAATAAAAGCGCTCACAGGCGATCAAATAAGTAGCACAGGAGAAAATGCCCATCAAGAGCTATAGAGGGGAGCTTTCGCAGTGATAAATAGCAAACGTGTTATGACACAAAAGACCCATCGTTGGAATGACGCAAAACTCCTGCAGGTGCTTCAGAATAACGAACGCTTTTTACTGTACAGTCTTCGTTAATCAAACTGAGCTTCATCGGATGATTGAGGGGCTTCAGAAGTGTTCTTGAGACTACCAACCTTCATAGGCGCAAAACCACCGTATTGGTGCGCAGGGGGCATGCCCATAGAGGGGTACATCGGAGGCGGGGGAGGAGCGGGACGGTAAGGGCTGCCAGCAGGGCCGGAGTTGTTCTGGGAGCGACCCCAGCTCAGGCGCACACGGGAGTTACCGATGGGATAACCCTGCATCTGGTTGATAGCCATCTCGGCAGCGTGGCGCTGAACAAACTGAACGAAGCCGCAGCCCTTTCCAGGGGGGATCTTGACATAGGTGATCTCGCCAAAGCCCTGGAAGAAAGAGCGGAGCTCATCCTCGGTGACATAGCCAGAAAGACCTCCAACGAAGACAGTCGTGTTGTTGGGATCGGTGAACTGGTTCATGGGCTGAGGAGCACCATAGAAGCCCATGGGAGGAGCACCCATGGGGGGGTACATGCCAGCGGGGCCAGGCATGCCCATGCCACCGGGAACAACACCAGGGCCCTTGTTCTTGGGGGTGGCAGTGGAGATGCGCATGGGGCGGTTGCCGCAGTAAACTCCCTGCATCTCGGTCAAAGCACGCTGCTGATCGTTCTCGTCAGAGAAGCGAACAAAACCATAACCACGAGACATTCCGCTGATGGGATCAGTCATGATCTTGGCGGACTTGCAAGAGGGGAAGCGGTTCTGGAACAGAGACACCAGGACGTATTCGTTGACCTCCGGGCCGAGATCACCAACGAAGATGGAGTACTCGGGGCCACGATCGTCACGGCTGTACATACCAAAACCCTCAGTTAGATACATGCATCAAGAAGGAAGGCTCACACTACATCTTTCTTACCTGCGGTCAGCGAGACCACCGCCAGTAGCCCAGTTCAGCTTGAAAACCCGGTTGGTGTTGGGCATAGGAGTTCCGTTGAGGGACAGAGCCTTGGCAGCAGCGGCAGGAGAAGCGAAATCGACGAAACAGTATCCGGCATTGCTCCTACTACCAACATTAGGATCGCCTTCGAATGGTTGTGCAGTTCCTCTAAACTCACCCAGAGAACTTGTCACGGATCATCTTGACATTGACCTGCTCGCCCATCTGGAACCACAGGTTGCGGATGAAGTTCTCATCAATCCAAGGCTCAAGCTCACCCATCCTAAATGGTCATTAGATCTCAGAACAATCAAAACACGGGTTGTCAAGCGCCTTTCGTGCGCTTGAAGGGCCATGCTTACCAAAGAGTGGTCTTTCCGTCAGAGCCCTGCTGAGAAACAGGAGCGGCATTGGGCTCACCGGGGGCAGGGCCCTGGAACGAGCCGGTGGTGGGGTCAGCCTGGCCAGTCATGGTGGTATCCGCAGTAGCAGGAGCACCAGGAGCGGCAGCAGCAGCATCAGCAGCGGGGTGCTGGTTCTGGAAAGACTCAAAGTTCTGGAAAGACATGTTGACTTTAAAACGAATTGTTCGTAATGATAAGAATCACGATAATCGTAACTGAGGCGTACCAAACCTAGTCAGCCATATTCCAAACTGTGAACCTTCCGACGTGTGGAGCGCTGCGTCGCGTACCTTGGAATTGAAGATCAAAGGATCAGAAAACGCAGAAAGAACTTTTTCTATTCCGAAAACGTCTCGCTTGGTCGAGAATTCGTTGGATTCGTCAAGGAAAGAACAGCGTACGCTCGCTCAATACCCGAAAATGATTGGATGTGATAATTCGCTTCTGTATCAAGGTTGATATTAGTAAACAATGTAAAATGGCATGAGATGCCCCGGGACAATATGTAGAAGTGAGAGCGTCGCTGAAGAACCGCAGTGACCGAAACGAAGAGAATGTAATGGGGCTGTCAAACGAAGGCCATGTTCCAGAAAAAAGAAAAAAAAAAAAGGCAGATCAGATCGCGAGAAGAACAGGTTTGAACCTCAAGATGAAAGGCAATCGAGGGCAGCGTCAAGCAGAGATGAGACGGCGGAATTTTCAGAAGTGTTATCAATCCGGTGAAATCAGACTTGAATGTTGCCTGTATTGAGTCGTCCCCAGGACAATTATTGTGCTGGTTGATGTTCGAGTCTGGACGATATTCCGTTGAGTGAAGCGACTGAGGGTGAGGTCAATTGAAAGTGAAGCAGTGCGCAAGCCGCTTTCGTCAACGATGTTCCAGTCCGCTCCGGTTGCGACCGTGTCCGCCCAACCAATTTCCCCACCGGTACGGAAACCATAAACGCAACAATCAAATTGTATGCTCGAGGTTGTTGGAGTAGATGATTGAAAGACACTGCCTTGGTTGTCTGAATCCATTGGGAACTCCCCATCTGGGCAAAAAAAGCGATCGTTTGGCGCATGTCCCGGATAGTGCCAATGAATCTTTCGGAAAGCAGCAGGTTGACTTCAGGTTTGCCCCCTCAAGACGTATATCCCTCTAAGACGGGCGCATTCTCATGGCCGACGGCGAAGACAGTGGACTGACAACAAGGAAGTCCAAATCCCGAAGCGAAGGTTCCAAGTCTCTCCAAGCACAGCGCGCCATATTAAGAAATGCAGGGATGATAGTGATGGTGATGGAAGGACAAGAAGTCTCGATCTGAAGACCATGCGGGGCGAACAAGAATGAAAATAAAATTCATGATGACTTACCAGGTAATCAAATAGAAGCGACTTGAATATCTTTTTCCCCCTTGTAGAGAAAGAAAAAAAGAAAATAAGATATGCGTTCGATAGGCGTGGCGCAAAGGCGAAAAAAAAGTATCCGTTGAGACAAGGACGAGGCGAGAGACAACAGACACCAGGGACTGGAGAAGATCGAATAACTCCGGTGAGGTGGAGAAGTCAAAAGCGAAGAAAAAAAGTGGAAGATAGAAAAAAAGGCACAAGAACTATCCGCAAACCGACTCCGTCTTTTCCGACAAGAACAAGCAACGGTAGAAAGGAGAGGGGATGATGAGAAGAGAAGGGAAGAGGAGGAGGGGTAGAAGAGTCAGATATTCTTCTTCAGATGATGGAGGGGAGAAAGAGAGAGAGAGAAAGAGAAAAGAAGAAGAGCGAGCGGAAGAGCGAGAGGGAAAAAAAGTGCGAAAAAAAAAAAAAAAAAAAAAAAAAGGAAATGGGAATTCCTGGAAAGAGCAAGAATACCAGGTACTGATACTACTGCTACTGACTAGGTTACCTGCTTTACTGCCTTGTTACTCGATACCTAGGGTCTAAGGCAAGGTACTCTAGGGCAGACCCAACAGAGGGAAAATAGGTCATAATGGGGCTTTTTCTTTAACGAATAATCATGATGAACAAACAAAACAAGATTTGGATGAGAATATTGATACATGAAAGAAATTAAAAAGTGACAGTACTGTTACCACAAGGCATGAACTAGGTACCTACATAGTACTCTGTATGAAAGAGATGAGGGGCGGCGCAGCAACAATCATTATTAGCATCTGCCAGTAGTTAAGTGGACGAGTCGACAGTTCTTTACTCAAGACGACTAAGGTACTCTCAGCTCTGTACCTTCTGCATTATTATTACTTCACTAGCTTCGCTAGCACCCTTTGAAGATCTAGTTTTCTTGTGGGATCACGTACTGGGATTTACCTAGATGTACTCTGTAATATCAAATTCAAGCGTCTTGTAAGGTAGGTACTTTATGATACCATGGTATGAAAGTTTTTTACTGAAATACGTACGGTATGTATAGAGGAATATCCCCAATTTGCAAATCATCAAAAAAACTATACATTCTGTCAATTGACGCTCCAAAGCTCCTTGAATTCAGTAGAACAACCAGGGACCTAGGCTATTGTAGAAGATACTATAAAATTCATAGTTGACAGCTCTGGGCGTGGCTGATCCCAGCATGAAAGAGCATCCAGAACTGTAGGACAAAGGTGCTACTGCTAAGTGCTAACTGCTATAGAAGTAATTTATAGGTACCTACATCTGAGCTAATATTAACTATATTTTATCATATCTAGATGAAACACTGAAGTATACATGATTGCTCATTAAAGTGTTCCTAAAGACTACTCTAGAGTGCTTGATGTCAGTCCTGCAGATTACGTCCTATCTGAAGCTTCTTTAGTTATTCATGATTCATAGGGACATAAGAAATACTTTAATTGATCATCCAGATTGCTGATTGAATACAGACTCTGTGGTCAAATGACCAAAAAGTAGATAAACCAATGGAGCCAAACATATTTAAAGTTTAAGATCAATTACGCCTGCAGAACGCAGATAGATAATTAGTAGTAAGTCTCTAGTACAAACTAGGCACCTACCTACAAGGAGCATCATGCCTTTCCAATCAATTGAGGAGCATGAGGATTGAAGGTTCCATATTCATCTTCGAATACGATCAATGGTCTCAGTCAGGACTCAAGACTTTCTACTAGCTAATTAGCCGCAGCAAGCAGTAAGGCCGTAAAAACAACAAAACAAAAACATGATATCCAACCCGCCTGGTAATCTTACAGCCTGATGGAAGAACTGCACATGGAAAATTCGCAAGCATCGTATCCTGTGCGTGTCCTCTGGCTCGTCAAGAATCTATTAGCAACCATGGGCCTCGGGTTCTTTTCGTACACTTTTAGACTCTTAGTTGACTGGTGCTAAGGCAGGTAAGTAAAGTAAAATTTGCAGATCGACTTCCGTTCGCAGCCACTGAGCCACACACCCACACCAGTTACCTCTGAGAATTCACAAGAGTGTGGGAAGGCTGGCAGGCATGGCTGTGAGAATACCCACAGATAGTCCAAATAGTGTTTGAATGATTGTTGATTGCTATTAGAATTCTTCCTTGGGTATTCTATTGTGAGGGAGGAGGTGACCAGTTACTCATCAAATCCTGGATATGCCAGAAAGACAAAAGAAAAAAGACAAGAGAAAAGAAACAAAGAGAACACAGGGCTTCATGAGGTTTGAGCTTTGAACTTTGGATTTTAAGAAGGCTGAAAGGATCCACTTCTAAGCCCAGCACTGTGGTAATCTGTTTCACTGTCTGTATTGGAAGTGCACTTATCAGTCTATCAGTGGCATTTCTCCAGATATGAGGCAACTTACTATCTATCTACCTAGTAGTACTCCATACACTCGATCTTCTCTAGGGACTCAGTCGATCGTTTACACACTTAGCACCTAAAGACTATCACTCACCTTGTCGGTAAGTTTGCTCTTGAAATCAGGTTCAGGCGTTCAAAGTCTCAACCAAGGAATACCAGAAATAGCCCGAGAACAAAGCCGCAAGAAAGCCGGCTCAACTCCACCAACAAACACGCCTATGGAATACCTGGGCATCATCCTGTCATTGGCCGGAGTTAGCAGTCCGGCACCCGTTCTAAAGGCACTTATAGGAAGCACCTTACTCCATTGGCATCAACTAGCTACCAAAGTCCATAACTCATAAGTCATAAGTAAAGAAGGGCCTAAGGAGTTCCCGGCATGCATTCGTGATTTCCCTCCCCGGCCTAGCCTCCTACGCACTGTACGCTGTAAGCTGTAAGGTACGTGTTGTCGTGTCGCAGGCTCGCAGGCCAATAACTCAGTTCTCCACGAGTCGGCAGAGATTTACTCCGTCTCTTGACAGCAGTGGGTTTTTAGTATCGATAAGAATTAGATACGGGATACCCTAATAGGTAGATTCTGGTTCCGCACTATCCTCCGCCGTCGCTCGTCGGGATCCTGAACGCGTACGCGACGCGATCAAAGTTCCAATTATCAAGGTCATACGGAGTAAGAATATTACCTTATTGATTTGTAGATAGATAGCTCGCGAGCCGGACGAATCTGAGCACTCCGCGAGAGAAAATCCCGACCATGAGCAAGGCTGCAAGGGATAGAAAGCCGCAAGTCAGTCATTACTCACACTGACTCAAGGTCCAGGTCCAGGTCCAGGTCACAGTCATGGCCATGGTCATGGTCACTGTACAGTGTACGCTATCCCTGACAGCGTGGCCCTTGCATGGCCATGGCAAGTAAGCCAGCCTACTGAACCTTGAGCATGTACGGGAGATCTGGTGTATAAGTATGATATAGGTCCCACTCCTGGATGAACACACAACGCCAGGCTCTTCTGAGTCAAAGAGATGAATGATATCACAGCTTCCTCTACTTCCACTTGTTTTGCACTCTGCACTCTTTCAACAAGATGATCTAATGTCCAGCAGACAGTAGATAACCGCACCAACCACCCTCTCTTCAAGACAAGAGGAGCATCCCCTTGTCCTATCAACAGAGACAAACTGTGCACCCCAGGATTCGGATCCCTTGCAGACTGCAGATAGCCCAATCCTCAACCTATGCAAATGTCCACCTAGTACAACTAACGACCTTAGAAACATCCACCCTGAGAGTATGTGTATCTTTCAAACTTCATCGAGATATAAATTACACCATTCTGTGCCCTTTTGTAAAATTTTGTATTTGAGACTTTGCCTGATCAATTCCAATCCATCAATCTAAGCACCTAGTCAAATGCTCTTGAACGGTAACAAGAATGGTTTACCTAGGGCTGTCACTTGCCTTACTATCAATATCAGTAATTTGCCGAAGAACTTATACAGAAATGCATTTTCGTCGGTTGAGGACATATAGGAATCGAACCATGGGACGGGACTACAAACACCACACAACACGTCCACAACAGCAATTCTTGTTCAAATATGAGCTGTCTGCAACTGTAAGGCAGTGAACGAATCGTCTCATCGAAGCTCCCAAGTCCCAGAGTCTCGAAGCCTCAAGTACCCGGGGCATTAAGAAAACCGTGCCATGCTTTCTCAATCAGTTGTATTATGATCTTACAACAGATACTTAGAGCAAAAGACACACTGAAGGGAAGCATACTCCACCCAGGCCCTGACCCTCGCTATAAGTCAAAACCCTTGGGTTTACGGAAGAATATATTGGCACTTTTCTCGAAGAAAGGCCGATAATGGGATCCATCACGATGTTTGGTACGCGTTTTTTTTTTTTTCTCTTTGTTGGGTGGAATTGAGATAATTGTGGTACCGAGACGGCCAGAAGTACTCTGTGGAACCCCGAAGTTAGAAAGAAAAAAGGAAGAGACTGAATGAAAGGTAGTCAGTGCATAGCTGTATGGTGCATAGCTGTATGGTGCATATCTTGTTGATCAGCGCTGGTGCTGTAAATTGTGCTCTTTAGGGGTTTCGCATCTGTAAACATTAGATAGACACTCATCTCTTGTTGTGTATACTTCCCAACGAGACTGGCCAAGATGGTCTGTAGAACCGACTTTTATCTAGGGATCGAAACACTGGCTGAGAACAAATATATAATTCTACTTATTCAATCAATCATCTGTGCTCCTTCGCTTGCTTCCCCCGGCGCACAATTATTATCACAATACTCATCCACTTTCCCCAGTTCATCCCCAAGCAACTGAATCGTCTTCTCGTATACCTTGGCAGTTTCCATCTCCCAACGCCCCAGACTCTCATACTCCTCCGTACCATACGCCCCAGCCATATCCTCATCCCCATCACTGGAACTCTCGTCCCCGTCCGCGTCACCCGCCGCCGACCCGTCATTCTCCCTGGCATCCACCACAGCAACACGACATGTCTCCGCGATGCTCTTGATCCGGACCTTCTCGGTCATGGAGACGAGGTTGCGGTTATTCTCGAAGCCGGAGAGCGGGGCCCCCGTGTCCGCGTCTTCCCCAAGCAGCAGAGACGTAAACACGGAGTCCAGCTTTCTCAGCAGACGGAACGTCGCTTTAGGGGAGAACGGGTAGTCCGGGAGATATGTGTTGACCAATACCGCCAGCGATATCAGGTATGGTATTTGAAGTGATGCTAGAACTATTTAGTACCCATATGATTCTGAACCAAAGCGATCCACGATCTACTTCGATGCGAGAAGACCGGCAAAGCGGGGAGGGTGGGTTGAGTACACGTACGAGTTCCGCTCACCCAAAGCACATCAACCAGCCCCTCGATGTCTTTGGCTACTTCCTGGAAACTCTCGTAGCCGCGCTCCGACTCCGGCTGCGCCTGATCATCATACGTGCTGCTGAACTTCTTTGCGTGCCGCCGGTTGATCGTCAAGATGTGCGAGTCGATATGATTGATCACCGTTGCTTCCTTCATGGACCCTGATTTCAGTGGATGGGATCTCGGTTTCGGGAGCAGAGACGGAGTCGCCGTCGAGTTTGACATTGTCGACGGCGCAGGTGATGGCAGAGATGGATGCATGAAGCCCCCGGCGCCGGGGCCATCAGCTGCGGCAAAGGCCATGAATGCAAATGTTATTGAACCCGTAGGGCGGTTCTATCCCAGAATTCAAAGGCAGATAGATATCAGTTGATATAGTATAGATGTAATGCGCTTTCAGATATGTGTCGCCCTTCCTCGGCTTTGAAGTTTGATGCGACGTAGGGTAGTCCAACCCCCACACTCAGTGATGCGTTAATGCCTATTTTTCTTGCCTATGGGAATAGATAGTCCGCAATACTCGTGGAAATGGAATCTAGTAATAAATTGCTTGTTATTTTAAGCAAAAGGCCATGATCATATGACGAGAAAGTTTGAAGGTTGAAGATGTCATGCCAAGCCTTGGAGTCTTGTTGATCCGTGCACTCATCATGGCGCCTACTGCTTACATTAGCATCAGGAAATACCAGGAACAACAACATCGCGACGAGAAGATCCGTTTGACTGGGGAAGAGTACTGGGAAAGCATCAATGCCAAGATGTTGTACTAGGAAGGAGTGGAGTCATAGTGGAATCAAAGCATATCATGTCCTCTGATGGACGAATATCGATATCCCGCATGTATTTCTTGAATGGCCTAAGGTATCTAATATGTTCAATAAACCCATTGAAACGTCGCACAGATCTGTTATCTCCATCAAAGATCAGCATCGGATATAAAAAATATTACAGAAGACATTCAGAAATGAGGAAGATGCGCCACTTCAGAGGTGAGAAGATTATTGGTATATCGCTGGTTTTTGAAGGCAATGCATGACATCTGAATGAGTCTTGCTACTCTGGCCCCAGCGTGCTCATCACGAAACCGGTATAGAAACGACAAGCAGAGAAGAGAGTCCGACTTACATCTACTTGAAGACCCCGATTCTGTAACCTTTCTATGCAGTATCGAAAAAAAAAGAACTTTTTGGTGTTGACCTTCCGAAACGCCATGCTAAACCGGAGATGCTGTGGAAGAGGGATAAGACGTAGTTTATTCGGGCTGTAGAGTCGTCAGTTAGAACGATACAGTTCATCCACGCGGTGTGAAAAAAAAAAAAAAGACTTACCCTGATCTTCCCCTTGCGCCGTTTCATCTCCTCCAGCTTCCTCCTATCTTGATCGAACCTCCTGAGAAGCTCGTGCTGTCTCTCCTTCCTCTTCTCACGCGACTGGAACCGGTAGAAGTCACCCAGACCCTCCGATTTCTTCTTCTGCTTCTCAAGGAGCGCCCGAGCCTCATCCTCGTGCGCAGTAGACGTAAGCTTCGGCCCACTGGTAACTGTGATGAAACCATCCTCGTCGGGCTCCTGGACTCTGCGCGCCTCCTCGCGCTTCCGCGCCTCTGCGACGTGCGTGAACACAGTCATGAAATCGTTGACGGTGCGAAGCAGGTCCGCGCGAGCAGGGTAGCTGGCCTGGTGGTGATTGAGATAGCGCTGCAGTCCCAACGCGGGTAGACGGTCGTCGAGACCCTCGCCCCAGACAATTGTAGTGCCCTTTTTCGCGGCCTTCGAGGCGGCTTTCAGACTCGCTTCCATGCTCGACTTATCGGCGAAGACCACCACGGCGTGCGCGCCGCTCTTCTGCAACTCTCTGTCCCATGTTGACGGTAGCGAGATTTCCTCGAGTTGGCCCTCTAGGTCGTCGGTTGTCACCCGCTTTCTTTTCTTGTTCTTCGAGACATTGCCCTGTGTAATGGCTACAGCGCCTTTCTTCTTTGTCGGGACACCCTCGAAATGAACTTTTTCGACCCGACCGGCGGAGAGCTGAGTACCGAATAAGTGTCGCAGGTGTAGCTCGGTTGTGTCGACAGGCACGTTAACGACGAAAAGGGAACGGGGAGTGTCAACGTCAGGAATGCGAGGTTCATGAGGGCGGAGGTAAAGGTAATGTGTTGCAGGCTCTGCAAGACAGGGTGATTCGGGCAGCTGCAAAGGCAGGACTGCGTAACCTGCTACTTCAATAGCTTGTTTCTTCATCTTGGTTCTCAGAGTGATCAAGCACAATCGTTCCTCCCTCGATGAATGTTGCACAGCAGAAATTCTGTTTTTTAGTGTTGTCGAAGTTTTGCTCTTGCGGAAAATTAGATGAATTTGAAAGGCGGAGACTCAGCGGAGACCATTCATCTACCTAACTACTCGCCGAAACCATAGTAGTTGATCGATACGTGATAGGAAGTGGCTCAAGGAAACATATTTAGAGATATTCATCAATTTTTCCACAGGGCTTCTCATATTAGACTTGGCTCACAATCATTATCATAAATTGTACCATCAGACAGTCATCTCTTCATAGTTGATCCATCACTCAGATTCATCTTTTACATCGTCTCCATTGAATATACTAGCTTGCAATTTATATCTTGTCAGGGTCATTGATCCCACCATTGGTTATGACATAGGTCGCCTCTCGCTCCGGGCAGTCTGCAGCAAATTAGTATATCTATTTTGTACGAATGTTCGGAAACGTGCGAACCTGGAGAATCCTGGATCTTAGCCACACGTTCCTCCCCACGGCCTTTGCGGAGAAGAACACGAGTCGTGGATGCATGCGCGAGGACATGACCGCCAACAGGCTTACGACCGTCAGCTCCAGCAAACAAAGCGCTGGCCCCAGGGTCGCTTTGAACTTGGTTTGTCTGCACCGGAGCGTGAGTTTTGTTCTTAGGCGAAAGGGGGACTGACCCAGCGGACATACCATCAAGACACAGATATTGAACTCTATGCGAAGGTCTCATCAGACCCCCTGAATCCTATGAAATACAGAGTACGACAGGAACATACCTTCGGCCATATGTGCCAGCTTCATCAGGAACTGGTTCAGCTTTTGCTGACGGTCTGCGAGCTCTCCTCGCCCACAATAATCCACTCGGAAGCAGTTCATGATGCTGTCAATGATCAACAATCTGTACTCACCCCCAGCAAACTCCCTGCTTAAGGTATTGAGAAGCTCGAGCTGATGCTCGCTATTGAGTGCTCGTGCATAAGCGATGTTCTCCTGAGCAGAATCTGAATCGACACCGAATCGCTCTGCGATCTGAGCAATGCGCTCCGGCCGGAAGGTGCCTTCGGTATCAATATAGGCCACCTTACCATCCGCACCACCCATCTCCTTGGGCAGCTGAGCAACGACAGACATGGTGTGCGACAGTTGTGTTTTACCACAGCGAAATTCTCCGAAGACTTCACTGATACTCATACTCTGGAAACCACTGCAAGAGAATGAGACAAGGTAAATCAACAATGATTAGTAGGTTCAGGGCATCTGACCCTCCGAGAATAGAATCAAACTGCTTGCTTCCAGTGGAGATTTTGACAACTCGCTTGCGTTGATGGCTTAACTCCATGGCAGTTATGAAGCCGGCAGCAGCTGGCTAAGTGAACGTTAGTCGAAGCTCGCACTGCGGATGATCCTGCAAATATCCATAGTAAGACTACTCACCAGGCACTTTTGGATAGCTTCCTTGATCTTCTCAACCTTGACTTCACTAAAACCCTTGATCTTGAGGAGCGTCTTCCGAGTGGCACCGTGAACGGACTATGAGAAGCAGAGTGCTAGTGAGCATATAACAAAAGAACATGGGATATTAGGAGAAAGCCTTACAGAGACAGTATAGAATCCGTTGGCTTTGAGCTTGGTAATGTCGGCAGCTCCGATGCCTTCGCTAGAGTCAGCGTGTATATAGATACACCGGATGGAACGGACATACCATGAGCTTGAATGCCATCGATGTCGAGAATGAAGACCTGCCACACACCGAGGGTTATTCATCTCTTCATCTTTTTGAGAATTCCAGTCGCGTAGGATGTGTCTCTAAGAGTCAGTAAACAGAACGACAAAGAGGGAGATCCTACATCGTCGTTGAATTCGTCACCTGAATCCGATTCAGGCATGATGCGTTGCTTAGTGTTTCGATTGCGGATCCGAGGATGATAAAGATAGAATGATGATGGCAATACAAGTGATATACAGTATTTTGATCCGTGTTGTAGAGCAGAGGAAGATGAGACAGAGTCTTAGCCAGGTAAGAGAGGCGAGATGGACCAGCTTTCACGGGGTCTGGCCGTAACAGGAAAGACAACTACAAAGGGAATCAGAACAAATCTCGACACCAAAGCACGAATTGTACGTATTTCTCTGCGAGACAAGCAGAGAGTCAGGCAAGAAAGATACCATGTAGGGTGTCCTTGTAGCGTAGAGTTGTAGAGCGGAAAAGACGAATGTAAATGATCGACCTCTTCAACTCAACGAGAGCATCGCTATACAAGTCTTCTCGGCGACTCAGAACATCAAGCAGTAGCTGCACTTGCGTGGTTATTTTGAAATTTCATCTGTTTAATTTGATTATTGATTTCTTCTTCCAGCTTTCCACTTGAATAAGCATAAGAGAGGTATTCAGTACGAGCAGATGGGATAGCCACACCGCATCAGGTACCTTTTCTTTCACAATGTTCAGCACAAATGATGTCGACCGTACCATCTTGTCGCCCTTTCTTATACATATCAACACGCTCACTCCGGTCCACCAATGTCTTCGCCTGCGCTCAATTAACCTTTCGCTCACCTCGTCTCCTTCTTTCCTTGCCGCACCTATGATTCAAATGAGAAAGATACCCGGAGAAGAACAATTGACGCCAATCATGAGACCCCTTGAGCCATGTGTAGGATCCAAGCCATCAGGATCCTAGGGACATCGTGAAACTTTTGTTCGTCGTATACATAATAGGGATAAAAAAAGGCCGGTGCTGAGAAACCTTGAAACCGGGAAGGCATAATATATGCAGGGGAAGAAACATAGAGAGTTAACAAAGATATCAAGGGTGAGTTCCGCAAAACCCTAATACAAAAAAAAAAAAAGCATAATGATGACGGACTTTCCGCGAAGCGGGAATTCATAGATCAGAAAGAGATGGTCATTTAAGCAACAGCAGCGGTGGCAGCTGAAGCAGCAACAGGAGCAGCCTCGGTGCCAGCCTCAGCAGCGGCAGTGGTAGCGGCAGGGGCAGGAGCAGCAACGGGGGCAGCAGCGGACTCAGTGGGCTGCTGGGGGGCGGCCTCATTGGTGGGGCAGTCCCGAGAGATATGGCCAGCCTGAGAGCACTTGTAGCAGACCTTGCCAGCGGAGCTCAAAGGACCACCATTGGGAGCGGTGCAGTCACGGGAGATGTGGCCCTAATGAATGTAAGTTGATGTTCCATTGAAAGATAGAGAAAGGGTTTGAGTTTGGGGTGCACATACAAGCTTGCCGCAAGCATAGCACTTCATGGCGTGAGCCTGGCAGTCACGAGCAAAGTGGTTGGGGCCACCGCACTTGTAGCAGGTGGCAGCACGAGGGTAACCACCGTATCCACCGCGGAAGCCACTGTTGAATCCCCCGCGAGGCGCACCGACACCACGACCAGCTCCAGTAGCAGGAGCGGGGCAATTGCGCTGGAGAGAACACACCCAGGTTAGCTTGCTGCCAAAATAGAAAGAGCAAGGTGGAGGCGGCGTTCAACATCAACGTACAGCAAGATGGCCGGGCTGGTTGCAGTTGTAGCAACGGCCGTTGGCCCCACCGTTAAGTCGCAATGTGGGACAATCAGCCTGAACGTGGCCTAATCCCTGGCAGTTGTAGCACTGCTTGGCTATGGTTGACGAGTTAATATCCTTGCACATTCCCAGGCTTGACATTGGACATTCTTACTCTCGGTAGTACGAGGACGCGGGCAGCTGCTGGACTCGTGTCCTATCCAATGGAGTCAGACATGTGGCTCGGGGGAGGTATCATGCATGGTACATACCAGGCTGCTTGCCTATTCGACACCAATGGAGAGATTAGCACAGCGATCCCAATAAGAGTGAATTTTCGTCACCGGGTACACTTACAGTTGTAGCAGAGACGCTCAGAAGACGAACAGACCTCTACACCAGTCAGTGAACATCATCCCAATCCAGAACCCTCTTCACCATTCAGCCGGTGAACTAACCGGCATAGTGGCCAATGTTGCCACACTTGTAGCAGGCACGGCGAGACAGCAACATCTTTCTTCTTGTAAATTGGAACTATGAGCAGAGACCTTCCGTTAGCTCCGCTGACATCTTGCAATGACCCCCCACAGCTGTTTGGATGAATGTCCATTGCGCATTGCACTTCCGATGCATGTGACATGGATAGCAGGCGAGAAGGTCCAAATGTCTTGTGCAATCCCATGACGATCCGAAGGGAAACAGCTCGAGCCGTCCCAGTAAATTTCGTGAATGACCGATGCCTCAAGACGAGGATGCCATGTCGACGGCAATGCGACAATACCTCCGCACCCACCGGAAGCACACCCCCGCGCAACCAAACAGCTTCGGGCCACAAAGGATTTATGACAAAACACTCACTCTTCCAGGAACCACCAAACTTCAAATCTCCGTGTCGATAGGTCTCTTCTGGCTGTCAGCTTTGGGAACCTTGGAGAAGGAGCAGCGCGGCCGACAGCCCACTCTCTCGACTCGAAAAAGTGGGCTGACAAAGAAAAAGCGACCATAACCAAAAGAGACACACACAAAAAAAAGGTTAACTTACAATGTAGATAGCTCCAAACTAAACCCTCACAGCTCTCTCTCTCTCTCTCTCTCTCTCTCTTCCTCTCCAATCCCTCCAAACCACAAGAGGGGGACAAAAAAATCTGGAAAAATAACGTGGGATAATCCGATGAGACACAAAAGGGAAGAACACAAGGAACACGGAATTGAATCAACCAATATAGCCAAGCCAAAGCAGGAGGGCAGGAAAAAAACCAGACCATCCTCTTTCCTGCAGGGCTTTTCCTTTTTCAGGGCAAAACGTGAAAAACTTTAGCTCCCGGGCTTTCCCGCATTGCGTAAGGTTGCAAAATCGCCCCCCCCAGACTGCGCACGGCCTGAGGCACACGTTCCTGGAGTTGTACTTGTAGCTAACTAGCTATCGGGTACAAAACACTCTTGATTCTACGGAGTACTTCTATTTCTACTCCTCCTGCTGCTGCCGATCAGTGTTCACCACTACGGACACCATAGTAAAAAGACTTGTAGAATCAAGAGTTCTACTAATAAAAAATTAAAAAATAAATAAAAAATAAAAGTAAAATACACTATATGTATATCTTTGCAATGTTCATTCGGAAGAGTTAGGAACATCTGTTCCTTCGTACTGCCCCTGTAGCCGCGGAAAAGACAAAACACAACATTCGCAGTGATCATTCTCATAACAAGACCATTACAAGTCTGAAATCAGTCACGAGCAATAAGGAGTGAGGTAAACCAGAAGATGGAATTGGAATGCTCCGCTGCCGCGATCAGCATACCCGATGAGGAGCCCCACAGATTAGCTTATGATATGGATGATACTAAGATGCTTCAATTTGTGCATGACGTTCTGATGCAAGTGACAATTTGGCTCGGAAAAAAAAAAAAAAAAAAAGCCACAACCCCTCTACTCCTCCTTTTCGATAACAGCTGGTGCTTTGATCTCGCGTCCTTTCAAGAATTCGAGTCCTTCCCCACCCTGTAGAGAATACATATATTAGCCAGGAATCTTTTTGACGAGGGCATTGATCTGATGCAAGGGATAACTGAGAAACTCACATAACTGATTAAGGGAGATACCTCCACACCAACAGCGTTGTCCTCGGTGACGACAATGCCGCCAGCCTTCTCAATCCAGCGTTGTCCTTGTCCCATGATGTCCTGCTTGCTGGTATCGGGGTCGTCCTCTCCTGTGCCCCGTGCATTCTTCAGCGGCGAGAATTCATCCTCCCGGCGGACCTCAATGCAGGCGAACTTCTCCAGGGGGGTCATGGGGAACACATCAAAGACGAACTGCTCCAGCTTGATGCCGTTGGGCTTCTCTGGCTTGAAGAACTCGCCGGTATCTTCCTTAATGCAAGGGATCTTCTTTCTGGCAACGTGGTGGGGTAGCTTGTGGGCCCAGGTCTCGATTGTTTCGAAGAAGTGGAAGGAGTAGTAGTGGTTGACAATGTTCGCGGCACGGAACTTGAGCACGTCAGGTTGCTTGGGGTCCTTGGCCTCTGCGGTCTCCTTGTCGATCTCCGAGTATTCAACCACGTCAGGCTTGCCATTCTTCTGCAGAATCAAACCGACTGATTCCGTAGCGTTACGCTTCCGTACCACCTTCGTAGCAACATCGACCTTCTTCGAGGCAGCGAAGCCAATGAACACAGGGTCCGCCACCTTGACCAGGCAGTTATCCACACAGTAGGTGTGAATGTGCTCAATACCCCTCTTGCGCATGTCCTCTCTCACGCCGGATGTAAGGAGGGCCTGGTAGATACCACCGTTTCCATCAGGAGCAACAGCCACCTACCCTCATCCATATTAGAGACCTGATATGTACAGGGACATAGCGTGCAACGGCAAAACATACCTTGGATTTGCTCTCCATCAAGATTTTACCATCATTGGAGATGCAGGGCAGGACACCCTGTTCAAAGATAACCACATTATCCTTCTTCAGCCCGAAGTACTTGTGTTCTTCGAAAAACTCCTCCGTTGGCTTGCGTGTAGGTCCGCTGGTCATGACATACCAGGGGATGGCAGCCTCCTGGCCAGAGATCTTCTGAGCAAGAAGCTGAAGCTTCACAATACGCTCGGCCTGGATCTGGAACAGCGACTTGTGGCTGGGGAGTCCGATGTCAAAGCAGCCCTTGGGGGCAGAGCTACCCAGACGGGTCCCTTGTCCACCTGCCATCAAGACAACCGCCACCTTGTTCTCCGCCACAAGCTTGAGGCCCTCTTCGTACCATAACTCGATGTCCTTCGGGTCTGAATCGAGAATCGAGGCTGTGGCGACATCAGGGAGAGGCTCGAGGGAGCTAGGGCCTTTGTCGGCTTTGGGAGGGTTCAAGGCCTTGTCGGCGAGTTCGTTGATGCGCTTGGGGTCGAAATTTGAGAGTTGGTGGAAAAGCTGAGACTTCTCGACTGAGTTCAGTTCATCGGCGAATGCAAAGACCTGTCCTTGTCCTGCATCGGTGTACTTCTGCTTCAGTTGATCGAACTCCTCGGGGGATGGTTCGCGGGGAGCATCTATGTGATGCCCCTGGAACCTCTCAACGAGGTTTGAAACAGTTTCTCTGATAGCTGCAGCCATGACGACAGTCTTATGCAGTGAAGCTCTGACAGGAGGTGGATGGCCAGGAAGAATGGTAATAGAGGATAAAAAGTAAGGAGAGAGACGTAAGGGAAGTGTTGTTTTTTTGTTTTGTTTTGTTTTCGGAGTGCGGGGTGTACAAAGTCGAGTAGTTAACTGGGAGCTGAGCTCAAGCTTGGGATGTTTTGGGCCTTTAACTTTCTATGACGACTGACCGCCAGGGAAACGAAAATCATTTTATTGTTTTATTTTTAGCTTATTAGCATGACCGATCCAAATCTACGAATGATATCAACTCCAGCGTCTTCCTGTCTCCAGTTGAACTCCCTGAGTGGCCGATTTGGACTGATTCTTGGGAGCCCCTCTCGGCGGGGCAGAGTGGGAGGTCCCAGTTTCACCGACCTCGTCAGGAGTAAACTAATGGAAACTGCGCAATAAATAGACAATCCATTTGCCCCTGGGAATACGGGGGAGAGATATTTCAGCAAGTCTAAATCTAGAATATGCGACGGCTTTGCAGTAGCAGGGCTTGTACGTACGTGTCTTCCAAAAAGGATTGATGATTGATATCTATTCTGTATTCATGGTTTGGTGGCTTTGATGGCTTGATTCGCATCATTATGGGATGAATGTTCTGTATTAATCGTAGGTCATAACAGATATATATTGGTACAAATAGTAATATCTTAATGGGAATTTTCTGCCTATACAAATTCTCCAGTCTTCAGATCACTAACGTCGGCTTTCTCGATATCGAACATCGTCGCGACGATTACGTCGCTCGTTATCGTAGTGCCTATCCCGATTTTTGTCACGATAAGAGTCTCCCCGTCTAGGGCTCCGACTGCTGGACCTATCCCGATATCGGTTGCGATGGGAATCGCGTCTTGGGCTTCGACTGGGCCGTCGGTCTCGGCGGGAGCCCCTTTCAGGACTTTGGCTGTACTGCGGTTCTCGAGATGCGGGTCGTCGCTTAGGCCCCCCTTTGTCGAACACCATACCATAGTCATCCCGCTGACGAGCGTTATCAGTCGCCCTATACTGTCGTTTCTTCTCAAGCTCGGCCACGCCACCAAATCCGCCTCGCTGACCGCTGCGTTTGGATATGGTGGCATTCCGCCAGCTTTCCGACAATTTCGATACCTGTGTGATGTTGTCAGAGGCGTTTACCAAAGGGGACATTTAGTTTCGAAGAAAGACGTACACTCTGCGAGAAATCGACGTGTATCCGGTGATCGTCGATTAAAACTCCCTGCATCTTGAAATAGGCCTGTTCGCAATCCTTCTGATTCTCGAATTCGATAAAAGCATATTGCAGACTGTCACCAGTTCGCTTGTCTCTGATGACCTCACAAGAAAGAATTTGCCCGAACCGGCTGAAAATCAACTGGAGATCCTCATCTGGATGAGTTCAATTAGCATATAACTTGGTATAACAGATCAACCTAAACCATCATGTGAACTGGCCACGCCCTACCTTGCGTAACGGGATTCAGCTTGCAGACAAAGAGCACATTCTCTGGCGGTTTGACCTCTGCGAATGGAAGGTCACCAACCATTTCAAGTGTCAATGCCTGCGCTCTGGCCTCGCGCTCCCGCCTCAACCTCTCCATAGCTTCCTCATCCATGTTATCATCGAGATCCTCGTCATCCGCGATTCTCACAGTTGCCAACTGGGCTTTTGAGGGTAATGGGCTTTCCGCTGGCACCACGAGGTTCGGCGGGTCATCGAAAGGATCGTCAAGAATAACAGTATGGCGAATACGGATATCTTTCAGTGGACGGCCCTTGTCGTCGATGAATGAATCGTTGATCTTTTCAAGGACATCGAAGCCCTCGACGACCTTGCCGAAAATTGCCGCTTTTCCATCCAAGTAGTCTAGGTTGTCCCCGAGTGTGATGATGAACTGACTGGCAGCGAGACGCTGGTCGGGATCGTGGGATGAAGGGACCGTGGCCATGCTCACGGTCCCTCGTTCTGTGTGCTTCATTTTCGGCGAGAGCTCGAGGGGGAATGTTCTTTTCGCGGGTCCTTCCAATAGACCCCATATCGACGAACCACCATCGCTTTCTGGGGAATCAGGTCCGAGAGGATCACCGGTCTGAAAAGTGAAATTCTTCTGTACGCTATGCACCGGCGAGAAATTGTAATATTTGACTTTGCATAGCTTCAGAAAGCTAGAGCGGTAGAACAAGGATTGCTTAGTTTCTAGTTCAGCCAATCGACGTTGTAACACATAGCAAGCACACACAAGGAGGATTACACAAACCAGTGTAAGAGAAGGGGGACTACCTACTTTTCACATGCCTTAGGCGAATCATCCACCAGGAGGTCAATGACAACATCGCCGAGCGACGTTTCCAAAAGTACGCTCATGACGGTCTTGCGACAGAGGTTGGCGCCGCGAAGATCGACGGTGCGTTCAGCAGGAAGACGGAAAAGGAAATGGTGAAGAAGGAGAACAAATACCCGTAACAAGGATATGGTCGATAGCCGATATCGAGAGAAGAGGCAGAAAATCGACCCGTTTTCTTTTCTTTTTCTTTTTTTCTTTCGTGGTCGGTGTGTGTCTGTGAGAAGCACTGGGGATGGTTTTGAGCGATGAAACTGGAGAGGTTGATTTGCAGGGTGTGTTAGCCGTCAGCTATTATTATTTAGCCTAAGGTACGTACTAAGCTGTACTAGCTGGGATGTGGAGGAGCCGCTGCCGCCAGCGACTTACAACTTAAGTCTTACAGTAAGCGTCGATCAACACTTCCGTCGATCCTCCCACCTCTCTTCTTCTTACAGGTTACCACCACAATAGTTACCGCCAGTATCTAGATTTCGCACCATTTCCCGGGGATGGGTCCTTGTCGCTTTTGTCGATCATCCCAGCATCCTTGGATTCTTCACAATTGAGAAGTAGGTTTGATGGGAGAGGGCTTTGACTGTTGTCATACAAGTCTTGAAACGGAGCCTTTCTCTGGTCAATGGGAATCGATGATTTCGAGGTGCTCCCGCTTCCCGGAGGGTTGATCCGGTGCCTTCTTGTGTAACGATTTCCTCTTCTGAATCGGACGGCATGTCTTCCGGGGTCCCCCGTTGGATGAGGATGTCCTGGAGATCAAGATTAACTTGCGCTAACTTCGGATCGGAACCCAGCAAGTCAGTCGCTGTTTGTTGCTGCAACTAGTTCAATACGGTTGATATAGATGCGTCTGAAATGCATTAGTCGTCTCGAAATGGAGATATCTCTGAGAAGGCAGCCAGAGTCTCAGGTTTACAGCTCACAAAGTTCTACTGTCTATTCTATGACGGCGCCTGCCATACGCCTGATTACAAATCCCAACTCGATCAGGTAGAGATTGGGGTCACAATGCTGGTGTACCACTATCTCCCTATTTCTCTTTGCTCACGCGTTCCACGGCAGAGTCGTTGGAAACTGAGAAGAACAAAAACGGGCGGCTATCTGCAGTATCAGGGCCCAAGATGATAAAGAAATCCCCATCTAGAAGTTTATGTAGCAATGACGGTGTGATCGTTTTCAATATGCACGTGGATGTTGCTGGCTTATTTTTATCTTTTTGACAGGGTGGGACTGATTTTTGAGCACAGAAGAGTCATGGGCATAGCTGTACTAGCTCCAACCATCCTGTGGCTAGTCCGAATCACAAACCGCGGTCAAGCCTTCATCAAATTTACTGTCCGTCGAAGGATCATGCACAAGCTTTCATGCTTTTTGCTTTTTTCCCACTTTGGAAGAAGAAAGAGAAGTCACCATACATGACATCTCGTTTATGCAACCTGCATTCAGAGGAGCGAAGATACCCAAGCATGGTCTTGGCTGGTGATTCGACGAATGGGGAGTGCAAGCAGAGAAGCAAAAAGAAAAGACAAGGCAAAGACACAGCGTAGCTGAAGCCCGAGTTACGGAAACGCTGTCATGGCCACTAACTCTTCCGCTGGCGGACTATATTGGACCGACATGTACTTGGGCTGAAACTGTCCCAATCAAGCATGGATTTTGATGCAAGAAGTCCGTTGGCGTAGGTCGCCAATCAGGTATTGACAGGCTGTGTCAGCTAGCAACAGATCCTGTCTTTCATATACCCCTGGACTTCGTGCATACCAGATATCCCCCCTGGTCCCATGTCCCTGGCGATTTCTTGTTTGACTAGGATTTTGAATTGATATAACAATTTTCTGATTTGCTCACGCTGTCAATGATTCTCTTCGCAGCTGTGTCCTCCAACCTCTTACCTCAACCAGCCCTGTTTCGTCTCTTTGATTTGTCCATTTGTCCAACAGCAATTCAGATAGGAAAGAAAGATCTCAGCCACCGCTGCTTGGCACATACAGCGCCACGGACTTGGAGCTAGAATCATGTCTCTCTTCCTTGTCAATGCTCGACCCTGATTCACTAAGCAACGGCGATCATTCGCCATCTATCTTCCCTGGAAAAGGTCGTTCTATGAGCTCGAGCATTGATTTGAACTATGCTGAGACCTGAGGAGCTGAGCTACCCGAGACATCAAACTGAGTCACCAAGGGCTATTCGTTTGTATGAATCATGACTGAGAAGCCTAGCTTTTCTCTCTTGCAATCACTGCCAGGACTGCTTGCTCAAAGTGCTTGCGACCGCAGCTAATATTGAGACTGTGTCAGAGAACAGATCGAGTGTCAAAAGTACTGGCCGAGTTCGGGCCTTCATATAACAGTTTGTTTGATACCAGGAGCTGCAAGAGTTTGACCAATAGACTCCACCACCGATATCCTCTCCCAACGGGCAAACATCGTTCATTCATTGTTCATTTAGCCCCAGGTTCGATAGAGAGGTGCTATCCTTGGGAGTTCATGCAAACGTAATCAGTCGCTATCCGCTCTGCAACAGCCTGAGTCCTAAGGATATCGCATTATGGGCTATGGGGAGAGGACGAAGGATTTCTTCGCGCTAAGACAGCAATATTGGGAAGTGAAATAGACTGTTGGCCCTTTTTCCCTCTAATTTCACGGGGCAAATTGAATGGAACATTGCGCAGGGAGCTCTCCGACTTCCCCAACCTAGACTCCTAGGCCTTGCTGTGGTAACCACCAGGTCATGTTCGACCCGTGCAACGTTACTCTGTGAAACAGAACCTCTAAAACGCCGGGTATTCTGCCTGTCTGGCCTTCTATCAGCGTGCTTCTGAGGTTCCAACCTACTTTGACGTTGGAACTGAATGCAACACGGGCAAATGCATATGCTCTCCTGGTACAACAAAAGGCTGGAGAATCAGGTATCAAACTGACCACCTTGCTGGATTGAGGAGTGATTAAGTGACATGCACTAGTCCAGGGAGCACTTCAGGTGAGCTTATGACCGATCTATATTCTCCATTCAGAAGTCCAGCCAACTGTTGGGCGAAAGAGAGGAGATTGAGAGAGAGAGAGGGAGAGAGCAGAAGGCCAAAAGAAAAAGAAAACAGGCAATCGCACAAGATGATCACCAACACATGGACTTAAATCTGGCCTTGCTTCCGATCGCTGCCCCCCTATCCTTCCCCGGTTCCTTTTCCAATACCTGGAGCAGACTTAACATGCTGGAAATCGTCATCCCTGATTCATATACCTTCCTCGTACTCTTAACTAACCTGTGGAAGAAGCTGTTTCGATACTCCGACCTTGTTTTGACTTAGAATGTGAGTCTCAGAATCGGGAACAACCACGGTGCAATCCATACTAACTGTCGAAGCCATGGCCCATCCTTACTATCCCTCTGGGGATGACGTCGGCCTTGACCAACAGTCCAAGCATGAGGCTCATTCAGTTTCGCATTCAATGCGCACTGATGGCCAGCAAGACGTTATCGAGCGAGGCGTAAGCTGCATGAGTCCTGCTTTGGAGATAGATGGGAAAACTCGAAACTCTACAAGGCGCCGTATCCAAGTCGCAGTAAGTGATATATTATCCTAATACTTGCCTATCATTGGAATCAGACCAACCACTTACTCGTACAGTGCAATCGATGCCGCAAGAGGAAGATCAAATGCAGTGGTGACATTGGTGACGGGCAAGGGTGTTCAAATTGTCAGGCCTCTGGTAATACCAATTGCCAATTTTTAAGGGTGAGATGGAACGCGGCTTCGCCCTAGACATTATTTGGGAAATAACGAGCTGAAATGTGCAAAGGTCAATTCCTCAATGCTCCAGACCAAAGTCTCTGGCTGGCCGTATCCTGTCTCGAATGTTACAGCGTCTCCTCCCTCTCAAAGGCACGGAGTATATACACACTCCTTATCTCAGAAAAGTGGAGTTCTACCGACAAGCTCACCCAGTATGCGTCTTGGGTCTTTCCCGCGATCATCAGGCTACGAGATGAGTACTTTTGTTCCGCTGCCTGCTTCGAATCGATCATCCTTCGGCATTGATCATCCAATCAATTATGAAGAGGAGTCGACTGCATACAACTCACAGCCCTCGCCATATATGTTTCCCAACACGCAGCAAGGCGTCCTAGCCGACTACTGTGGGATCGCTTGGAATCCCAAGGCATGGAGTTCCAATCTTCAAGTTAACAAGGCTTCGAGCGGAGCATTGTTCACAAGCCAAGATACAGAGAACTCCTTCGCTACCTCTTCTTACCCATACCTATTCTCAGGCCAAGTGGCTCAATCAACGGACGTCCCTCCTGTTGTACCAACGATACCGTGCATACCGCCGGACGGGCAAGGAGCCGATCGGACGTTGCCCAACCCTACGGGCCGTGACCAGCTTCAGATCGGCCTTTCTTGCCTCACCACAGCATCCGATACCATACACGGATTACCTATGTCCCCCGAATATAGATTCGGAAATTCTCTAGCTACGCGAGGACCTATTTCAAGCGGTAGCCGACCCTCTGTTCAACTTAGTTCGACTGGAAGTTTATGTGGTGGTTCGCCTGTCCAAACAACCAGAGCGAGCCAGCCCAGTGCACAAGACATGGTGTTCGACTATCTACCCCTGACATCGGCCGGGTCATCCTCACACCTTGTCTCCCCAGGTGGAGCAGTTCCCGCTTATGAGCCTCTTGAGCCAAGTGATGACTTCAGAGGCAGCGAAAGTCGAGTAGCGAGATCATTCTCTCGGGATAGTGGACGCTTTATATCCCTCATGGGCTGCAGTTCCGACGTCTACGGCTACAGCAGCAGCAGCGAGAAGATCAAGAATCGATCTGAGACAAGCGATACCGGGTCCGGGGCTACCCTCATGAACGGCCTTCCATACACACGCCCGAGGCATGCAGATTCTCATACCACCATACCGTTCGACCTCCTCACGACCGACGTCCTCTCTGATTATCGGGGCCCAACAGAGATGCATCGGCCATCTGTCTCGGCTCTGAGTAATCCAGGTGGTTTTTAATATCGTTGTGATAGTCCGCCAGGGCTATTGGGTGTGGTGCAGTAAGAAAGTCTGCCGCGAGCAGGGGGGAAGCCTCGCGCTGGAAGCAAGGCAGAGAGGTCTATACGGAAAGCTGGACTTTACTTTTCTCATCAATAATACCAGGTCTGTATCTCTTTTTTATTTTTATTTTTGTCATGTGTGTTTTCTTCTATGGTCTTTTCCCCTTAGCAAATCCCTCTTGTGCAATACTTGGCTTGTGATCTATGTGATATGTACGTGCCTGATGGTCCTTTTCATGTTTCTCTGCGTTCTCTGCACTTGGACAGATCGAGATGTTACACTAATACCGGAGGATGTAGAGTATTGGTCCAGGGTTGGCGAAGCTCGTCGTTTATTCCGACTCTGCGAGTTCTTCTTTGATGTGTCAGTTGTTTGTTTTGCAAAGTTGGCGGCATTGTCTCTCTTTCTTTCAACCAATAAGTGGCGCGGCTCTGCTGTGATTGTTGCTTTTTCTTTCAAGATTTTTCGATGATAATTTGATCTATCTATAATAATATTATTTATTTTGACGTTACTTACTACATGCCATCACGAGGACTAGTGACATAGTTCTGCTTTACAAATGGCCACATTATCCTTGATATAAATCGCCAATATATCTTCAATATGCGAAAGGGATCCATCCCGGAGCACTCAGCATATCTTTGCCATCGGTGGATCCAGTTGGATCAACAATCCACGATGCTGGAGGATGTTGCCAGGTTCAGCATACATACATACATACATACATACATACGAAGGTGATACAAACCTGTGCACGAGAGCAGGGGAATCCATTCCAAGATGGCGTCCCGATATGCGCCTACGCGCCCCAGGCAGTGCATGGCAGGGCTCCAGTTGGGCTGAAAGGGAACGGGGAAAAAAAGAAAAGAAGAATAAATCGGAGCATATCTGTGTCTCTTTTTTTTTTTAGACAGTACATCGACGGAAACCCGATGTTGGAGGCTTTTTGATTTGAGAGAAGAAAGTTGCGGTAGGCGCTGCTGGTAAAAAGGGATGATTGGAAGGATGCCTGTTCAAGAAACAAGAACTGTCGAGATGGAAAAAAAGGAAGAAAAGGAAAAAAAAAGTAAATTTTGATCCCAGAGAATTACCCCAAATCTCAGATTTTCCCTGTCTTTATCGTCATGGTCATGATAATGGGCGTCACAGTATGCTCCACCGATCCCACCGCATTGATCACATCCAGCAGGGTCAGCCCCTGGCCGCGTCCGTCTCTGTCTCCGAGTCCACCTCCAAACCCCTTCACCAGACTCAAGCCGAGCGCATTTAGTCCTTGTTCTTCTTGGGGCCCTTGGTCTTGGCAGTACCGCGGAACTTCTTGGAACGGTTCTTCCGTTGCTTGCCTGTAGAGTGCAAAGAGGGATGTCAGCAATGCTACATTCATAACAATCACATTCACGAGCCACAGGCCCATGTAGCGAAGCCATGGCTTTCCCATCTTGCATAGTCCTTCTGTTCCTCCGGGTAGGGTTCAACGTACGCTGCTGTCTGCTGGGCTTCTCGATCTTGCTGGCGGCGCCGATACGGACGAGACGGTAGTGGGGCTCGAACTTCTTCAGAGCCTCGCCGGAGTCGTAGACGAGGGCGAAGCCAGTGCTCTTGCCACCACCATACTGGGTGCGGAAACCGAAGACGGAGACCTGGTCCTTGTTGGCCTTGTACAGGTCGGCGAGCTTCTCGCGCAGCTCGTCCTTGGAGACGTTAGCGCGGTTGGGGTGGAGGACATCCCTAGAGAGGAGATCAGTGTTAGAGCCATCGTTTTTTTATCAATCAATATCGACAGAAGTTAGGTCTTCTGGGCTGTGCGTTTTGAGAATTTCCAGGTTGTGTGATCGAGATTCTGAGCAAGACGTATTCCCATTTCCTGTGCCGATATCTTGTTCTGATTCCTCTTTTTTTGTTCTTTTCATCGTATCCTCCAGTCGACCTGTTCCCCGATTGCAACTTGCCCCGACACGCACACATCCAGGGAAGAGAAAAAAGAATTTTTGGGCCCAGAAAACGATGCCGCTCGCTGGAAATTCTCAAGCGCAGAGTAGACATGAAGAAAAGGGCTCCTTACACGACCATCTGCTTTCTGGCGAGCAGGGGGTTGCGGATGAACTTGCGAGTCCGCAGGGTAACGGGAGCGTCGGACATGATTGCAGGTGAGTTGGGGGGTTGACGAGAAAATTGAATCACCAGCGGCGAGAATCTGCGAGCGAGAAAAAAGCAGAAACTCGACAGGGACGAGAGGTTGGGGGGATTTGTCGAAGTCGCTGCTGCTGTCGTTGCCGGGTTTCTCGAAATGCGATTCAATTTTGCGTTTCGTTGTGCAGTTCCAGCTGTGGGCTCGGCTAGGGCTCCCGCTAGCCGTGTTGGGCCTAGCGTGCACCTGACCCGACTCAACCATAGAACTTGTGTATCCCCATACAGTAATCCAAGCACAGAGCCCAGAGAACCAGTTGTGGTCGACAAGGACGGTGATAATTATGTCCTATATCCCGTCTAATGGTGATGGCGGCGACGATGGCAACATCAAGCCTATTGACAAGTTGGTCGCTCAGTACTTCCAGCAGGTCGAACCCCACCTCCTCAACTTCCCCGATGGCCGAACTATGATCAATGCGGCCACGCAGACAGTCATCTACGAGCGCATGTTCAACGAGGCGGCAGTATGGCCGATTCCCCCCGTGAACTACCGGGCTCGTGTTCTGAAGATCATTCTGTCTAGACTTGAAGAGTCCATTAGCGACCCCGAGGAGGATGTATGAATCCCTCTGTACCACGTTACCTCCGACCCCTTGTGTATGCATTTCTCAAATATTTCTTAAGAAAACCAAATAATCAGTAGATCTTCTTTTTTTTTTGTTTGCTCTAACATCTCTCTAGGAGATCTCAAACGATCTCATGGAATGCTGGAGCGAGCTCGTGGCCCAACCCAAACCCTCCGCCATCCAACAAGCCCAGCAACTAGCTTACATTAAATACACAGCCCCCAGCGATCCAGCCAGCACGCACAGGAGCACTCGCACTGTTATCACCTCCGAATCACGCGGTCTGATCCTCTCCGGAGGCACCACAGGCTTCCGCACCTGGGAGGCAGCACTGCATCTCGGGTCTTTTCTGGCCACGCCCACCGGCGCGGCTCTTGTGCGCGGAAAACGCGTCATCGAGCTCGGCGCCGGCACGGGCTTCCTGTCCATTTTCTGTGCTAGGCATCTGGACGTCCAGGACGTCGTGGTCACGGACCGTGAGCAGGCTCTCATCGATCATATCCGCGATTGTATGGTGCGGAACCAACTCGATGGCAAGGCCTTTCACCCTGCGATTTGGGAATGGGGCACGCCGTTGACGTATCACGATGATGATAATGATGCAGCCGCGCAGGCGACTGAGGTGCCAGAGCAGAGTGGGATGGTCTTCGATGTTGCACTCGGTGCTGATCTGGTATGCTTCCCCTTTTCCTTTTTCTTTGCCGATCCTCTTCTGTCGTCCACCGAAAGCCTGGAAGCACAGAGTACCTCCCGTTGTACAACTCGCTCACCGAATAACCCAAGATTTACGACGTCGACCTCGTCCCGCTCCTGGTCTCTACCATCCGTGATCTCTTCGACAACTACCACCTCCAAGAATTCATCATCTCCGCAACCCTCCGCAACAAAGACACCTTCCAAACATTCCTCAACGCTTGTGGTGAGTCCCGAGTCTGTTTTATCGTCTTATGTCTGGATTCACGACGCGAAGACTAACCCCCGATAGAATCGAGCAATTTCAACGTGGAATGTATGCCGTATGAGTCTCCTGCTGCAGAGTCGCAGACGGGCTTCTTTCACTCGACTAGTATCCCTGTGCGCACATATCGGATAACACGGCGTGTAGTGTGAAACCAAACGTAAAGCAAAGCGTACATCACACTATAGCCAAACATGTACTCATTAGAAGGGGTACAATTGATACCCTTTGGTAGTTGCGTCCCCCGGCTCATCTCTCAGCTAGTTTTCTGTCTCCTTTCCTGCTATGCCTGAGAGAAGCGCTTTGTAGTCCAGGAATCACTTCTACTTATCACTTGCGCGCGGGAACCCACGATGCTCTTGTCGAAGATCATCTTACAAGTCACATATCACCAGAGCAAGGGGCACAGACTGAATTAATCTATATCACCAAAACCATTCAAAACAAGTCACAACAAAATATCTCACCCTCATACGCATCAATCCAAAAAAGAAATCCGAAGATAATTCGCCTCCCCCGACTTCAACTTCAACCTCCAAGCCCTATGCCAATGCTTGGGCGGGGCTGCGTAGCGCCGCGAAGGCAGCTGAGTCGGTTGCGTCGCTGCCGAGGTTGTGGAGGTGGGATTCAGGCGTTTATGCAAGATTGCCTTGGGAGGAGTACATTTCGTCTTACAGATAGAATTCTCGTGGGAAGGAGTGTCTAAACGTAGTATTTATCCTCATATCTAAGAATGTAGACATAACATAAGAGAGTGTCCGCTGTAGGGGTATCATATAGACTATCGACCATAGAAAGGTAAGGAAAGGCCGGCATCATCCAAGAAAAACGAAAGTACTCCAGTCCGATGGCTCAATGCAAGAGCCATGCAAAAGTCATGCGATGCCGATGCAATGCAATGCAAATAATGATGTTGAAAAAAAGAAAGAAAAAAACAAAAAAACCAAATAGTATGAAAAGAGGAGTAAACAAGGAAAAGACCCCATTAGCATGGAATCGTTGTAAAACAGCTCTGCGGCGAGACCACAGGACCATGATCATTCGGCCAGACTCTCCCGCAGAAGATTCTCATCCAACTGCTCCGGATGCAGGGAAACCGGGGCCTGTGGAGGCGGCCGGAAGCCCATAATTGGTCCGCTCTGGTTGACGCCGGGAAACCTATATCGCAGCTTCGGCATCGCGTCGAAGCTGGAGGTGCTCTTCTGTTTACCAGCGGAGGATGGCCGTGAAGAGGCGGGTGACTCTGGAGTCTGCGCAGTGGCCATGTCGGACTCGGCGCGCGGCTCCGTGTCTCCGTTAGAGGAGGTAGGAGCAATGCCCCAGCGGCCCCGGACCCAGCCTCCGACTCGACGGCTTAATGAGGCCTTACGGCTCGGGGTAACGGTGGAATCAGACCCAATCTCCGCAGATTCAGCGAATGGTGCGTCATCCCCGGCCCGAGCGCGACTTGCGACAACAGTGGCAAGTAGTCTTCGGGGAGAATGCTCAGACACCTTTGGCGGCTCTCGGCCAGCGGTAACAGTGCTTGTGGAAATCACCGGAGAGGGCGAGAAGAGCTCTGCGCTGGGGGATATAATGCGGCGAGGTGCGCGGATGGGCAAGCTAGAATGGAGATCGCTCATGCGGGATGGACGGCGGCTGGGTGTATGGATGTCCATGCCCGCGATAGAAAAGAGACTTTCGTGCGATTGGCGACTCCTCAGAGGACTCCGCGAGGGGGAGAAGACATCATCAGGGTCCGCAGAGGGCTGGTTGTTGGGAATCGACTCGCCAAACTGCGCAGACAAGGCATCCTCCATCTCCTCAGGTATAATTGAATGGAGTGGCATCCGGTCGCTCAATTCCCCATGAGTCCTCTGACCGAAGTAGTCATATGCAAACTGCATCGATTCCTCAGTACCGACTCTCTCGGGCTCATCCATTCCATCAAGAGGTCGAAAAGGCACGTCAAAGGGGATGTGCTTGTGGCGCGACTTCATGATAGGAGACGACAGAGCAGTGCTTTCTGGACTGCTTGGTTGAGATGACTCGGAGCCTCGTTCCACTCGATCGAAGATGGACGATGTCCGGTACCCTGACTGTGGGGAGCTCGCTATCGATTCTGCGGCAGGAGACCGCAATGACCACCGACGGGAGGCAGCGGGAGGAGGAATCGAGACGGAGGTTTGCGATAGGATGGTCGACGTCGACGAGATCGATGATTGGGGTTGATGAGCGGATCTCCGGGAAATCTGCGAGCTCGATGCCGAGTGCATGACCGTGGCAGTCCCCAGAGACCGTCTCTTCTTGGAACGACGGAAGATTGTACCCTTGTCTTTCTTCGAACTGGCTGGGATAGAGGGGGAATGGTAGTGATGATGGATATGGAACTCGGACGACACGCGACGCGATTCCTTCGGCTCGAGTTCCTGACTCAGGGTCGTCGGTTGCGGACGAGGCTGTCCCTCATCGTCTTCATTATTCGCCGTCAAGGGCCGATGTGACAGGACCTGATCCCGCAGGTTCTGCACTTCCTGGTTCGAGCTCTCGAGCATCTCCCGCAGCTCTATAATTCCCATCTGCAGATGAGCGTTATCCTGCAGAATGTCCCGGACGAAGCGTGAAACCACGTTTGGATTGCCGCGGTTTCGATCCAGTTCTTGCGCCGCCGCCGCGCCCTTCAGCCGTCCCGCAGCACCATCAAGCTCGCGCTCGACGGCCCTCCTACGCTCCATGCGCTGGACGAGTTCCGCATGGCGTTGACGCTCTTCGCGAGCTTCCTTCTCGATTCGGTCGACCTGGTCGTGCAGGTCTCGCAGGGTACATTCGGCCTTCTTCCACCGCTGCACGGCCGACTTCTCATCTTCCTGGGCAATCTGCAGGCTGTCCTGCAATCTGGATTGCTCAGCCTCTATCTGGGCTAGTTGGGCTTCGAGATCCGCCGCGCGGGCTGCCGACGCGGTCACTTGGCGCAGTTCGGCCTCGGTGTTCTCCAGGGTAGCAGCGAGCGAATTTGCATGGGCATCCGATGCGGCAACGGCCTTGTTCAGGCCGTCCAGCTGCTCTAACAAGCCGCGGTTCTCTTCAATGATACGGGCATTTTCTGCCTGGACCTGGCGCTTCTCCCGCTCGAGGTTCTCGATATTGGCGAGTAAGCGCTTGCGGTCATCCTCCGCCTCGGCCATATACGACTCATGGCGATGGAGCAGAGCCTGCAGGGCAAAGGTTAGCGACGACGAGCTCATTGATAATGGAGCCGCAGCATTTTCATCTGGGGGGATGGCCATGACGGACTATAGCACAGTGAGAGAGGATCGGGGACCGTGATCCCGTGATAGCCATTATTGCGGGACAACGATGGGACGGCGAACAACGAAGGGGGGAGGATGGTAGAAAAATGACAGCCTCTGTTTTTTTTTTTTTTCTCTCTTTTCTTCCGCCTCTATCTCAAGGTAGATAGGGAGGCAGGGGGACCTGGAATTCCAGAGCCCGAGGTAATAATGTGACAGGGGGAGAGGAGTCAGGTAAGTTACTATGAAATGCTCCTCCACGGGTAGATCGCATAAGAAGTATGTGGATGTATCCCGAAAAAAAAGAAAAAAAGGAAAAAAAAAGAATGAGGTATGTGCGAGATGACAGATAAAAAAGGGAAGACCAAACCAGCCAGCCAGCCAGCCATCAACAGAAGAAGAAACACCCCTCCAATGCTGACTATCAATGGAGGCCTGACGTGGACAGTGGTGTTGCTGTAAAGCCTCACTTTTGAGGCGGGGGAGTGAATGGGCAAAGCAAGACAGAGGGACAATGAAAACAAGGAAAAAGAGCAAAGGCGCAAGCAAACCAACGTACCTGACCCAATCGAGCGGCAGTTTCAAGATCTTTCTCCAACCCCTCCAAGGCGAGATTATTATTATGGAGGAATGCGCATTCATTACGGCCACAGCAACACCGGAGCACGGTGGGCGCTGACGAATGGGTAGGAATGCAGAGCAGGCCTGCAGGAACCGGAGGACTATGCGGTCGGGAATGAGACTCCATGGCTTTGGGCGAGAGCCCTGGGCAAGTGATGAGCGCTCAAAAAAGGGCTCGGGAGCTCAAGGCCAAGCAAGCAGGTTCCAGGATTCAAAGAATGCGGCCGGAGTTGGGTAGAGAGATTAGATGGATGGATACCAGACCAAACTACCAGTAAATCGGAATGGAATGGAGAGTCTTAGTTGGTTAGTTAAGTGAGTTGGCAGCTGGCACCCCTTGACGGAGTGATGAACTGCAGGACAGGCGCCAGTTCATTGAGAGCTGAGAGCTGAGGTTGAAGATTAGAGGTTCAGAGTGGTGACTAGTGAAGAGTGAGAGTGGGTAGTGGGGCATTACACGGAGTTGATAGATAGATAGAGAGTATGATGATGATGATGATGATGATGATGATGATGATGATGATGATGATGGTTTCTCTTTAGATTAACTACATAGTAGTTAGAGTCCCTTATAGCGTCGAGTACTGAGATGATAATGAGATCTAACAACAACAACAATAATAATAATAACAGCAGTGATCAAGAATAAGAAGAAAGAAAGTCATTAATTATTAATAATGACCAAGTTATGAACATGTGAATAGAACAGTCGGGTAAGGCAAGGTAATATTTTACAATACTAAATACTTGCTCCATGAAAATCAATAAAAGTATCCTCTGACAAAGTGACAAGTAACACCAACCATGAACAATCAAAGCCCCAAATTCATTCATCTACATAGGTCATATATACAACAGAACTTAGGACTCAAGGATATCAAAAAAAAAACTCTAGCCACAAACTAACTACCATGACAAAAAGACAGAATATACTGCACTATGTATGTATGTAGGACCTCCATTGTCATACCATGCACCCATATACCATGCATTGCATCGCATCTACATATATTTCCCACCAAGACACAATCCACAACACTACTATCTAGATAAAAACCCTCCCACAAAGTACCATCGGAGACTTTTCTGCCACATAAAGCAGCTAATGATTGAAAGAGCCTAGTGCTCACTGTCCACTGATCGGTCATAGTGAATTGTCGTCACGCTTGGACCAGATCACTACTCCCCGCCGCTGTCCAATGCTGGTCCCCGTTGCGGGTGGCCTGCTGATGCGGATTTCTGCGACGTGGTAGGCATGGGCAGGGATATAGTGACATCGCGACTAGCAAGCCAAGGACTTCCTTCCAGCTGCGACCTGTGGGATAGGACGTTTCCTCTCTCTCTCTCTCTCTCTCTCTCTCTGTTTTTCCCCCGGCGAGTGTGGAATTGACAGGGTGATGAAGAGGGTTCTTCGCCCCGAAGCGAATAGGTTTAGTTTACATCTATCTAATCCGTCCATCATGAAGAATAGAATCGTGAGGCTTACGGAGGGGAAAGGTTGTAGCTCCATTCTTGCTATGCCACATGAGTCGTCGAAATTAACAAATTCATAAGAGTCCTTGATCGTATGATATCGCCAGCAATCACAATCACATTCATCTAAAGCAGGAAATCATTCCGCACATTGATAAACGCCCCAGCGCCGCCGTCTTCGCCAATCTCATTGACCAGCACCTCGGTTTGTTGATACAGCCGCTCAAGAGCGGCCGAGGAGGGTTTGCCCAATGAAACTATTTTCGGGGAAACGAATGTCAGCATCAGCTTGCATGAGATCCATCACAGATAAAAACTCACCAAGAATCGTGGAGTTGAGCTCTTCCGCAATCGCAAGGCGTCCAGCAGGATCGAGATAGTGCCCATGCACCGATCGTTTGGGATCCTGGTAAGCCACTAATGAAAAGATGTCATCCAGCACCTTCTTGTCGCCGCCTCGCTCGTCATTCGGGTAGTCCATGCGTAATTGCTGTCCATACTGGACCGCTTCCGTAAGCAGCTCGTGGAACTTCCCTAGGCTCTCGGGCTCTTCCGTATCCATCCCCTCCGCATCCCAGCCATCGCCTTCGTGGAGTTGTTCGTCGAGTTCCATCTCCTGGTCAAACACAGCACTGCCATCCGACAGACCATTGGTGGCTTTTCCCTTCTTGGAAGAAGCCGTGGATAGCTCATTGCAGCGTCGAATCATCTCCAGGAATTTTCGACACCGTAGCTTGAACTGAATGTGAGGGTGGCTCTCCAGAACGTTTCCATAGTAGGCAGTGGTATACTTGAGAGCCTTGTCAATATCTCCTTCCAATATGGCGGCGCGGATTTCTACAAGTATAAAGTTAGTTCGACCTATAGCGACTACCGACCAGGTAGGGGAAAGGGGTTCTTACTCTGTCTGTTGATCGCATCAAGACCCTCCTCGACTTCATACTTTTTGAGGGAGTCCTTTCGACCGTTGTCCAGAGCCGCCGATTCCGCAGCGACTTCTTCTGCAAAAGCCCGAGCAGTGTCGACATACCCCTCGTGGGCCAGAAATTGAGCAACCAACTCCTGGAACAGCGCATTTTCATCAAGCGGTGGCTGTAAATTGGCCGTGCTTGTAGCGTAGATTTCAGAGTGTATGGAGAATTTCTCTCTCTGCAAGGAAAAATCAGGATTGGTCTTATAGGGGCAAAAGAAGAAGGGGGAAAAAAAAACACACCTTAACCATGCCGTCGATTTCGAACATAAACGGTTGCTGACCAAAGTTCACAACCAAGTGCACGGGCGGTTGCTTCTTCATCCCGACGGAGGGATAGACTTTCAGATTTCTGAGTTCACGAAATGCGTTTCCTAGATGAACTCATTAGTTTTAATACAAGTATCTAGGGTTGAAAGACCAGCCTACCGAGGAAATTGCCATTCTTGGTAAAGAAAGCGCATCCCGTAGAGAAGTTGACACCACACCCGACAGTATCATTAGCACCAAAGGTCGGACCATACGGTCGACCCTGTCCTTGACTCTCCCCAAAGAATGATTTGCCATCGTCGCCGTGGTATGCCCACGACTCTTGCTCCCACCCGGGAAGTCTTTCGACCGACGCTTTATTACTCGAGAACCCGATTCCGATCATTCTGTTGAACTGTCAGGGACTATACTTGTGACGCTGGGTGAGGAAATCACCCAGAGGAAATCGCATACGTACCCTTCCTTTGGCTTTGAGAGGATAGTGATCTCAAAGTAATAGATACCACACTGCGGAGGCATGGGGTGGTCCGCCCGCACCGCGGCAGCTTCGTGATCGTGTTTATTGACTGGACCCGAATATCGGACCTCAAGGCCCCCATTTGTAAGCTCCAGACCAGCGTATTTATCGGTAGGGCTCCATCGCGAGGGGAGGGGCATCAAACGGTCGTCATCGCTGGACGGTTCTCGTTCGATGATATCATAGGTCATGCCACGGTGAGAAGGAGCTATACGAGGCAAGCTTGTATGGCTCGAGGAGGTAGAGAGAGGATTCGAAGCCGAAGCGGAAGAGGAGACATCTCGATGGGAAGCGAGCTTTGCTCGACGGGCGGCGTCAAGGCGAGCGATGTATCGCGAGTTGCGGAGATAGGATGGAGTAAAGGAGGAGGAATCGGAGAAGCTGCCTGGGGATTGGAAGATGGTATCGTAGCGAGGGAGGTTGGCAAACTTGCGGGAATAAAGAGGGAGGGAATCACCGGGCGCCGTCGTCGTTGCCGTCCTCCAGGAGGAATTCAACTGCATATCGGCATCCGCGGCGGAGGAATGCCTTAGGAGTCGGCCGTCGGGGTGAGAGGGTGGGGGATAGGAAGAAGTGGAGTTGGAGATAAGCAAATGGGCAGGAGGACTAGTACTGTTGCTTGCTGGCGAGAGAGCAGCAGTCCCGGAGAGGACAGAGGCGTAGGAAGAGCGGCGTGGGATGGATGAGATGCTTGGACCGGAATATGAGGTTGGCAGAGGAGGAGGAGCTCCTCGAGCTCCACCGGAAGGGGGAAAAGGCGCATCGGTCATGCTGTCGTCGTTCGCTGGATGGAGCAGAACCCAACGGCCAGGCGGGTACTTCTTAGTGACGAGGGGGGCATCGGAGACGCCTCACGCGAGCTGCTCTCGGGGGCAGAACCAATATTCAATCCACGGTTTAGTAGCTGATTCTTAATCAAATCATCATCGTTTGATCAGGAGAATCAGAGCCCTTTGGTCACAGCCACAGAAGCAAAAAATCAGGAAAAGTATTGACTCGCGTTTCGCTGTTTTGGTGTTTCGTTTTTTTTCCGCACTCGGAGAATCGACGATAGTACGTAGTCAAAAGGCAGTGAATGAAGTATTGCAGTTTGCCAGTCATGTACAGACTAAGACTCGAATAAAAAAGAGATGATGTCGATGACTTTCATCTAGCTTCCAGAAGCCCATATAAAAACCAAGCAACTGATAGAAAGGAAAAGCAACTAGCACTACGAAGAGAAGATACTCAAGAGACAGAAACAACAGACAGTGACCAGTAACAGCGACCACTTTCCCGTACAACAGGAATCGATCTCACTGAGCGAACATGAACAGGCAGAAGAAAGAAAAGTCACACGAGACCCATGATGACATGTAAAAAAAAAAAAAAAAAAAAACAAAAAAGTCTCAAGACTGCGGGGAAAAGGACACACGGACTGGAGGAAGAGAGGGGGGAATATGTTGTTGGAGTTGAAGCCTGTTGTATTACTTCTGGCAGGAGGAGGAGTACAAAGTCACAGATCCCTTCCCAGCAACTTAACTTGTCAGGCAGTCCGTGAATTCGCTCCGAGAAAAAAATTGAAGGGAAAGAAAAAGCAGTAGGGCTGGACGGGGCATTCCTGGCTCAACTGGAAGGACTCAATTGCAGATTCCTCGTGCTACCTGGTCCATCTTCCCTAGATATAGCATAATAGCCATATATTCTTCATATGAGCGTATACAAGCATCAAAGTCTCGTCGACATGACAAGGACACATCTACATCAGACCACACACTTACGGTACAACACCGGCCAAGGGTCATTGCTAAGGTACCTCTGGTTCCCTTCCATACGAGTCAATATGAAGTACCCGGTCTTTATATGCATCAGCAATGAGAAACCCCTCCTTTTTCTCCCTGGCATGACATGACTGTGTGAATCTCGGCTGATCTGGCAGCTGATCCGTCTGTCCTCTTCCCCCGTCGTATTAGATAGTATTATCCGATATCCTTCCCAGCCAGGATAGCCATTTCACGTAGTCCGAGTCACTGCCCTCACTGGAAGAACAAGAAGTGAACAAAGGACATTTTTGACAGATTCCAGCTATCATGAATACTCAATACGCGAATTCTTGGGTTGAATCTGATGAATTGTGGTACACCAATGCGCATAATACATATATTATCTTTCTTTTCTTTCTAAGAATGCATGGGATGCCGTGGTCGTTGTAATAAAACCCACTCATCCCTTGAGTAGCCTCCTGTATGGGTGGCATATGCAGTGCAAGAAAAACCAAGTCCTAATCCTCCTTCGCAAGTTCTAGTGTTACATAGACAAAAGATAAGATTATCAAGACAAGAATGGTGAAATCGAAAGGAAGAGGGCGGACAGGACAATCACATCCAGCGGAACGTCCTGACATCTTTCAAAGAGTAAAATAGACTTCCCAGGACGAGAATAATCGACAAGACCCCAACGCCGGTAAGCAATAATCAAGGTAGAATCGTACGCTGGTAGCCATCATAGTAAAGAAACATAGGGTCAAAAAAAAAGTATTGTACAAGAATAGTAAATGGCGTGAGGGGTCACAACGGGCAAGTCGTCCTGGATGAATCTATGCAGTCATGGCGATAGCTGGCGAAGACGCTTCAGTGATATTAGGCGGGACCGGCGTCAGCTCCATATCGCCAGCGTTGCTCTTCTCGCTGGGTGCACCACTGGCACTCTGGTTGGCCTTGCTGTCACTGTCACCGGTCTCAAGAGCGCCTTCCTTGATCGCGCCATTTTCCTCGGTTTTCTGCGGCCGAGGAGCCCGCCATGACGGCAATTGCCATTGAACACCGGTGAAACTCTTCAGTTCCAAGGGCTTCCGTTCCCAGCGGCGGCAGGGGGCACCGGATCGATCGAGGGCGCGAAGGCCGGCATTGATCGCACCCGTATTGGCCTTGGGTCCCAACCGGTGGGAAGAACCAATTTTGGCATTATCGGGAGGCCCGTCGTCACTATAGCAGAGGTGTGTTAGCACGATCTTTCTCCAAGGACATCAAAACGGAGATGAGACAGTGGGGGTGTTGAAAACGTACAGTCTCGCCTTCTTTTTCGGACCGGGTCTCGATCTCGGCTTGGAAAAAGAATCGACGCCCTGGCCGGCAGCGCGCTTGGTTCCGGACTTGGGAGCAGGTACACCATTACGGCGAGGAGTCTCTGCAGCTCCTGTCCCGGCGGCAGGAGTCGAAGCAGCATCGGATGCATTGTCCACAGAGGATGGAGGGATCGGAGGCTCCGCGACAGACGAGGCTGGTGAGGAAGGCTCCTTCACCTTCACCGGAGGACTCGCGCTCAGTCCATTTTTCTTGATCGCTTTGTCTTTGGCATCTGGAGGTGCAAATCGACTGAGAAGGTCGGACGATAGCTTGAGAACGACGATTGCCTTCGAGGTTCCAGGCCGGTTGGCACGACCGTTGGCGGCGGACGACAAAGTAGCTGAGGCCATTGTTTCTCTGAATTTTTTTTTTTTTCCTTTTCGTCGAGATTGGTTTGGTCGCTTCTTTCTCTCCCCTTTTGCTTTTGGTCCGAAACTGAAGGAGGCGAATAAAATCCCACCCCAAGCGGTGCTAAGCCTTTGAAACCCGTCAAGGGCAAAGTGGCAGCAATGTCCGAGGTGGTTGTGACAGGGAGATAGGGCTGATCGGAGAAGATGATGGAGACGGAAGAGGGTTGGTCGATTTAAATAGAGATGGTTAGGTTGAATCAAAAGCGGGCGGGCGACACTTGGTCACGGTGAGGCAAAACTCTGGCAGGGCTGAAGTCGGTAGTAAGGGTGAAGCAGAGGTGACATAGTCCGGGGGCGTCGTGGTGGTGATGGTGGTGGTGGTGATGATGATGATTCTGGGGAAGTAGATATAGAAAGGGAGAGTGAGAAGGAGGGAAGAGGGGGAATAATAAGGAAAGACGGACGGGGGATGGAAGAAAGGGATGGGGATGTCGAGGCGCCGTGTGGTTTCATTGTTGGTTGGTTGTGTTGTGTGTGTGTGTTCATTTTCTCTCGTCTACTACTAGGGGAACTCAGCCAGACTTTCGTTCGCAATGGGAGAAGCCGATGGAGGGAAGAGAAAAAAAAAATAATAGACAGTGAGAGCTGGGCGTTTGCGTTTGGTATGCTTACTCGTCGATCGCGTCTAGTACTCTGCATTACACAAGGTTAAACTATATTTTTGTGGTCAAAGAGGAAAATACCACTATAAATTATGCTTAGTTGGTTTCTGTATTACAATTACGGGGTGATTCTCGAATACCCAGGTATCATAACTCAGTATACATCCATTTCTTCCTGATTTGGTAAATATAGACTCTGGAGTAGACTCTGGTTAGTAGGTAGTATGATAGATTGGTAGTATCTACCTAGCTATGTACTAGGTTGTTAAAGTTGGTATATCCATCTGATCATCTTCAAGAATCCTTTTTCTGTTGTATCTTTGTCATCCATGTCCGACAGTCGGTCGCAAGTTCAATCCCCTTTTGATTATCGAAAGCTCATCTTGGTCTGGTTGTACGCGTTCGGAGATGATCACTCCTGTCAAGTCGATTCACCCTGCGCCTTGTTGCCCCCTCGACCTCTTAATAAGTTCACATCCAACCGTCCATTCACAAAGTCACTAACGGAGTAGAGATATAATTAGATTAAGACATCTACGCAGTATTCATATCTATCAAAGCACTCCTCCTCTGGACTCTTGGATATTGATTGATCTATCCATGGACGGACGGTTTTACTCTAAACGAACAATATCATCATCATGGTATGGTATGGATCATCCATCCGCATCAACCCGGTCAGACAGACACGACTTCCGTCTTACCGGATTCCATAAAGGATAGATAGTTAGTTCAACTCGCATGCTCATTTCTCATCTATATGGATGGATACGACACTCTAATCCCGTAGATAGCTTGAAACAGTCCACTGGATCACAAGGAGTCAGATACTTCGCACCAACACCAACACTTGACAACGTGAGAGCAAAAGAGAAGGCACATCTCAAAGTCTCAGGGTACATAAATAAAAGCACACGGCTTGATTACGCATTGAATCATGATCCTGATGCTCATCCCACAGACCGCCGCAATCATCCCAATCTTACTGTCCTCTACCGGAGTAATCAGTAAGTACGGAGTAGATAGTCTTCTATCCATATTATTCTGGCTAAGGAACCAAGAAAAAAACCCCCTCCCCCCAACCCCCCGACCGACTCGCCCCGTCGCCACAACAATTTCGGAACAAAACCCACGAGACTACGTAGATGAATTTTTTTTTTTTTTTTTTTTTTTTCCAGTTCCAAGCCAACCCGTGCCCACTGCCCATGACTCCAGCGGAATCGCGCAATTCTGGACGAATCCGTCAATGACACACATGGCATGGAATCCGGAAGAACAGTTACAGTAAGGTAGCGAATGGAGGCTTTGCAGCCCCCCCGTGTATTTTTTGTTTCTGCGGCTTCGCCTCTATGGTTTGGGATAAGTAGACTAAACTACGGCCGAGATTGATTATCACCCCCGAGTGTCTCTATTACCGAGTGTACTGAGTGTATAAATATATCAAAAGGTATCGTGGGAATGGTAGACACGAGACAGCAATATGTTACGTGCACGGATATATACATCCACTAAATCAAGATACATCCAACGCTGGTATCAGTACAAAATGAGATAACTTCAATTCGCTCCATTCTATATCAATCACTCTTGCCATTCTTGTCTGCCTTCCTGCGCTCCATCACCTGCGCCACAGCCTGCTGTACCTCCGGACTGGCCTTGACACTACTCAACACCAAGCCCTCCCTCATCCCCTTCCGCAACGTCGCCGTGCCTTCACGATCGCCCCGGAACGGCGCACACCCCAGCTGGAGAAGCCGCGTTGCCTCGCCGTCCGTGGCCCGCGAGAGCTGCGTCAGTTGCGCGAGCCGCTGCAGGGTCTGCGGGTGGAGACGCTCGCCTGGCGCCGACGAGGATCTGCTGCTGACTTCCGGCGGTGTCAGTTGGGAGATGAATATGTGTAAAGTGACCGAAGCGCGCTGCGCAAGGCTTAGGATCTGGTATGGCAGGAGGTAGAAGGTAGGCGAGAGCCCCAGGAGGTTTCGGACAGCCGGTGGGATATAGAATCCAGGTATGAAAAGAGCGCGGGGGTGAGTGATCAGAGCCAGCTCAAGCGCCATGAGAGCCCCAAAGGTAAAGAACCGCCACTGGATAAAAGAGTCCGTCAGTCAGTCGGAAAGCTCACCCGCAGGCGGAAAAAACCACGTAAAGGCCCAGGGGTAACCTACATAGCGACCCCAGTCTGACCACCATGCAAAATTCAGGATAATAACCGTGATGAAGCCCCCAACATACTGCGGGATTGACCGCTGGAGCCCAGTGAACAAAAAGTCCTGCATCGTCTTCTGATTCCCCCAAGCCAGCACATCTGGCCCAAACCGGTCGTAGGCGAATCGCTTCGCCGGATCCAGTAGAGTATCCTGCACCATCCGCAGATATACAAAGTAATCGTCCGACGGGCTGCCGTCTCCGTAGCCCACCTTGTCCGGATGGTGCTGCGCTGCCAGTCGCCGGAATCGCGATTTGATCGTCCTCTCATCGGCCAGCGGAGAGACGCCCAGCGCCCGGTAGAAATCACCGGCAATCTGGATTCGATGGAATGCCTCGTATAAGGTGTAGAGGAGATAGCTTGTGACGACTAGGATGAAGATGCGCCGACGATGACGAGTGTAGCGCGGGGATGGCGGTTGTGGTCGCGGCTCCCCTGCGCGAATTGTGATCCCATAGTAGACATTTTGGAGAATCGAAGTCACATACTATATACCACATGTCAACATCTTCAAAGTAAAGGTAAGTCGGTGGTAAGCGCTTTGCGGGGAGGGAGTGCATCAATATGGGGGTTACTTACATTCGGGAGGACTGCCCAACCGACAAAGGACAAAAGGGATGACATGATCGCATAAGAGCCCCTCCCCATTAAGCAGTCAACCACAAGATCGAGAATATTTGATTATCTTGTCTCCGAGTAGGTAAAGTTGTTTACGCCATCGCAAGACTTGCGACAATGGTACGCTGTCCTAAACTCTACCGCCTTTCTCACCGCTTTCCCGATCCCCTCAGATGCGGACGGAAGTAAAAAAACCGAAGAAAAAAAGTTCTCGACGCTCTCAAGTGCGATCTCCAACTCTCCCCAAATACACCAAAACCGGGGCGTTCCCATTGCACAATGGCCGTCGTCGATGCAATGGATATAGACTCTAGCCCTGCGCCCGTCGCAGTGGCCGAAGCAGAGCGCAAGCGCAAGCTCAAGCACAAGAACAAGGACAAAACTTCCAAGAAGAAGCGCAAGCACGACCCCAGTCTGATCTCCGATGAGACAGCGGTCCACGACCCGACGTCCAAAAAGTCCAAGAGCAAGGGGAAGAGCTCGAAAAATTCTTCCGAGACTGCTCTCCCAACCTCCGACTCGCCCTACGTCCTGACCACCGCAACGCTGTACCTCCCGCTCTCGCCCATCTCCATCTCGCCCACCCATGCCCTAGCCTCGCTGATGGCAGAGCACCTCTCGCCTCTCCTCCTTACGTACTACCCGCCTCTCCAGGGCGTCATCCTGGCATACTCCAACGCATCGATATCAAGCGAACCGCCAACCTCGAGCTCCACGGCCTCTGAGGCGCAAGATCCCAACCCACAGCCGCTCACGCTCGCAAAGACCGCAGACGAATACGGCGTCCTGTACGTGTACCTGACCGCGACGTTCCTGATCTTCCGCCCGCAGCGCGGCCAGATCCTTGAGGGTTGGGTCAACGTGCAGTCCGAGGGCTTTCTCGGCGCCGTCGTGCTGAACCTCTTCTCCGTCGGCATCGAGCGCAAGCGCCTTCCCTCGGACTGGGAATGGGTCCCGCCCGGCGACGAAGACGAGGACAGCGACTCCACCAAGCACAACAAGAAGATCGTCTTCTCGTCAACGGAAGATGACGCCGACGCAGACGAGGACTCCGACCGCTCGCCCGAATTCGACCCGGAAAGGGAACACTTCAAGCCCATCACGCTCGCCTCCGACGCAAACCCCTTCTCCGAAACCGCCGACGACGAGAACCCCACCTCGGCAGAGGACGGCGGGGACGACGACTCCGCCGCCGAGGGATACTTCCAGTCCGTCTCCGGGCACCGCGTGCGCGGCACCGTGCGCTTCCGCGTCGTCGACATCGACGTCATCCCCGGCACGGACCGCGAGCGCGGCTTCCTGAGCATCGAGGGCACGATGCTCTCGCCTGAAGAGGAGGCAAAGATCATCGAGGACGAGCGCGATGGGATCCTCTCCTCTGCGACGCCGCGGCGCCCGCACGTCATGTCCGGCAGCATCGGCCCATCCGCCGCCATAACCGAGATAGAACTCGAGACCGTCAGCGTCGACGTCGATGCCGATGCCGGGCCGTCAAAGTCGCCGAGCAAGCGGAAGGAGCCCAAGGCAGAGAAGGTGGAGAAGAAAGAGGAGAAGAAGAAATCCAAGTCCTCCAAGTCGTCCAAGTCGAAGAAGGAGAAATGATCCACGCAACGTCCTCAATTCCTTTATTCCACACATGTCATTTACATTTCTATCTTGGGACGCCTGGCGTCTTGCGCTGTTACATATTCCATGCTTGTTTGGCGTTAGTTTGGGGAGAAATCAAAACTTTCCTTTTCCAGCGTGACCCGTTTCTATCCTTTCTATCTTCTTGAGTATATGTGGCATTGCCTTTTGCGGCACCATGGCATACCTGGCGTGAGACAAAAAAAGATCCGACAGATGATCGTCGTGGTTGGACATTCTAGCAAGGAATCGAGAAACTGAGTTTATTGCTCTGTTCCTGTTAACTATTATGAACCCATGTACTACATATACTGATCCGTCCAGCAGCTACCGTAATGACATCTTGACCTGCGGGGGCACTTCGACCTCCAAGACGTCCACTCCCTCTTCAATCTCTTTCTTGCCAGGCATGTTGCCTCGCCGCATCAGCTCGGCGCACTTGCTCATAATGGGATCCATGCCCATCGTGGCAACCGCCACGACCGTATCGCCCTTGCAATAGTAGGCGGCGAACTTGGCATTCATGGGCTCTCCCTTGAGGACGAGGCCATCCCAGCCGTTGTGGGTGTTCCCGCAATACCGCAGCTGCGCGCCCAGCGCGGACCAGAAGATGGGGATGAATGCCTTGGGCCGCAGGGATTGCAGCGAGCCAGTGCTGAGACTGTGGACGATGGCACGCGCGACACCCCGCCCGCTATTCTGGGCGACGTTCCAGTGTTCGATGCGCGTGTAAGTGCCCTTTTCTAGGTCCGTGCCCGGGCCGTGGTAGGGGTATGTCGCGATGTCGCCGATGGCGAAGACGTCGTTGTTCAGGCCAGGGACGGCGAAGTAATCGTCCGTCTTGATAGACCCGTCCTTCTCGAGCTTGACGGCTGGGTTGTCCCGCAGGAAGTCGGTGGCTGGTCGCACGCCCACGCCCAAAATGACCAAATCTGCGGGCAGCACGGTGCCGTCCTTGAGGTGCACGGCACCGACTTTGCTGGGATCGCTGTCCGACGGAGTCGCCTTGACGACCCCGGCAGACATCTTGAACTTGACCCCAGCTTTCTCCAAGTTACGCTGGAAGATTTGGCCGACTTCGACGCCCATGATGCGTTCCATGGGAGCCTCTTCTTGGCCGACAATGGTCACCTCGTTCTCCTTGGAGAGGGCATTGCCGACTTCCATACCGATGAAGGAGCTGCCCACAACGACTATCTTCTTGTTCTTGTCGCCAACCGCCTTGAGAATGTTCTGCACATCGGTGATGAAACGGAGCAGGAAGATGTTGCCAAGGTCCTTGAATCCTTCCAGTGGCAAGGTACGCGGCACACCTCCCGTGGCAAGAACCAGCTTGGTGTAGGGGAAGGACTTGCCGGACTTGGTGGCCACGGTCTTGTTGCTGAAGTCGACCGAAGTCACTTCGTCGAAGACAGTGTCGATGGAGGCCGCCTCGTACCATTCCTTGGGACGCCACTGAACCTTTTCGGGGTCAGGAATGAGAGCCTTGGATAACTTGGTTCTGTCGATGATGAGGTTTGGTTCTCTGGAAATGATGGTGATGGCGCCTTTGTATTTCAACTCGCGAAGCGCCTGGATCAGTCCGAGAGTACCGCTGCCACTGATACGCACAACGCCGTCAGCTTGTTCCCTAACCTTACAACCCGGGAATAGCAGACTTACCCTCCGACGACAACCACTTTCTCCGGACTAGCAACACTACATTTGAAGACCGCGTCTTTCTGACCAGCTTTGATTGCAGCCTCATCGCCTTTGATATAAACCGCTCCATTCTTCTCCACAATCTCGTACTTGTTCAAGGCATTGGGAGCCGGGGCATCTTCAACATCACCAGTGCCCACATTGAAGCAAGCTTGCAGCAATCGTCAGCATCGAACACCCAATACCTGAACCGATCTCTTCACAGAGCAAGAAGAAGATCACATACCTCCATGCCACGCGCAGGTGATCCGACCATCAGGCGAAACCACACCCAGCTTCATCGGCGCTCCGTAATGGGTACACTTCGAGCCCATCGCATGGACCTGATCACCGACTCTGACGACGAGAACCTTCCCCCCCTCGATTCCTTCGACTTCGGACTCGACCTTGTCCATGTTCTTGATGTCCGCCAGGGACGAGATATCCTTGAGCTTGTATTCCCGCGCCATTGTGGATGGGGTACGGGCGAGTGCGTGCGGTGCGGTGGATGAGAATGGTCGAGACGAGATCTGGATAGCGGATCGGCTTAGGGATGACGAGGTATGGGATCTGGCTGATGGGGCTGGAGATGATGGATGAACGCAGCAGGAGCAGGAGCAAATGGCGGAGTTGCGACAACCACAGACGCAGTGGGTGTTTCGGCGTGGAGACGAAGAGATGAGAGGACTTCTTCCTGATGAGGATAGGGATGAAAAGGAAGATTGAAGATGAAGCTGGAGCTGGGAAGGATTGCAGCAGATGCGTGGGCGGCGGGGGAGGGGCAGGTGCATAGGGATGAGATGCAACGGGACTCTGATGGTAGCTAATTACTATTCTTATTGCATGAGCAGATACGTGATGGGAGCTACCAGGGATATATGATTGAAGAGAGAGGAAGAGAGAGCAGTTTATATGATTATTTTCTTTTCTACTCATTCATAGTGTCCATTCCTTCATTCTTCTCTTCTGGTGATGCTGGATGATGGGCCATGACGTCAGTACACGGGGCCAATGGCCGCTCCCACTTTTGTCATCCACATCTCTAAGGTAGTATGAAGAAGAAGATTCAATATTCACAGCACAACGGATGGGATGGAATGGCAGACAGCACCATATGTGGATGAATTAGATAGTGTCGATAAAACTAGGGTAATCGTCTGGCAACCACCATCAAACTATTTACAGCACAACTCCTCTGGCGCCTAGCATACAGCAGCAAGATATATATCCACAGAATTGTAAACACATACATATACAAAAGAAAAAAATCCCAACACACCGTAGGTGTTCTTTCATCCCCGCTTATCCCTCCGGATGGGTGGACTGATGCTGCGTTCGTTTAGTGTTCGTAATCGCGCCTTAGCTGTCGAGGGTCGAGTACGTTGCCGCGTACTTGGCGCATGCTTCTGCACCCACCCTGGGCCACGGGGAAGACACTGCGACACAGCAAAGTCCTCATCATCGCTTCCGCCGGGAGACACGGGAGGGCTGGATTGAGTCAAATCGACGATATTGGAAAACTGCGACGCTCGTGGAGGCTGCGTGCTGAAGGCGTCGTCGTGACGACTCAACCAGTTGCTTTCTTCGACTGCGCTGATGAGTGAATGGTCTTGAGGTGTTAAGGACCGTTGCGGTTGTGCGCTTGTTGGAGAGCTGTGAGACGAGGGAGAAGGCGCTGGTAGCTCCGCTTCAGCCGCCGGTTGGCCTTCCTGTTCAGCGGAATCCTTCTTTGCTTGCTCGGTTCCACCTCGCAAGAGCTCCTCATGGGCCCTGTCGACGTCATAGAATGGATTCGGTACATATGAACTGGCTGACGATGATATCTGCGTGTCTAGCATCTTCGGACTCTGCCGAGGTTCCTTCTTCGGAATGGGTGAGCCCGGTGTTGGCCGCTTGCCCTGAAAGAGTTGTTCGAGCAAACGGTTGAAATTGATGAGGTTTTCAGGACTGCTGAGCATTTGCAGTTCATCATCGGAGCCTAGCAACCGGGGAGTTTCGCTGAAAGCGTTGGGAGAAGCCGTAGATCGGGGAGTTGACGGCGCTTCTGCGGTCTCTTGGGGAGGATTTAATACCTCTCCTCCATCGTTATCTTCAGCCGCCTTCGGACCAGCGGTGGGTTTGACGCCGGAAACTTCCTGCTTGGAGGGTTCCTCGGGGAGCAATGGCGTTGCCGCGCGAGGAGAATGGAATCCAACAAACTGGGGTGATTCAACAATGGGACTGGCGCGGTCTGCTGGACTGGCAGCCCTGCTCTTCTCTGCGGCAACCTCGACTTCCTCAATGAGTTCATCGGCGAGTGCTTGAGTATCACTTCCACCATCTTGTGAATGCACAGACTTTGTAGGGGATTGCCTAGGGTTCTCCTCCTCGATTGTCTTAACATCCCGCATCGGTTCGTCCTCGGGAGCGATGGATTGCGGACTCTGAAGAGACGACTTCTCGGCTGCGGAGGAGCTTGGGTTGGGTGAGCGCATGAACGCCAGGCAACTCGAGGAGCGGGAGAAATTTCAAATTACTGACTTGCTGACTTTGGCGGCTCCCCCAACATCTGCCACATTGGCAGCTTGGATGAGCTTTGCATCAAATAGATCGACAAAGGATATTTCTCGAAGGCCATCATCTTCTGCTTGATCTTCGTCCATGCCTGGCATTTCGAATCCATCATATTTGCGGCCACTTTCTTCATCTTCGCCTTCCTCGTCATCGGCTTGCGCAGCTTGTCTCCGGTCGCGCTTAGCAAGCTGCAGCTTCAGCACATTGTCTTCAAAGACATTGTCTATCCTCGCCATCAGGTAATCAGACACAGTAGGCTGCCAGTTCGTTGCTTTGGACAACACAAGCTGTTTGAAAGCAATGACTGATCCTTGTTTCAAATCGTCAACAGTCAGATCCGGCACAGTGCTCAAATCCGCCGGTAACAGGGGCAGATCGTCTTGTGGATTCTCAGAGGCCTCAACGGTTGGCTCAATATCGTTCGTGACTTCGTTGCTCGTTTGCACCGGATCATCATAGTTGAGTTCTTGGCCGAGCTGGTGGTCGACCTCAAGATCCTCGTAGGCATAGCCATCGTTACCGTTCCCATAGTCTTCGTACCCTTCTGCATCGTAGACTTGTAGCTGCTGTCTCCTCTTCCTTTTCCGCCCCCATCCCTTGCGCTTCCCAATGATTTGGTGGGCCTCGGCATCCCAGCGCTGCTCAAAAGGGAAAGGAGGCGCCGACAGCTCGATGTCATCGAAAATACATTCAGTAGCTTTCAGAACTAGCTTGTCTTCCCAATTCTCTTCCGAATCACCATCGGCCTCTTCTACAGTGGCCTGTTCTTCCTGCCTTCTCGACTGGAAAATGTTGGACTTTCCTGCGAGTTTCTTCCGCGTGGCTTCTTCATCTTCCTTGGACCGGGGGGCCCGTACACCCAGAGATCCGAACAGCATCCGCCTGGAGCTTGCGACATCCAGCGTACGTCGTTTTGTGGATTCAACAGCAGGGGCATCGTCTTCGGAATCCTCCTCCAATACTTCGCTTGTTGTCTTTGGTTGTCGCAGCACGTTCTCCTTCTCAGTAAAAAGGTCGATGTCGACACCCCCCGATGCGAGATCGCGAAGCAACTTTTGTCTTTTCGCTTCAAACTCCTCCTGTTCTGGGTCTTTGGTGCGACGTTTCTCGCCCTGCTTGTTCTCAGAAGGCTCATACCAACCCCCATTTGCTATTTCCCAGTCTCGCAGGGCCGCAAAATCAGCCTCAGCAGGTAAAGCGCCGAGTTCCTTCAGTTTCGACAATCGCCGCCGCAACTTGTTGCGCTGGTTGCTCTTTTTCGTCCTGAGAGAGCCCTGTCCAGGCGGGTTGAGCCTTGGCTGGAGCTTGACCTCGGAAGCTGCACTGGATACTGATTCACCTTCTGACTCCGAGGTCGTTGAGTCATCAGAGTCGGAAGTCGAATCGTCGTCTTCGGAGTCATCCTCCAATTCTGCTTCTGATTCACCCGAGGAGCTGTCTGAATCAGAGGAGGAGTCTTCAGAAGGAGATGCGGAATCCTCATCATCGGAAGTCGTGTCACTCGAATCGCTGCCGGGACTGCTGCTAAAGCTCTTGTAGATGGAGATAGAATCCTCAGAAGTCTGCTCTGTCTTGCTAACATGAGAATCGCCCTCTGGTTGAGAAGGACAAGGCGAAGTCGGCTGCTCGGCCTTCTTGAACCTCACAACCTTAGAATCCCTCCGCGAAGAGCCTGCTTCAGAGGGGCTTTTAGGGAAAGCGTGAGACTGGCGGTTTCGGGACGCAGTGCGCAGAATACTGGTCCTTGTACGCAACGGATACCCTCCAGGTCCGGCTTGCTCCTGATCCGGTTTCGGTATCGGAGTAAAGTCAGCACTCTCCTGGTCTTTCTCCAAAGCCTCCAGCTCTTCAGCCAGATCTTCAGCTTCAATATCCGACTCAACATCATCATCTTCTTCATCCTCACTTATGGAATGCCGAATAACAGTGCCGTCGCCAGAATCCTCATGGCTATCATGGTAATCTTCATAATCATCGTCTTGATGATAATCCGTAAATTCATCCACCATGTCATCATCTTCTTGGTCCTTAAGCCGGGAGAGCTCCCTCATCGAGCTCATGCGCCCAGGAAAATTCCATTGTGCTTCTTCATCGCTAAAGCCTGTATCACTGTCCCAAGTCGCAAGAATAGTGCGCCGTTTCTTCCTTGGTGGTATCGAGATCGCAGGCCGGGAGGAGGATTGCCGTTTGAGGAAAGGCCTACCAAAAGGAACCCCATCGATAAGATGTTTGCCGTCTATAGAGATTTGATGCCGACCGGAAAGCCGTCTTGCTCTGAGATCCGCGACCTGGAGGGCCCGGATGCTGGAAATCCACAAGTTAGAAACCCGAATAATGTATGCACAAGCGCACTGCGCGGAAGGCTCGATAGTTGCAGACTTACATTACTTCATCCCCATCTCGAAGGAGCCCTTCCACTTCCATGAAGTGCAAGCATTCGGAGCCACCGACTTCAACCACATAGTCCTCCAAACCCCACTGACCGCTCGACTCGCTATCGAAGATCGCGGGCTCGGTCTCCAGCGGAACAACCTCGTTGACATCCTCCAACAGCTGTGCGACGGTATAACCATCGCTCGAAAACAGTGCATTCGGCGTACGCGTCGATGCAACGAGCGAAGAAGCAACAGGAACCACGGAGGAACTGGATGCAGCCTGGTTGTAGATAGACGGCGGTGACGTCGTCCAAAGAATGCGCGTCACGGGAAGACCGTGACGCTGAATGATAAGGTGGAGACGCATGATGGATGGGCACCTGAACTCCTTCGCTTCTCAAAATTCCAATGTTGATTCAGCCGCTAGGGAAGAAACATTGGGAAGTTTCAAATCGAACCGCTGAGTTAGGAGGACGATGCCAATCAATCGCGTGTGGTGTAGAGTGGGCGACGCGAAAAATTGCGATTGAGGAAGCAAGAGCGACACAAGAAACCCCGGGGGATTCAGACGGTATTATAGGATAGAGTTTGAGACACAAATGGCATACATGCTGTCTAAGCAGAGATAAAAAAAAAAAAAGTGGTCTACGGCCTTGCGATGAGAAGACTAAGACGACAAAGCTCCCAGATCGTACAGAGCTTGACAGTCCATGGAGAGAGAGCTCTTTGCTCTAGTTCCTTGCCGCTAATCCCTTTTCGTCCGCAAACACCTCCAGCACGTTCGCCTGATAATGGACCATTATCACCAAGACTCACCAAAGACAAAACCCAACGCATAGAATTCGAGTAGCTGCTGGCTTCAAAAGACCAGACAAGTTTAGATTCCACTGTGGGCTGAGGAGGCCCACACAGCGTTACTCGACGATGTCAATGTACCTAGGAAATCTAGGCTTGGAGCATGAGTAAAATACAGAAAAACCCGTTGGGCAAGAACTGAGCAGTGAAATATATTTCCTTTGAAAATGGTATACGATTATGTTTGCCATCATGCAAGATATAGATTGGTATCGAAGAGTTGTAAGAATGCAAAAAAAATGCGGCAGTAACTATGCTGACTCCGAAAAATGCTGTTCTTTTGGATGGACAATAGTTCATCAGTCTTGGTGAATAACCAGTCTCGTGCCCTTCGGAAGTGGACCAGGCAAAGAATTAGGTGTATATCTTTCTCTGGCAGGAGTACGTGAAGCTTATATTGCAGTCGGCCGTGCGCGCGCATGCGTAATGACAGTGTTGAAAGACAATAATTGCTTCCAAATGGAAGAAGCAACTCATCAAATAAGCCTCATCTCAGATTAGAAGTGTCCGGAACTCGGACTCCGGGGAACCGGCTTCCTATTGGGGACTCCAAGATTCATGGGACGGAACCCTGGTCGAGACGATCCATGCTCATTGTGGTCTTGTGGGTTTGGAGAGGAAGGTCCAGCTACCTGCTGGTATTGAGGTGGACTTTCTTCCTCCAGTGGTAAGGCCTTGTGTATCTTGAGCACACTTTGCTGGCGTGCAATCGGAGAGGTAGGAGGTGATCCAGAGTGTGATTCCGGTGGCGTGGCAGGAAGCATATCAAATGATTCCAATGATGAATTGGCTTCAGGATGGCCGTAAGGCGACGTGGTTTCAAGCCCCTTTGTCCGAAAAACTGAAGAGGTCGAATCAGCTCCAGATTCATTAGCTCTGTTGGCAGAGGGAGCATCTGGTGGGTTATACTCGCGGCGGGGGCCATCCACAGGACTTAGAGTTTCAGCCATCGCATCCTCGTAGCTTGGTGGAGCTTCGTCGTAAGCATCCTCTACGCTTGTGGGTATGCCTGATCCAGAAGGCCGGGGAGGCATTGGCGGACGGTCACCAGCATTGTTCACAGGCTCGGCTGGGAGTGGTTTAATTGAGATTGGCCTTCCGCCAGCAGCCATGGCGTCGAGGAGCGCTTGTGGCGGAGCTATGCCCGAATACACCTTGACAGGTAACCTCAGAGGCAGAACGATCATTTGAGGCTTTATACATTAGAAGAGCGAAAATATTGAGGGACAAGACGATTCGCACTCACCTTCATATTGCCAACGCTGCCATGGCTTAAGCCGATTCGTACCTCGAGTTCATATCTTCGTGAGATATTACAAGTGTCGAAAGACGGGGCAACTGTGCTAGGCAAGGGTATTCGATTCCACATGGAAGGATCAACTGTCCATTCTGTACCAACGGGATCCCCTCCTCGTCCGAGTGGGACATTCATATTACTGTGGCTCAATATGACCCAGCCTCCGCCCTCTGTGCGTCGCAGATCATGAGCCAGGACATGGGTGTAACTGATGAGCTCTATTTGCAGCATCTGCAGAAATATCGTCTCATACGACTCGGAGCGCTTGGTCACCAGCAGCCTTAATGGAATTGGCTCATTACAAGTTAGGATAGATGGATTGGGCAGTCTCGCATCTGCCGAGATCCGTAGAGACGCTTCATTCGCGTCTTGTAGCGAAGGCGAGGAGAGTTTCGAGAACAAACTCTTCTTGGTCTTGGACGACGAAGATGGCCTATTGAATTGGTGCTGGCGTCTAGCGTAAGTCTCTTCATTGGGATTCCCAGTCCGTGGGGGCTCAATTGGGAGGAAGTTCAATTTAGTAATCTGGATCAAAGTTAGCCGGTTCTTAAATACATGGATGCCGTCAAGGCCAATTAGACTTACTGCTCTCAAGTTTTCTTTGTAGAACTGCGGGCGAATGACCGTCGCTTTCACATAGTACTTGATCTCTGCAAGACCCTGGAAACCGCTCAGAGAAGGTGGAAGCGTCTTCTTGACATGTCGGTTGGTGTCCTTGGCCATCTCAACCTTCAACCCCGTAAAGTTCAGGTTGGTGAGCATGCTATTGTGCGAACTGCACGCATTGTTGAAAGGAAACTACATCATGGGTTAATTGTCGCTGATGCCGATGCTACAATTATATGTTGAATAATACGTACCTTGAATTGGAAGGGATACTCATACGTCCCGGCAGCAAAAGTGAACGCCGTATTCTGGGTTTTCGGATTGAACACAGCCGGTGTTGGGAAGAGTGTCTCAACCTTGTACAAGATCTACCAACCTGGTTAGTATACTCCCTGAAGCCGAAAGGGATTTTGAGTGTCAAACCTTATGGACCTCAAGTTCTGTCCGTTTCTTGTCTGATTGCTCATTATGCGGATGCCGTGGGCCCGACAGCCGGGTTCGGCTTTCCCCCTCTAACTTCACTTGAATGCCTCCTATCGGGGCTTCTGACGGGAGAGTGAGCACGACTTTGCCCGTGAGAAAATCGAGGTTGGTGAAATGAGCATGAGGCCGATCCAGATGGATGGTTACCGACATGGCGAGCACCTGACCTTGACCACCGAGCGTTCTTCTCTGTAACGGGGGTGTTGATTGAACGCAGTCTGTATCTAGCGGGGGCGGCAATGCTGTACTAATCCCGACCGATAAAGTAGACGCCGTGATCTGAGCCCTCTAAGATTTAAAACTCGAAAATCAGTCCTTGAAGGATTTAGCCATCAACATCTTGACTCAAGATAGATTAATAAAGGAACAATAAGACAAGCGAGAAGACAACGGGAGTTTGGCATGTGCAGCAGACTAACTAACTAGTAGTAGGACGATTCTCTTAGGACGAGGGAAATGACGTTGTTTGCACTCTGTTCCAGCCCAATTCCGAGAGGCCTGAGGCACTAAACAAAGCGTGGGGCCATTCTTACTTACTACACGGTATACAGATGGTCTGTCTGACAGACAATTGATGCGCTCGATCTTTAGCAATCAGACAGAAGAATTCTTGACTTCAGATTAAGACCTGAAGATCACCTCATTCTATATATGATTTCCCCTTCACACTTGATTGGTCGTTATTATCATTGACGTCCATGTTTTTTTACTCCTTTGCTAGCCTGGGTCTGGGCCCCGGGTATGTGCAAAGCCACCTGCAATGCATGGAACAAGACTGCACCGCCACCCTCTATAAGTCTTTTACGAAGTGGTTACTCAAGAGTAGTTTTGATACATCAAAAAAAAAAAAAAAAAAAAAAAAAAAAAAAAAGCGATCTATTTTGTACAGTAGTAATCGAACATGGTACCTATCCTGAGAATATATTGTCCATATTATAGACAGGATCATCGCCCGGTAATCAGAACGCTTGTCTAATTGGGTATCGCCAAGTCCGAAAAGGGATATAAAGGGGCACCAGGCTGTCGTCTAGCGCTGCCAGCTGGACTCCAGGCATCAGAATTTCTATTCCAAAAGTTGAACCAACCAAGGAGTAGCGTCTGAGGCATTGTCAAAGGCCCTCCTTAGCAAGCATGTCTACGGAGTAGTATCATGATCGTTAGCCACAGAACCAGATTGATCATATGAGCCATGAACAGCTTGACTCGTCGTACCTGCAATGTCAAGATAAAATGCAACAGCGTTAAACCTGCAAAAGAAAAGCGTCAAGTTAGCCCGGCGAACACACCTATCTCAGCGCATGAAAAGCCGCTGCTTACCTTTGCCTATTTCCAGTAATCTCACCCGCCAGCCATTTCAACCGATTTGTCCAGTTGATCAGGTCTAGGTGGCTCACTCCTTCAAGGGTCCCCTTGTACTTTCCCCATTTGCTACTAGCCACACTGACGAGCCCGTCATTGTAGCCTTCGATCTCTTTAAGGACACGGTGAGAATACCAGAAAACGGACCAAAAGCTTGGTTCCATCGCTGCGCCATAGCTGAAGTAACTGGACAAAACTCAGCCGTAGTGCCATGGAGCGCTCTTCAGATACTTACCGAACATCCTCGATGTCGGGTGTATTTGGGTTGAATGTGTTCTCCATGTAATCGCGGGTCAACTGGGAGAAAGCCCCCGTTTCAACCTTGAATCTCTTTAAGGCTTGATATAACTGAGGCAGTCGTTCATCTGTAATTGACTGAATCAGCCCGCTTCCTTTCTACGTCCATCTGTAGTACGAACCACCTATCTGACCAAGGACATAGTCCGCAACCGCCGAACCTTGAATAAAATTAGAGATAAATCCCACTGAATGCTCATACCGTGCTTACCTCGATGAGGCGATGCAATGGTTGTCAGAGACAAGACTTTGAAGTTCTTCGGTCTGAGACGGCTTATCATGTATCGAGCATCCAACCCACTTGATCTGGTCAATACAAATCATCATTTGAGAACCATTGTTCGTTGAGCAATCTCACCCCTAGAAGACATTGTTGGCGCTGAATTCTATGTTCGGGTGTAAAGATATCTTACCATGCTATGTCTGTATGCCGGTCAGTTTTGGAGCTTCTGGAGTTCATATCGCTTGAGAAAGGCACATACGCAATAATATTTACATCTTTTCCAAGACCGGCTTGATCGATATCCTTGACCAACTCTTGGGCACGCATCTCAATGGAGCCCGATGGAGGAACCGTAGCCGTGATCACTTCGATACCCTTCATAGATAGGGCTTCCTTGATCCCACGCCAGTACTGGACCCCTGGAAAGAAAGGGCCCGCCAGACGTAGCTCATCAAATCCAAGAAGACCATGGGCAAGCACAATGGGATATTTTGGAGTTTCTATTCGTCCCCATTGAATGTTCACAATTCAATTCTCAAAAAGCTTGAACAGGCAAGCAGAAATTTCGGAGTACAGGAGGCTGATGAACTCACCATAGTGATCGCGAACTACCGCGTATTCATCCTTGATAATCTTCCCCAGATCCTCTAGACGGGGATCAAGGGTAGATGTACCTGTATGTTTATGGGAAGATTGCCTGTATGTGAAAGAATGAAAATCCCGTTGAAAGGAGTGATTAGGGGAATGGAATTGTTGAATACAAAAACGACAATAAGAGAGCTTTACTTTTGAAATCGCGTTCAGCCGAGTAGCCGCAGACCTCATCTTCACTTCAACTTGATGTCTTTCTTCAATCGTGCTGTGACGAGAGCAAAAGGAGATTAACATGACCACTGGGATGCCTTGGTGCCTGATGACGCAAGTGGATTGGGGACTTGGTGGTGCCTCAGGCAGAACATGTCCAATATTCCGACGTTATACTGGATCAGGAGCCTTTTCATGAATTTAGTCGTGAAAGGAGATCGTAGAAATGATAAAACTACACTGGACAAATTGAAGGCACGATGTTGCAGTGCGCCCCAACTTCGACGGTACTCGGCCAGCCCCGCAGTGGTCAATAATCTCGGCGCACTCTTGAGACTACCAGGGGCATATGGCTAGACAAAAAAAGACTTTCTGATATCTAATGCAAACAGTGGAACAAAGGATTATGCTCATGGCTCTCGAAGAAACCGAAAAAACCGAGCAATGCAATCAAAATGATCAAGCTCAAAACAACAAACAAATGGCAATTCAAGCTTCTATGCGCTAGCCACGATCTTCTCTGACGGCTCGGGTTTCACATCAATAACCGCATGGATCAGGTCATCAACGACCTTGCCGCCCTTCTCCTTTCCTGCGGCATGGATGTCTTCGACCTTCACCTCAGCCTCTTTGTTGGCATCCTCCTCAGCCTTCTTGTATCCGCTCGAGTGCTAAAGTAGAAATCATCTGTCAGTCACGTTCCTGGCGACCCATCGCTGCCCCGCTGAATTATCCTGCACCACAAGAATCCCAGAATGGAGACTCACCTCGGCCTCGAACTTCTTGAATTCCTCCTCCTTTTGTTGTTTGTATTCCTCAATCTCTTTCTGTGCCTCCGACTTTGCGTCCCTTATCCGCTTGGTGCGATCTATTTGTGTTGCTCATTAGATGTGATGATCGATACTGATATTCACGGATGTCATACATTCTCTGGCTATATTTTGTGAGACGTTAGCAGATGGTCAAACATGTTAGATTCCCCGCGGGGTACATTCGAAGAACAGGCTGCGCACCTTGCTGTACAATCTTCTGAGCCTCCCTCTCGGCCTAAATATTGCCAATTAGTTCATGAGTCAAACAGCAGCCTCTCCAGGACGACCTACATCGAGGAGAGTTTGGATGCCTGCGGAGTTCTGGGCGGACTACATGCGACACATTAGCTTCTCTATTCATCTTCACACAAATTTGGCTCCACGACTCACCATTTTCAATGCTCTTTTGACTCTTGAACAATTACAAACACTCTCAGGACGTCAGAGCTTGGGATAGATAAGGTGGAGTTGTGGAGCTTGTGATGCGCAGCTCAATCCCCCGAACCGCATACGCTATGAATGACCCGCAAGGCGGTCAGAGGTTCTGCCTCCGCGCACCGCCCTTCTTGATGATTATCACCGATACGGCTTTTTAGATGGCCGATCATGCCAAACAGACCGGAGTCAGCTCAGCTTGCATTTTGCGTCATTCATTCTTTCGAAAAAAAAACTACCCATTATGTCGCGAGCTTCCAAAATGACATTGGCGCTTACCGGTCTTGGTACTGCGAGCATTGTTTACTTTGTGCACTGGTCTCAGGAACAAGAGAAAGCGGTACGTTCCGGAGGTGGTTTGATTATCTTGCTGCAGTACTAAGCTAATGATTTCTGCCTTCAACAGCAAATGCACAAGGGTGTTGAGCGGGACATGGAAAAGCAGCGCATTCGACTGGAGCGACAAGCAGATTTTGAGATGCAAAAGGCGCTCGAGGAGGAATACCGAAAGATTCAGACGGTCTCTTCAAGCACAGAACCTCAAGGGTCAAGTGGATGATGCGGGAGGCACATGTGCTGGGAATAAAGAGAATGGCCGTATTGGTTATCTGGATATACTTGAATTCGGTTCGCATAGACTTGGATCTGGTAGGTTTCCTCCTGGAATGTTTAGGTTCATCTATTGACTCTGATGGCTAGATATATATAACTTCGACGAGGTCGAGGTACCTACGTGTAAAATAGACACGAACTGTACATTATACCTACATCATGAGACATAGAAACATCGTGGAGGATGGTGTCTTAATGTGAAATCATCTCAACTTTCTCATTCTACTCGAGAGGAGTGGTTGGCGAGAGCCAGTTCTCCCAAGCTTGCGGCGTGCTGCTTTACGATTGTGTCATTCAAGCAGACGCGCAGGTATCAACCCTTCCTGGTCAGAAGTATAGATACATCTTCAACCCTCAATCTATCCCCAATTTCAACTCGTGCCTCAGATTCTACACCGTAAATGTCTTCAATGGTCTTTTCGTGGTTGTCATTGCAAGCATCACTCGTTTTGGTTGATTCGCACCGATAGATTATTTATTGCCAGCGCCAAAGATTTTTTACTTGATTTGCAATCCTTTGATGGCCGGCCTGGTCTGACGTTCCTATATCGCGAAGAAGCCCCTCAACTTAAAACTCCTTGAACTCCCGTCAATGCCGACTTCCTGCCATATACTCACTTACCACGAGCAGTGGCCGATTGATGAAAAACATATGCTTCAGAGTTATGTTTTGACTTGTACATGCAAGCTGCTATGCTGCCATGAGGGTGTTTCCACCATACAAAGTCCCCGATTGAATAATTGTCTTATCAAGAGAGCTTCGGGGAGAGCCATTCCAGGTGATTATTACAATAAGGATTCACGTTCATTATCATTATCAGATGGCCGTTTATTGCTCAATCTCGAGGAACGACCACAATCGTTGACTCCCTGCTGGAGCCTTAAGGTGCTATACTCTGCTTTCCTGGAGAAATCAGCCAACAATTTTGAATAGCGTCATCAACTCGGGTAGCAATGAATGTTTGGATGTGAGGACATCATCCAAGATGTGTCGGATCACACAAAGATCAGCCCTTTGAGATCAGTGCCTTACTGTGATCATTCTTATCTATCAAATGAGACTGTTCAGAGGTAACGGTACTATCTGTAGAGTCACGTGGGATCTACGGCTATCGACGGAGGCCGGATTGATTCCGGCCTATTGTTGCGCTAAATGACGCTAAAAAACGCTAATCAGACCAAATGACGATTACTGCAGCCAATCAGAGTACTGCTCATGTAACTGAAGAGCTTGGCGTCCGATGGGATGTAGATAAGGCATTCAGGCAAACCACCGTCCCATGGGAGTATCCCAACATTTGTATGGTTCCAATGATATCGGAAGGGGTTACTCAGTAGTCGTAGGATTCTCTATACTTCATCTGATCTTTGAGGACATATTGGAGGGTGAGATGGCGAGATACATAGTCCTTGACGGAGATCTACTCCGCTATATTGGGCTTAGCGCGTTCCCGTGATTCTCTCATGCCCTGTCTGCCAAGCATTTGTATAGAGTCGTTGTTGAAGCATCAAGATCCCTTGATCAGTATTAGGATGGCATGGTTTGCTTCGGATATCAAGGTAAAAGCTCGATTTTCGATGCCTAAAGACTTGCAGATAGTGATACTATCGTGTCATGTCTCAGGTCGACATCTCCACGCGAATTTCGTAATGCCATGTCCATAGGCCGGAAATAATACCGGCCTCTGAGGTTATAAGAATCGCCTCCTTTCCAGCGGGATCCCGCCTCTTTCCTGCTTGCTTTCCAATTCCAAAGAGAACTGCACTCGCCTTACTCAATTTCCCCCACTTCCGTCTCTCAATTTTGACAGAAATCCGTATAGTTCTTATCCTTTCCTCATCGACCACCTCCTTATAACAGTCACCCTTTCGTTCTTATATAGACACATAGACGTCTTTCCTTTGTTACCCTTGCAGCATGACGCAAACCAAGGTCTCTTCCGCCTCTTCTACTACCTTGAAGAGGTTCCCGCATATCTATGATGACCCTTCTACCCTGCCCCGGTCTCTGGATCCCTTCACCATCACCACCTCCACTGGCTTTCTACCCTACAGCACTGCCCCTACTACCCTCCCTGAGGTGTTTCAGCCTTTGATGTCCATACTAGACCGCATGCCTGTTCTCAAGCTGGATGGTACCCCTGGCCTACTCGCCAAGTATGAACTAGGTCCTGTTGTCGAGACAGAGCTTCCTGACCTGACGGACGAGGTTGACAAGCTCCTCGCTGCTGATGGTGCACCGGACCTCTACACCGTGGCTGCAGTGTTTAGAGATTACTCTTTCTTAGCCTCTGCTTATCTGCTTGAGCCTTGCTGGGAGACTTGGTCTCAGAATCCCCAGAAGGGCTATGGGTTGGGGCGAGACCTGCTGCCCAAGGCCGTTGCACGTCCCATGTATCGCTGTGCACAGTTGTATGTCTTCATCGAGGATTGGATCAATTTAAATTGTGTAGAACGATATCACTGACTCACCTAGGCTGGACATCCCACCCTTCATGTCCTATGCGGCTGCCTACTCGCTCTTCAACTACCATCTGGATAACCCATCCAAGGGCTTGGCCTACGATAACCTCCGGCTCGTCCGGGCTTTTGAGCGTGGTCTTGGCCCCAAGAGCTCGGAAGCAGGCTTTATTCTCACCCACGTCGACATGGTCAAAGAGTCCAACGGCCTGATCAGTGGCGCCCTCAAGGTCGTCGATACCCTTGACCAGGGCGGCCCTCGCTCCACCGTCAACGACGGGTTCCGAGAGATTCTCAACGCCATGGAGAAAATCGAGGCCTCAATGGAAGGTAAGATTCTTGGTGCCTACCCTAATACCAGACATATTGACTGACTATCCAAAGACATGTGGACCAACTCCAAGCCCACCGAGTATCTCTCCTTCCGTGTCTTCATCTTCGGAATCACCTCGCAGTCCATGTTCCCCAACGGCGTCATCTACGACGGCGTCCTAGACAACAAACCTCTCTACTTTCGAGGCGAAAGCGGCGCCAACGACAGCATGGTCTGCCCACCCCTCCCCCCTTCCCACCTTTCCATCCCACTAACACCCATAACCACTAGATCCCTCTCCTCGACCACCTCCTCCAAATCCCCATGCCCTCCACCCCGCTCACCAAGATCCTGCACGAGTTCCGCGCCTACCGACCCCTCCCCCACCGCGAGTTCCTCGCCTACATCAACTCCAAAGCCGAGGAAGTCGGCGTGCGCAGCTTCGCGGTCCAGGACACGGAGACGACCGTCCTCCTGCTCAAGACGCTCAACCATGTGCGCAGCTTCCGCTGGCGCCACTGGCTCTTCGCGAGGGAGTATATCATCAAGCGGACCCCGCATCCCACTGCTACGGGTGGAAGTCCGATCGTGACGGTACGTGCCCCTTTGATTAGTATCCCCCTGTATTGTTTCACAGCCAAAGGAAGATCTAGCTAATGGGTCACCAGTGGCTGCCGAACCAGCTGTCCGCGGTAATGGACCTGATGATCTCCATCTACGACACGTACCTGGCTCCGCAGAAGGCAGCGGGCGTCGTCTCGAATGGCCACCTGGCGTATGACGCGTCGGTCCAGAAGCAGGTCGAGCCTATGATGGAGATGGTGCGTGACCAGCGCGAGAAGCTCGCAAGAGAGGTGGAGAGGTGGTGCAAAGAACGGGGCGTTTGAGAGGTGTAGCTTGTTCGCGATACCCAGCTTTTTTTTTTTCAGGACACGGTGTCAGGAGCCGTTTCGCGTTGCTGAGTATTTTAGTGGGCTGTTGAAAGCGTGGACAATTGATAGATAGTCGGTACCTGAGGAAATCCAACTGTCCTTTATTTGATTGAGGCCCGCTCAGTTTGTGTCTAAAGACTTATCTAGTAATACATATACTCAAAAACCCGTTGTCGTCGTGCCGGTTGTGAGATGTTTCAACCCATAATATTACATTGAACCGTGACCGAAACCGACCTCTCAGTTTCAGCAAAAACATTTCTGCCTCAAAGCCCTCACACCCCTCTCAAGTGATGATTTCAATGCCCCGTGCCCGCCCATACGCAATGGCATCTGACGACACCTCATCACAGCACTTCGCAAAGATTCGCTCGACCTTTGCTACTTTGCCATCAGACGCCCGCGCATCGGCAAATGCTTTGATCGTGCAGCCCGAGATCCTCGTATAAGAGAGATCAAGGGCTTTGAGGCTCACTAATTCCTGAACCATGACAACGGCCACTTTGTCGTCAATCCCGGCAATGTGTGCGACATTGAACTCCTGTAGTTCCTTCATACTGTCCATCCGGACAAGATCCGCGATCTGAGCCCCATTGATTCGGAAGCAGCTGTCGAGATGCAGAGTTTTCAAGGGTGCCTTGGCAACGGTACAGAAATGCTGTACCGTGTAACTTGTGGCCCAGGGGACGTCGCTGAGTATGAGCGTGTGGAGGCTGGAGAGCTCGAAAGGTTCTTCGTATGCAAAGGGAAATTCCCTGTGAACGAGAGCGCCTCCCACGAGACCAGTGCCTCCCCGAATGCGAAGGTACTCGAGATCAGACGGCAGTCCGAACTCTGCCCCTACATAGATGCCACCCAGATCCAGCCGGCGAAGTCGTGCGAAATCTTCCAGGTTGATGCCGAGACGATAAGATGTGAATATGCGTGGGCTCCAGTTAAGGCGTAGTTCCTCGAGTTGTGGGAAAGCCGATGATGGTTGTTGCTGCAATATGTGTTAGATCAGCAGGTTATGGAACCAAGTGGTATGACAGGGGAATGTCCTACTATCGGAAAATGGAGAGCAGAAATCTGCACTTCGGGTGAAGAAGATGAAACCGTCGCGCCAAGCGTTATGCTTCTCAAATGTGGGAGTGTCTCAGGCCATTGCACTCGTACTGCGGGCGATGGTTTGGCATCATGAATCTCCAGTCGCTCGAGAAGAGGTAGAGACTGCAGAAATTTACCAACAACCTCTTGCGGAACAGCCGTATGGCCCGATACTATGAGTGTCTTGAGCCGTCTAGACCCCTTGAACAGATCGTAAAGAGTCTCTGGTTTAGCTAGAGCCCAAAGTTCAAAGTGTTCTAAATTGGGACATCGACTGAAAAACTCCAGAACCTTTCCTGTTGAGGGGGTGGCGACGTTCCTCATGACAGCGTGGGTGAGCATGGCTTTCGAGCGTCGGATGTACGCCCTCACAGAGTGCCACTGTACCTTCCCGCGAGCATCAGACAGATCAATACGCATCCACAGATCTCGCATGGATGATAGAAATTGGTCCCATTTCTTCGATACACGAAGAATAGCCCTGATGATCGTACGTATCAGAGAAAGTCTCGAGCGGTGATCTGGTCTAACCTACACAATCTGCTTGAAGCTGAATTGATGCAACACCATCATTGCCACTTCCAAAGGCAGAACGCTGAAAGGGTCGTGACATTTTGCGTATACTTTGCTCCACAGTTTGTCATGGAGCTGCTCTAGGAGCTAAGAAAAGTCAGAAACATCATATTCGACTATGGGCTTGTAGGAGGTAGAAGATAACTCACTTGACGACGCGGGTTGCCTTTGCTCAAAGTCTTAAGAGCATAAGCATACACCTCTAGGGCCTTGTCAGGCTTCCCGTCGGATAGGAGGACCTTGGCGCAGCGAAGATAGCCCTGGAGGGAGTCAGTGGGAACGGACTTCAGAGGCACCTATGATAGACAGATTTCGATCTTACCCGAGCGTCTTGTTTGTCGGTCTTGATCATGGCTCTGGCATCTCTCAACGCCAAATCATACTTGGCTAGCTTAGCAAAGGTGGCTGCACGGTTATCATAAACGCCGATAATATCAGCATGGCCACTGTTCAGGGTCTGAAAGGTTTCCATAAAATTTTAGATCCCATGTATCATCATCTTGAGAGAAGTGACTAGACTCAAAGATGAATTACCTCTGTAAATGCTTCAAGAGCCGCCTGGAAGTGGCCCTGTTGGTATAGTTTCTGGCCCTTTTGCTGCGTTAATGCGGCCGCCTCGTCACGTCCGCGATCTATCGATGAACCATGTCAGCCACGAACACCCAGTCCACCATCATGATTAGTCTCGCTGGTTGAATCTATCTCGAGTATCCATCAAACATCATGCCACATCAACAAGAATCAACCAATAGAAAGCACACTTACCTCGAGAAACACCCATCATGCACTAAAACCCACTTCCTACACCGCCTGACGCGGACGCGAGTACAGAGTAGTAGGTAGTAAAGTAGTAGTACTCCGTAGTAGTGGTTCGTTGTCAACCTGGCAACGGCAACTTTGCGTTGGCAGTTCGAGTCGCTGCGTTTGTGGTCTGTGCGGTCCGCCCGACGGCCCGGCCGTGTTTACTTTCTTCCCCTTTAGGAATCCCTGCACCCGGGAAAATAATGGGCGACAGCAGATTACAATCAGCAGTACGTCGACATCAGCCTATCTTCTATCCAGGGTACAGCTTGCAGGACATGCCATGGAGCCGCATAATCTAGAAGCGACTTCGACTTACATGAATAATGTTCTTCTTGCGAGAGGTCTATTGAAAAGCGGCAAGGCTATCGACTTTGCTCAGCCGGAGAATGACGACGATGGAATTGACGGTACGATGGCTCGGATCATCAATCTAGTGAATGACCTGGTTCTGAGAAGAGATGTATGGAACCTTGTTCGCGGCGTACCGCAGCTATGTGGTGGCTAACCTCTGCCAACAGCGAGAAACAGAGCACCGAGAGAACCTGGCCACGACCATTCGTACACTCCGCACGGAGGACTCGCAAAAGATGCTTGAGATTGTACGTTGGAAGGACACTTATTGCTGGGAAACGGGGACTAATACTTTGCATAGGAGAAACTGAAAACGAAGACATCCGAGTTAACCCGATCGCTGGCCCTGGCAGAGGCCCAAGAACGCGCACTCAAGACCAATCTTTCCAGTGCCGATGCTACAATTAAAGCTCTGAAGGAGCAAATACAACGTATGAAGGCGACCGTGCAACAAGTCCGCGCGCAATGCGCCAACGACATCCGCAAGCGAGACCTAGAGATGCAGAAGTTGAAATCCCACTTGGCCGAGCGGCAGCGAGGAAAGCGGGACGGGCTGAGCATCACGACCATCAACATCAACCCCGCAGTTGATCGAACATCGAAGTCAAGATCTCTTGCTGGCGGTGAGGGAATCAATGAGCCCGGATACAGTTTGAAGCAGGAAACAAACGAGTTCCTGACCGAACTATGCCAGACTTTGAGCGACGAAAACGATGCTCTGATTGCGCTTGCGCGAACAACGGTTCAAACTCTGAAAGACTTACAAGGCCTATCCCATCTGGAGGAAGAGGATGAGCAATACACAAACGGTACGGCCAGCACACGCACTATGAAATCGTCCCACGGACCAGTCAGCACACTTCCTGCGTCCTGTGAGGAGCTGTCGGGTCAAATGGAGCGGGTGCTGGAACATCTTCGGACCCTACTTACTAACCCGTCCTTTGTCCCTCTCGAGGAGGTTGAGGTACGCGACGATGAGATCAAACGCCTACGAGAAGGCTGGGAGAAGATGGAAACCCGATGGAAACAAGCAGTCACACTCACGGACGGCTGGCACAAACGAATTGCAGATGGGGGAGATTCTGTGCGACCGGAGGAGCTTCGACTGGGACTGAAACTCGATCTAAGCGTTGACTCAATGCAGACATCCGCAGCGGGTGTAGCCGACTCGAGCATGCACTCGCCTATCTTTGAAGACCAGCAAGCAGAGGAAGAAGAGGAGGCGGCCGCGAAGATGGCCAAATATAACATTGAACGGGAAGGATCCGGCGATCATTCCACGAGCAAGCTGTCTTCTCCACGCGAACGAAAATATCGGAAGGCCTCCAGCCGCGCTCTGAAGGAACGTAGCGATAATATCATGTCTGGACGATCACCGCGGAAAGTTTCCTTTACACCTGGACTGCAGGGCTCGCCCTGTGTAACAACTGGCGAGGAGGACGAAACCTTGCAGGTCAAGGCGCATAAGTCCGGAGCTGTGACCCGCAGACCATCCAAGAAGAAGACGGACTCCAAGGTACCACGCCAGGTCAGTGACTGACGTCTATATCTATTTCGCCAAAAAGAATTGACTAACGCAATCTGGAGCAGAATACCGAAAGTGCGGTCCAATTAAGCGTCTCACAGAAGCTCGCAGCTGCAGAAAGCGAAGCACGAGCTGCAGAAGAATCCCGCAAAGAGGCTGAAAGCCGCAAGAGGACTCGAGCTGTGAAAAGCCCTAAGAAAGGCAATCGACGCAGAAGCACACTGACTAGCGATGAGCTCGGAGAGCTCATGGGCATGCCCTCGCGATGAATGAGTTGACGCTCTCGTTTATGATATATCGGCGTACGGTTTTGTTTGATACCCCCAATCAATCCATCTGTACATACATTCGTTTTTACCTCCTCCCCCTTGCACATTTCGAGAATCGGGATCCGCGCGATATGGCGCATGTAATTTTTCATACTTGGGTACTTCATCAGCAGAACCGCGCTCTACCAACTATAATTAATCTAACGGTCATGAGTATTTCATATGGTTATCTTGTAAACTGGAATAGCTGATCGCCCGACTTTGGCACCTCCATCTCATGTTTGGTGATCAATAATTATTAGTATTACCTCGGCAACTTTGAACCGAACACATTGAGATCTCCGCATTTCTCAACACCAGCTTCTTGGAGAAGAACATTGCCAGTTCGCCATTTATTCACAGCAATTGTGAGATTATCCGCTGTCTGTCCATGGAAGTTGACTCCATCAACTAGAGTATCCACCCGGTTTCTACCGTGATCTAATAGTCAGTCTCTGTATCAGCCATACATATTGTCTACTCACCCAAAGATCCATTACTACACAATGTCTTCAACGCCACCGAAAACGTTCCAGGGCTGGGTCGCTCAAGATGCTACCAGCCCTTTAACATTCACCAGCTTCGAACCCAAGCCCTTTACCGAAACAGACATCGACGTCCGAGTTTCTCACTGTGGCATCTGCGGGACAGACATCCACACTCTCCGCTCCGGCTGGGGCCCTGCAGACTATCCCTGCGTCGTCGGCCATGAGATCATCGGCACGGTTGTCTGCGTCGGCTCCGGCGTCTCAACACTCGCGTCCTCCCAAGCCTCCCGGGAGCTCAAAGTCGGCGACCGCGTCGGCATCGGCGCACAGAGCATGTCCTGCCTGCGGGCAGACTGCGAGGCGTGCGCCGACGGCCGCGAGAACTACTGCGCCCGCATGACAGGCACCTACAACAGCCGGTACGCCGACAAGAGCAAAGCGCACGGCGGCTTCGCCGAGTTCTGGCGCGGACCCGCGCACTTCGCCTTCAAGATCCCCGACGCGCTGCCGTCCGCCGAAGCGGCGCCCTTGCTCTGCGGCGGCGTGACGGTGTTCGCGCCGCTGCTGAAACACGGCGCAGGGCCGGGGAAGTCGGTTGGCATCGTCGGCATCGGTGGCCTAGGCCACATGGGGATTCTGTTTGCGCGGGCACTTGGCTGCGCGCGCGTGGTGGCGATCTCGCGCTCATCGAGCAAGCGCCGCGATGCGGTCGAGGGGCTTGGTGCGGATGCGTTCATCGCCACGGACGAGGAGAAGAAGTGGGCGCGGACACACGCGCGATCGCTCGACCTGATCATCTGCACCGTCGACGCGCCGGATATGCCCCTGGTGCAGTATCTGCGGCTGCTCAAGGTGGACGGGACGTTTGTGCAAGTTGGGGCGCCGGAGTCGCCGCTCCCGCCGCTCACAGCGTGGTCGCTGATCCAGAAAGGGGTCAAGGTGACGGGGTCCAATATCGGATCTCCCGGGGAGATTAGGAAGATGTTGCAGTTGGCTGCTGAGAAGAGGGTGTTGCCGTGGATTCAGCAGCGGCCAATGCGCGATATCAATGCTGCGTTGGCTGATATGGATGCTGGGAAGGCGCGGTATCGCTACGTGCTTTCGAACGAGACGGAGCTGCAGTCAAAATTGTAGATATCAGGTCCAACACACAATTATGCTCTGCAATGGATAGTCAGCACAATCTTGACTCTTCGTCGGAGGTGCTGGTCCATAGTTCATTATTGAATATACGTGACCACGGTTATCAGGCTTGTCTCTGCTATCTTCTGGGATTCAAACTATGTTGCCTGTACGCATATACCAACACTAGGCCTCGTAGAGAAATAAATACGAAATCTCACTCCGGAACGAGGTGGTTGCTACGGAGCACACCCGACACATCGTGGCGAGACTGGATATACTATGGCTGTGTAGGTGTGGATATCTTGGCATCCAAAGAAGCGCTTCATTTTTGCCAAAAGAGGAAAAGGGTACGAGGTATACGAAGGATCCATAAGTTTAACCGCTCAATGGAGTCTCCAATGCAGAACTGCTTATGTATTCCGGTGGGAGTATTTCAGTGTAGCCTTGGAAAGTATTAAGTCCTGAGAAGAGATTTTATTGAGCGGGGAGTTGGTAGAGGCTTTATATACGGTTGAAGCGTCTTCTTGGATCTGGACGTAGTAGACACTTCCTCTCATAGAACTGATTCCTTTAATCTCACTTCTCTCTATTTGCTGATCTACCTCTGATTCTATATCAAGGAAGTCCTCTCGTTGCTCTTCTCCTGATCGCGTCCATAACACCATGTCGTCAACGAGTGACCACGGGGGCTGGGTAGCCTACGAGTATTATCCCTCCATGGCGGCAGGTGTGATATTCGTGATTTTTTTCGTCATTGTCAATCTGCTTCATACATTCCACCTGTTTCGGACAAGAACATGGTTCTTCATCCCTCTCCTCATCGGAGGATACTGTCAGTGCAGATCTCCTACCACGCAACGCAGTCTTTGCTCCGACTAACTTCGTCAAGTCGAATTGATAGGATACATCGGGCGATGCCTTTCAGCGGGCCAGTCTCCGAATTGGACGCTCGGCCCGTATATCATGCAGAGTACTCTGCTCCTAGTAGCTCCCGCATTGTTTGCCGCTAGTATATATATGGAGCTGGGTCGACTCATTCGGCTCGTCAAGGGGGGAAGGTTCGCCATCATCCCCGTCACATGGATGACGAAGATCTTCGTTGCCGGAGATGTCCTGAGCTTCTTAATGCAGGCCTCAGGTATGTTCGAGCAGTGACTCTGAATGCTAAAAGGCAGGACACTAATGATAGATGTTGACAATAGGCGCCGGTCTTCTGGTCAAGGGAGACCTTAAAATGGGTGAGAACGTGATAATTGGCGGTCTCTTTGTCCAGATCATCTTCTTCGGATTCTTCATGATCAGCGCCCTCCTTTTCCAGCGGCGGATTGCTGCCCATTCCACCCCAGAGTCTGTTTCAGATTACATCCCTTGGCAGAAGCACATGGGCGCATTGTATGCATCGAGCATTCTGATCTTAATTCGATCTTCCTTTCGCGTCGTTGAATATATTCAAGGTTCGGACGGCACTTTGTTGCGGAATGAGGTGTTCATATACGTCCTTGACGGACTCTTGATGTGGTTTGTCATGGTTATATTCATTGTCATTCACCCAAGCGAGGTCAATTGTCTTCTGGGTCGGGGAAAATATATGACAGTCAAAGGAGGATTGCAGATTTGTGAGGCCCCAATGTCTGTTTAGTGATGGTGCATTGCTTTCAATCACAACCTGCTTATGAGAAGTTTTGATGAGTTGTCATTCCTTTCTGTTTCTTTTGTTGCACAGTTCTCGGTATTCTTCTGTCAGATTTTATTGTTGTCTTCGGAGTAGATTTCGTTGTCTGGTGAGACAATTCATAAATTGAATGCAGATAAGATACCCTTGTGGAAGAAAATTCTGCTAGAATGGTAGGTACCACTGGCCATAGCATAGTTCATCTTTCGTTTTCGAGAGATTTTCTTCACAGAACTTATGGCCATGAACATCACTCCGATACCATTTGCACAGACAGGGACGTGGCAGGCGTAACCACTCAGGTTAAGTTCGGCTCGAATGCCTGGCCGAAAATATCCCGCATGGGCCAATGAATCAGAGGTCGCCACTGATTCTCTAAAAGAAGCCATATGGACTTGGACACTCTGGGACCCCACTCATCCAGACACCAATTTTGCCGAAGACGATGGAGCATCGCACAGTAATATGCCAAAATGACCAAAGCCAGCGGCTTGCGCTTGCGCAGAAACTCCACATATTTCGGTTGCAGCCTGATTGCCCATCTACAGGCAAGAGCAACAGAGGATAGACCACTGTACATGGCACCCGTCATGTCTGCCCATTTGTGAATGGTGTCTTCATACACAGACGTATCGTGGGTCGGATCTGAAGTCCCAAATGTGTAGTTTGCTTCTCGTAGTTTCCCCAGCGCCGCAAGTATATCATCAGGCAAGATGACTTCGTACTCTTCAAACTGTATGATTGGCCCAAAGTTGCTGTCCCTAATGGAAGTCGATGCCGTACTGAGCACTTGATGCACGCCCCTCGATAGCACAAAGACTTGGAGCAGATCATCGACGTGAGCCCACGGCTCTTTTGAGTCCGGCGGATGGGGAAAGCCAAAGGCATAGACGGCCACAATGCTTGCAAATGCGAACATGGCCTTTGCATTCGTGGGGTTGATGTCGTGTAGGCGCTCACGGAACAAAGCCAGCGCCTGATCCTGATGTGCGACAGCGATGCTGATATAGTCCGCACGTCGGTGATCATTTCTGGTGCGCGAGATATGAAGTGCAGACATGGCAAGGATTCCGTGCATAAGAAACGAGTGCAAGAGAGCTTCTTCAGGAACACGAGCGCGCCAGATGGGATCGGTCTGGTCATTCCGAGAGAACACCAGATAGGTCGCATTGCACCATTGCATCATCAACTCCAGGTCACAAAGGTTCAGACTCGCCAGCGAATATGGACTCGTTGCGCTGTGGCCTCCCAGCATCCCAAGGACACCGAAAGAATTCGCCATGTCATGAAACGACTCTTGCTCTTGAGGTCCCTCGGAAGCAGATTTATTAGACCTACTAGCATGCGACTGTGCCTTCCCATCTGCCCATAGCAACGAACCAGACGAGTCATATTCGCATCGGGCCTTGCGTTTCGAGCAGTTCGAACATGACGGTCGAGATTCATCACACTGCAAGCCGTTAGTCGAGATTAGACCAAAACGTTCCGCTAGACACTGTCCCTCTCTTACTTTTACCCTGCGTCGTTTGCACTCTACACAGCCGTGTCGCGACTTGCGATGGGGTCGCCGGAGAGCCATCCTTCAGAGGACTATCCTGCGCATAGAGCTTGTATACTACTCTACCGCGAGGGATGCTCATATGATGGTTTGCCCGCCTTAGGCAACAGAAATCCACACTTCGATTATGTCATCCCACTCCATCTGGTCGCTATTCTGCTCTCGACAACTGTCGTTATCCATGCTGTGAAGTTTGAGATTCCGTCCTTGGTTTTGATCAATTATGATATCAATTGACATCTAATAAGAGAAAATCAGACGGATCCTTATCGCTGAAGTTCGGAATAAAGTTCAGATTCTAGAGAGCAATGCCGCAGAAATGGTATCTTAGGTAAAACCAAAAAAAGAGATTAAAAAAGAAAACAAAAAGACAACAGGAAGAAGCACAAGCATTAGAAAAGTATCTTCTGCTTCGGTATCAATCATCCAGTCCTCTCTTGAGTATTGAAGACCCCGTTTAACCGCCGCCGCCACCACCTCCTCCTGAAGACGAGGCCCTTTGTCGTCGCTGCCTCTCATACAATGCAAGACCGGTTATGATGACCATCAAATCGAACTCCTGGCCAAAGTTGGCGTGAAGCTCAAGCTTTCCGGACTTTTTGTATCCCCACGAATTGCTCGTGAAGACAGCAATGAGCTGATCAGTCGCCTCATCGACAAGCTTGAAGTTGCGCCAAGTGAGCAGAGAAGGCTTAGTGTCCCCAACTCCCACAGAATATGTGTGCTTCCATACGAATGGCCGCCGCTCAATCCCATTCCCAGTATCGACTGTCATCTGGAAGCGATATCTTACATGAACGAAGCTGAGACACACAAGATCTTCCCAGGTGACTGAATTGGGTGATTGTGGATCTCCGAGACCGACTTTAAAGTGCCTTGAGAAATGCAGAAATTTGCAAACAGCCACAACAGGCGCCGATATGCTTGTGCCGGCATGAATGGTCAGATCAGGCTTCTTGGGTGTAAGCGAGGAGTTGTTCACGTGGTATAGCGGAGCCTTGTCGCCTGTAGATACGTTGTAATCATGGCGCCAAAGACTGTTGTAAATATGATAAAGCCGAGCAGGGCTGCTTTGATTTGGAGGAATAGTATGTTGCAACGCGCTTGACTGGGCCATTGAGGTCTGATATGTGCTTGATGTGTCCACAAGTGTGGCATCATCTGCATCAAAGGTATGTTTGGAGCGACCCATTCTTGTTTGCTAGAGTGTGCAAATGTTGATGATGAAAATGTTAAATTTCAAATACGCTGTGGGCGATTTGACCATCTTATACGCTTTGCGGTTGAACCTGGCCAGTAGTCAGTAAAGCAAGATGGTAAGCACTGATGTATCCTGCTCCAGGAGCAAGGCTTGGCTAGATCCACTCTTCAAGCTTAATCTCAGTGATGTTTTCCATGTTTAGTAACCCAAGGAAGGCAATGCTCAACTACTCGCCGATAATAAATCGTTTCCCATGGTCGGGCAACTTTTCTTGGAGTCTTGGAGTCTGACTAGAGGTGCTCTACAGTTGCCCATCAGAAGACAGAGATGGCTGTGTTAAGCGTAAGCCAATCAGGGGATCAAGCGGATACGATGCTACTCAAAGGGGCTTAAGCACAGTCCAGCTGAGATAAGCAGATTTAATCACATGACTGCGCTAATCTCAACTATCACGTGATTTAAGAAACCACCTGATATCACATGACCTTGAAGCTCAACGCCAAGACCCAGCGCGCGTCAATGAACGAGAGCGATCTTGAAGTAGGAGAAACAAAGCGGAGTTTTGCTGTCTGGACAGGGATCGCTCCTGATTTCTGCTGGGTTTAACTTTCAAATTGGTCTCCTCTCTAATCAAACTGGCTGCGCATCCTTCTCCTCGCGCCATACCCACAGGAATCCCCTTCCCCCAGCCGGGGTTGCATTGCAGCTCTGAGAAAGATTTCTCTGCCCGACTGCGCAGAGCCGTTAGACTTTAAAATCATTTACAGACTTTCGACCAAACGTTGTCCCGCGAATAGACGTTACCTGAACCGGCCAACATGAGTTTCCAAGTCCCGTTCGGATCTAGTCCATCAACCCCAGACAAATCTCGCAGCTTGTGGAGCGACGTCTCGGCGACTCCTGCAGACGGCCCACCATCGACGACCAAGTCCTTTACTCCTCGAGGCCCTCCTCCGTCAACCATCTACGGAGGCTCTCAGATGAGCACGCGATCACAGCTCGATTCCCCTCAATCTTTCTTCACCAAGTCGGGAGGAGTGGATTTCAATGACAGCATCTTCAATTCTTCAATCGGATCCACCCATCAGCCAGCGCCCCGGGCCAAAAATGCTGGTCCGAAGAAATCCTTTGCGCAATCGCAGTCGCTCTTTGGTATGGCAAACAACACGAGGTTCGGGGAATCTACTAGCTTCGGAATGTCCAATGGCTTCACTTCGCACCTGAATGAAGAGGTCGATGATGAAGGAGATGAGGATATGTTGCCTGAGGAGGAAGAGGACGTTGAAGAGGAACACGGTGACATGGACATAGGCGACGCGACTGATGGTTCAGGACACCGGCTGAGCTTTTTAGACTCTCAGTTTGGGAATTCGACGCAACCACAATCCTTTTCGTTGGGCCAACGAAAGTCGATATACTCGAATCCAGGCAATGCCAAACGACCGAAACTTGACGAAAAATGGGCCAAACAATCACCACTACGCAAAGGCAAATTGTCTCCTAAGAAGGACTCCGCGATGCCTTCCATAATACGCAATTTAGCCTCTAGAGCTGGCACCGCAGTGGTTGATGAGCCCAGTGAGATCATCATCAGCACGGAGGACGAAATTTGTCGCATGTACGATGAAGCAAGGCAGTCCGAATACACGAACAAGGACTCCCAGGTTATTCTGTCGGAAGTCTCCGGCAGATTAACAGCTACATGGGCGACGTCCGTTGGACCCTCTAATACTGAAACTGGCATTGGGCCTGGGGATCAGGCCTCGAATGTTGCCAAGGCCAGCTTTATTGGTTCTCTGTTGCTCCAACTCCATCACCCGCCCCTGTCCGCTCCCAAGCAAGGGAGCCTCAACAATCCGCTAGGGTTTGCGGCTCCCAGGAGTTTAGCGCTCACCAGCCCCCAAGCAGACACGATCACCCCGATTCCTAAAGTTCTCCTGGATTGGCTGGAAGCTAATCATGCTCCTCAGACCAACGAATTACAAATTCTGAGGGAGGTTGAGCCGAATCCCACAGCATCTTCTGATTTCTGGGAGATCATCAATGCGGCCGTATTACGTGGACGCTTCAATGAGGCCGCCGATTTACTGCGTTCTGCTGATTTCAACTACGCAAGGTCAGCGCTGGAGGATGGTTTGCCCCAAGCTGGTTACCGCGGAGTACAACTACAAAATATTCAAAGATGTGCCAACAAGGCTCTTCAAATCTTGGAATCATCTCCTAGCGCTCAATATGGTGACTGGGACGTCAAGGGCACCGAATGGGCTTTGTACCGGAAGCGTGTCATGGGAGCCGTCACCGACTTGGAAGAATTCGCTGAGGGGGGAGAACAGCAGTCACCTGAGCCTCCAGTTTCAGAAAATCGCTTTCAGGCGATCAATTTTGGATTGAAGCCTAGTCCGGCTAAAGGAGATTTTTCTTTCACCAAATCTGCGCGCATGGCGGAGAGCCGTGTGCCATGGACCATCTATCAGAATTTGAGGTCCTTATATCGTATCATCCTCGGTGATACTAGCGCCATCATGAGCAATGCACAAGATTGGATCGAGGCCACCGTTGGATTAACAGTGTGGTGGGACGGTGAGGATGATGAAGAAGTCGCCAGCGACCCCTTTGGCCGCGTGGGGATGTTTAAGCCGCAATCATTCCGTGGCGTCAACGATGACCCGGTGAGCCCTTACCTTCAGCGTCTCGACCTTGCTTTGAGAAGTGCGATCAACGAGGCGTCGACAAATTCGGGGTTCCGGGTCAATCCACTCAGTAACCTAGAGGTCGGCCTAGCATCCGTCTTCGAGGGCAATGTAGACGGTGTTCTTGGTTTGCTCCAAACATGGTCTCTGTCTATTGCATCTGCTGTAGCTGAAGTTGCTTCACTTGGGGGTTGGCTGGACACAGCCGGTGGCCCGAAGACGTTGCCCGGTCTCAGTGAGAACGACTTGATGGTTCTATCATATGGTCAAACCGGCAATGGGTCGACGGATCGAATCCGAAAGGACGACGTTTTGTGTGCCTATGCTCTTGGCTTGTTTGACCGAAACTCCATTGAGCACGAATCTGGTGTCCGAGACGGGTGGGAACTTGCGCTGGAAGTCCTGAGTCGTCTGACAGATGCGGAGAATATGCAGAAGAGTGTATCAGAGCTGCTAGATAAACTTCCCCTCGATACCGCCGAGGAGATGGACAAGGCGGTGTTGCTATGCTCTGAATTGGGTTTAGACAAGGAGGGGAGGAGAGTGTCCGAGGTGAGCCAACGAACTGGAGTCTTTTCCTTTATTCGAAATGGGATACTAACCTATTGGTTAGCGATTTGGTGATCAAACGGTGGAAAATTCCGAAGACTACGGTCTCGCCTTAGTCTGCTACGCTCGTGCACATAGCCGCCGGAAGGTGAAATCTGTTGTCGACTTGCTTATCTCCTACAGTCTGGTCCAATCGCTTGCATATCCCGCATCAGCGAATCTGGACGAGCAGTTGGAGGCTCTGATCAGAGATCCGAAACTCTGCCTCTCCGCGATTGCAGCCTCAGACGAGGTCGCTGCCGACATTCTTCAATTTTATTTCAGCGGATATGCGACATTGCGCCGGTTCTTCGAAACACGGGATGAAACGATTGGGCTCAAAGAAGGGCAGCGACCTCGGTTCAAGCCCTTGGCCAGACGCAGGGCCGCGGCCGGGGCTTTGGTTGCCGTCATCAGCAGTGCCGCTGATAGCATCTACGGTGGGCTTTATGACCCTGACCGGGACTCTGCGGTGCAAGTGGACGGACTGTTGACGCTTTTGGGAGAGGCGTTGGCTTTTATCAATCGTAAGTCGTGGACATACATCTTGCAGGAACGTTTCGGGCTAATAGTAGAACAGAGCCAACTCCAATCCTTTCCGTACCTCAGCAATTTGCTATCTTGTCGGCCATTGAAGATCTAGAAACAGTCACACCTCGCGTTTTCGCCCAGTGCGAAGAGTGTTTCCGCTCGACACTAATCGAATACTCCTCTGGACGCGCCTCTTCTGGCGGTCGGTCGTCGGCCGAGTCCTACGTCCTTCCACCGTCACCACGGGCTCTTCTTAAGAAGTCCGTCTCTTCCTTGACCGCTTCCAGCACGTTCTCATTCATTGGCAGTGACATGATCGAGTCAGCGAAGAATCGGACCATGTCTACTTCGGGGTCTATATCCAGCTCCGCTGTTCTAGTCCCTCGTCCCGGCGACGAAGGCCACAAGGGCCAGGAGCGGGGTTGGGACTGGCGCGCAGGGCTGCCGGAAGACATCAAGGGCGAGGAAGTTCTTAAGATTTTGCGCTTGGGATTAGCAAGAGGGTTGAGTTTCGGTGCTTTGGGTTCGGTTTAATCAAGGCGGGTTCTTCAAAATTCTTTGCATCTAGCATGTATGTGTAGGTGGTGTAGGTGTGGTATCTAATGTTATCTACCATTCGTTTGTCCCCGTGTTCAAACCATCTACATTCATAATAAGTCGTTATGTAATGGAAAGACGTCTGACAGAGCATGGTCTTTTTAATTGTATCAAGTAGGTTGAGTTGAAACTTACCAATTCCAAATATATATTGTCTTCGGACTTTGATCCAAGGGAGACAAACATATGGGAACCCATGCATTTCCCAGGCATCAACACGCAGCACTCCTTCCCTGACAGTCACTCAGCCGCTCCAAGACTTGGAATCGTGGATGTTCTTATTCCATCACCCATCACAATACTATTTCATATCACCCAGATTATTGACTTCTCACGGTGTTGGTTTTTCAAGAACAGTGATAGGGTCAACCTCTCACTCCTACTCCTACTCCTGATGACGAGATGCCTTTAGCCACCTTGCTGAGCAATGCGCTTTGAGCGTGTTAATAATCCTGCTGGAATGTAGTAGGAATCCTCGAGAATGGTTGCAATTATATCAACGATGGCTAATATTGGGTTCTCTATAGTCAAAGCTGATGAAACCTTCCGACTGTTGATCCTTTAAGCGGTTGTGGCTTGTGGGATGCTGGATGAACAAGCAGTACATCAGATCGGGGTCAGCGTCGGGCCCATCAACAAGCGGTCTAGAACCAGAGAAGGCCTCAAGGCAGTACTGGCATAGCAGCAGACAGCTGAAGTTGAACTCATACGGTGTCAACACTACGAAGTATACAGTCATCAAACAGCCACCCGAAGAGCGAAAATGATCTGCACGGGGATGTTCCAACCTCGGAAAAAACCCCGGGAGGACTGCCGAAGAACAATGCAGAGAACAACTCGACTACTCTCAGCGAGAGCTTGCCTGACAGGCGACAGCATCATCCACTTCTACAATCTTCTGTACAGCCGTTGCTTGGAAATCCAAAGGCGCTCCTGGCCAGTTGGTGATTGGACAGCCGTATGTTGGTGGATGAGTCAGGTCGGATCATGTGGGTACCTGTTTAGGTAATCCTCGATTGCTCGGCTCAGCCTTGCGGGTTATTCTTGTCTCTCCAGGACTCGGGTACTGTTCTGCAAGGGCCAGGAGCTAATCACAGCGTTGTAGACTGACCGGGGTTTGGTTCTGAAGTTGGTTTCTGGTGGGCGGTGGTCTCTGAGTCAAGGGGCTGGGCTGAGGAACAGAACGACATGATTTGTCCGGGTTCTGTTCAGCGCCCATTCTTCACGCCAACACTGCATAATGCATGGCCCTGCTCACCGATAGTTCTGCTAATATCGAGGCTCAACTGCAAGCTGAACCTGCGGGGTCCCTTTCTGTCGATCCGTCATCAAATATTCCATGTCCTGCACGATTCCAAAGCAAGATCTCGCCTGGGAGGCAAATGTATTTTTTTTTTCTTCCCTTGGGAAATACGACTTCCATGTTGGTCAACGACTCGAGGAACCTGCTATCAAACCAACAAAACCAAAGCAAAATGATTGAACGAGGCCAACAATTGATTTCGAAAAATAGCTACAAGAGATAGACTATGACCCAATAGGGCCTAAGGCCCCCATTATCCATGGCACCATGAGGCATGAGCTGAAACCCCCTGCAAGCACGAGGAGGAGCCTCAAGCCAAACCAATGATATGGGCTCCAAGGACAGCCCAGCTCCGCTTGGAGCAACCTTGGGAGGGGTTTAGAGCCCTCTAACCTTCAACGGTTCCGTCACGGTGGATATCAAATTTGTGGAAGTTAACTTAGTATCAGACTATCAGCTGTCATCGCCATCGGTACGACGTTCTGCGACATCATGTATCAGTTTACTGATCCACTTGCCCCTCGGATCTAACGGCCTAGCGATAAGGAAGCTAGGAACCATTACCATACTCCATACTCCATAGTCGTTCTTCATTAGCAATCTACCAAGTGCTAATCCTCAGTCCAATGATGAAACTCCACTGATCGACTAAGGAGTCGGTCTTGTCCGGGAGCTGCCCTGTGGACAGTTCGGACATGGGCGAATATAGTATGGTGCTGATCTTGACTCTTGGCCTATGTCCTTCACTCTTTCCTTTATCCATGATTTTGCGACAGATTGTTTGGTCATTTTGAACTCAAGACAAGAAATTAGGAGCCCCGAAAAGAGTCACGGATATCGACCTCGACGGATGCCTTGCATAGGGCTTGGGTCGTACGTGCTCCAGGCTACCTGCAGGCCGAATAGGCTATGCATGCTTCATGAAACGCAACTTTTGGAATCGTCCCAATTCTTCGAACGACTTGCCATGGAGGCTGTTGGGTTGCCTAAGCTCCCTTAGGTTTATATAAATAAGTCGAGCCCAGCATCTCAGCCTTGGTTTGTCCTGGAAGACATCCTTAAGCTCCCAGTTCAGTGAACAATCGTTTCTTTCTTTTGTCTCTTCTAAGCCTTTCATTCCTAATATATTGCTCTTCCACATACCGTCTACTATAGACGTCAAGATTCATCATCATCTTCTTGTTGTTGTTGACGATATATAATTTCGATTAACCTATTCGACATGTGTTACCAGGTGGTGGAGCGATATTCGGTGTGCGGATGCCTCTACTTCCAGCATGCGATTGACCCATGTCAGGCCTATGGCCAACGGGGCCATACAGTACAAGAGAAGACTGTACTGGTCGGATACGCCTGCGACAAGCATTCTGCGAGACGGAATGGCGGTCGACCTGCGGCGGGCCACAAGGGCTATTGATCATTGTCCCGTGCATCATAGACTTGTAATTTGCTCAGGAGCAAAGTTACGCGATGCTACTTCTACTCGTCTTTTCTCCGCTCATGATACTATTCTCGGCCTCTTTTTTTTTCATTTCTTTCGGGGTTGCACTTTCAGTTCTCGACTTATCGACTTATTTCGAACGGATAGGCTGGATCTATCACACTTCAGACGCCCGCTCGAGGCTGGACACTCGGCAAATAAACGATTCCAGGCGATCTCTCCATTTGAACTCATTCTCCGATGCTCTTTCTTCAGACCAACTCAACAGTTGCATTGCGACCTGTCTTTCAGCAGGCATTGAACTTCAGCACGCTATGAAACTATGATCGACTACGTTGATGTGTACCATGATTCGATACGCGGCATGCGCGATAGCTCCCTTCTTTGAGCTCTGTATGCTTGGATTGATTGATAGATGTACATTGATGCGAGAAAAGTTCCCACAGCTTGCATGGTATGGCGTTCAGCGTTCCAGCATCAGTCTCTCTTTGCATGTTTTCTTATTCTTGTTTGCTGATTTCGAATGTATTTTTGTTCCAATATTTCTTGTCCTTCACAGCTCTGCCTTATCCTTTGAATTCTGTCAGCGTTCTTCTCATTTCGGGGTTCACATCTAAACGTATGTACAAATATCTGGCTGGCCCCAGTAGACAGCCATCCTTAGCAATCTCACTCTCCTATCTCAAGCGCCAATACCCCTACTCTCACTTTTACTCCTACTACATCTCACGAGCAATCATCCTCTCCAAGAAATCAAACCCCTCCTTCTGTGCCTCCCACGTCCTCGACCCAACCTCCATCGTCGCCGCAAACGTATGATCCTCCCCTTCAACGTCGGTCATCCCACACTCCACCCCACCCTCACGCAACCTCCCTAGCAAAACCCGACTCATCTCAATCGGCACCATCCGATCCTCAACTCCATGCACAATCCACGTCGGCGGAAACTTACTATCGACATTCATCACCGGATCCACAGCCCGCAGACCCCCCCCCCCCTCCCCGCCCCAATTTGCGTAAACGCAAACGCGTCCCGCGCCCGCCTGCCCCTCCAGCAAGACCCCGCTGCTCGTCGCCACGGGCTGTTCCGCGTACACCTGCGCGAGGGAGCAGGGCTCGATGGCCGGCTGTGGTAGTTTCACGCGGATGCACGGCAGCGGCGAGCGCCAGGAGGCGTGCGTGAAGTGCACCGCGGGACGTCGAAGCCCTAAATTACCCCCCCCCCCAGCCTTCCACGGCAATTCCTCTTGTCAGATACCGGCATTACAGTGTAGTTTATACCGCGGGGGGCAGAGGGGAAGTATGAAGGAAGGAGGGAGGGAGGATGGAATATAGTACATAGTACTTACAAGCGCTAGCGCCAGCGCCAGCGCCAGCGTCCCGCTCGATGAGGTCCCGGATGCCATCACCTTGTCCATGTCTGTGCTGTAGCCTGTGCCGGCGACTGGACGCGCAAGGAACCCATCCAAATACCCGTCGTACACCCAACGCAGTAGATCGTGGCAGTCGCGCATCGGGCCGTCGAGCATGTCGACCTGCGGGCAGAGCCGGTGGTTGGGGACGAGCATGATCCAGCTGCGGCGGTGATCTGGGGTTTGGAGACCATGCGCGAGTGTGCCGAGCATGAAGGCGCCGCCGTGGATGTTGAAAGCTGGGTGTGTTTGTGTTAGTCTTAAGTATTGAGTATTTGGGTTGGGGTTGGGGTTATGG